GACGCCTAGCGAACTTCAAGTGTAACAGAATTCTAGAGGCAACAACGTCGTTTTCGGTGACACACGAAGTTTATTGTAGAAGCCGATTTTGAAATGTTACTGCCACAATTTCTTTGCAGGTTAAGAGTAGCCATGAACACAAACCTCAAACGCACCTGGCTGCGTTCTATGTGAATCTTATGTGCTATTACCTTTTCGAAATGTTACTCATCAAGAGCAATTTCCTCCAAAGGTATGCATGGTATTTCTTTCAACTAAACAATTACTTTGGTGTTAAGATGAACGAGTCGAAGGCGAAACATGAAGCGAACCAAAAGCGCACTCGTTTAGCGACCAGCTCTTTCCAACCGTTACAGTGAGGGAAGATAACTTTAGTAGTAATTGTTAAGGAGAAACCGAATGCTTACCTTTAGACATCCTTCAAGTGTGAGTCAACTTACAACAAGGTGTAGTTGTAGTAACACGTCCTCACACGTCCTCACACGTCCGCGACCTGGTTGGTTTGAGAAAAACTTTACAATTTGCTATGAATACTGATTATGAAAACAGACCAATCACCAATAAATACGTCACCAATATGACGTGAGTTGAGTTCACACGCCCTAAGGGAGCCAATCAGGAACCCACTTTGGGTTCGGGTCACTCCACATGCTACTCTTTAGTCAACTTAGTTACCGACGCATTAAAAAAAAAGTTACAATTCAAAAAATATAACATCAAGTTATAGTGACATGTACCACGTAATTAGCGAGCTCGAGATAATAATAACTCCCGCTGATGTAATGAAGTGAAAAGACGAGAATAAAGAGACACTCCACTATTTATAAGCTTGGTATAAAATGGGAAAGTGACAAGACATTGAACAAATATAAAAAAAAAATTATAAAAAACGGCAAGTCCCCCGGTACAGGATCTTCATCCTCACTGGGACCGCTTGCGCGGTACAATGCTCTACCCACTGAGCTGCGGGGAACTTGCCATGAAAGGAGAGTAAATGTTAAGATTATATGTGACAAGTTGAGTTCGTACTACAAGGAACAAAGGAACAAAGATTCTGAGGAAAAAGGGTTCTTACTCAAAAGACATTACTATAGAAACGTTTTATTCGATTTAATAATGTTCAAATGCATGTCCTGAATTTTAAAGTTTAGGAAAAGGGTAAACTTGCCAATAATTGGAGTGAAAATGAAAAAGTGGTTTGACTCACAAATGACTTTACTACAAAACCTTTGTTGTTTGTATTGATAATATTCAAATAGAGCCGCGTTCTAATGCATGTCCTCTATTTAAAACTGTAGACATCGGGTAAACTTGCCAATAAGTGTAACAAAACTTCGAAAAAAAAATTAAAAATCAAAAATTAAAAACAAAAAACGGCAAGTTCCCCGGGTCAGGATCTTCATCCTGACTGGGACCGCTTTCGCGGTACAAGGCTCTACCCACTGAGCTGCGGGGAACTTGCCATGAAAGGAGAGCAAATTTTAAGATGATATTTAACAAGTTGAGTTCGTACCGCAAGGAACAAAGATTCTGAGGAAAAAAGGGTTTTGACTCAAAAAGACATTACTATAAAAAACGTTTTGTTCGATTTAATAATGTACAAATTGAGTATCGTTCCGATGCATGTCCTGAATTTAAAAGTTTAGGAAAAGGGTAAACTTGCCAATAATTGGAATGAAAATGAAAAAATGGTTTGACTCACAAATGACTTTACTACAAAAACTTTGTTGTTTGTATTGATAATATTCAAATAGAGCCGCGTTCTAATGCATGTCCTCTATTTAAAACTGTAGGAATCGGGTAAACTTGCCAATAAGTGTAACAAAAACTTCGAAAAAAAATCAAAAATCAAAAACAAAAAAAAAGAAAAACGGCAAGTTCCCCGGGTCAGGATTTCCATCTTGACTGGGACCGCTTTCGCGGTTCAATGCTCTACCCACTGAGCTGCGGGGAACTTGCCATGAAAGGAGAGCAAATTTTAAGATTATATGTAACAAGTTGAGTTCGTACTGCAAGGAAGAAGTGAACAAAGATTCTGAAGAAAAATGGTTTTGACTCAAAAAGACATTACTATAAAAACGTTTTGTTCGATTTAATAATGTTCAAATTGATTATAGTTCCGATGCATGTCCTGAATTTAAAAGTTTAGGAAAAGGGTAAACTTGTCAATAAATAGAAAAAACCTTCGCTAATGTAATGAAGTGAAATAATGAGCATAACAACACATTACAGACTCTGAATAACCTTTGTGTAAAATGGGAAAACCAACAAATCATCGAAAAAAGAAATTAAAAAAGAAATCAAGGAAAGGAAAAAAAAATGGCAAGTTCCCCGGTACAGGATCTCCATCCTGACTGGGACCGCATTCGCGGTACAATGCTCTACCCACTGAGCTGCGGGGAACTTGCCATGAATGGAAAGAAAATTTAAAGATTATATGTAACAAATGGAGTATGTGCTGCAAGGAATTGGTGAAAAAAAGTTCATTGAAAAAGTCTTTTGACTATAAATTGACATTACTACACGAACTTGGTTGTTTGATTTAATAATATTCAAATTCCGAACTGTGTAGACAATGTCCTGAATTTTGGAGTGAAGCAAAAGGTTAAACTTGTCTATATGTGGAACAAAAAGTTCGCTAATAAAATGAAGTGAAAAGACGGGTATAAAGAAGCACTTCAAAGTATTTATAAACTTTGTATAAAATGGGAAAACCAACAAATCATCAAAAAAAGAGGAAAAGATTTACAAAAAAAAATCAGACAAAAAAAAAACAAAACAAAACAAAACGGCAAGTTCCCCAGGTCAGGATCTCCATCCTGACTGGGGCCGCTTCCGCGGTCCAATGCTCTACCCACTGAGCTGCGGTGAACTTGCCATGATTGGAGAGTAAATTTTAAGATTACATGTAACAAGTAGAATACGTATATACTGTAAGGTACAAGTGCATAAAGATTCTGAGGAAAAAGTTTTAATTCTAAAAAGACATTACTACAAAAACGTTTTTGTTTGATTTAATAATCATGGTTCATTTTAAGCAGCATTCCGATTTATGTCTTTAATTTTACTGTTTAGGAAAAGGGTAAACTTGCCAATATGTGGAACAAAAAGGTCACTAATGAATGAAGTGAAAAGACGAGTAGAAAAAACACTTCAAAGTATTTATAAGCTTTTTATAGAATGGGAAAATCGACAAATCATCGAAAAAAAATGAAAAAAGAAATCAAACAGCAAAAAAAAAGAAACAAAACGGCAAGTTCCCCGGGTCAGGATCTCCATCCTGACTGGGACCGCTTTCGCGGTTCAATGCTCTACCCACTGAGCTGCGGGGAACTTGCCATGAAAGGAGAGCAAATTTTAAGATTATATCAAACAAGTGGAGTACGTAATGCAAGGAACAAGTGAACAAAGATTCTGAGGAAAAAGGGTTTTGACTCTTAAAAGACATTACTTTAAAAGCGTTTTTTTTTTATTTAACAATTATCAAATGGGGCAGCGTTTCGATGCATATCCCGAATATAAGAGTTTAGGAAAAGGTTAAACTTACCAATGATTGGAAGAAAACCCACGCTAATGTAATGAAGTGAAGCAATAAATATAAAAACACGTTACAGACTCTTTCTAACCTTTTCGTAAAATGGGAAAACCAACAAATCATCGGGAAAATATTAAAAAGAAATAAAAAATAAAACAAAACAAAACATAAAAAAACGGCAAGTTCCCCGGTAAGGGTAAATTTTCCAACAAGTGTAAGAAAACTTGCATTCCAAACTATTTGTGAGCAATTTAGTACACGGGAAATTAAAAAAAAAAAACAATTAAAAAGGAAGTCAGACAAAAATGTTGCAAGTTCCACCATGTAGACCTGTGTATGTTTTGTAGGAAAATAAAACAGGGGAAACAGAGGTTGTAATTTCACGCCGGGCGGCCGTGATCTCCCCCACTTCAAACTAAAATCAACGTCAAAATATTAAAGATCTTACCAATCGGGCGACGTTCGGTCATCAATGAGATACATTTTCGTCTTTTGGCCAAATTATAGTTTCTTCCCCTCGGTATTTTCCGAGATAATTGCTAGGAAAATCAAAGTTACGGCTTTCTTATCAGGGATGGTGCTCACTGCAGTGAACGAAGGAATTCGAGTAATGTGACTCGTTCTAAATTGACCAATCAGTGTTTGTCAGGCCACAGCGACCAAATGCTGATCGTTCAGTACCAGAAGTTTAGAACGATCCAGTGAAAGGTTTTTAAATGGCCCGCGTATGCAAAAATTTGGTGAACCAACATTTAGTTTCTCTTTAGTTTGCCTTCCTGTTGTACCCATCAGGTGGTCTGCCTGTGGTTACATCACGATTAATTTTCTCAACCTTCCTGTTTGCATGCTCATGTATAACCGAGAAAACACCTTCTAAAATTTGTTACTACGTATTCCTAAGAACTTCATCGTAATGCCAGTTTCAAAACTACCTACACAACAATAATGAAACAAAACGGACTAAACTACATACTTTCTTCATTTAGCAATATGATGGAAAATCCGTCAAGCTATTCCCCAGTCTTTCCTCGTCTTTGGCGTCATTTGCATAATCATGCCGTATATAATTTGACATATTCGCGGTTTTCATTACAAGTTCAAAGTTCTTGCCGGGTTAACCTTTTACACCCTTACATCAGTATTCACATTCTCCAAACTGATCTCTTTACATTTCCTTTGATACTGACGAGGAGAATTTGTTTGACAATCAGGAGCTTCTTAGATGGGTAATCACTTTATATAATCTCATGACCGGGGGTTTAAAAGTTAAGAAAAAAATGCAATTCAACTTATTACATTTCGCGCAGTTATTTTGGTTATGATAAACCGTCTTGCAAGAGCAACTGATAATTTCAAAGAAAATGTCATCCAAAGTGGAGCCCCTTACCTTCCTCTTTCGAGCGAAGCTGTTAATTAGTTAGGCAAGTTGTCTTCTTTTAATTGCTTTATTTACTCGTGAAAATAATGACACGTTTTTATTTCCATAGGTAACGTTACCAAAAGCTTCGCCGAAAAGCCTAACTACTTCATGTTAAAGGGAATTTTTATAATATGGTGCACAGTTTCCAACCTTAAAGTTAACCACTGTAGTCTAGCAGTTTAATACCACTTAATTACCTGTATGAAACATCACTTTTACATTCCTACGTATTTATTCGTAGTGATGGGGGTGATACACCCCTCCTGCTCCACCTGCACACCTGTATGATAATGTTGACATGGACCAGCTGCTAATCCTTCAAAAGTAGCAGAACAAAATATAGTTCCACATGGAGCGTGTCCCTGATGTATTTGTGCCGAGGCAGAGATACAGAGGCCAACAAGTGAGAAAATGTGAAGATAAAAGGTAATGGACCGCTCATTATTTATCGCCGAGGGAAATGGTTGGAGGTTTTTTTTGTGGGGGGGGGAGAGGGAGGTTATTACATTGTTTTCAGGGGAACGGGGGATGTAGGTCTTCTATGACAGAAGTTAAAGGGGAAGCTATAGATAGGAAATTGACTTCCAGTGAGGAGGGATCATAACAAATAAAGACCACTTCGTAAAGGAAAGACCTTCTTTTGACAAATGTTAGCTTCACAAAGTGGGTTTCCTCTGTACAAACGTTTCCGTTTAAAATATAGGGGGGGAAATGCACCACATTCATAAAGAATGACTGTGACACTCACTTATTTTAAAAGTATGCATGAAGGTAAATCCCAAAGGTTTAACTAAAAAGTAGCTCGGAAACAGCCATAGTTTGTTGAGATACCACTAAGGTGTGCTGTTGTAAATCTTTCATTTTTCTCACAGATCTTCCAGTCTACTGCTGAGGGAATCCACTTGGGATTGGAGCCAGTCTTCAACTTTCTTCCCATGATTTTTCATCCAGTTAATACAGCCCTCTATGTACTCCAATGATTTCTTTGTCGCGCGCAGGGAACCCACTGTATCTTTGTGTTGATTGATAAAATCCTTGAACTGTTTAAAAGATGAAAAGACCGTGTAAAAAATTTATCTCATCCAATGATTTCCCATTTGGCGTCTCTTGTTTATCTAACAAAACTTTCAAGGAAAAGGCGTAGTACATGTAATGACATCATCTTCGGGAATACGGATATCTTAGGGTACCCGCGCACGCAAAATTTCATGATCTTCAATATGAATTATTTTTAGTGCAATTCATTGATCCTTCAATGAACGTTTCCCTCGACTTATCCGTAACATTCCCTTCGCCGAGTTACGCTTGAAAATGATAAAAAGGTCATATGTCTACAAAACTCTATCTTCGAGTACCTCTTGAAGTTGGAACTCTGTGTTCATTCCTCGGCTGGCGATGTTGACCAAATAACTGATTTCCATTGCGTCATTTCCCATCCTAGGTGAAAATAATAATTATCATTTTTTAATAGCAAAAGCACCCTTAATCCTCTCTGTCTGTTCTCACTGTCCCTAACGTAATAACCTTTCTTCCTCATACAGTCGTATACTAGATTCCTCACACCGCCTTTGTGTAAAAACAATGAACCAACTACAATTAAATCGAAGTTTATACATGCTTAGGAGGACTTGAAATCAAATGGCTGTTAAAAATCACCGCTTAATTCTTTTTAAACCTTGAATTATGGAGTAAGGTTTGAGCATCCTTTTCTAAGGCTTTATGCGCCACCGGCGCGACCAGAACAGACCATAATAATGATGATTAATTTTCAAGAATGTTAAGATATGTAAAGAGCAAAATTGAGAGTTTTTAAAATCGTTAGTCCCACACCTCATTTGCCAAAGGCTTTTAAAAAAGCTCTCTAGGTCGAATTACCGCGAAGAGTGCTGAAAATCATATTTTTCACAGGAACCCTGGAGGCCTGTTTGTTGTAACACCTCTTTTCTTTTTTAACAAAAGTGAATCTTTGTACCCAAGAAGAAGGACCGGGGTAGGGGGGAGGGAGGGGGGTTTTCTTCACACAGTCTTGCAACTGACGCAACTTTCCTTCCCACAAACAGTTAGATGCAGAAGGCTTGTCCCTCGCGGTAATTTGACACGGGTTGGAAGCACACAGGTTGGAGGCCTTTTTGAAAATTGCGTGTACCTTGATACTAAAACCACAAGCATGTGAGTTGTTCTTACTTTTTCACGATCTTGTCAAAGTTCTTTCTGATGAAGTCCCAAGTCAGAAGGCGTCCATAGACATGTGAGCCAACCCCTGAAATAGCGTGCAACATGTCCTGTGTTCTGATCTTTGATTCATCAAGTGAAGATTCCAGGATCCTAAATTCATTGAAAATAATTGAAGTCAAAAGATCTGGGAGAACAGACGGTCGATCGAGTTAAAGGCTGGTTTGGGTCTTAAAAATTAACATTAATATCACATGAGCTATCTTTTGTCATATCTAAGATTTAAAGCAAAACTAGAACATGTTAGATGTTCATTTGAACAATACCTGACCTCTATCCTCTATCTCTCCCCTGAGGACAACGTAATAATAAATAAATCTTCATCACCCATGCCCACTAGAGAGAATTTTCCACTCAAATTTCCCAATACTAATCCAGCTAAATTTTTCTGCCATTAACCCAGGAAGCTGTAGGTGAGATAAAAAATGATTCGAACATTTTCCAAGCAAGTGCTATAAAACTAAGACCATAACAATAACAAGCGCCGATTAAAACACAGGAAAACATTACAAGGAGCCTAAGAGTATATGAAGGCCGCATTTGCCTGAAGCACGGCAACACGTAGGCTCAATTACCAGCCGCTGTTCGGGAATATGAGCCCGCGCCTCTGCCACTCGAACCCACCTCTCTTCTTGGGGAGCTGCGAAGACCAGACACGAGAGAGTGGCGGAAATCGAGCCTAAGGAACACCCGAGTGACTGGGTCACGATTGGTTTCCTACTTGCATTTGATTGTTTGTGAGCGCGGTGCAAGTTTTCTAGACTAGTTACAAGGCAGTTTGAAGCAAAACCAATGCATTCCCATATTACTTTGAACACCGCGCTGAAGATTTCTCATAAGTTTACCTGTTTAACAGCCAAGGTTCTTTGGTGCCTGTTAAAGCGTATAGTATCCTGGATTTCTCAGTGGCGTCAATGGAGTTCTGGTATTTCTCCCACATAAATTCCCATTCCTCTAATCCACCGAACTTAATAGCGGTATGATATACAATGTCCCGTAGATGAGGAGAGATTGTAAGGCTAAAGAGACAGAGAACTAACATGACTTTAAGATATAATGAAATGCGTACATAAGGAAAGGCTACTAGTTGTAGCCCTTGATGGTTACGTGAACGTGCATAATGAGAAGAGGTTATGAAGGGTAGAAGAAATGGTGGAATAATGAAAAACTGAACCAAACAAAATGACCGAGGGGAACGAATAAACAAAGAAAGACCATAAAGTAAAAAACTGAACAAATAAACTAAGAAACGTGAGCTCAAGAACGAACAAGTGAGCGTAATACCATATGGATGAGTTAACGAACGAACAGTCAAACAAAGAAGCGAGCAAAAGACCGAATGAAAAACGAAGGGAAAGGAGTAGGTCTATGTCATGTAACACAGGTTACACGATTACAAAAATTTTGAGTTTACCATGAGGAATCGAACCTAAGACCTTTAAAATAAAATTTTTAATCATCCGTTCTCCGATGTTATACTACTGAGTTACAGAGGACTCTCTGGTGAGCTGTGCCATAGCTTGGTTCCTCTGTGACACGCGTCCTGCATACTGCTGGGATCAGCAATATCGAAAGCGTCATTTGAGTAAATTAAAATTAAAATAGGATAATAAAAGATGGTGTATTTTGAGCTCGTTAATAATTTTAGTCTGTATCGTTAACCTCTGATTCTTCATCCACATTCTGAATCCAGTCAAACTATAATCCACTGCGTGTTCATCACCATGGCTGGCTAATGTTGACAGCACATTGTTTCGCAGATACCTGGTAAAAATTCACGAATTAAATTTCACGGTGAAAACATATATACTGTACACATACTGAAGACAGCACAAACAAGGAGAAGGCATTCGGACTGAAGTTAACTAAAACTGAAAATCAGTCAGATGTAATTCTCATCTTGGCGATGGAGAAGGACGTTTCACATGATTTTATATGATGTTTCCAAACGAAATGTCGATAAAATAAACCTTCCAAACATTAAAGTATATACGAAAAAGACAAATCCAAGACTAACTGTTGAAATTAGGTTATACCGTTAAGGAGACATAAGAGAAGCTGCAAGAGTTCTGTATGCATGTGTAATCTAACACTTTTTTCACCTAATCATTACCAACGCCTACGGTTTTGACAAATCTACCATCTGATTGTCTCCAATCTTTGCTAAAAGGTATTCTTAGCAGACCATTCGTTACGATAATGATCCTCTAGGTCTCTTTACTTACATCTTGAGGATATCACCATCAGTTCCCCATCCCACGTACTTTTCGAGTGGCTTCACCTTCTTCACAATGTATTTCTGTGTAAAGGACGGAATATGGCAAATGTTGGTTATAATAAATCCTGTTGGACTGCGATCACTTCCTCGTGAGTGGTCGATCAAGTGGCCACACTGATTCGCCTGTTTTTTTTTTCTTTTTGGCGTCTCTTTGGATATACTGTAAGCAGTAGAACTTACGTATTCTGAATAAGATCACTGTTTAATCTATTGTCCTTAGAGCAAAACTAAATTCATCTCAACAGCTCATGAAACAAACGTAAATACTGATCACAATGATCACGAAGGCCCAATGAAACGAGAAGTAAACACATGTGACCGAACTAAGGCGATTTACATCTGATTAGCTGAGAAGGAAGCACGAATTTGTTTTTTTGGAACAATCAAAGAAAGTAGTGAAGGAGGAAAAAAGCATAGTATCCCAGGACTACTTTCGACTGTCAAATGAAAGTTTTTTTTTAATCACACTTAATCCCTACTCCGATCTTCAAGCCCCCACTTACCCGGTAGAATCCGTATGAAGGGCGCATGGTCAACATTGACCCAATGAAACCCAAATGACCGAGAGCAGAGGACCATGGGACGTATTCTCTCTCCTTATCTAAGTAATTCGTCAGCCCCAATGCAGTGGACATATCCAGTTGGCCAGCCCTGCATATAGACAAAGTTGATGGTCCGATTGTTAGCCAAATGAAAAAGTAACCCAACCGTTCAGCTTAGGAAATACAAAACTGCTCGCTTTACAAGAACAAAGCAAGGTAAGGAGTAAGGGTGTATGTTACTCCATCTTGATCAAGAAAAGTTAATAAATTATCATAATAAACAACATGACATGTTCCTGAATCCATGTCAGAATTTAGTGTAGGCCCCCCTAAGGGAAAATCCTCCAATCATCTCGTCATCACAAGGACGCTAAAGCACAGACGTTTTTGAATCGCAGCTGGATGCCCGGAGTAGAGAATTCGTTTCCTCGGCGTTTTTCTCTTTTAATGTCTGATTTTCAACAACTGTTTCAGTCTGTATAAGTATTGAAGCAATTTCAATAGAGTGTCAGATTAACATTGGCTTTGCCCTATTCCGCTCTTTGATTGGCCATACCTCTCAACCAATCCAATTCAAACCTCAAAGCAACGCTTACTCGGTCACTGGCAATCTCTCACCCTTAAGCAGTTTACATCTTAATTTATTTTAATTTTCATTGGCTTGTAGTGATATCTTCCAGCTCTATGACTGGCTGTCATGATTACTTTTTATACGACAGTCAATCGAAATGCGCTCTAACTCAACTTCATACTATCAAGTAAATTACACTCCTTCTCTTGTCGTACCTGGCCAAGTTAAAAGCATCATCAATCAATCCGCTCCTATCCACAGCAGCCAAAACCTAAAATAAACAACAGTCATTTGTTATCGTTATCACTGGATTTTCTTAGAACTTCATATAAACGTTTGGACGCGTTTGGTAATTGACTATGGTAATGGTAAAGGGTCAGAGTGTTCCGTTTAATCGGATCGAATTGAGGTTTTCGAGTCGAAAGCCGTTGGACAGTTCTTCGATGTATCTAGTCCAGACCAGTATATACATGATTATTTCCTTTTAGGGTTCAAACTTTCCCTTGATAACTCTCACTCAGCCAAGTTCTTTGTTTAATAATTTATCATAAGAAATATATATCGCATGATACATTCTATCTTCCTTTAAATTTGGAATGGAATGGAATTTTCACTGAGTGATTGACGATTGTGATTCCTTGCTATCGACTACATAACACTCAGAGGAAACGTGTTTTAAATAGCATCTCTTTACCTTGTGATTATTCTGGAGCTGTTTGACAAGATTGTTCCAGTTCTTTTTGCTGTAGTTTACACGATAAAATCCTGTCTGTCCAACGTTTGCCTTGATCCATTTGTACTTCTTGACAGACGGAACGTGAACTGTGAATAAATTAGAAAAGGATAGAATTTAATCTTTACTCAAAATATAGTCAACGTACACTCTCGCCTGATATATAACCCAACGTAAAGTAATATATTAATCGCAAAGGCTAGATTCGCATGGCAAAGATTAGTGACGCTTTCATTTAAATTTTCAAATCGACTTTTTAAGTTTACAATCTCACATTCTTATTTATAGATTAAATCTCTCAGTTATCAGTTACAGGAACACAATATTACTCATTGTAGCACTCCTGTATTCTATATTCCGAACAGACAAAAAATAACATCGTCAATTTTACGAATACGAAAATGGACAACCGCATACTAATTTCAAGAGCATATCCACCTTATTTCCAGTCCTCACTCACCATTTTCCTTCTTCATCCACACCGTATGTTGCTTATGAGGGTTTTGCGACGTCACATATGTCAGCGGTATGTGCCATTGATAACTACAAAACGTATCCAATAAACGTGGACACAAAATGTACATATATAAATTTCATGAACTATATTTCAAGATGACGAAAAGAAAACCTCGTCATGTTGACTACTGAATGATTTGAAGCATATGTCTGAAATTAATTGACCAACCTGACTACAACGTAAACTGTAAATGCCATAAGTTACGACTTTTAAGTTACAATATCAAAGTTTAAGATGTCTAATTTGAGGTTTATCGTTATTTATTTCCTTTGTAAGGTCAAGCTCCAGTATTTCAGTCCAAAACACACCCTTTAGACTCGTCATCGTATTGTTTTGTTCCTTGTTTAATGTCTCGTAAGAATCGTTTCTGAGTTGCGAACAACTTTTTAGAGCCATCTCTCGCTTGAGCGCTATTCTCCGCGATGTAGACCACAGGGTACCCTTTCTGTTTAATCCATGTGTCCATGATAGCTTTTACATCGAGATCCTTGCAGATCTTAGTAAAAAAACAAAGGTAAAACACCTGAATTTCCTACAGGTACACAACTGTTGGGAGCACAGAAGAAAGGCTTACGTAAAATTAAAACTAGCTACTTGAGGTTTGTAAATCTTACTATATTCAGCCTGTTTTCCTGTTCAAAAGTTGTGACCCGAGTCAATCTTGTACATTTTCAGCCCTCCCTGTTCCTTCTTGATTCATCATAATTGCCTCTTTCTTTTTTTTTTTTTTCCTTACTGAATCCTATGTGAATACTAGCCTATTCCAGGCTCCAGAGTGACCAGTAAAAAACGAGAGGAAACAAGGGCTACGGAGGCAGTGGTCAGACGTCTGCGCATATGCTAACGTTGCAATGATTACGTGCCGCGCTTTCAGGCTATCAGAACCAAGTTGTCTCGCACGAGTTACAAACAAACACACAAGCCAGTAAGTCCCGGTGTTTTAGAGGCGTATACCCTTTTTGGTAAAGCTCAAAACGGAACGGTAACTAAACAGGATACCCGCACTTGAACAAGCTTTGAGTACGAAAAGTCTCAAGTTTACTCTTTCCCTATTTTTTTTTTCACATACAGAATTTTATAACCGTTTCAATTAATGTTTGCTTATTTTGCCGGACTGCGATTGTTTCTTTTGCTTTCTTTTGAAATTTTGGGCGGGAAATTGGTGCGCGGGCTGCTAAAATTGATCTCCAGCGCATGCTCAACGTGCGCTCTCTTTCTGGCTCGTCTCTGCTGACCGAGAACCTGACCCACCATAAAAAATGACAAAATATTTTGGCGCCTTTCAGCATGTTTCATCTGCATATTTACCTCACTCAAAGCGCTCCATAGGTCATCAGCGGCTGCATTAGCATACTTGTGACGATTCAGATAAAGCTGAAAATAAAAGTGAAACCAACAAATTGAGATTTAAGGAAATTTTTAAAGGATAAATTCATGGCCAATTGAAAGAATCAGTAAACACCTCCAATCCTTTCTGGAAATTCTTGTCTCCAATAAAACTTCTAAGCATACGAATAATGGAAGAACCCTGCAAAAGGAAAAAATGAGGTAAGTGTTGAATGAGGCAACCTTTAAAAAGTATAAGAGGGAGTATTGAGCTATGGTTACAGAATAAAATTACTAGTAACTAGAGATTCATACCCACGCACTGTATAGACAACACCCACCATAAAATGGAGACACCGCCCACAAACATGAAGTACACCACCTTCCGGACAAAGGGGGAGGGAGTCCCTAGGATGCACGTGACTACTCCTCCCCCCCCCACCTCATTGTTTGTTGATAACTGTGATAATCTGTGATACTATAAATAACCTGATGCCATTGTAGCATCCCCACGTCTTCGAATGGAACATCCACCTTACACCGCTGAAACTTTCACTACTACCCACCAACGTCTTCGTGTAAAACACGTTGTAAAATCTTATCACACAAGGTGAATCTTGTATTGTAGGATCTTACTTTGTCATAAGAGATGCTGTCAAAGATCTCCGTGATCTGAGAGGGATTCTTGACCGGGACGGATATGGGGTGTGTGTTGGCCATACTGTCAGCGGACAATGCTGTCTGTAGTGTGTGTGCAACAAACTGCTCCAGCTGCAACATGAATGAAGAAAGAGTCAGAAAAACAAATGAAATCAAATCATACAAAGGCATTGATTAAAAATAAAATTTAATCGCGACATGATCGAAAGGTATGCAGCTTGAGGTATGTGCTTCTCTGATTATTCAACTACAAAAAAAACCGAGTATGCATGCGGGACTGACTCAAAAGGCCTCTCGTGCTTTTCCTGATTTCTGTACCATGGGGTAACAGATAGGAGTCCAGAGCACTGACAATCAGGCAACCGCGTCTTAAAAACCGTGGTGTATTTCACACTGCATAGTGAATGGATATGGCAAACGGTTACCCAGCAATGCAGCAATTACATATGGAACCGCATTGACTGAAATTACCAGGCAGAATCACTTTTGATGCTTTAACTTAGTCATAGAGCCTTAGAATCTCACGGCAAAAAGATGCCTCTCGATGCTGCAATTACACAAATAAAACCTGATTCACTAAAACTGTGCCGTGAAATCACGTATGACACCCTCAGATCAAATCACAGTGCCTCAGTGCCTTACAATCCCAACATCCCTCGTGCTGCGCTATGCTATTCCGTCGGAGCGTTCTCTGATATTAAAGGTTCAGCGAAAGTGTTCCGACAATTAATTAAGCTACAGGACCTATTCACAGATAAATCCGCCTGTGCATTCCTTTAAGCTACGTAAGAAATCCAACTGCAGCGCTCCCCGAAATTCTTGTTCTATATCACTACTAAACTTGCACTGTGAGCACTTTTACGGATTCAAGCTTACCACTTTCCAATCCTTTCGGAAATGATCCGTTCCGATGTATTCCACATAGTTAGCGAAACCTTCGTTGAGCCACAAGTCGTTCCACCACTTCATAGTGACCAGGTTACCAAACCACTGGTGCGCAAGCTCGTGAGACACCACTACGGCTACATCCTGTTTGTCAGCGGCGCTGGCAGAGGCCGGGTCACTCAGCAGGTAAGTTTCGCGGAAAGTGAGTAGTCCCCAGTTTTCCATCGCTCCAGCCGCGAAATCAGGCACAGCAACCAAGTCTGCGGAGTGAAAAAAATTATGAATAGGAAAACGTTTAGTTTGAAAGTTTGACGCAAAAAAATTCCAAACATATATCAATTCTCTACTTCTTGAGGTCCAAACTATTTCTTTTAATAGAGAGTTTACCGGGGAGCTGGAACGGGTGTGCAAGGTTCATATCTTCTCGTGGGATTCAGTTTTTCCTTTGTCTCCCTGTGGATCAATAAATTGAACATATCTCTTTTAACATCTTCAACCTACCCATCTTAGGCAGAGGGTATGGTATATTGAAGAACTCCTCGTAATAATTCAGGACGTTTTCTGCCACACTGACAGCCAATCTCGTGCTCTCGATAGCATCCTTTCTGGACCAAACTCGAATCTGAAAGAAAACATCAAGTACTTGTACTAAACAATAATGCATTTACAAAGAACGAGGAAACTTTGAATTAGAAGACAAAAGTTTTTTGAACCTTCTACTCAGTGGTTGTCCTTTTAAATGAGCCACGAAGCGTCCGTGACGCACGCTTATAGAGGTGACGAGAGAAGGGAAAAAGAACAGAAAATCTTCTGCGGCCGAGTAAAGTTGTTTTAAATTGCCACCTGATTTTATGGGAAGGAGTACACGAGTACACAAGATTTGTGGTGTATTTTGGGCGCAATAACAGGCATCAGAAGAGATCTGCTTTTCCAATTTAAGCTAGTCAGAAATCTAGAACAAACTCATCTATCAATTCAGACCCTCTCTATAACAAGCCCCTTCTATCTAATATGGCCCCCGCTGTAATACGACCCTTCTGTCTTAGAAGACCCCCTTTCTAATAAGTCCTTCCCGCCTTCTAAGACCCCCTCGCTCTTAGTCCCCTTCTCACTAACGGGTCCCCCGTCTTGGGACCCCCACAGGGAATAAACTATGTGAGGATTTGTGAAAGCGCTGACGGTTAGCAAAAGTAAGCAAAGGACAACTGAGAAATGCAAACATTTTATGGCTTCAATGACACCAACCTTCTTCCCAGCTTTAGAGTGCGTTTCCTTGTAAGCAAAATCACACACGATGAAGGCCAATAAATAAGTACTCATCTTGACACTCTCCTTAAAGTGGCTCTCCATGAAGCCGTCGTCGCGTGTGATGACCTTTTCCACAGGCATGTTGGAAAGGGCTGAGTATCCCTTCTCGTGCACCAAGGTGACGATGAATTGTGATTTGAACTCGGGCTCGTCAAAACAGGGAAAGGCGGCTCGGGCGTCCGTGGCTTCAAATTGGGTCGTTGCCATGTACCTTGAAAAAATGAATGAACAATTAATAGTTGAGGTGGTTGTCAACAAAGCGATCTACAAGAAAAAAAATTGCTTCTACATCGTAGTTCTTAAACCGGTCCCACCCCACCGCATTGACAGAAACAAGTCAAAAGAGCCACTTAGTCCAACGAGATGAAACCTCCGTCACTAAACTGTCATAGTCATGTATGACAAAAATACGTCCATGAAGAATCTTGCCCTGCTATTAATCACCAATTGTTGTTAGCTTTATTTTTTTAACAATCTAATTGCTTTACCACAAGCTTATAACCTGCTTGGTTATATGCTTCTGGCCTAATTTGATATTGAGAATTAAAGAAAAGTCTGCGTCAGGAGATCACCGTGAAAGGCATTTATGAATAAGATAATTACGCAAATAATTTCTAGCGAAACTGTTGTGTTTTGATTACGGGTACATGTTAGTTGCGTATCAACGTGAAATTACTCAAGGTAAAATGACACCGGGAATCTCGAAAATCTGACGTTCAAGCTTAAGCCCCTGTTAAGGCTTCAACAAAATTTTTGCTCCGACGGAGGGTTAAGTTAGGTTAACTTAAGTTAAGTTAACTCCCAAAATCTGATTGCAAATTCTCCCATTTAGCATGTACACATTTCCTTGTAAATTATTACGAGAAGTTGGTGTCAGAGCAAGATGACAACTTCCACCTGATAAGTTTGAAAACTCTCAATACCTTTTTGCTGGATAACCTATGGATATTATTGGGAGACGTTACATGTTAATCACCACTGGGAGTGAAAGGGTTAAGAATAGAAATATTACCTGACTTCTCCGCTCTTGGTCTTGTACGAACTCTTGTACAATCCTGTCATTGTGTTCGACAAATGACCATTAAATTGAAGGTTCACAGTGTATTTTTCGCCTTCCTTCAGCTCATCTTTCATCTCAACCAGATATTGCTCTAGCTTCTTGCTTTCTGCCACTCGTAACACAGGAAGGTGGTTGCGACTAGAATCCTGAACACCATAGCTTGTGATCTTTAGGTGTTTGACATGTAGAAGAATATTTCTTGTCGGTTTCTCGCATACCACATCGATTTTCACCCCTCCGTGAAAATCGAAGCTTGATAAGTTTGGATGAAGGTACACTTGATATCTTTCTGGTTTTACATCCTTCGGCAATAGGATGTGTTTGTGCGGGAAATCTTTCTCGGTCTCTGTTGATCGGGCAAATCGATCTCCTGTGACATAGTTCACGGCTCGACGATAAAATTCAATTTCGCTATCTGATGCATGGACGAATGCAGAGAAAATGAACAAGACAACTGCACCAAGAGCAATGAATAAAGTTAGAAAGATCGCGCACAGTTTCCCATTATAGAATCGATTTCCTTGATACTTAACGCGTGATCGCGAATTTGGAGATAAAGATTCGCTGCCATCTTCTTCCGGAGCGGCTCTATATCCCGCTCGTTCGCGCATCATTAGTAAAAATCACAACTTTTGCTTTTCTTTTTTTTCCTTCCCACGCTTGTTCACGGTTTTGCCAGATCTGCCTATGGTTTTCTATCCCAATAAGATCATGCGATTATTTTAGGTGTCTAATTTGAGATATTTACAACGATCCCCAAGCAGCAATAGTGATGTAAACACAGAATCCACCAATAGGAAGACGGGCTAAAAAGCGCGCGCGCAACAAGATCAAATGATGTGTAAAAACATTAGGTTTTCGCATTAACCTATGGTAATGAAGCGTTTAAATCCTCTGTTAAGTTTTGTTTCTTATTCGATGATGCAGGAAAAACAGTGAGTGAAATAAAAAACTCCTTAAAGAGATGAATTTAGTTCACTCAAGAAAGCAGCAGGTTGACACAGGTGGCCAGCGCACTTCTCATTTCCGGTTCGTGCTCGACTTCACAGATGCCCGCGAATAACTCTGGGAACCAGCAAAAGGAATCCGTTTGAAAATCTGGGAAGCACTGCGCACGTTCAAACTCATCTAACAAGAGAGAAATTTGTCTCCTGAAACTTTGCTCCGACTTGAACCGATGGTTATCAAGCTACAGGCGCCAATTTCGTATTTAGGATAAAACTAACCCTTTCGAAGGAGTAGCTAAATCAGTTAAGAAAATTGTTTTGGTGTCATGACAACAGATTTATTGGTACAAATACATTCGAAATCCAATTTTAAAAGAAATCTCATGGTTTTTTCATGTAAAGAAAGATAACCACAAATCATCCTTTGATGTTTATTTGAAAAATTTGTTTTGATCTATATTTTTATAGTATTACTTTTTTATACCTCGAGAGTTTCTTTTTTTGGATCAATATCAGTATCTGGGCAACTGCCCAACAACCCAACTACCCCTCCCCGAACCTAACATTAACCTTAACTGTTGTTGGGTTCGGGGAGGGGTAGATGGGCAGTTGCTCAGATACTGACATTGATCCCTACTTTTAAAGGAGTTGACCTGCCTTGAGTTACGGCAAAGAAATTCAATTTGTTCCGTTTCAGAGTTAGAAAGGCGACATTGAATTATCAAATTGTATTAAGCTACTCTAACTTCTCAGTCTTCTATAAAACGACCTGTCATTGACACCTGTTGCAAGCTAATAGATTTGCCCGACGAACCATTGACCGCAAAATCGAAAACAATTATTTAAAAAATCTGGGTACAAACGCTGTTATTGACCGTTGTGGTTTCATGGCGGTCTCCCGACTCTTTCCCCTCGCTTTGGCGTTTAGCGTGGCTTTGATCATTGCTGTTTCGACAGTTTACACTTTCATCAATGGATACAGCGAAGACTTTGGTTTGGTGTTTAAATTCAAGCGAAACCAAGAACCGTCCGTTAGACAATCAACTCTTGACAAGGGAATGCCATTCCCGCATACCAACATTCGCCTACCAAAACAAGTTCTTCCACTATCCTACCGCATTTACATCCATCCAAATTTAACAACGTTCAAGTTTACAGGCACAGTTAACATCTTACTTCGATGCTTTCAACCAACGAAGAACTTAATATTACACATGCGCGATCTCAGCGTTGGAGAAATACAACTCACAGATTCAAAACAAAAACGTTTAACGATTGTAAGACGAATGCAGCACAAGGAAAATCAACAATATTTGATTGCCACAAATGAGGAGCTCAAAGAAAAAGAAAGATATTCACTTAATATGGAATTCAGTGGAGTTCTATCTAAAAACATGGAGGGATTTTATCGAAGTAGCTACAAGACGAAAAGCGGACAAGTCAAGTTTGTGACCAATAAATATTTTCTCCTTACAATATTGATACATTTTTAAGCAGACATGTGATGAGAATGAGGAAAAATTATCGGGAGGGTTTGTTTGATTCAACACCAAATTCTAAGAAAGATTTTCATGAAAAATTCGATGAAGACAGTAGCGAGAATTGGGCAAATTGGGATATCAAGCGTTCATGAGGTCAAACAGCGACCAGAGATACATAAATTCAAACCTGAATTCAGTGCGTTGCCACGGGACAATCAACTATGCTTCATGATTTTTAATCTGTTCTAGTCAATCCCTGAATGTATCTTTGATTTCAAATTGCAGATACTTAGCCACAACTCAGTTCGAGGCTACAAACGCTCGCTCGGCATTTCCATGTTTCGACGAGCCCGCATTTAAAGCGGTTTTCCACATCACTGTAGCACATGACGATAATCACAAAGCGCTGTCCAACATGCCTCTAGAGTCGAGTGACAGAAGACATGATGGTCTTGTGGAGAGCCGTTTCAGTGCAAGCGTTCCAATGCCAACGTATCTGGTGGCGTTTATCGTGTGTGACTTTGAGTATAGAGAGTCAAAAACTAAGAGTGACAGAAAGGTAGGATAATTGACCTGGAGTTAAATTTCACGGTGTAAGGCTCCACAAGTAAGACTTCCAGGTCACAACTTAACTAATTACCAGGGCTTTCCATTCGTCAGAAGAGGCCGATTGGACCGTTATGTCCATAAATGGAAAGGGGCAGTTCTGACAACTGACGTAATTGAGTTTCAAGCTTCTTTGCTGGCGGACTAACCGCAAGATGCAATGAAGCTCTGAATGGCCATTAACAAAGACGATTATACAAAACATTACCAAACCTCAGGTATAGATAGTTCGTTTAATTTGGCAAGACTTAGAAAGCACCCTTAGTATCGTTAGAGGAAAGATTGTCAAGGATATCCTATCTACTTCTTTTCTTAATTGTGAATACTCCGTCCATTTTTTTGCACCAGAATATTTCAGCTATCAATCTCGATTGTAAAACTGCCATCTTATATTATTCGGCGGATGAGGTTTAGATATAGTCAAAATAATGCATTCAAGAATACAAATCACTTCAATTAAGCAGTGGAAATTACGATTATCCTGAAAAATTCCTGAATACAGCTTCTAACAATCGATATTTCCTTTAATTACCACCACAATTAGCCTGTGTTAAAATTGAACAGTCTCGAGACATATCTTTTTTTCTGAATTAATCTCATGAATATTGGAACACATTTTAGAATGAAGAAGGACATCGAAACCCTTTCCTTCGAAACAACAGGAGAAACATCTAATCGACATCTAAGTAAATCACGTACTGTGAAAGAGCTCAAATCTCGTGAAAAGCTTGGTGACTTAACAAAAAAAGCGGGGGATAAGTAAAATTCTAAGTTGCCTGCAAGCATTTAATCCTCATTAACTCCGAATGCTAAATCAGAGAACTCGTTGGTGATACACCAGGTTTAAATTTGATGCTTGTGATATTTTCTAGATAAGGGTGTGGTCTAAGCCTGATGCTTTACACAGTGTGGACTTTGCTCTCGATGTTGCCAAGCGCACGTTGGAATATTACGAAGATTTCTTCAAGGTTCCGTATCCACTTCCTAAGTTAGGTAGGTTAAAGACTGAGAATTATTACAATTGGTCCTTCCTCACTTGGTTAATAACTTCTGACTGCTCATAAGCTATTGCGAGGGAACATTCACTATTTATAGCACGGGGGGGTGGGGACAATTTTGGGGGGAGTTACAAGGTTTTCAGGAAGAAAGCTGAGGGATCAGTCGTTGCAAAAAGAGTATATAGAGGGAACTTAAGAAAATTGACCATCAGTTAAATGCCAACAAGGTAGGGATCATAAGAATTCTGCAGAACATTATGGGGGGATCAGGTAAATTTCATCGAAACACGACCAAAATATACCGACCCCTCCCTCCCTCCCCCACTCACCCAAATGATTGAGGGAGGACGCAAAGTAGACCACACCTAATTCACCATGAGGTCTAAAGTGAGTCAGAATTTCACAACAGCGTTTGACAAGTAATTCCTACCTAATATAGTAAATTATTATTTATGAAATCGTTCAAATCACTGTTTTACAGATCTCATAGCAATTCCAGATATGGGTGGTGCTATGGAAAACTGGGGACTAGTTACATTTCGTGAATCTGCTGTACTGTTTGATCCGAGCACCGGAAGCGTGGCTGATAAGAAACTGGTTACCATGATTGTGAATCATGAACTTGCGCACCAGGTACGGGCAATGTTTTCACCGCATCAAGATACTTGCGCAAGCAGATGTGTTGACGCCACACTCAATATTTTGTGTATGGTTCTATTTTGAACTTAGTGCGCTGCTACAACCAGTTACAAAAAAATTTTGAGACACCTTGAGCAAAAATGTATTTCCCGATTTCATTGAATGGCCAAGAAAAAATTTAGTGTAAAAAACCAATAGCAACCCCCCCTTCTCCAATTCAATGTTTTGTACAAGATACTGCTTAGCTTGCAACACTGCGACGGGAAAGGGGGGGGGGTCGCTTGGTGAACAGTTTTCCTTCTACTGGTCATATTTCACCACTACTTCTGCAAACGACCGTAACTTGTCTTAGTTCTTTGAAGTTTTTATTGGTTGTCGCCTCTTATCTTCGGTGATGAGAGGGGACAAAATTACTAGCTAAAAGGTGTTATATTGATATAACTCCAGCTTCTCTCTACCAATTCAGAAAGAAATGTATGGCAGCTAGTAGGGAGAATGACTAATCACTTCCATAAACAAATGACTTAAATACTTCTTTCTTACTTCTTTCAGTGGTTTGGCAACTTAGTGACAATGAAATGGTGGAATGACTTGTGGTTGAATGAAGGATTCGCTGTCTACATGGAATATCTTGCCACTGATAACTATAACAATCACTGGAAAAGGGTAAGAGCAGTACTTACCAATACTCTTAGTCTCCCGAACGTAACCTGCGGCCCTTCAGAAAAGTTCTCCATTGGTCCTGATCTTCAACAGATGTTACTGCATCTTTCAATGGCTACCATCCCATCATCCCCCGCTTTCTAGTACCTTTTCTTCTCCACGCCTCTTTGACTCATCTAATGAAAACAAAAGTGAAGAGTAAGCTAAAATAGATACCCACACTTTGAGGAGAGGTGTTTTCAAAAAATCACTTCCACAGAGTTTGTGGTGACGAAACGTATCTCTGTGCTTAAAAATTAGAATTTAGGTATTTTTTCTGTTATAGGAAGACCAATTCATACTGGATACGTCGAGAGAAGCTCTTGATGTAGACAGCTCAATGTATACTCATCCTGTGTCTGTTAAAGTTCACAATCCAGCAGAAATAAACGAAATCGTGGATAAAATAACATACCACAAGGTACGATTCCGAACTATTTTCAAATATCCGTGCGCTATTGTCAGAGATCTAACGACTGTGGCTTGCTAATAACGACTATTATTTCTCACAAATGTTTGATTTTACAGAGTTCAGCCCTCATTAGAATGATGCAAAACTTCCTCGGAGCGGAAACTTTTAGAAAAGGAATTCAGGTATTAAACTCCTGGGCAAATCAGGCATTGCTTCTTGTTTATTTCCGCTGATTTTTTTTCAACCTCCCATTTTATTCCTTCAGAAATTACAAAGTATAAACTTAATCCTCTACACTTTTTTAAAAGAGTTTTTCTTCACCTCTCGATTTAGATTTACCTAAAGGATCACCAATTTTCAAATGCCAAGGCGTTGGATCTTTGGAAAGCGATGAGTTTGGTGAGTGCTTAATGTATACTTCTCATTGTGTCGGCCCCCCCCCTTTTGAAATTGCTGGTGTTGAATAGATGAAAAACACGACAGAAAGTTTCGATAGTCAACAGCGCGTCAGACTTCTTAGACAAAGCTGTTTTGGTCTGCGGTAATTCCCTGTATTCTCATGACCTTAATGTATAACTCAGGATTAGTACTGTAACACAGAACAAAACCCAATAGAGCCTTTGACTTCATACACAGGCCACTGAAAATCATTTAGATGTTGCAACAGTAATGGCTCCATGGGTGAGCCAAAAAGGATTTCCTGTTATATCTATAATCAGCGACAACACTCAGAAAAAAGATGGCCGCTTGTCGTACACAGCGAGTCAGAAAAGATTCTTCCGAGATTTTACTTCGCAACATTTAAAAGATGGACATACAGAAACGTAAGTTTATTGTCATCTTTTCCGAGTGTTGGGATTTTCTTTATAGTTATTTTCGCACTTTGGAAGCATAGCAAATACCTTTCAATAGAGGTCACCAAGCCACGTGCAATAAAATTTTGGGGGCATGTTTAAACAATGCGTCAAACGTTGAGACTTTCTGTGCTTTTGATTTAGAGATTTGCTAAAAACAACTGTTCAACTGTTTTAGAATGGAAAAGAAGACCTTAGCGAAGATTTAAACCGCCACACGTTCTTGACTTTCGCTTTAAAACACTTAATTATTTTTGAAACTAACATCGGCCATCACTTTCCCAGACATTTCCCAACATTCTCGATTATGAAAAATATGTTTTGGCAGACTTTTTACTTCAAAGCAGCTCATGTAAACATTAACCCAAAGCTAATCCCAAAATCTCACATTTCTTCATCCCTTATTCAGACCTGGATGGTTCATTCCGCTGACATATATTACCAGGGATTCACATGATAGTATCAATACAGTTTGGATGAACAAGACTTCAGGTGAGAATTCCAATACTGTGTGTTCCCATTGACGTATCGTTTACGTTGACAATTAAGACAAAAACGTAATCATAAGCAGCCAATGAAATCCAAGTGCATATAGTTAAATGGCATCAAGTGCAGCAAAGACAAGAGACCAAGTCGCCACTGTTTTTCATCTTAGATTTGATTGGTTGAGCGGAAGTGGCTTGAGTTTTCTAGACCAATCACAGTGCACAGTGGAGGAAAACCAATGCAATCCCTGATTGCTTCTTATTCTCAACTAACGATTGCTCTGTTCCAGTCGTTCTGTCTTTGACGCTTACAGAAATATATGCTTTCAATTCCTAGTTACATTTCAGCTATCCTTCAGCGAGTCTGGTTGGTTTAAGGCAAACGTAGGACAAACAGGCTTTTATCGAGTCAACTATGACGAGGAAAACTGGAAAGGACTGAGTCAGCAACTGCTTCACAATCACACGGTAAGGTATCGACATCTAAAGTCAACTGTCAGTTGCAAGAAAAGATTTTTATGCACCAGCTACCCTTATCAATATTTGTCAGAAATCCAGCAAGTCGCAAAACTAATCACAGCAGAAAATTTTTGAAGAATATAACAAAACTGACGAAAAATCAAAGCAGGCGAAATATGCAATTTAAGGCGTTCAAATTGACCAGGTCTCAATTAGATTTGGCTATAAGTCTGTTTACGCGAGATACAAACGTAACAATCAAATGAAAGGACAGCTAAAGTTGCGCGCGATACAGACGTAACAATCATATGAAAGGACTGCTAAAGTTGCACGAGATACAAACGTAACAATCCAATGAAAGGACGGCTAAAGTTGCGCGCGATACAGACGTAACAATCAAATGAAAGGACTGCTAAAGTTGCACGAGATACAAACGTAACAATCAAATGAAAGAACAGCTAAAGTTGTGCGAGATACAAACGTAACAATCAAATGAAAAGACAGCTCAAGTTGCCCGAAATACAAACGTAATGATCAAATGAAAAGACAGCTCAAGTTGCCAGAAATACAAACGTAATGATCAAATGAAAGGACAGCTTAGGCTGCGCGAGATACAAACGTTACAATCAAATGAAAGGACAGCTTAAGTTGCACGAGACACAAACGTAACAATCAAATGAAAGGATAGCTAAAGTTGCGCGCGATACATAAGTAATAATCAAATGAAAGGAAAGCTAAAGTTGCGCGAGATACAAACGTAACAATCAAATGAAAGGACTACTAAAGTTGCGCGAGATACAAACGTAACAATCAAATGAAAGGAAAGCTAGAGTTGAGCGAGATACAAACGTAACAATAAAAGAAAGGAATGCTGAAGTTGTGTGAGATACAAACATAACTATCAAATGAAAGGAAAGCTGAAGTTACCCGAGATACAAACGTTACAATCAAATGAAAAGACTGCTAAAGTTGCGCGAGTTAAAAACGAAACAATCAAATGAAAGAACAGTTAAAGTTGTGCGAGATACAAACGTTACAATCAAGTAAATGGACAGCTAAACTTACGCGAGATACAATCGAATCAATTAAATTAAAGGAAAGCTAGAGTTACTCAAGATACGAAGCAGTCGGCGAGATAGAACCGAAACTACGAGCATGTTACGGAACGACAGCTACCCAACGTGAGATTCCAGCTTAACCGATTTTTCTTGTATTTTTGTCTTCAAGGTACTAAGTCCATCAGACAGGAGTGGTTTGATAGACGATGCACTGAGTTTAGCGAGGTAAAGCTAAACTTGATTTAATCGTAAGGGCTTCGTCTTTGGTTCTTTTGTGTTTGTTTGTTTATTCTTGTTTTGCTATGTTTTGTTAGTTGGTTTGTTTTAAGTTTGTTTTTTGAGTAGTGTGTTGCCAAGAGATGATCGAGTTAAGACACCGAATGGGTCATAAAAGCCATATTCCAAAGCGAATGCCACAGAAGTTATTTTTAGACTCCAGGCTGTCTGTTTTGAGGAGAATACTATCCGACTGCAAGTTATTTTCCTGATGGACTGTAAATGTTTTCGCGAATAGCGAATAGACATCGCACAGGTCGTCCACCTGAGTAAAATTCTCAACATAGGATTCCTTTCCAAATCGAGAACGAGTTTAAAATATCTACGATAGACGATAGACGATAGACTGCGATAATAATAGTTCACTGGGGACTCTCATCTGACGCCACTCTCGAGCAATGTAAGAGATGATAATTTTAAAGAGATCTAACCTTTAGAAATGTGTTGCAATGTAACTTTCAACATCTTAATTATTTTCCTTCAGAACGGGCGTGCTAGAGTACAAAATTGCATTTCAAATAATTGAGTATATCAACCACGAACTTGAGTATGTACCATGGGCAGTCACTCTGCGATCAATGGCTTACATTGGAAACATGCTGAGCTCAAGAGCTTCCTACAATCTGTACCAGGTAGCGGTCATTGATGGATTCAACCCATGAATCCAGAAAGGAATTTTTCATCGCTTGACAAAGCCTACACATAAAAATCATCCTCTTTTTCTTTTGAAAAAGGGCACGACTGTGGGAGACTGCGTAACCCATAAAAGAGGTTCATTCCCCGGAAATATCCGAATACCCACCATTAACTTAGTTGCTAGGCAACATTATAGTATTGGATTTCGCACAGGTCGCCAATACTCCCGTTGTTCATTGACTGGTGGGAAAAAACTTGTAAAATCACAACCGCCTTTTGCGAAGATTCATGACTTCCTTCTCCTAACTATTCGAAGTAATCATTCAAAAAATTTGTATTTATTGTAGCAAGTACTAACATTACCTCCTCCTAGTGCTGACTGGTAATTTTTTTAATTTTTTAATTGCAACAAGCAATTTATCGTGGAGAAAATAAAGCATTTGGGAATGATCCTTGGATGGAAGGATACGGGAGAACTAATTGACAAGTAAGAATTTACGTTCAATCAAATCTAACCTTTAAGATTGCTTGCTTGCGTGGAAATGAATTGTGACGTAATTGCACCGGGGATTGCGAGGCTTGGAGTATTCACATGCGACAACCCACTATTTCTGCGCTTCACTCTTTGCGAGCATTGATTTGGAAAAAAGGACTTTTTGAAGTCCAGTTATCACTCAGTCTGTTTTAAAATTACGTCGATTTTAACAAAGAACGGGAAACTGCTGAATAACACAGTTATTAATCTCTTCTTTTCTCTCAGATCTCTTCGTGATCTGACCCTCTCTACTCTGTGTTCACACGGTAACACAGAGTGCGTGAACAAGTCCAAAAAGTTGTTCAACGACTGGTCAAAGGTCAATGGGTAAGAGAAAATTGTGCTTGTCCTAATGTTTCTGTGATCTTTTTAAGAAGCTACGTCACTATATTTTGAATCTCTTGCCTACAACATGAATAATTAGTACAGGTAACAACATGATTTCGAGTGCAATTTGGTGTTAATAAGCACGAGTACATTTTTCAAATGCACATTTTATGTGTTTATTTACACCAAATTGCACGAGGAATCGTGTTGTTCCTTGTTAATAATTTATATGAAAAACGCATCACAGAAAGTCTAGAGGGACGAAATTTTGGCAGCACGCGCGCGCTACTTGTAATTTGCACTCGTATTAAAACTTTGCACATGAAAAATGCACTCGTTTTCAGCCAATCAGACGCGCTTTTCCCATGTACATTATCACCTTATTTACAGGCGTGTATTACTTTTTGTTGGCCCTAAAATTAGCATGATTCACATAACCGGAAGTAGAACATATTGAACGGCAAAACGTAGTCATATCACACGATATTAAGCTATTGAGATATATATTGTCTTTTTTGGATCGTTCAGTGGTTGTGCCATTGCGTCGCTACAAGGTACTCTGGTGAACTGCACCATCATTGAGTCGGCAAATCTGATTTACCAGGAAGAACACGAGTTCGTGAATTAATAATAAAAAAGACGTAGCTTACCTTCTGAGCGGCAAACATGAGTCATTCTTAACAGTAAACACCTTGTGCACATTCTATTTAAATATACATTGCTATGAGACTGTTCATTCATTCAAGTACTGGCGCCATTTTCCTTTTTCCCTAATAGAAGTCAGACAGCGGTTGACACGTAGGTGGTGTAACAGTCATAAATTTGACAGTCGCATACCACCGGGTCTGACGGGTTTACTATATTCTCGTAATCAATTAAAAACTCTTAAAAATTTATTTGTTTATAGAAGCAAACCCATCATGTCACACCTTAGGAAGATTATTTACTACACAGCTGTTAAATACGGAGGCCAAATTGAGTGGGAAATTTTATGGAGAAAATACAAGGAATGCAAAAATGCAGCAGAGAGAGAAAAGATTATCTCGGCTTTAGGTGCTACACGGGATAAAAACGTTTTGAAAAGGTAGGAGGCTCAAAACCCACATTATTCATTCATTCCTTCATTCGTTGATTCATGCATGCTTTCATGCATTTATTTACATAGGACTGAGCTCGGAAAACCCGACTTGAGAATGACAATGATAATGATGATAATGGTGATCATACTTTCAAATCGCATACGAGAGATCTCCTAGAAATAGACTGGACACTAATGAGTTGCGGAGGCACCCAGAGGGTGACACTAAGTAGCACAGGTCTGCTACTCTCTGACACACTGTTTCAGATCACTCCCGCAGTTATTTAAGGGCCTGTTAAGCAAGGAAGTAGAGCAGTGCATTTCAGTTACAACCCTAGTCCGTGAAATAATCGCGTGCAGTTTTTTAATAGTTGACTTCAGAGTGAATGCTCTACCAATTTCATTCCAAACCAAACGTTCTAGAAAAATTACTCTTGAAACTTGTTAACGAACTTCATGCAATGTCTTCCTCTGTGTAATAGATTATTAAAGAAAGTTTTGATGAGCAGTGCCGAGGTCCGCCCCCAAGACTTCATTCAAATTATTGGGACTGTAGCGAGTAACCCCGATGGACGATGGCTGGCTTGGAAATTTTTTGACAAGAACTTCAAAAAAATAGTTAAAAGGTATAGTGAATGAAACAATAAGAGCGATTCCTTTTTATCTTAGACTTCCTCAAAACTATTAAAAGATCTTTTTCCCTGATCTTTTCCTTTAAATGCGTGTTCTGAATGATATCCTCATAAAGGATGACTCGTCATGGGTGCGGGAAAGTTCTTGGCAGCTGAATGACGATTAATATTAATGTTGGTGAGACACGAGAAGGAAGTATTTTTATTTCTTGTAAGTTTTGATAGGTTATTACTTATGGTCTATTGGAGGACGGACGCATAGATGACATCACCAATAACAATATTTTTCTTCTTTTTTTTATGGAACATATAGATATCCTTGTTACCGTGCGTCTGCTTGGTAGCAGATCACAGAAGGCGTAAAAATGTGCGAAGAACGTTAGAGGCACACTCGCCGGCGCTTCGTGCGAAACTTTTCGCACTTACTACACTTTGACAACGTCTGTGGTCTTTTACAGAACGGCGGATGATGAATTCTGTTTGTTCAGCTCACTGACTGATTAAACATTTTTTCTCTAGGTTTGGTAATGAATCAAGAACAGTCGCATTTCTCTTAGAAAAAACAACAGAAAATCTCAACACACGAATAGACCTTAGAAAGGTAAAAACAAAACTTTTTGTAGAAGTTGTGTTGTTTCAGCAGCTACATAGACAGTCTTATCAATTCGTTACTGCATAATTGTTCAACGTCATTGCATTAGTAAATAAAACGAGTTTAAATCCCACAGTAAGCGGCCCACATAGCGCTGAGTGCATATCGATCACTCATCCTTATTTTCCCACACTGGCCAATCAGAATGAAGGAATATTTCGCATGGAGGCAGTGAGAAACCAACGCAAAAACAAGCAATCTGCGTGGTTTTAGTACTGCATCTGACTGATTGAAAGGTGCGAGCTTTCTCCAACAATTATAGAACACAGCGAAGTACAACCAAAGTAATACCGGATTTCTTTTGCCACGGAATCGAAAGTTGTTCTATTAAAGACATCCAACGAGAAGCGGAAGTGAATACAAATAATTGCCTAAAAAGCGCGACTGGTTTCAATTGTAGATCCCAAATGGAACGGCTTGCTGCCTTGCAGTGTAAACTATTTGAAAGTTTGTTTTTATTAATTCACATCAATGTTTTCATTTGCCTAAACATTATTAACGCCACTTCTCCACTCTCACACTCTTCTTGCAGGTCAAAGATTTCTTTGAGGAACATCAAAGAATGCGCCTAATTAAGTTATCCAGTAAGAAAATTCTAGAGACAATCGAAACAAACATTTACTGGATGTGCACTAAAATCCAGAAGGTGGAAAGGTGGCTCATGGATCGACAAAATAAGAATTAAAAGAGGAAATAAGATCAAAGACTTATGATCTATGTCATAGAAAATCTTTAAGGGGGCTCTGAACCATAGTCCCAGTTTGAAGTTGCTTGCATTTCAATGATGAAAGGAATGTTACTTGGTGCCACTCACAAGTGCCAAAGTTTATGTCCATCTCAAGTGTAAATAAGAACAATTGTGAATTTTTCAGATTTAAAATAGCTCACTTTTCATTGACTTTTTACTCAAGCAATTTTGAGTAAGTTTTGGTAATAAAGCTATAAAACAAAGTTATGATGCAACTCTATCTCACCTATATTTTAGAGCGCTTTGGGATGGTTTCAGCCTTCTGTCCCAAAAGAGGTGAAGAGGACAAATGAGGATGTCAGAGTTCATAATCCTCAAAAATTTTTCTCCACATAAAAAGATTATAATCAAAAGATTATGTGAGAGCACAAGGAACAAGGGAATCTAGAATACATGTCATCATTTACTTATTGTTCTTAGAAAGCAAGGTTAGATAAATTGATGGATGCTACCAGGAAGTTTTTAAAAATAAAATAATTATTCCACTTGCTAATGTTGAAAAAGAAAAGAATGAAATTAGCCAATTTCAGACTGCAAACCACCTTGTTTACAAGAGGCACAACTTAAAATGTATAAAGCAATCACTTGCTTCACCATTTTAAAAACAACAGCAGACAAACAATGGTTTTGTAGTTTCTGGCAATTTAATTAATAAATTCCTAACATGTAATAGTACCTTCTATGTTATATACATATATAATTAAGATTCTCACAATTCTTGGTACTTGAACAATCAAAACTCCAAAGACACTCTTGTTAACAGTTCCAAATGTATATAAACTCCTACTTTTGGACCTTCCCTCTATCAGAATACGACAATGGAGGAACATATACAACCAGAGTGGGCAAACCTCCTTGTCAAAACTCAAACCCTTATTTTATTGGAGACAAGTTAAGATTTGAGTCCATCGCAATGTCCATCAGACCAGAATAAATGAAAACCAGAAAACACTTCGACAGTGTTTTACCTTGTTTTAAGCATGAAAGGTAAAATATATTTTCAAATCACTAGGGCAGTCCTTTCATCTGTTGAATTTTCAAGAATTCAGACCCAGTTAAGATGGTAATAAGAAATACTACAGGCAGTAAATTTTACTGATTATTGCAAAAAAGGAGAATACTGCTCCAATAATTTTTTATACAGAAAGTTTTCAAAAGAAAAGAATAATTCTTCCCCTTCTTCAGCAATTTCACCAGTTAAAATCCAGAAAAAGTGTATTATGAAGAGCTACTTTCAAAGACAAAGTAAAAGACAAAATTATTCTACATTCAATAGGTAAAGTAGGAGATAAGCTAATAAATATCCATATGAATCAACAAGAAACACCTCAAACACCAAATAATCTAAAGATTCCTCACCTTGATAGATACAAAATAAATTTTTTTTTTAAAAAAAAATTGCTTTCTTGCTTACTGAGAAACAACTACCTATAAATTCTTAATTATGCCTTCAATGAGTTATCATCAAATGATAGCAACTGTTGAAACTGATACATATAATTTACTTCTTTAAACTGTACATCAATCACCTCAACAGAGATTTCATTGTTACCGCCTTCTCTTCACAGATGAAGGGGGATGAGGAGATGATGGCTGTGATGAACTTGCACTGTTCACTTGTCGTGTCCTTTTTCTCTTTGGTGATGAGTCAGGAGTGGATGCATTTGGTGAATTACTGGCCAACCCTTGAAGTTTGAGTTTAAGAAGAGCTAAAATCAAGATCACAATCTCCTATTAGGGAATTTAGTCTTAAAATCATGCTGATGCATATGAATGAAAGTTACACTAAATTGATGGAGAAGTAGATATGGAGCAAAAAAAAAAAGAAAGAAAATTTCATAAGCCATAGGTATAAACCCTTGACACTATAATGCCAGTAAGATAAGTTCTCCATACTTACCTCCATACATTTCATATGGTGTTGCTAAGGAGAATTTGTTTAACAATCAAAAATATCTGTGGTTCAGGGGTAATATTGTCACTAGTCACTCTAAGAGATCAAAGAGTAAATGGTTTCTTGACCCTTTCACTCTCAGGAGAGGTCGACAAGGAAAATCTCCTAACACCATCAACACATTATCGGGCAGACCAGTGATGGGAATAAAGAAAACTTTCAGCAAGGAGGCTGATATGATTTAAAAATAAATTGGAAATTGTAGTATTGAAAGGAATTTATTAAACACAAGAAATTTAAAATAGTCAAGATCTGGGAAACAAGGGGGTTGAGACAATATCCAACAACAGTAGGGATACAAATCTGAATTTTAAACTATTTCCTTTTTTTTTTCAGTTTTTTTTAACCTTGGGTAAGCAACTTAATTTATCTGTTTCACTTTCAGGGTTTTTTTCACTCTATCGTATAAAATATTTGATCTTCAACATTGTGTCAAATATCATGTCAGCTCTTTTTAAAAATTTTTGTCCAACAATTCCTTTGCTTACCACAAAAATTGATCACAATGAAAATTTTAATCATCCAGGGTTCACAGTAGGTTGTAATTTTTCAATATATGACTTACTTTGATTGCATTTTTATCATATTTTACAGAGACAGATGTAAACTAGGGCAAAGTAAAATTAATTCAGAGTTAAAATGCACTTCTAGGGCACCTTATGGTTCTTCTCAATGCCCAATTTTGAACTCACAATTTTCCTTGGAAAGGAAAATAATTTCTTTTTTTTTATTTCATGATCAATTTGAAAAAAAATAATAGAAAATTGAAAAACAACCTAACCCTTTAGTCCCTTAGATCAGTTTGCATATTCTCCATACCTTCCTCTATACATTTCCTACAGTGCTGGCAAGGAGAATTGTTCAACAGTTGAGAACTTCTTTCATTGGTGATCATTTCTTCTATTCTCATGAGAAAATGTTTGATTCAGGGGTGATATGTAAGGAGAAATTAGATGCTAGTCATTCTTAGGGGTTAAAGCGATAAATAACAAGTCTTATTCTTTACCTGTCATGCCTTCATCTGCCACAGCAGAGGATTCAGATGCCGATGAATGAGGCTTTGCATTAGACTCAAATATTTCATCAGGTAAATTAAATTCTGTTTCATCATTTGGAAATGGGAGGTTCTCAAGATCATCCTGTATTCATGAAAAAAAAACATAAGTTTCCTCCTTCTTTCCTTAGATAGAAATAATAAAACACAATTAAAAAAAATTCCGATTCCACAGTTCTCAATTCCTCTCTCATAGTTCCTAATTTCCTGATCTAGTACCCAGTGCACTCTCGGTTCTTAAACAAAACATTCGCCGAAAGGACAGATTCAAGAGACGATTTAGCTGGGTAGCGCCCATTCGACGCTTACCATAAACAAACAGAGAAATAATGAACAAAACAAAATAGAAATAACTTAAGGACTATTAAATTGTAAAATTGAACTTCCTTATCCTTAACATAAATCATCTCTGCAAATTGTGAAGAAATTCCAACGAAAATTTACGAACGTAGTCGGATGGTAGTAGGGTTAGATTTTCCTTAAATCAACAGACAACGTTAGAAAAAGAAAAAGTATCCTGGTGAGAATACTCACCAAAGCTTGTAGATTGTACAATTCTTGTAAGTGCTCCCAGATTTGTTTCGAAGAAATATTTCGTTTCCCAGTTGACGTCGCGAATTTGTCGTGAATACACGCCATATGAAAATGTCGATTTATTCCTGTAAAACAAAGAGAAAACACTTTTACAAAATTCAGTGACAAAAACTCCGTTTGTAAATAAAACGCAGACTCACCGACTGGCTTGTGCCCTTTCATGGAATGAAACAAACTGACTTCGAGTTCTGGGGTCCAGACCAAGACTTCTTCTGTAGACGCCATCTTGATTTATTGTTAGAAGTGCGCATGCTCGACTGGTGCATCTGCTGGCAGAAAGGCTTTAAAAGTAGGCGCGCAACTATCCACGTTTCGAACCGGCTTCTTCAAAATTTGCACTGCGAAGAGCAGCAGTCTGCCCAAAATGACTAGGAAAACTGTCAGATCTATCCTAGAGCTGGGAGACTTTTTCAAAAGCGGAGATGGAGGAGCAAACTGCGAAACATGGGGTCCATTTAATCGAATTTTCAGGGTATCAACGCAGTCTAGTCGAATGACTATACCCAAAAAGTTTGAGGAGAAATTGACTCGGTGGTTCAAGCTCCCAGGCGACATAAATGATGACCAATCCATTAAAAGAGCGGAATATCAAACTGTTGGTTGGTATTCACAAATTTCATAGAAATGTAGAACTACTGTAAAGGTAAAACTTTGTCTATTAAAATAGAATACCTACTACCCCCTTCCTTGTGGAAGTCTGTGCTGACAGCCCCTCTGTTCAATTCCTATCCCTTAGATGTTACTGAAATAGAGATTGCGACGCCTGAATAAAAAATAAATCACGATTATGACGTAGGGGGGGTTAATCAGTTAAAAACCCAAAGAGTTTTGACAGAAGCTTTGGGTGAAACTGGTGTGATTAGTAGTGTGAGGAATATTGAGGATTCTAGCAGGGTTTGTTGAGGTATTTGTTAGGGTATTTGTAGAAAACGTTCCACAGAAACATTCAGGAAATGTTTAGGAACTGGATTAGAATAGTTTCCTTTGATCCTTTCTGAGGGAGCATCGGGTGATATTTCAAAAGACTAGCTACAGGGGAGATAAGCCACAGGGGAGGGAAGATCACAAAGGCAAAATTATTTATTGCCCAACTCTCACATTTGCAGACTGAAGGAAGGATAAAGGTGACCCTGAAAAAACATAATCAAATTTTTTTTCCTTTATGTAACCTGGAAATTAGATTTGAACTAATAAGAGGAAAGAAATGTCTACTTTAATGATCATACCATCCTTGAAGTCTCCAATGTTTATGAGCAAAGACATGATGGATCTCTTGTGGCCAGTTGTGGAAGTCTGCAGAACATTGTTGGAAATCTTTTAAGTGTCTGTGGATATGATGAAGCTCTTTGCAAAAAATTGTGCATCATCAACTAACCTTGTGATTTTATCTTAAATAGTTAGAGTATTTGACCGCTGGACCTGCAATCAAACCTGTTTTAATGGCGCAAGAGCCCTTAGACCACTTAACAATGGGGAGACAAACCCTGTTACCTCGGAGTCTGCAGAAATGCCTTTTGGTTCCAAAGTACCAGAGTGTGACTTCTGCACACCACTTGATTATACTGCAGCAGGTAATACCATGATGTTCACATATTGTAATTATCCTCTTGAAAAAGTCTGAATTATACCACATTATATGATTTCAGATCAGTGGGGTCGATTGGAAAATGCAAGTGGTTTGACGGCATCCAATGTTGCAAAATATGATGGATTGCATAGTATGGTTGTATTCAAGGAACATCCACCAAGCCTTATGGACAAGGTCAGTGGAAGTCTTTTTACTTATTTATCTTCATCATAAATAGAATTGGTCTTTTTCTTGTGGAAGTTTAGTGACAAGCGGGCAAAACAGGTGCTCCTTCAAGAGGTTTTTATATATGGAGGCCAAAAAGTAAATAACCTTTAACCTTTAAAATCCAGAGGTGATTAACAATTGTAACCTCTCCCTATCATATCCATACACTACCCAGCAAACAGGTAATGAGAATATTCAAACTCAATCAGACCTTGGAAGTTAATTTTTTTCTGATTTTTTATCCGATTTTAGAGAAAACTGTGTGATATTTTGGACTTATGTACTCAGTGGTTTGAAGTTACTCATAAAAACAACCCACTGGCAATTTACCCGATCATGAACTGGAATTGTCGTGCACGAGCTGGAGCTTCACAACACCATGGACACTCACACATGTTACTAGCAGAGAACTTCCATTATGGGCAGTGGGAACGCTTAAAACAGGCTGCAAAACATTACTCAACAGAAAATCCTGGCTGTAACTATTTTGATGACCTTGTGACTGCTCACAGAAATCTTGGACTTGCAAAGATGTTTGGAGAAGCTTGTGTGTTTGCCCATATAGTACCTTTTTGTGGCTATGAGTTTAAGGTCATCTCATGGGACTTTGATGATAACTTCAAACAGGCAATCAGTGAAGCAGTGGAGGCACTTATTAACAAGTTTGGTGCAAAATGTTTCAATTTGTGCGTTCACTTTCCACCTCTTGAAAAGGGAAAGCTCAGAAAAGTTGCAGCAGCTGAAGAAGTGAAAAACAAGAGTTTGGAGATCGGTGAAATTGCAATGCCTTTTATGGCTCACCTTGTCGACAGAGGAGGAGTAAGAAATTCATCCTCTGATGTTTGTGGAATGAGGATTTATGGAAGTGCCATAGTCAATGAGGATCCCTTTTCAATTGCACAACAGTTAGGATGGTCAACGTGACCTGAGTTTCATAGTTTTTTTAAAAGTGTATTTACAAAAAGTAGATTGCCTGATTATTTTCTTAAAACTCTCCTCATCATCATCTGTACTTGACTATTTTGTACCAAGAAGATTTACTATCTCACAATTTTAAAGAACATTTTTCAGCCAATAACCAGTTTAGTACTTCACAAGAGAATTTTTAATGTACATTTTAAACTCAGAGAGCCATTTATAAATGATGATATCTTTTGGCTTTGGACTTTTAAACCATTTATTGTAAAATTCTGATCAAGCAACCAGCTGATTTAAAATTTTTCTATTGTAGCCATGTAATGCAATCATTAGTTTCAATTACTGTAGATAGGGCAGTTCTGTAACCTGGCTTTTCAGACTAAGTATCACATCATTAAGTTATGTAAATTGTTTTGAACAATTCCTGTAAAGATAAATATCTATAAAAATTTCAAGAATTGATTTATGAGATTATTTATGGTCTCAATATATGTACATGTATGTACAGACTTTAATGCTTTGGTTTAAATTAAATTTATTAAGGTATCTTGTTGATTTAGAGTTGAACTGGTGCTGCTGAATTAAAACAAAAATCTTCTTATCCAGTAAGTTTTATTTCTATGCCACTCTTTAAACTCAAAGACAATGGCTTTTGTTGATGAATAGAACTTACCAAAAATTAAATATAACTTCAATTCAACTTCTTTACTTTGTGGAGGTAATACATTTGGAAGGAAAGGGTTCATGGTGATTGAACAGACTATAAGTTTAATATCTGACGTTTGGCTGATAATCTGGAACAGCGAAATAACAGGGCAACTTGAGGACTGTCTACACAGCGTGTCAATGACCATTGAACAATGATTGGTTAAATTAGGAGGAGGAACATTATGAGCTGCAAGACTGATGTGCTCTTGTGCCAAAAAAAGTTTCCTTTCAAAAGCCATTCAGTGTAGAAACATCAATAAATCCAAGGGAATGCTCTTGTTAAATCTGCAATAGTCCTTTAAAGAACTGTTTTTTTTCAAATTTCCTCTTATTTATTATGTATGTTTGCATAATTTATAAAAGATATATCTGGGAATTCCCTTGAAACCTGAAAGGGATCTAAAAAAAAAAAAAAAAAAGAATGCCAGAGGTTTCTTTTCAATATCATCAAATTACACTTCAACCAAATCATTTCTCAAGCTTTTATTCAGTAGACCCACTACTTCTGTTACATTGCACAATATTTGCTACCTCCCTGACTTACAGTCTTCTAAGTATTGTTAACAACTTAGCTCAACAGCTACCTTACTTATCTCTGATACTTTCACAAAAGGTAAGAGAAATATGAAAAAATTAAAACAAAAACCTTAATTTCCCAAGGCACAAGAATGAATCTGAACTCAAATGATCGAACACTGTCATCCAACACACCTGAGCATTTAGCAACCTCTCATGTTCCCATATTTAATGTATAGCTGTAAACCAAACATTTCTATTCAACACTTTGCTTCATAAAAAGATGTCTGATTGTTTAGCCACCATATGATTTTTGCCAAACAGGATGTTGAACAAAAAATATGCGATTGCTTACCCCCCAATAGATTTGTGAAAGTCTGAAAATGAGAGACAAAAACTATGAATATAACATATGTTTTGGAGCTGGACTTGAAAAGTTCCAACAACCTCTTTCAATTAAACAATCTTATCACTTGTTCAACATTCAAAGCTTATCATCTTTATCGAAATCTCACATTACCTTCACCATTGATAATTTAAGTTTATTGGCAGCAATTCTACCATGCCTATCCATCACATTAAACAATAATCATTTCAAAGGTTTCCTCTTATTTAAAGGCAGTTAGTTTTCAAAACTGTCAATAGTACACCTTGAATGTACAAACTGGGATCTTCTTTATCAGTAGCTTATGCAGTAAATATGAAAACTGAACAAAAATTAACTAGGTAATGCTTGTGAAGGCCAAGGGAAAGACAGAGCACCATATGCATTTACAAGAATCATTTAAAATTAAATTAATTGCAAAGACTGTAGGCTGAATGTACAACAAAATAATAGACTGAAAAACAATTGATGATTAACTGGTCGCAATTTTAAACAAACTCAGTTAAAGAGAAAAGATTAACTCAAAATATAACGAGATCAATACCCCTCAGTTTCAAAAGATTTAACACCTCATGAAATACAGAGATGGTGTTGAGATGGATACAAGGAATCAGAGTGTTAACTGACAATTAACAGAACACAACTCCAGAGAACTGCATGAAATTGTATATCATCACTTTGACCCTTTGGCAAGAAATGACAAGGAAAATTTTTTAATTTATCAATAGTATGCACTCAGTTGTAATATCAATAACTTAATTCAACACACTGACAAGAAGAAATTTCAAGACGGGTGTTCCAAAAATGTTTTGCACTGCATGATTCACAGTTCAAGAATAGTCCTTTTTTAATTCATCTAAGAATCAAAATGGCATAAAAGTTTAAATTTTATTCCAGGAAGTACATTATTTGCAATGTTTCTTACTGATATACAACTGAACCTCAACTGAAACTATTCATACACCTGCTCTCTGAAACAAACTTTTAGCTCACTATTTCCCCTTCCTTTTCCAGATATGAACACAAAGGGTTTTTGACAAACCCATACTTTTAGAAGGGGTTTGAGATTTGCTGTGCAACTGCTTTCTTTAGCACAGAGGCCAGAGTTACCACTTCTGTATGGTACATATAAAATTACTGCTTCAAAACTGTTTTTGGATTCTTGGTGACATGGCTGAGCTATAGCAACAGCCAAAAACTGGCAACTTTGAAGAAAATAACCACAACAATGATAATTATAATAACAATACCACTAGTATTACTCATGAAACTTTTAAAAATGATGATGATGATGATGATGATGGCAATTGCATTCCCCAGCGTAATCAGTCCCCCACATCAATAGAAATCATTGCACTGACAGAAACAATGATATGATCATAAATGAAATGAAAGAAACAACAGTTCCATACTTGATAGGGCTACATAACTAGCAAAATATGTTAAAGAAGATTCCCTGCTTTTCTTTGCATTTCTCTTTTCTACATAAGTTTGTAAGTTATGGGTTATTTGGGGTGGCAACAACAAAGTCGTCTGAAAGCATGGCGTAAGAATTTACAGCACATGTGCACAAGATTCCAATGTTTCTTCTCAAGCAGATAGCACATTATAATTATCAGACCACCACCTAGGATCTTTGCATGTATCGTCTAGTTTTACACTACCTCATCTTATAGTTATGTAATATCAAAATCAAACCATAACTGTCATAAGTTATTCCCTCAATCTTTAACTCCAACCCATTCCATTAAAAAAGCATACCAGATAAGGCTTGAGGTAAAGCTTAGTTCTTACACCAAAGATAGATTACATGCAAATGAATCTCATTAAAACAACCACATTTCTCTGGTTGCCCTTTTAAACGAATCAGTTACCAAGCGCAGGTACCGGTAACCAAATATACAAGATATTAATTAATCATATTACTATGATCATTATTTACATATTGAAAACATCTTGATTTTTCTTTATTTCCACAACTGATGGCTCAGAGTTTGGCCTGAGCCAGGGACTGATCCCATTGGATAAGCTCCATAGCCTGCCATGCCATTAGGAATAGGTCCAGTGGTGACAAACTGAGGATGCTGCTGCTGGGGAAAAGACATTGGTTGCTGCGGCATCCAACCATTTGAAACTGATGGCTGTGCAGATGCAAACATGTTTGGGTTTCCATTTGGCATATTCATCTGCTGAGGTGGCATTTGTTGTTTGAGTCGCATCTGTTGCATTTGTTGCTGAATCTGAGCCACCTGTTTGCCAAGAGGAAAAATATTTAACAATCCATAACACTCAAAAATGAGTTTGCAAAATTCTTTAATGGCCATACAGTACTGGTTAGTATTTTGAATTCAACAACCGTGCAAAAGCCAGTCACACCTGAACATTGCACTACAGTATCCTGAAAATAATCCAACACATGTTTTTCTTGAGTAAAATTCTTCTTACAATCAAATCTGGCAATCAAACCTTAACCACAATAACCACACACAGCTGCTTTATCAACTGCTGTTTACACTTTCCAACTCTAATCCTCTTTTATTTTCTAACCATCCAAATCCTTCACCATCTAGGGGCTTTTGGTAAGAGCCATAACCTAATGGAGTTTTGTGTGATATTCTGTACCAAGGATATGTGTATTTATGCTTTTTTCTAAGTGGAAACTACCATTGAACTTTCCAGCTTTTGAAAAGGTTGCCCTAGGACAGCCATTCCCCTCAAATATTATTAAAAACACAGCCATTTTGGAAGGCAGCACTATGCCCCTAGCTCCCACTAACAAACAGTAACACCTGACAAGAGACACATTACAAACCTGCTGCTGCTGCTGTTGTTGTTGTTGCATGAATGCTGGTTGACGGGGTACTCCCATTCCCACTGGCATTCCATTAGGGGGAACTGCACCCATGCCCTGAGGTGGAACTGCACCCATCCTGTTAAACATTGCTGGGTGCTGATTAGGGAGAGGCTGTTGCTGGTGTTGCTGTGGAGGGATGTACATGCCACCAGGGACACCATACATTTGAGGTTGACTGCCCTGTGTTTTTGGTGCATACAGTGCCATTATACTGTCTGTGAAAAAATCAACAAAAATGATAAAATGCAACTGCAACCCGGTGAAGTCCCCACAAAGTCATCACTACATTACCTGCCGACATACTGGACTCATAAATAACCTAACTAACTAACAATAACATTGTCACCCCTGATTTTAATCTTCAGGCCAACATCACACACTGAGAACACATTGATATGTTGTTAAAAGGATCGAAGATCTTTCACTCTTTATTTGTAATAATAAGCAAGAAACCTTAATTCAATGAGTATATTTGGGTATACAGATACGCCTACTGACATTTCAAAATAACTGTTTATTTCAAATCTAAAATGAGATAGAGAGACATGCAAATTGTATCTTACCTTTAGTTGACTTATTGGTTGTAGAGTCATCTTTAAGAAGAGATTCTTGGTTTGATTCTTGAGGTACTTGTGTGTTGAGCTGCTGGTAGTAATTTAGTAAAGAAACATTACCAAAACTTAGAAAAAATATTTATTGTCTACATCAATAACTTATCAGATGTAGTGTGAATATTGTAAAATAAACTTAATGTATTAATCATAGTAGGTCATGCAGCCTGTAGTCCTTAAGAGTGGCTGTTTTATGGACAGAGACAGGTAATTTTTGTTATGTGATTGGCTGTCAGACTAAAGTAGAAGAGAATATTCTATATTGTCACTTTAACAAAAGGAAGGTGTGATGTGAAATGGCAGAGGCAATATCATTACCTGCTGTGATTGGCTAAAGCCAGTGTCAATTGTGGTGTTTGCTTGAAATGCACCAAAATCAATCAGCTAAAACAAATACAAGTGATGCAAAAAATAAACAAACACAGTGGACAAAACAAAATTGACTGAAATTTAAAAGGCGTGACGATTCAGTCCAACAAAAAAAGACATGTACAGTATGAATGTAAAGAGCTAAATGTGGTCTGTTACATGCACTTTTAGGCTGCAAGAGTAGGAACCAAATTTGTGCTTAACTGTTGAATTAGTCCAGTGATGTGGACACAAAATATTTTTCATTCCCCTACAAAGGTGAAGTTTGTTGCAACAAAGATATCAAGTGGTGGAGAGCACGACAACTTCCATATGTAAAATCTCGAGTTAAAAAAAAAAATGAAAAAACTTAACCAACATAATGAACAAAACAGAGAAGGCAAGCTAAATTTCTTCCAATGATAGCCAAACTGTCTGAAAAACATAACATTCCCATGTTCAAGGGCCCACATGAGACACTTGTGTTTAGTAAACCCAACAACCTGGCTGGTGAAAAGACCACTGAATTCAAACCATTTACCTCACTCTCCAAACCAGTCTTGGCAGGTTGTGAAGCAGCAGGCATAGGCTGGGCAAGAGAATTTAGCAAACCAGCAGAACTGACTGGTGCAGGTGCTCGGGCTGGGGCAGGTGCTGGGGTGTCTAAGGACAGTAGATCAACCAGAGCAGCAGGTTTGGCTGGTTCAGGTGCTTTTACTGGGGGAGGGTGGGAGTGCGGGCGTGGTTGAGCCACTGAACTGACAGCAGGAGCAACCTTTCATTACAAAAAGAGAGAAAGCAAAGTAACAAATAAGTTACAAAATTTATTTTTTAAAAATTTCCTATCTCCAATAACTGAACAAACCTTCTTTCCTTCCACACCCTTTAATCTTCTGCAAAAAGACCTCTTAAAACATTGGGCTAACTTTCCACAGCACTTTGAATTACAAAACCTTTATTTTTACACTGCTTTTTAGTGGAGCAAAGTGATTAGGAACAGTATAGTTTGCATTGGTTCTACTAAGTTTCAATACCATCTTCTGCCCATTTTAATAAAAAGGCAAGTAAATGAATGATGATATGGTGAAAGACAATTTGCCTGTTAAGATGCATTATTTAGTTAAACTCAGTAAATTGAAATCAACCTCAAAACAAAACTTTAAAACCCAGGATTCAAAGGTGCCCGTAAGACAGTGTTGAGGTGCTGTCATCAACCAAGCCACACATAGCAGAAAAATTTCGGTGGCATCCACTGACTGATTCTAACTTCCAAATAAGAGGTACAGGTTCATGCTCAATCCAAGCCTGAATTCAAATAATTCATGATACTTAAACTTACTTTCTTTTCAGCTTCAATTTTAAGAGGGGTTATAGATATGCCTTCTTCCTTCTTTTCCCTCCTTTTCCTCTGTTTCAGAAACAATACATTTCATGAAGTAAGCGTACAAAAAAACTTGTTTACAACTTAACAACTGGAACCAACCTGAAACCTAACATTCTGAAATCTCGAATAACTCTCGAATAACTCCTAAGAAGGAACTGTAATTCACACCAAAATTTGCAGCCAAGCCACAATCCAAAGTTTTTTTCACAAATCCATGGATCTACATGATTCTAAACCAAATAATGTGATCTATTTTTTCTTTCTTTTTTTTCTTTAGAGGGGGGGGGGGCCACTAAATTTAGTGTTATAAAAAAATTTTGACTTCCCTCACACAGAAACTTATGAACCTCTATCATTACCTTGTCTGCAGATTTTGTTTCTTTGGCAGAACTTGAGGTGGATTTAGTTGGAGGTAATCCGTCTTTCTTTAAATATTGTTTTCGTTCATATTTACTTCTGATAAATGCCTCTACTGTTCTGTAGATTCCAAGAGAGAAAAAAAGAAAAACAACAAAAAAAAAATAGCAAATGAACAGTAGTCATTCATTCTATTCACAAAATGATTAAGCATTTTTTGGTAAGCAGATACGTTTAAACAATGAAAACATAATGCAACATATTCAAATGTAATTGTACAAGAGATGAATATAAAATGTAACAATTCTCGAAAACAAACATCAGTGTATTCCATTCCAGACGACTTACAGAAAGCAGACTTTATCATACAAGGAATGAGTCCAGTTTTTCTCAGTTTGTTTCAAACTAAAATTTTTCAACAAAGATGTCACCCTTGGTAACCTATTTTACCACCAGAAAATGCCTATTCGCCATTCGAGTTAAAATGAATTCGATTTTGTCGCTACAAACTTGAAGAAAACAGCTGAACTAGTGAGAGCATTGAGTAAAGTGGCTTTTGAAACTGCAGAGGGTAATCACTCGTTTAAGACTTCCTAATTCTTTTCCCCAGAATTGACGAAGTGCCAAAGAAAATTCGACACGTGTGGCGAAAGATTAGACGATATTAGACCAAATTAAACGATCGGTAAAATATGAAATTTCAAAGCACGCAAACGAATTGGAATGCTCAGTTATCGCCTTCGAAACGCGCGGTATCACGTAAACTATAACCAGTTAATGCCATCAATCCATTACTACCACAGGAACAATACCTAAACGCCCAAACAGCCCCGCCTCTCAATAGAAGACGAACATGTTTCAAAATCGGTGCATTGAAAATGGTATGAAACGCCATTGAATCGCGTCTACGGTTAACGACCTCAACGTGATTAGTTCATGATCAAAGTTACATCAAGACAATGTTGAATTCGCAACAAGTACGAAGCTAAATTTTGCCGAAAGAAAGTTAAAGCAAATTAAGCAATAAAAAGAATATGCTAGCTGGCAAACAAGAGTATTGACTGCTAAATTTAAAAAAGATAAGGCCAAACAATCGCAGTGATACACATGAGCGGTATTTTTGAATGGTACGAGTCAGTTTGCGGTCGGCGAAAGTCGGACGGCAGATAACATTCCCAAAATTCTGCTGCTCGTTTATTTCCCCATTGCTGAATGCTCTGAAAACGAAAATACTCAAATTCAAAGCGAGAATAACATCAAGACCAGCAGAAATATGAAATCAGTGGTTAAAAGTTCAACTTACGTCCATCTGTTCCGGAGTCCATGAATCAAGGTTCACAGATTTCACTCTTGATATATGTACCCCTAAATTTCGATGTATACCGGCACAACGAATGCACAGGAAAACACCCAGGTTCCACGAAGCCCATCGAGGCCCTAAACAAGAAGTTTAAAACTACATCATTCACCAGGAAGCATGAGGAGCGTAAGAAACAGAAATACTCTGTCACGGAAATAAAAGGTTGTACAACATTCCAAACTTAGTTTACCTTTAGCCGCGCAATCGGCACAGTATCTATTCTCTTCCTCTTTCAGTAACTCTGATAAAATAGCCTGATTTGTGTTCTGTGCCTGTCCTTTATCCCTCTGTGCTCTTGAAGACATAATGGACGCAGAAAGTCTTATCCGTTACGTTGTATCAAGCGTTCACGGTCAAGATGGCCGAAGCTCTTGCGTAAACCGGTGTGAGCCTGCGATCACAAATCGGTGGTGTGGTCTCTACGTCATGGTGACATCATTGTTTATGTCCGGCTTTCCGGATTGATAACAAATTTCAGACTGACAGGAAGATCAACTTTCTATTTCTAGAGCAGAAATCTTCATCCTTTACTAGAAAGGAAGGTGTAAATATTTCGATCACCATTCAGTTTCGGAAGTACACGTGGAGTCCAGGAGAAAGCTGGGGCCGGGAAGAGAGGAGTTTAGAGCAGACGCTTAGTTCAGACTTACGTGTTCTATTTGAGGGGTGGTTACCTACCTTTGCAAAAGAGGCAGTTTAAAGTAGAATGTAAGAAAATCAAGAAAATTAAGTAGGCTGTAAGAATAGCGAGTTCTCATATCACCATTTCACTTCGAACAAAGGAAAGTTTTCTTTCCGTCTCGGATGAAATGGCTTTTTTGTTTTGTTTTGTTTTTTTTTTACTATTAAACGTCAGTTCTAAGACAAGTTTACACCCTCAACATATTCATGATGTTCTCAATATCATTTTCCTGTACAACGTACTACAATATCGGGTAAAAAAATTATTATTAAAAGTTGTACTAGGCACAAAATATTTACAACTCCAACGCAAGAAGAATTTGGTGGCAGTAAGGCGATGTAAAGCTTGGTATGCGCCATAGTGCCTCACGGTCATATTTGACTTCCGTTTTCTGAGCTCTTTATAGGTTTTTAGTTCAATCAAAATCGGGTAACGTGCGTCAGCAGAGGCATTCACCAGGCATTACCTGCTGTTTGAAAATACACTTACTCCAGCCAATGAAATCGACAACGTATAAACACGCGAGTATTCCTACGCTTAGCGCGCGCAACTTATGTTTGTACGTTCAATAATGGGATACCAAGGAACCGGTGTTCCTGAATTTCATTTCCTCGCTTTACTACCACCAAGGGCTGCATTGCCGAAAGCTTTGGGAGCTGTAGAAGAGCAGAGGTTTCTAGCTCCCATTTACCGCCGTTTTTCTTATTAAAGAACCTGAAAAATGTTTCGTTCTCGTGAATTTCATGGAGCACTTCTAGGATTAAAATTTTAAACCACGGGATTATACGAGCGTATGTAGAAATTGATTTTTTTTCAATTGTCGTTTGCAATATGTACAGGTATCAGAGCTTCTTTCCCTGTTGTTGTTTTGTATTCAGCATGGACTGCTCTTGTCTTTGCTTTTCGGATTTGAAAGCAATCTTATTCGCTTTCTTTTCCATCCGTCGCACCTAGTAAACGAAAAAAAAAAAAAGACAAATTAAGTCAGTTCTGTTTATTTCTTTACCTTTAGGCATGGCAAGTGTTTGAAAACTAAACGCCGTCAAAAAAAAAACCTGAGCGCTTCTAAACAAAAAAATATACAGTTGTAAATGAATAAGTAATAAGAAAAGAACGCAAGGCGCAAGTTACTTTAAACCAAAGGATGTGTAGTTTGCGATCTACGATCTGCGGCATCAACCTCAGATTTAAGGAGACCAGAAAATATTATTTAAGTAAGAGAAAAAGAACAAATACAGAGGCTGTACTAGGCTAAGAAGGAACATGGATTGTCAGTGAGGATAGAGAGGACTGCAACTAAGGAGCTAACCCTTAAGGTCACTTTATTTCAAGAAACACAAACCGTAGCACAGTTGCGGAGTTTCCTGAGTGTTTCGCCCTACGCAAAACATGTGTAAAGAAATGTGGGAAATTCTTCATTCAAAAGAATACCAACCTTTCTATCGTTCTTGATTTCTTGTTTCCTATGTTTTTTCTCTTCTTTAGTTTCGTCTTTGCTTCTGACCGTGTTGCGAGAAACATGCTTTTCTGTCTCCTCTGTATCGCTGCGTTCGCCGGCTTGCACATTCTTGTTGGATACGCCGAATTGCGAAAGTACACCAAGTGGAATACCAGCCTTGGATAGTTTTATCGGCTTCACCTTAAAGGGAACCAAAAACAGTAAAGTAAAAACCGAAGTAGCCACAACAACCAATTATAGAAGAGGCAGCTATCATAAGGAGCCAATGAGAACTTAAAGTAGACACTCGTCACCGACGTAAAGCGCGGGAAACTCAAACATCATAAGGAACTCGAAGTAAAAATACCTCATCGAAATAAAGCGCGGGAAAGATAATCAGACCAGGCAATTATCGTAAGGAGCCAATGAGAACTCAGAGTAAACACACTTCACCGTCGAAGAGCGCAGGAAAGCCAATCAGAGCGAGGAAATTATTACAAAGGGCCAATGAGAACTCAAAGTAAACACACGTCACCGAAGGCAAATACCACAAGAAGCCAATGAGAACTCAAAGTACACATCCATTGATTGATTAGTTTTTTTCTAATCTGAATGGTCTACCAAGTGGTGTGATTTTTCTGAACCAATTACAATCCCGTATTAATGTTGAAAATTGTCAGTTGTCTTCTTGATTCTATCCTATCACAAAACAGGACTCATACGCCAAATAACTTTGTCAAACGGGAAAATAATCAAAAAATTCTTATAATTGTTAAAAAAAACCGTTTGTAAATTTATAAATAAGCAAATTAAAGTGACAAGAAACTCACCCTTGGAGTGTCTTTAATCAGTTTGGGATGATTGTACAGGTTTGAATAAGTACCTAATAGTGATGATGGTAAAAATTTATTTACATTATATTGTTAAAAGGCTAACATCTTAATCATTTCTGTCCTTTACAAAAAGTGACGAAATTGTTGTAATCTAAAACTGTCTCTCCACTTCTCAGAGTGTGCGTTAAACAGCACAACACAAACTAAATTGTAAAGAAGCAAAAGAACAAAATCACACTCAGAAGTAACAGATGCACCTTAAAACAAGGAGCTCAGTTACAAGAGTCGTGACTTAGTCACTGTCCCACAAGTGTAACGCTAAACCAGTGAACAAAGAACACCAGTCTGCTGACTAACTGTGGATCATAAAATAATAAAAATAAATATATTCTATTAAAAACTGACAAATTATTTTTAAAGATGGGATGTCATTTTATCTCAGGGTATCAACAAGAGCAAATATGACCTAATATGTTCTTTCTGACACCATACAGAATAACAGAAAAAAATAAATGCTGGCATTCTATTTGTTCTTCATAGCAATGTTAAAACAGGTGAAGTTGAAAAACTGAGCTAAACTTTTTGAGATTTGAAAAACCCTAACTCCTTCATATCACAAAACATTAGGCTAATAATTATTTTCCAACATAAATACTCACTTAAAATGGATTCACAGTCCCATTTCTCCTTTGGCTCCTCTGCAACTTTGACCAGTTCATCTGGAGAACTGTCACTGTCTTCATTCTTATCATGGCCTCTGACCAGTATACTCTCCTTAACATCAGACAAACTAGGAGAAATAATTTGCAGTCAGTAAATAATAACTAAATATGCATAGGTGGAACTGTAAAATACAATTTTTGTAAATCACCTGGTCAACACTTTAGGCCATATTGGATCAATGAATTTACATATCCCTATTCACCTTCCTGTTTGTGAGTTTTTATTGTCATACTTTGTACAATATAAGACAAAAAGAAAACACACATGCTGGTGCTTTGATACGTGACAACTGCCATGTTTTCAAAGATGTAAGCATCCTGGTAAGCAACATTCACTTGTGCCCAGCCCTTCAAAATTGAAATATCTAATTCCAGGCCTACACAGTCTCTCTTTTTTTTTAAAAAATGGTGGCCAAGCGCACTCAGATGCAAAAAATTTAATGCCCAAAAGGCTGAAAATTATGTTTCTGAGCTTCCATATTTCAAAATTTTCCGAGGGGAACATGCCTCTAGACCCCCCAATGTGTTAATGCCACCTACTTAAGGTTGAGCAGACACCTATTTCATATCTTACTGAAAACCCTGCTAATATTCAATGGGTGGCATTTTGGCCCTGAGTAGAGCACACTGCTCCTGTTATTATCATGCAATGCCCATCACTCAATTGTCACCAGGTTAATCAGTTTTTTAGAACTCACTCTTGTACTAGTTGGCTTTCAATGAATTCTTCAGCAAGAGCATTGAGCCTTTTACTGTCTGGCTGAATGGAGCCTTCTAACTCTTCATGATCCAGTGCTCCAATCTCATCTTCATCATATTCCTCCATCAACTAAAAACATAAATATCAATCAAATAACAACATAAGTTCTATGGATCAAAATATTACCAGGTCCACCCATAAGTGTATGATAAAAAATATAAGTTTATGGACATTAGTAAGTGCAGATCATGATTGTTTTGTAAATACTACTTATTATGTAAGTGATGTTAGTATCTTTAAACCGGAGTATATAGATTATGATTATTGTAAGAAGGGAGTTCGACGAAAAGAGTACCTTTTCAAATCTCTCATCGATAAGTTGCAAACCTAGAAAGAAAATAACCAGACTTGAGTTATGAAAATTATAATAAACATAATAAGTTTCCTTACAAAATGTTCAATGACATAAAAATTCCCCTTTTCTTGATATTTTTGAACTGTTAGTTTTCTGTGTTCTGCCTATCTGTCTGTCTAATTGTCTGTTTATTGGTTTGTCTGTCTCTTTCTTTGTCTTTTTGTCTGACCACGTCTGTCTGCTTGTAACTCTGTCTGTCTGCTTGTCACTCTATGTTTGTCTGTCTGCTTGTCACTCTGCTTACATGTCTGCTTGTCATTCTGTCTGTTAGTCTGTCTGCTTGTCTGTCTCCTCACTTCATTCTCTCCTCTGTCAGTCTGCCATTCAAAAATCTTTTTGACATGTGTCAATCTGTCTTTCTGTCTATTTATCTCTGTCTGTTTGTTTAACACAACATCAGAAGCTTGCACTATAGGGCATACCTAACAATACAATTATCCTTTTTTTCTTTTCCTAACCTTCATTCCTCCTTATTACAGATGATGTCATTGAATAGCTAGTAAATCTTGATTTAGTTTCCTCTTCCTCAAAATACGACATTCCATCATCTGACTCATCAGCCTCATCTGAAGGGTAATCATCCTCATCACTTTCATCTTCATCATCACTCTTAATCAAGTCGTCATCACTGCAAAGAAGAACATTTACATTTTTGCAGTGACAGAGTAATTCAAGACAATCTAAATATTTACCAGTACCAAGTTGTCCACAAAGAATCTGTCACACAGTAAACTTTGTAATAGAGAGTAACAGCAAAAGTCTCCAAAAAACAAAAAAGTTCCACTTCATACAAAACAAGATTATTTTGTAACTTGTAAACTTTGGTTTAAAGAACAAAACATCTTTGAAACAACAAGTATTCAGGAAAAATTGTTTAGAGTTCAAACTGTGTTAGACTTGCAAGGTACAAATATTTCACATGGTCTACCAAAAAAGTACTAACCTTTCATAACATGCATGTTCATCATTTGCCTAAAGAAAAGAAAAAATACGAATTTATTCTTAATAATAAAAGAATAACCTTTTACAAGATTAGTTGTACAGATTTAAGCAGTGATGCGAATAAAGAGAAAATGAAATTCCTCTAAAATATTCTTAAAAACACTTTTTCAATTCGGATTTACAAGACTCCATAATCAGGTGAAACAAACTCCTGCTGTATATCTTAAATTCTTGTGAGCAAAATACTAAAGGTAGAAAAACTGTGCTAAGATTATATCTACCTATTCTCCAAGCAGGCTGTTCATTTACATTTAGAGATAAGAAATATTCAAGCAGCTATACCAAACTTTGTGGTTAACTTTCAATAACCTGAGGGTTTTTTTAAACACCTAACACTATTCTCATGCTACTACATTTCTTAAAAAAAAAAAACCCTCTTAATCTCCATTACCTTCAACATAAAATCATCCTCTAAAATGTTATTAGGGTCATTCAAATCAAGTGCATCATCTAAGGCAGCTACAATATCAGGATCCAGGTCTGGGCGAGGACCTAAAATGAAAAATTGGGAACCAAATGGAATCAATATAATGATCAGTAGTTATGTATTCAAAGAACTTGTATTGGGAATTCTTGGATGCAATGTGCACAGCTTCACATTTGCTACTATGAATGACTTTTCACATCCTTACCCTGTTATTACACTCTCTCTACACCTTAACCCTTTGACTCTCAAAATCTCATTAGTAATTCTGCTTACTGTCTGCCATATAGTTCTTGTGACATTAGTTTGGAGAATTTGGTATTGGATCAACTAATAATCTTCTAATTTATATTTTTATTCCCCATTGTATATGTGGCCAGGCCAACTCAAGAGAGAAAATAAATATCTGTTAATCACCTGACACTGGTGCAGCAAGATTAAGCATTCCCTCTTCTTCTTCATATCTGGAGGCAAACACTTCAGTTGGTAATTTGACTTTACCAAACTACAAAAAAAGATTAAATCAAATTCAGTTAATTTTAACGCCAAAAGTATGTTGAGTGAAATCAACTTGTGATGTAAGGGCAATGTGTTGTTAACAGTGAAGTCTGAGAAAATGCAACTTACCTCCACATGATCTGAAGTTTTCTTGGCTTCGATTACAGTCACAAAATCAGGGAGTGGTTCCAAAGTAAGGTTTGTGCGAGGTTTAAGGTGCTGCAAGTAATTGTAGTCATCGTCAAAGAAAATCCCATGCTGTCTTTCCTCCTCCTTTTTTTTATGCTCATCACTGAAGAAACAATTACAATAATATTAATAGCAACATCAATAAAGTGATATTAATGCAGTACAAAATTCAGAAGTTACAGTAATTACCATATCACATTGGTCTGGTGTATAAACAGGAAAATAAAAAAGTACAATGTTACAAATAAGGTCAACAACCTTAATATTAAAGACATTACTTTAAATTTTTTTTTTCCTTTTTTTTTTTTGGCTCTTCTAGTTTGTTTTGTTTGGTTTTCTTGTATTTTTCTGTGTATTTACATGTGGATGTCAACTAAAGATTGTTAACCCTTTTACTCCCAGAAGTAATTAACATTGAATTTCTCCCTATAATATCCATATATTATCCCACAAACAGGTATTGAGAAAACTCCAACTCATCAGGTAAAAGTTGTTATTATGATCTAACACTAAATTATCATAACTGATCTACAAAGAAATGTGTAGCAGCTAGAGGGGAGAATTAACAGTCAGATCTTGGGAGTTAAAGGGTTAAGAAGACTATTACAGAGGATAGAGGATTTTCTAGTGAAGAACTATAGCATCTGGTACTGGATCATGCATGTAAAAAGGGTTTTATAAAGTCACCACAATCAATTGGATGAATTATTATTACAAATATATTAATACTTTAAGCAATAGACTACACTTCCTATTTTTTTACCGGTTTAATTACCTAAACAGGATGTTGGGAAACTCAAGAAAAGTATGTCAATCACAAGCTAGAGGTGAGTGATTAACACACTTTTCAAGTGTTCTCCCAACATCTCAAGCTGTTCTGAAACAAAATTCAATTTTTTCATGAGTTTATCAGTGCAATAAATGACTTTAACTAATCAAATCCCTCATAGTATCTCATTTATTTAATAAGATATTATAAATATACTTACATGGAGTCTATTTGACTTGGATCCTGAATGTAAGTAAAGCAAAGAATTATTCACTCAATTTCAGGGGAACATATATGTTTATAAACAACATTTCTATAGCAGATGGTTTAAATGTTTGAGTATCAATGTACTGTATGGCCTGATTATTTACAATTTAAGACCTGGATGAAAAAGTCATATCACTTAACTTTCACTGACACGTTCAGTTTGAGTTGGTAATATTTCAGACACAAAAACCAACTAAACAACTGTTCTTTTTATTTAACAACTACATCTTCAAATGTTATTATCAAATGACCATTTTTTCTTCCACAAACACAAATTTTTCTAAGAAAAAATTAACGGTAAATGTTTATCACTAATGTCTTTGAATTAATAAAATTAAATTCAACATTTTTTATGAAACTTGGTGAAACTTACCGAGAAGAACTTTAAAAACTTTTTCACACCAAATAGTGCTGTTATACCCGAGGAACATGTGCTGTGTTTTTAAGACTGTTGTTTACAGACCTTTTCAGACCGATGATAAATTTGATAAATGCTTAGATCCTAGAACTTTAATTTCAAGAATAAGATAATAATACATGCCTGACTTGAAGAATCTAGCGGTAGTAACACATGTTTAGAACTCTCCTCGTCCGCCTGTAAGGGATCTTTTTGACTCCGATGCACAAGTTGAAAACTGTGAGCGCTTCTCTTGTCAATGAACGGCTTCTTTTTCTTCCCCTATGAGAGACACAGCTACATTGCTGATTTTTATACAAGAGATATGATATATAAAAAGAACAGACTTAAAAAACCGTCACAAAGAGCTTACCATTCCAAATTTGTTCTCTCACATGTTCGCCGCCATGTTTGTTCTTGTGCAATCACTTGCACCTTCAGTACTTTTCCAGCAGTAGCTGCGTTGAAAGAAACTTATGTCAAATAAGCTACATATTCGGTGACTAACGTCCAAGGCGGCTCTTCCAACAAACTTATCTAAGATCAGCTTCCGATTTTCCCGTTAATAGTATACCATATTTTTGACAATTTTCAGCTGAACGATTCAAGAGGCTACGTCTAATTTTTTTTTCGTTTAGAAAATTTCAGCAAACAATCTTTAAAGTTTGCCTTATTTTCTCGTATTTCATGCGAACTTGGTTCATAGTTTACCGTTGGTTTTTTTTTCAATCCTACAGAGCTGATAATATGTACTCTCTCTTTTAAGACACTGCATTTCTTCCTTTGCAAAAGGATTCCTTGATAAAATACAACCTTTGCGTTAAATTTAATCGTCGATGACCGATCTTTCTGTCTCCTTTTCCCGGGAAAAACCGTGCGGAAATTAAAATGTTTCTTTTAAAACAGAGCGATTAAAAAAGTGCCAAAATCTTAATAAAATGTGGCAAACCAATATCAGGAGCAAATCAAAATATCCCCAACAAATTGGTTACAAAAATTTATCGCTATTATTGTAAATAAATTTATATGCAAAATTTAAATCCTTTGAATCAAAACAAGAAATGTTTAAATTAAAATTTGCCTATGTCAATGTAGCGCCTTGACGTTGTTTAAAATAAATGTTTTGAAAGACATATTTTTTCTATGCTTTGTATTCACTGAAAGGGCAAAAAATCTATCATTGGGGCACCCAACATGTCTATGATAAAAGGAAAAGCTTTCAAGTTTTTGTCTTTCGTCTGTCTTAAAATTTTTCTTTCTCCGTGAATCAAAATGGAGAAAATTTCGCGCTTTGTTATGGTCTTCGCCCTCCCGCACGCAAAAGTCAGACTTATTAAGAAAATAAATAATTCACGGTGCGGTATCACCTGTCTGTAGTTATCTATTTTGCACCCCATTGGCCAGAATTAAGCATACTGTACTTGCCTATTCTCTTACGCTTTTACTTTTGCGGTGTCATTGTAATTTCGAGTCAATTCACTCGCAGCAAAGTGAAAAGTTTGACTCTCTAGCCGATAAGGAGCGAATAGCAAATTGTTCGATCGCTAACTGTTACTTCTTAAGCGATATGACGGCTTTGAGTCAAGCCATTCGAAACAAACGTTGGAGACAAGCTCGATTGCTAATCGAAGCTGGCTCTGATATAAACTGGAAAGGCCAAAACAAGCGTTCTGTGATTATGGAAGTTTGTTTCCTAGACGACGAAGAGAAAGCACTCGGCTTGGCAAAGATGCTTTTAAAAAACGGAGCTGACCTGAATTTTCAGGACGAACAAGGGCTTACCACCTTGTCGTATGCGTGTATTTTGAAAAGGAAAAAACTTGTCGCTCTGTTTCTTCAGTATGTGGACTATGATTTAAACGCCGTCGATCGCGATGGAAACACGGCACTCTTTCACGCAATTACTGTTGGAGATATTTCGATTGTCAAGATGATTGTTAAGAAATTGAAATACTACGCTTTAAGTGTGGATACACAAAATAGCAAAGGAGAAACGCCGCTAATACATGCACTAAAAGTAGGGCATGCCCAGTGTGCAGATATTTTGATTGAAGATGGAAAGGCTTCGTTGGAAGTATGCGACTTGGAGCACTACAAAACTGCAGCACAATGGAAAAAAGAAATGCAGCGCAAAAGAAAACGGATTATTTCTCCTTTTTACACCGTCGAAAATAAGAAGGTGACAGAAAAATCAACGCAAAAGTTGCGCAAGACTGTGAGCGCAAAAGCGATGAAAAGTTGTCTGTTTCCAGACATTGTCGAGAGGAAAAATATGAAGAAGGATCGGCCTTTAACTGCGCCTGATAGAATTATAGTTCCTGCCTTTTTTACTCCTTGTACGCCAGTGCAGGAAGATTTATTAAGACTATATGGAATATTCAATCAACAAACCACTAGCTCATATCGCAAAGGGTATAAATTTGTCCCGAAACCGGTCAAACCTCTTCCGCCATTAGCCGAAGAAGGCACAGAAGGCATTGAAGAAAACCCCTCGGAGCAGGGTAAATCTAAAATGAACTTCTCGCAGATAAACGAGATCAACGTAAGACTTAAAGGTTTGCAAAAAGCCGTCAAAAACAGGAAGAATTCTTCTTCGCCACTGAGTAACACAAACACTGCAGGATCGCCTCTAAATTCAGAAGGAAGAGTGAAATCAGGTAAGAAAAAGACTGCAAAGTTAGTACGTAAAGGAGAGAGCACGGAATCACCAGGAATAGAGATATCCTTAGAAGCTGAAAAAAATTAACGATTTCACTGAAACGAACACAGTATCAATCTTGAACGACTTCAATAACTGAGCAGCTTTCAAAGCACATTAAAGGTTGATAATAAAACGGGGCCACTGTGGACAAGAACGACTATAGCGCGAACTATTTACAAAAATAACAGTGGGAGCTTATCACACATGTATATGTTTGCAACCAGACTTCATTTTCCTTGTTTTAACCGCGAAGATCAGTGGGAGGATAGTTCTCCTTTGATGCAAAAGGTAGAAGTCAAGGTCACTCTTCTAGGACTGCTTCGTTAAAAATCAACCACAAAAAAAAACATTAATTGCCTACAACCTTGAGTGGTATGCTGATGACGGTAAGAAACAAACGACAAATATAAACTATTTTTATTAGTTTCATTAAAGCTGGTTGCGAAAACACATTACACCTGCACCAAAAAAAAAAAACAAAACAAAAAAAAGACCATATAGTCAAGTTTGCGAAGAAAATACAAGCCTTGTGATTGGCTAACGGCGGTCGTTTTATATTTTCATTCATAAAAAAGACGTTCAGAAACTAAACCAAGACAAAACTGAGGTCATGTCTCTCTAACACACGGAGACATCTATCGTAAGTTTTCTGTTTCTCTAGCAACAAGCAATTTAGAGCGGTAGGAGTTACGATTTGATATAGCGTTGATAGTTCCTGACCACCGTCTCAAATTTTCGCGTACACTCTGAGAAATCAGCGCTAACGGCGAGCGACTTGTAATAGGGACAAAGCGCAAGAGAAGTAGGGAGAAAAGTTTCCCTTACTCCTTCGCGTTGAAATGCATCACTTAAAAAAGATGGCAAAAAGGAAAATTACAAGTACGCAGGGTGTGCGACTGATAAAGAACATGGGAAAGACTTTTATTTTATATTTTGTTTATTGTCAAGAAACTAGGAATACAAATCAAATTCAAGACGTTGCCAACTTTACTTCAATGCTTGAATTACAAAAATCCTTTTTCGCCTTCAGTTCATTAACATAATCGTTCATTTTACAATCAAAAAAGGTAATAAATAAGATATCCTCACAAATACTCTTGCGAATGTCAGCGTCAATCCCAAAGATATGAAACAGAGTGCATTTCGACGCTCTAGAAGAGCTTGTTAAAATTATGATGTTATTATTACTAAAGTTAACCAGTTTGGCGTTCTTTTTAATATCATGTGTAATTTTCAATAATAAATGATACAATAGTGATATTTTACATATTTGTTAATAAAAATGGTCCATTAAATGTTTTAACAAACAAGCTTCTCTCTACGAAACATTTTATAAAAATGAACGTACTTTACGACAACACCGTAAGATTCTTGTCAGTTCGCAGTTCCAAAATAACGGTCGCCAAAATTCCCTAAAGAAAATGTAAAACAGAATACTTCTTGAATGTTCAGTGAAGTTGAAAGCTACTGAAAAACCTTATTATGATCCTCAACACAAACCCAGAAGGAATAATTATTTGGAATTCGAAGAAATTCATTTTAGGGGAAGTGGTTTCATTAACATGTGGTAGTTTTGAAGGCGTAGAGGGCCTCCTGTTCCAAAGGAGGTCTAGACTTCCCCAGGGGTATCAATATCTTTTTCCATAACCAGCTGTCGAGCCAAACACAAGAGCCTGCTCGCGGGCTCAACAGACGGCGATAGGAGGTCTTATGGGCAGCGGTAGACCGCTTGTAGGAAATTTTGAAGGTTTGGACTATTGCGATGGCATTTTCCTACATTTTTATATGTATATTCCAGTGAATTTAGCTTTGTTGTTACTAGGGGTTACTACAAATTTGATGAGAATTTCTGTATGACGTTTGTGTAAAGGATAAAGGAGAAAGATCTGGCCACTGCTCGGCTGCTTTTGAAACACCTTTAGAGCGCTGGACTGAATGAACCTTCAATGGCTTTACAAAGGGGCCAATAAGGTGCAGATGAATTTAAAAAACTCCTAAAGTCAGAATTTTTAGTCCTCTCCTTTAACTGCTGGTAATTTCCTTACAATTTAGTCTCGTATCGGCATTAAAACACCCTCAAGTTGATCATTATCTGTACTCTCGATACAGTTTTGTTTGAAAATGTATGGGTACGGTAGGGAGAATCTACAATTTGGTCAGTAAGTGTAACTCACCTATTCCAGGTATGACGTGGTATTTATCGTTCACTTCTGGGTCCACTGCTGCTGTGACTATTTTGACCTTCGGGTATGCATAAGCTATTGTATGGACACCTACAACAAAACAGTTTAACCGTCTTATTCTAAGACACAAGAACAGTCCCCTTTTGCCCCCCCCTGGCTACTATTCTGTATAGAAATAAGGCAAATATGGTAAGTGCCCTCCAGTACCTGGATTTTGAAGAACCAGATGACTCATCAGTACCGTTGTAGCCTGTGTTCGTCCACCTCACGCGACCCTAACCCTTCGCCAGTCATTTGGTCACACTACCCCTTATTGGAGCATTACATCCCAATAAAGCACGTAAACTCTCGCCTGTTTTTTACTGAATTTTTTCAAATACCAAATTTACTCGAACAAGCGCTTCCCACAAATAAGCGCCGCATTTGAGACAAAAAGATTATTCAGCGCCGCAGCGTCGGTACGGCACTTATTTGAATAATTATTTTACAAGCTGCAGTGCTTCAGACACAGTTGAATATCTTGAAGGAACTAGATGCAAATCCTTTCGAATGCACAGACCCAGAAGAAGAAACCGCGAACCCCCCTACGATGGAGCTCGTAGACTCAGATTAAGAAGGAGACAGTGTCATCGATGTTGATGTAAAGCAGTTGAAATGTATCGAAAGAGAAGCGTCGTGAAAATTAAGAAATACCTTTGATAACTTCTGTAGACGTTTCGATAACAAAAATGTACCGTTAAATTTCTAGAAGCATTTCTCTGTCGCGTCCAATTTTTGGAATAAGCGCTGTCATTGAATAAGCCTCGCATCCTTCAGATAAGTTGCCCTTCACGTTCCCGGGTGGGGTACCCACATGACAACTTCTTGGCACGGTAGTGTCATCTAGTCCCTCAGAACCACAAACTAAATTAGACCTAAATTAGACCAAAATTGAACACACTCCATATCCGATTTGGCCAACTACGATCTCTACCTGTTTCAGTTCAGGCCTGGCTTCAAAAGGCTGTACAGAGTTTTCAGAATCCGTTGCCCGGATCTATTGAATGACCGTTTTTCGTTACATCTCTTTTTCCCCTTTTTCGTTTAAAAATGAAGAAAAGATAGAAAGTTAAGTGTTAATAAGTTACACTGGTTATTAAACCTACATTATATATATTTAACAAGTTAACATACCTGATTCAGCAGTTATCAAAGACAAGAACAAAATATTCTCCTCTTTAACATCATGGTCCTGCAAGATGAGCGTTATTGATATCAGTGTATGTTTTATCGGATAATAAAAGGCCCGAGGATAAACAATCACTCCATCGTATAAAATACCAAAAATTACACCCAAATATCAAGAGACACATTCTCCATACTGTTCTCAATATATTTCCTAAGGTGCTGACAAGGAGAATTTGTTTAACAATCTAGAGCTTCGATCATTGGTGATCACTTCCCTTTTTTTCTTGTGACCTTTATGTGTGATTTTGGGGTGATATTGTAGGGAGAAATTAGATGCTGGTCACTCTCAGCGGTTAAAGGGCTAATAGGAACTAAGTCTACGCTCGAATTCCGCTGACCGTTTATCACATTCAAAAGCGAAGCCTATTAAGACATCACTGTAGTTGAGTAAAGGTGAACACTCTTGTAGTTCAATATAATTCCGAACTGTAGTCGAAATAAAGGACACTTGGAGAAATGCATACCTCTTACTAACCGACCTCGAGATCAGTATCGTACGTTACGGACTGAGTTATTTGCGCTATTTGTGGCCTGAGCGAAAAGCGTGCTGGCCATAAATCCGAGCAAAAAAAACACCAGGTTCCGTAATTTACGGTACGGACCGAGAGAACCAGGTTAGTAAGATATTTAGGATATCTTTGGGTTCAAATAAAAGGGGAAGATTTCAATTCAAACAAACTTTTGAATTTAGCGGGATGTACAGTGAAATACGACCCACTAAATTAACCAATCGTTGCGCACATTCTAACTGAAAGATATAGTAACAAAAGAGAAATACTACAGACTATTTTGCCTACGAGCAGAGAAGAATAACATGGATTGTTTGCGCCAAACTATAAAAAACCTCAATAACTTAATGCTAAACTTTAAAAGTTATGTGAGTTTCATGATCCTCAACACGTCCAAGTCTTTTTTTGATTCCCTTTCACAGCAAATACCACTGCGTATGTAGCTTATATGTATTTAGATTACTCCTCTTACCAATAAAACTCGGATAGCCATGAGTGCTGCAAAAAGAAAACAAATCTTGTAAGAGGAGTGAGCACTCTTAACCTTTAATTCCTATGATCTGATCGTTGATTCTCCCCTCTAGCTGCTACACATTTCCATGTAAATTGATTACGAAAATTTGATAATAGATCAAGATAACAACTTCTAGCTGATAAGTTTGAGTTTTCTCATTACCTGTTTACTGGACAATGAATGGATATTATAGGGAGAGGTTACATTTCAATCACTTCCAGGAGATAAAGGGTTAACTCTGCCAGAAATCCTCTGGCCTGTGACTGATTTGTCACTCAATATCACACTAAATGTACGCAACAAATGATATGCAACTGAAAATTCACCAACCTGCTGCACCAGTTGCCACAGTAGCGTCCATAAGTATTACATGATCTTCACTAATGCCCTTTGGAAGACGATGATAATGAAGCTTGAAAAACGAAAAAAGAAAAAAGAGACTCGTGTTAAAATAAAGTGAAAAAATGGTGTCTCAATCGTGTTACAATCAAGAGTTAATGACTGGCTGTTGTAATTCGTTTGGTTTTGGTTTTATAACACTCAATCCAAATGCGCGCTCTGAAACTCAATCAAAGAGCATTTAGCCTGGGAAAAGGCTAACTTGTACAGATTGCAAAACAACTAAATGATCCCTTGGACCGTCTCTTTTCACCCTAAGTGTATGAATAATCTCCATACTGCTAACTATACATTCTCTACATTCTTTAAGTGCTGTCAAAGAGAATTTGTTTACAAATCAAGAGCTTCTTAAGCTGATGATAATTTCCTTTATTCTCATAACCTAATGTTTATTCAGGGGTGATATTGTAAGGAGAAATTGGGTGCTAATCACTCTAAGGGGCTAAAGGTTAAAACAAAGTGAAACCTTAAAATAATCATTTCAATGGGTATACAACCAGCAAAAAGGTAGGCAAAAAAACAAATAGAACCACATTGGTTATAGAAAGAGAGGACTGACACTAATTGCCAGTGAACAACTGAAAAATTTTAAATGACTCAAAGATGGACAAATCATGGAGATACAGTGAGAGGAAATTCAATGTTTGTGTTACCTAGCGGCCTCACCTCAGGTTCTGATGTTATTTCATTGGTCTGAATGAGAATCTTTCCTATTCTGACATCTTTGCACAAAGACTCTAGAGCTGGCTCCATGGTTTCACCCGCCCTCAGTATTGATACACCACACAGCTACAAAGAAGCATGACAACAGTTTGTTCAGTAAATCAAGGTCTTCCCTCACTCTGGGGCACAAGCAGAGGCCTAATGGTCACCCTGCCTCTCAGGTGAGAGGTACAAGTTGGAGACCTGGCCAGGTCATTTTGTTGTGTTTTGGGGTAGAACGCTTTCCTCTCGCAATGCATCTCCCCACCCAAGAGTACAAATGGGTACTGGTGAAGTATCAGGGAAGCAACCTGTGATACACTGGCATCTCATCCAAGAGGAGTGGCAAACCTTTTAAACCATGCAACAGAGACCAGGATAAGCTAGGCTGGATAGGCCACTATGCTCAGGTGGTAAATTTTTACTCACCCCAGATGCAATAGCCTTCTGGTCAGTGCTTTGGAAACTGGGTTGAGAGGTCTGGGTTTGAAACCTGCCTAGGTCAATGTGTTGTTTTCTTGGTCAAGACACTTTACTCACAGTGCCTCTCTGCACCCAGGGGGATAAATGGATACAGGCAAATTTTGGGAGATAAAGGGTTAAAAGCCTTTGACCATGACCACTTCTCCCAAGTTAGCACCTGTTCTGGTGCTGAGAGGTTTTGTATTTAGCAAGTCCTACTATAAACGACAATGAAACTTGCATTGCATCATAAAAGAGCAAAAGATTTTGTCTCATTTACCCTTTTCCCTGCAAATTTTCTTCCTTCATAAATTTTGCCCTCCATTGTTGTCACCACATGTTTCTAAACGAAAAAAAAAACACAAGTATATCACAACTGACATCACAAGGAGTTCATGCTAAATTAAATATACACTAACCATCTACAGTACATACTGTTGAAGGTTTAGACTGATTTTGTTTTTCTGAATAGAAGAAACTCTTACAAATTGGGGAAGTTTGCAAATACATGACATAAAGATTTGTTTACTCACAACTGACAGAAAAGCCTGATTGGGTTAATTTGTTTGCCCTACAGAATCAAGCATGCTCAGTAAAAATGCACCAAATTAAGGTAACAGCATCAAAGCTTAACACCTCAAGACAGCAAAAATGTTCCACATACTAATTCACCGAACGTAATGATAGCTTAGCTCACCATTGAGTTCTGAGTTGAGTTGGGTTTTAATTTCTGGTGGAACTCAGGATTCCTCTTTGTCTCACACTCGTGACAAGATGAAGGAAATCTACTTACTTTGAATGGTAAGAGTGAAAGTGCATGTTCAATAAGAATTCTCATCAGCCTCTTGGAATAAAAGACAAAGTCATCTCGACTGGCCTCCTCATTCCTGAAAAAAAAAAAATTACCATTAAGATATTCAAGAAATGTGCTCGCAAGCTAATTTATTCAAATGAATGTATCGACTCTCTGCTTCCACAAAACTCTGTTATTAGGTCTCTTTGTGACTTGCAGGTTGAAGTTTGTTTTTTTTTAACTCTACTGCTTGCTTCACAACTAGTTCGGAGTTATCAGAATTTTAAAAAATAAACTTTAAAGTGCCCTTCTATAAGCAATTCTAAAAGTCAATTTTGTTTAGTTTCATTCTTAGCTATTAAAGAGTTATCAGTTACTGTTATCAGTTATCAGAATTTTAAAAAATAAACTTTAAAGTGCTCTTCTATAAGCAATTCTAAAAGTCAATTTTGTTTAGTTTCATTCTTAGCTATTAAAGAGTTATCAGTTACTGTAAAAGTTTAGTGACTTGACCAGTTGTCTTGTGTTGCTGTGTTATCACTGAAGACCAAAAAATCCACAATACTAACCTAATAATTGCATGTAATCCTCTGACTTGTGGAGTACTTTCTAAAATACTCAGTGAACTAGGTAGTGGCTGTCCTTGATGGAACGACCGAAGCTGTGCTCTGTAAATCATCAGAGTACATAACAGAGGTATAACATGTCAGTTAAAAAGAAACTTAATGAAAAGATTTAAACAAAAAAGTGTGCAATTCATGACATTAAGGCCCAAAATGTACTTTGTCATCCTTTTTGTAGCAGAGCTTTTGATTTAAAGTATTCCCTATGAGCAGTTCCAAAGACTGAGTGAGCTATTTCTAAACCTTTTAACTCCCATGAGTGACCAAGACAAAATTTCTCCTTACAATATCAACCAGATAAGTGATGAGAATAAAGAAAAATGTCAATTTGGGGATAATTAGTTGATCCAATACTAAATTCTCTGAACCAACATTGCAAGAATAGCATGGTTGACAGTAAGGAGAATTACAAATTTGATCTGGGAGTTAAAGGTTTAGTAGTTTCCTAAAGAGAAATCAATCAGCCATCTCATGTTTAGTGGGTAGGTTTTTGAAAGAAACTGTGAGGCTGCTGTAGTAGTTATTATTATTAACTGAGTTGATAATGTAAATAAAGACACTTTGTCAAAGCTAATGTAAAAACTAACAAATGGTCATGTTTTCAACAACAGTGTCAAACTTACTGCATACCTGAAATTAAATCCTCTCTGAAGAGAAATGCAAAACAATAAAGAGATAACAAAAATTAATGATTTTTCTAAATAGAATTTAGCATGAGTCTTAGGTGAAAATCAAAATAAACCAGAAAGCCAAATTTAACCTGTTCCAGCTGTGTTCTAACATGGCGCACAATCAGATCAATTGCAACATTATTTTCACCACCTAGAAATTGAAAGAAAAATTTTTAATACATCTTGACCCTCTACACCCTAACATCGGTATGCATATTCTCCATACTGTTCTCTACACATTTCCTAAAGTGCTGACAAGGAGAATTTGTTTAACAATCAACAGCTTCTACAGTTAGTGATCATTTCCTTTATTTTCGTGATCTTGATGTGTAATTAAGGGGTGATATTGTAAGAAGGAATTATATGCTTAGGCAGCAAGGGTTTAAAGGAAAAGTAACTGCTTTTTGTTTGAAAAACTATTGTTTAAAATTTATTCTGCTTGATGAAAATGTCTTAAGAAAACTATCAAGAGGACTTTCATGATGGCAAATTCAAAGAAAATTTCTCATAAAACATACACACCTCTTGGGACAACAATGTCTGCATAAACAACTGTTGGTGCTATGTATTGATCAAAGGCCTGAATAAGGAATGATACAAAATATATGAAAATGAAGGAAGGTGACAAACAATAAGCACTTTTTTAGATTCTGCAGAAAAGTCAACAAATTCAACAAAATCTCACTCTTCAAAAGAGCAAAAAAAGTAACTGGCAGACTGTGAGGGGCACACTAAAAAAATGATGGAGTTGGGCTGCTCAATCACAGATTCAAATGCTTAGGGGAGAGAAACTTAAATGCAGCAGATATCATCCTGAAGGGACTAAGAAATCATCCTGAAGGGATTGAGAAATAACCCTGAATGGACAGAGAAGCTTTGCTTTCTTCATATTTGAAAAAGTTGTGGGAACATGTTACAAGACTCTAGCAACTGCATATCAAAAGGTTCATGGCTCATGGCTCAGGGCCCTTAGCCATTAACAAAGATGCCTCTGAAGAACTGCACTGAATTACTTCTACATGTAAACAATACATATACATTCTTAATTACTCCTAAAGGAAGTTCAGATTAAATGTTGGAATACTGTAGTCTGCCAAATACAGGTACATACAGGTTTCACAAAAGTGTTGTATAGCTGCAAGACACCAACAAGGTCCCTTTCTCGTTCAGAGATGTCTCTTTTCAGCCTGGAGAATTGGACATGTTTGAAAAATTATTTAGAAAGTATATATTAAGCAAACAATTTTTTTCCTCTTTTTTTTCCCTTCAACTTGATGCGTTAACCCTACACATTCTAGCATTAGTATTCATAATCTCCATGCTGCTCTCTTTACAATTCCTATCGTACTGATTGATTAACAAATCAGACTCCCCCTTCACAGTCGCCTGTTAATCACTATGATTTTGGTAATCACTATAATTACAGACCGAAATGGACTCCACTCAGTCTTATTATTGATTCAACTTTTTTTTTTTTAACAAATAACTGGAAAAGTCTTAACTTACCGTCTTGCCAAGCGAACGTCAGGATCAGCATCAACAAAAACCTTCATATCCATCAACTAAAAAGAGTTAAACATTCAAGAACACAAGTATGATATTCTAAACCAAAACCAAAGTGATGTTTTCACATTTAAGGTAGGGTAAGTGAGCTTTATGGCTTACATCTCGCAAATCCTTATATGCAAAGGCCATGATTCCTTCAAAGATGATGACATTTGCACCATATATATTAGTCTGCAAGAAAAGGTGAAATGAAACAACATTGTGTAAGAGACTCATTTTTCCATGGTATGTTACATCGAGAGAAGTATCTTTACTTTTCCCTTTTACACTCTAATATCAGTATGCATATTCTCCATACAGTTCTCAGTACCTTTCATAAGCTGCTGATGAGGAGAATTTGTTTAATAAACAAGAGCTTCTTTAGTTTGTGATCAATTCCCTTGTTCTTGTGACCTTAATGTTTGATTCAGGGGTGAAAGTCACTCGACAGGGCCCAAGGGTTAAGTTAATGAACATCTTCCCCAACTCATTATAGCAAAAATACACTAACATACACTGGCATTAAAACTTAAAAGTTATTCTACATGTATATAAGGAACATTAAAAATTATTGAACAGTTCCTGTTAGTGATAAGCAGAATAATTATTTCCTAAATCCAATCTGAGGCAAATCATTGACAGTGACTACCGGTAATCTTGATACTTGGCAAAAGCCAGGTGCTTTTTTTTTTTTTTTAATTATCTTTACCAATTTCTCTTTCAAAGCTCAGGGAAGCAATGTTTTACTTCCCACAGAACACCTTAGACACAGTAGACATTGGCACAACATTATTTGAAGAAAACCCTGGTCAGACCTTGTTGAGCACAAGCAATCATATTTGCAAGCAGTTATTTGATGGGCTTTTAGCCAAAGAAAAAGAAAGAAAATGTGTCAAATGATAAGTGAATTTATGCTTTACCCTCTAAGCCCTAAGAATGACCAGCATATAATTTCACCTTAAAGTAATATCACTAAATCATTCATTGAGATCCTGAGAAAAGAACTGATCACAAAACCTAAGCAGTTTTGATCAATAACCAAATTCTCCTTGTCAGTACAAAAGTAAATATATAGAGAGGAGTAAGGAGAATATAGATACTAATTTCAGCATGTAAAGGGTTTAAATACTAAGAAATATTGAGGTATAGGCACCATACCATCTGTTCCTGTCTGCCATGAGTTTTGAAGTCATAAATGGGCACCTAAATGGGAAAGGTTAGAAAATGCTTGAAGCAAAATTTCCATGTACTATCTCAGGGAATGATGCCTTGACATGCATTAAACAATAAGTGATCAATGGACTAACTGATGTAACTTCCCTGAAAACAAGTTGGAACAGAAATTTAAGTGTAAGGCTTGGCTGACTAGCCACCAAGCTCTTTGACCTTACATCTTTCCCTCACAAAAGCAAAACTGCTTTAAAAAAATTCAGTACCAGGTTGATAAATTGCAAAAATATATGTGTGTTAAGTGCATGCAGTATATGCAATGTAATCGCAAATACATGTTACAAGAGCAATTTACAAACTCAGTAATTGTAACTGTTAACAGTATTTCACATGTCAACCAACATACATGTACATGTACCTGAACACTCTTTCCTTCTTTCAACTTCTTTAAGACACTTGCAGCCAGATCAGCATCAAATGAATCTTAAGGTACACAAAAATACGACTAAAAAATACTCAACTAACAGTTCTGTAATGCAAACATAATTTAAGAAAACCAAAACTCATAACAATTCTTGATCACACACCAAAGCAGCCCAATAAAGAGGTAGGGTTGCATTGCTTTTGACAAGATTCATTCTGCAGTTCTGCATGCATGCATTTCCTGAACCTTGCTGCTCTCTTGTAAGCTGCTGACTTATTACTGCCAGAGCTAATATCCCAGTTACAATTACATGAAGTGGAGTACTACTTCTAATCCTCAATTTTCTACATTAGTTTCATAAAAGGTAAACACCCAGGAATCCATTCTGACAATTTCCTAAAGAAAAAAGGTACCATGAAAGTAAAGCAACTTGCACTGGAAGATGACACAATGACCCAGCTGACACCCAGACCTTTCAACCTGACCAACCTGCTGAAGAAAACTTTGAAGAATGTACTCATTTGGGTATGACCATAACACAATCCTTCCTTCATCAACCTTACCTGGATGATCAAAGTTGTACTCGTTCCTTAGTGCTGCCTTATGTTGTTCTGGAGTCAGCACCTGCAACAATTTAGTAAATCTATCTCAGCCAACAATTCTTGATACTTTTAGGCATAATTAATGACACAGAAATACTTCAAAAAGTTCCCCAGCTACTTCTATAAAAGGTTTTAGATTTGAAACACCCTCCATACTGAAAATTTACTATGAATCTGATGCAACCTCTGTGTTCTACCAATTTTGCAATCCTTACTTACAGCTCACCTTATAGAAGGAATCAAGTGAAAGCATGCTGACCCATGGAACTCCAAGTTGTTCAATGATCTTGTTGGCAACAGTGGTTTTTCCCGAAGCACTACCACCACACAAACCTGATATTCAAGATTGCTATGGTCAAATTTACAAAAATGTAGCATTGAGCAGAAAGGATGCCTATGGCTATATCATTGAACAGCCACCAGTAATATAACTTTGACAGAGATCTGCCAATCATATCAAAGTTAGTTACAATTACAGTAAACTAGCTATTCTCTATCTTAACCCTTCAACTCCAAGAAGTGATTAACATGTACCTTCTCCTTATCATATCTATACATTATGCCACAAAAGGGTAATGAGAATTCTAAAAGTTATCAGGTTGGAGTTGTTGTCTTAATACAACACCAACTTCTCAGAACTAATTCACAACTGAAGGAAATGTGTAGCAACTGGAGGGAAGAATTAACGATCAGATCTTGGGAGTTAGAGGGTTAAGCATTTTTGTAAGCCTGGCTTCCTTTCAGATTGAAATTCAAATGCATGTACTTTGTCCATTTGTTTACCCCAATATCCACAATTTTGATGTAAAATTTTGCAAGTTTCTTTCTCATGCTTTTGTCCAAGACAAGTGTATGAGGATGAGGTTGAAGAAATTTCTGCAACATAAAATTTACAACTGCAACAACTTTACCTATGACAAATGGTTCTTTAAGCTGTCCTTGGAGATTGTACCATGGAGGGCGACCTAAGGGAAAATAAGATAACAGATGCACATTTTTCATCCCTTAATTTTTTGTTTTCCATTCAACACTTTTGCTCACATGCCAAATCATCTTACAAACAAGATAGCAATAAGGTTACCACCCAAAGTTCATATTTGAACTTCGTAATGGCCTAGCTCACTGTACAGTCTCTGTGGCTCAGTGGTACAGCATTGGAGTGCATAATCTGAAGGTCTGAGGTTTGATTCTTCATACAGACTCCAGAATTGTTTCCTTGTCCCACACTCATGACAAGACAGAAAACATCTTTCTCTAAGTTTAGCACCCTTACTCAAAACCTGAAGGTAGGCTTTGGAAAATCAGGTAAGATGCAACATTTTTTGTTCCCTTTTAACCCATTCATTTTGTTTCCTGTTTTGTTTTTCAATCATTTCTTTTTTGCTTTGTTTTTTTTTTAAGCTATGTACAGTTGGTAATTGTTCTTGTTGGCCTATTTTTTTTGTTGTTGTTTTTGTTTTCTTTTTTTCTTTCAGAGTTGCAATACAATCATTATGTTCTGCAAAACATTTGGCTTGGGCCCAGTGGCCATCCAGCTGGAGCCTGGCTTCTGTAGCATAAAGTGACTAGAAGTTTTGCCCCTTCCCAGGTGGAGATGTCAATCTATTGCAGGTTACCTCCCTGAATTTTGTAGGGCTTCCCTGGCAGTTTTCTAGCAGGGTGGAGAGAGGTACTGTGCATGTGAAGTGTCTTGACCAAGAGTATAACACAATGACCCAGCCAGATCTCAAACATGAACCTCTCAATCTGGAGTCTTGTGCATTGACTAATAGGTAGCTACATCTCCCACAATATTCATTGAGCAATTATTTGGATGTTGAGCCTATAGATCTAAGATTTTGTTGCTAGTTGAAACCTTATTGGAATCCATCCATCAATGACTTATGACTTTAATCATTTTTTAACTTTCTATATAAAATCAAAAATTTGACGGGAAAGAGGTTCATCACCCAATACCAGGGGAGTGTCTCAAAAACTATATGTTTGTTCAAATTTAATGCAAATTTATCTGAGTCACTCTGAATAATATGTATGAGGGTAAAGTAGCTAATGAGCTTAATTACTCAGTGCTAAATTTGAACAGCTGGTAATTGTCATGCAAAAGGGGAAATATTTGTTTATAACAGCTGTCTGTATCAAAAACTTCCATCAAACTAGGATAATCTTCAGAGGTAACCCATGAGTTAAGCTTGAAATCACAAATTTGACGAAGAAATCTCATTGAGCTTTCAAAGGGAAGAAGCTACTCATACCTAAAATCTAATGCTACCGGTAGTTTGCCAAGAATTTGACACTTCTTAAAATAAACAGATCATTTTGTTATGCCAAAAATAGATAGTATATGTTACACAGTTGTATCATCTTTCAGCATTCATTACTCTAACCCAAGATAAAATTAACAGCTATTTTATGCTTGACAAAATATCATATAATAATTCAAATATCAAAGTATAATGAAGTGAGTTAAGAGAAAGCATGTTTAAGGCCTTATTCAATGGAAATGCTCACATAGTACTGAGAGTAATGTAATTACATGGAGTACTGTAATAAACCATGTAAAATTATCTATCTTTGCAAAATTCCCCCAGTTATCCTTTATTTGGCTTGTGCGATATAATTCTTACCAGTCAAAGTATACAAAGGCATAACAGGACACTGGGCTTAAATATTCACTTTTGAGTAAACTTAAATCAATAAGCAATAGCCAAAAATAACATTTTTGTCACTAGGGAAAACGAGAGGAGGACACTTTGTTCAATATTACAAGATGTACTTTAATACTGTTGGCAACACTATTGAAAATTTCATTTGCTATTTTTAGGAGATGAAAATAAATTGAAAAAGCATCAGTAAAACTCCATGTATATATTGAAGTAACTTTAACTTTAGACCATAGTTATAAGGTAATAAAAAGATTACCCTTTCTTATACAACTGCCAAACAAAGTTTGTGAAATTAGACTTAGACTCAAAAAACTTCTGCTTCCACTTGCCCTTGCAAATAAAATGGTCACAGCATGAGGTGCAACATTGGCCGCTAGTATGAAATACAGCACATTAGAAAAGAACTTTTAGGGTGAGCTTAAAGTCTGACAAATGATCTATATACAGGTACACTGATGGTATAATGATGATGATCACAGGCTATGGTATGCTAGGACTCACAACATCTGCGAGCTTCACATCTGAGGCAAGGGGATCATATGCTTATGGAGTATAACACATGGTTCCCTAAGAGTGACTGGCTTTGAATTTCTCCCTTCAGTACCATCCTTCAATCAAAACATTAAGGTCATAAGAATAAAGGAAATAAATAAAGATCACAAATTTAGGAAGCTCCTGGTTGTCGCACAAATTCTCCTTGTCAGTGCCATAAAAAATATAATGCTAGAGTGTAAAGGATTAAGATATCTAGTAACAAAAGAGTTCTGTGAATCAACACTAAGAAAGTAACCAGGTGTGAATAAGGAATAACTCAGAACATGGAAATTAAGCCCAGGAATTTCGCACAGAGCTCAGAAAATTCTCTAATCTCTGATCCTTTACGAACACCCAAGTAACATCTGCCTATTGATACCATAATTCAAGTTAAATTATTGCAAGGTGTTTGTGGATGACACATGGTTGATTAAGACTTATTTATGGCTCTGAACATTTTCAAGCATATGACAAAATCTAATCTGTAGCACATGACATTCACACGACTCAAGACAAAAGAAAGATAAAACCTAAAATACCTTTACATAATATGAATTAATTTAGGGTATTTGCAATAAATTAACCGTGTACGCACACGAGAAAAGCGTTTGCAGTAGCTACTAATACTAACAACAGTATGCAAGATCTCCAAACTTTCGTTGATCGTCTAAGAGGTTTTAAGGTAAGTACAAGTTGCTCTTTGGAGTTTAGATTGAAAACTTTCGTAAGCAAACAAGTAACGTTAAACAAAATATAAATAAGCATTAACAGAAAGCGGTAGGAGTCAAAAGGAACCACTCGTTAGATTTACAGTGAGCACATTGGATCGGATTGGGCAGATCGATGGCGTTACGAACCAGCTCGCCATAGCTTTTCTCAACAGCTGCCAAAATGGCGTTTAAGTTTCCTTTATTTCTGGATTGGTTGATCGAGTATCGCGTAAAGAAAAATTCAAAACTTACCTGCGGTATAAATAGTCCTGTTTGACTGACGGAATACAACATTATCGGGTTTGGCTTTCGAAGGAGAACTGGGAGTCTGAGGTGGCGCTTCATTAATACTATCAGAAATCGAATGGGAAGATAAGAATACAGAAAAACCATAGAAATATAACATTTCTTTTGCAAATTTACCTTTCACAGCTTCCTGAGCTGTCTTCATCGGGAGAAATTGGTTGTAAATCGAGTGTCAACTCACATGGCTTTTCAGACTTTGCCGCCATGTTTGTTGCTGCGTAATGACTTCGACGCATATCATTTTAATTTTGACCGCTGTACCATAACATTTACTGCAGGCTCAGTTTCTCCTGTCAAATTTTCAATTTTTTTTTGTGGGGAAGAAAAAAAACTTAGATCGTGTAGTTGTAAGGCTCAAAAATTACTATCCAAGTTCCGCTTTTATCCGCCTACAAAAATGCTCTTAACATTATCAGGGCAATTGCTTTTTTCATAAAGTAGTTTGGATTGTCTCAGTCTTTCGCAAACACAACTGAGTAAATTTCGACCTCAAGAACAATACTCAACTTCAGCTTTCTCCTAGACACCGAGAATTTGAGTTCACACGCCGAAATTAGGATGGAAAATTAAAATTTCAATTTCGTTTCCTTAATTTCTTTCCGTGATATGACCACCTTTTTAAAACAAACATTTGCGACCATTTACAAGTCAGGGCGTTCAATGAGATGTAAATTGCAACCTAGTGTTTTGATTTTGTTCCTTCTGGTACCTACCGTATCGATTGAAACCAACTTGTAAAACGAAAACAGAGCAGTTGATTCGAAATTCAAGTCTTTCCCTACAGATGCTAGTGAAATTTCCTATTTTCAGCGTTTGGTAATAGGCTAAATTTATCCATTTTATTCTGGAATATTTTTCTCCGGATTATTATTTTTTTTACCGACTCACTTAGTCGACTGACAGGTGAAATGTATTCCAACGGATTTCAGAAGAACAATTAACACTTCTAAAGCAGCAATTTCTCGCGGAAAACGATTCGCTTTTTAAGACCTTTCAGACCTTTAACAAAAGTCGCATAAAAATACCAGACATTGAATTTCATAGTGAAGAGGCTAAAAGATCTCGGTTTTTGGATAATAGGTCGCTTTATTAGCTAGTAACAAGTGAAATTTTAATTGCCATTGTTCATGGAACTTTCGGTCGCTTGGAATTGGAAAGAGAAAGAAGGATCTAAACCAACTTAAACTCAAAGTACCCTATATTGTATTCACGCAGGAAAAAATAAGCGCATGGATTGTTTTTATGGCCGAGATTTGAGATCTTTGAACTATATTTTTAAGTGACCCAAGTTAAATGCATAGCAAGTTTAGAGAGGCTCAAACGTAGTGCGTAGGTGGTTCCTTAGTGACGCTGGTAATGACATAGCCTGCGGGGTGCTATATTCTATTGGAATAGGCTCGTCCGCCCGAATATCACATCCAAATAGGCTGTTTTATCTTGAAACCATAGAGGCAAAAAGGAAATCTAATGTGTGATCAGGAAACTAAAACGATGTTATTCCTATAATTCTTTTCCCATCGCTTAATTTGACAAGCTCGTGTTTATTCAGCGTTTGACAGCTCGTAGATTCTTTATTCCAATCTTGATACAGGGATGACTGAGCTGCATTGTTCCCAAACAATATTAGAACTCAGAGAATGCGGCTTTCAAATTGGAACAATACATGCGTCGATGTGACGAGAGTAACTCCGGTAACCTTAGAAGGAATTAGATACTTATGCTATTTAAGGCAAAAAACAACCGCGATAAAAAGTGTCCTCGAAAGGAAAAAAACCCGAAATTCAAATCAGTAAACTAGCTTGAAGTCAAAACAAACTTTTACAGACCTTGTTTTGTCCTTCACCCTTCACTGGACTTTCTAACAACTTATCCCTGCGGTTTCTAATTTGGTTTTAGTTAGAATATAATAGCCCACAGCCGTTTCTTAATTTTCAAAAACTGAATATCTATCTATTCCAATATAGAAGATTGGAAAGCGAACCCTCTAAAGTAAGGGTTCTCTGGCCAATCATGGTAAACCGATTGTGACCGAGATGCTTCATTTACAACGAAAATTTCATTTTCGTTCAAGCTTTGAGATCTCTTATGTTTGTTTTGGTAAAATGAAACAAACCTTTGATAACAGACTTGCGAAAGGGCAGTCAAAATTGGTGTTAGGTTCTGAAACCTGAAGTAAATAAAATCACCGTCTATCTTGGTTCCACGTGGAAAATTTTCCCAGTTGTCCACAGGAACCAATGAAATTTGAGCGCAATTTAAATAGATTGTCACTCTGAACCAATCGCGTGCCGTTATTATATTGTAAATTACACAAACACAAGGCAACGCACTGCTGCACACACGCTTTCATCTGTCATTAGTGTCAAAGTCTCTTCGCTGTTGCAGGTTTCGCAAACACTGCTTGCTTCAAATTCTACGCCTTGAACCTATTCCGTGTAAACCTTGGACAACATTGGGACTTGTTTCACCGAAAAGACATGGCTCCCCATACGGGCAAGGCGACGAGAAACAAGCGTTACCGTAAGTTACGGAAGCCGGTTTAAATGAATGTCATTTTGCAAGTAAACCATCCAAGTGCGCAACGCCTCTCTGAATGAATGAGTTGTGCTTTTGACAGTGTTGACTTCATGTTTGTCGGGGGAAAGTGTTGCTTGGAATATCATTTTCTCTTCGTATCTAAAGCTTACCAAATGTTTAAAACACGATTATAGTATTTTTTGCACGGAGGGAATAACTATTACTAGACTAGACATGTCTCGTGATTTCACTGTCCGTTCGCTGCCGATGACAGTTGAAGTAGTTCATAAGATCAATACATGTCTTGCTACGACACTCGCACAGTCGCGTTTATCCCATGTCAGTCGCTTGACTCTTAAACCCTGACTGGTTAGAAACTCGTGCTTTTCTTTACAATGTTTCTAACAATTTATTATCCTCTCCCGCAGTGGATGAGAACGTGGAAAATATGAGAGAAGAAAGTGAAAGGGTGCTTCGCGCATCACGTGTCACAGCTAGCCCACCGCCCAAGAGAAGAAGAGGGAACCTTCCGAAAGATTCCGTCAATGTTTTGCGGATGTGGCTATGGGAGCACAGATTTAATGCATACCCTTCGGAGGCAGAGAAACAGTACCTATCAAAAGCTGCCAACTTGTCAGTGCTTCAAGTTTGCAACTGGTTCATCAACGCGCGTAGGCGAATACTGCCGGAGATGATTCGACGTGAAGGACGCGACCCTAGCAATTATACCATCACGCGAAGAGCGAATGTCAAAAATCCGTCGCCTAACAGCTTGTATCAACGAAATTTATCGCCTAGTCCCGAGCCACACTTCGAAAAAGACTTTACTAGGCACGATCAGGAGTCTTATATCTGCGAGTATCGAGGACAGTTCGAATACGTGGGGTGTAGTAGTCCTTCATCGCAAGGACAACCGGAGGACTGCGACAGTGAAATGCCGGCAAATGAACATCACACTGCACAAACTCTGGATGCTTTCAGTAGTATCAATTTATTAGTGGAGGTCGCGTTAAACATGGACGAATTTCGTAAACAGGGTAAAAATTGCTTTCAAAAGGTAGCTTCTTTGTCATGCTAACTTTGAGGCAATTTGAAATTTATATCGCATGTAGACTTTGTGTTGTGGCATTGTACCTGGGAATCCTTTGTACATTGTAATGAATAATAGATCGTTGGCCGGGAGCGACCTGACTTGTTGCGTTACCTGCGATCGAATAATAGTTTCACTTGCAAGACGCGTTTGGTCCGCTCTCGGCTTTGCCATTCGAGCCATTCGAACGCCTCGCGCGCGCGATCATTAGGAGTCGATCCGTGTTTTGCGCGCGTCGGTTGTCTGCGGATTAGAACACAAGTATCGCGAAATTTAACAAGTCAGAGATTATGTAGATGCGTTCATTGTTTTGCCAAACGCTGTGTAAATAGAATTCTGAACTGACGTTATGACAGACGGAGTGTGTCAAATCGGCGAACTCCCCGCCGGAGACTTGAAAGAGAACAACCCGCTTCTGAAATTAATTTGTCATTTGTTTCCAATTTTCTGTTGCGGCTCAGTCAAGCCGGCTTTGACGCATACTCTGAAATTAAAACTCGAATTCTTCACCTAAGCCCTTGTTGTGTTGTAGTCTCTTGAGCGTGTTTTGTTTAGTGGTAATTTCGTCATTTAATCCTCAAGTGTAATGTTCCACTGGTTCCCGTATATACCCTGTCTGCGATATGTAAAGCCTCACGGCTTATATTAGCGATCAGTATCTGAGGCCCTCTCCTTATCACACCGGAATATCGCAATCACATCTTTCAGTAATCACCCAGAAACTCTCTGGAAAACAGAGAACTGAATAAAGCTATATTCATGTAAATTTTGAAAAGACATTTAATCTGACAACAAGATCAAATTTGCAGATCTATTTATTGGATAGTCTTCTCTGAAGATTAGAAACCAGGAGCACATGACTTCTTTTCCGGTAAAGAAAAAGAGAGTCCTATAAAAGGAGAAAAATTACCTCTGAAGACTTATTATTACATGACCAACGTGTAAATATTTTTTTTAAGGGATTTATTAAAACGGAAACTCTCGCCACATCCGGGTGAGAATCTCAGTAGGATTTTTGACAGACCACCAGAATTTTTTAGTGAACGTCAACCTGGCCAAGGTAACGCTATATGCTGATCTTTCCTTCAAAACAGAGATTAAACTTCAGTCTTGAGAGAGATTTTCTGGGTTCTTGTGGGCATATTTCATTTTTATTATTTTTGTTTGATTAAAGGTTCTATTTCACTCCTTACACATTTGTTCCGGGCATTCTAAAGCCCTATAAAAACAACCTGTCAAAGCAGCTGAAAAAAGTGTAAAACGGCTGGTGTGTTTAGATCGATTTACGCAATTTCATTCACGATAGAGTTTTGGTGAACTTGATTCTCGAGAGGGTTTCTTGTCAACTGGCGAAAAGTCCTCAGACAGCATGCAGTATACTTTAAGTATTTGTGTAGATAGATATTGCGATTTATTTCACTGAAAATCGAATTTTATCGTCTACAGGTAGAGCTGTGTGAGAGAGCAGGTCTGTTTGGAGACAAAGAAACAAAAGAATTTACAAGTGATCTTTCATAAACAATTCCACTTCAACTATCAAGTTTTCATAAAGAAAGATGAGAATATTGCTGTCCTTCATAAGCGGCCCTAAGAGCGGTTTCAGTGATGACTAGAAAATTTCCACATTTCCTTAGAGATAAGGGTTAAGAGGTGATAGCCAAAGAAAACCCTTATATAGTGGTGAAACAGATCAAAGAAGGCTCTAGTAGTTAGTTGGTTAGCATATGATTGACGCAGAGTGACGATGATGAGCCAAGAAACATGATATAAGGAGCAACCGATAGCTTCTGATATCCTTTACGTAAAATCTGACTGAAATGCTGTCAAGCGAAAATTAAGTGAAACAACTGTGCTCGGAAAAATATCGGAAAAGAATTTTACTCGCCAAAAATGTGTCTGTAAAGCTATTAGAAGCTTATATTAATAAAGCATAACAATTCTTTTGTTCCGTTCAAGACGACTGGAACAATTATGTTGTGAGGTGCAAAATTTGGTTTCTTGGAGACAGCAACACTTTTCAAAAATCCCACTTTCTCTCACTCTGGGAGCTCTCGTTCAACTTAAAACTAGTTCAAAGCCAATACTGAGATATATATCATAATACGGTTATGGTTTTAGATAAAAATACAGAACATTTGGCTACTTTTCACTTACGATCGAAAAGGCACGAAGAAAAAAAAATCGGCTTAGGGGTCAAAAATCATTTTCGACAAGTAGAGTGCGATTCGATTTTATTTCTCAGTTACTGAAGAAATTTATGTTATAGTTCCATCCACTTGACGCACCTGAAAACCTTTTTTTCATCGCATCTTATAACTTAGTGTTCAACCTATGAAGCCAGACGCATGGTTTTGCCACTCGACTCAATTTTGACAGCCAACATTGATCTTTGAGAGAGATTCATATTTTGAAGTAGTGTTTTTTGCTCTTTACATTAATTTTGCACAATGACTTTGGTTCACAGTTGAGCAAGCGACCAACTGACTAGTTTTGAAAATTCGTGTGTAAATGTAAACGTTCACTGCTTTCACTCGGACTGTCAACTGACACATGCTGTCATTGCATTTGTCAAATTTTTCTTGAAAGTAATTTAGGCTCAAGCCCATATTCCATGAACTTCCTAGTAAGAAACACAGGAAAATCTTATAAAATTTCTCTCTTTTGCGACAAAGCAGAACTAAAAAGCTAAAATTTAACAACGAGAAAACGTGAAAATACCAAATTCAAATCAATATACGACCAGAAAAGAGCTCATTGTCTTGTCTAATTAAAAACAATAAAGTTGACATATGCAAATAACATTTAAATTTGTCAGCTTAACAGCTAATGCGAGCATTTTCACAAAAGGTTCCCAACTTGCAAGGTAAATCGCTGCTTTTTGGCATATGGGCGTTAAATGTTGCAAAACTGAAAGGCTTTAAAACGAACTGAAGCTGATTGGAAGCGTGCCGAGGCCATGAAAAGTAAGACATTTTCAGACTGGTTATTGCAGTATTCATGTTTCTATATCATGAATTGTTATGATCGTGTAAATTCAAAATAAATGGTTCCTGTCACGTTCCGAAATAAGAACAGTATCACAGCTCAATATTGTAATATTTTACATAAATTCCTTCTAAATTGGCCCGTAAAGGTCAGTTCTCACAAATGTAAATAATCCTATTTCCCAATCTGTAAACCCTTTCGCAGCTGCTTAAACGAAAAATCTGGAAGAGCATTTGACAAACTCTCAGTATCGCACGAGAGAGAAAACAACATGAAAAATTGCTTTAACTAAATCAATAACAATCACGCTTGTGTCGTCTCGTTGTCATAGTCCATATCAAAGGAGAAATTGAAACACCACATGACGATGACCAAATCTTCCTTGTTCCGTTTTCAACCATGTTGATATTCATAACATGACTTTTGATGAGAAGTTATAAACGAAAATTTTCTTGCTTTTTCGGTGAAAGCTCTGCTGAAGATTTCGAACAAACTTAAATTTCCTGCACCTTAGACACGTTGTAATATATAAATTATTTCACAACAAACTTTCCAGTTGGTTTTCGTAAAGTAAATTGGGTTAAACACCATCGAGACAATATTAGCTTTTAAAAATTTTGTCAGATAGGAAGTGCATATGTCCTCTTCCGTCAAAAAAAAAGGAAAAACCTTGAATAAATCACGCCGAGACAAACAACGAATATGCTTTTCCTCCACAGAACTAAATTTAAGCTATTTGAAATTAAGTTTCGATCTTCAAATTAGATTTTAACCAAATATAAATTGACTCTGAGTTCCAGAAACGCTTCTCTCGTTTCGTTTACTGCTTAAATGTGGGATGAAAAACACTGAGCTCTTTTAAGTTAAACGTGCATTTAGATAGAAGAAAATTTATAACATACGTTAATTATTATTACCGATTTTATAAATCTGTTACAGCTAATCGTGGAGCTGTTCCTAAAAAATTAAATTCTAGAAGAATTTCTAATACGGCAAGAAGACATCTAAATATGAAACTTCCGTGAGCATACTAAGATACTTAAAACTTTAAACTTGTCCAGGTTTTAATTTATACGCGGCTTACACAGTACTTAAGTGGAACAGTTTTTAAGGCAATAATTTTTCCTTGAAGACTATTTTATTAATTTGGATATTATGATGTTCACATGATGTCCCCATAAAATGTCTTTCAGGTTTCTGATCGGAAATGGCTTTTGGTAGCAAAGACTGGGTTAAGGTTATGCTGCTTTTCAATGTAGCTTTTTCAAAGGATGCTTGCAAATATGCACACGAATTCGAACACCTTTATTTTGTACCATGACTGCGATTTTTCGGATTTTACAGACTTCGCTAATTTTTCCGACCTAGAAGTTTGAGAAAACAGAGACATCATGCCTGAGGCAATGCATTCATGTCAAACTCAAATAATTTATAATTATAATTGTGAGCTTGAAATCGAACAAACTTCGTATCATAGTGATTTCCCTATCTTATAATCTTCTTAAAAAGCATGAAATATTAGCCTGAGATATCTCGACGAGAATTCGGCCTTTCCGGACAACGCCATAAACAGCGCTGAAGCCACCAAGCAAACAGCATTTGTTTAAGAGTGTAATTTGAAAAAATAAAGATCTGTCAAACGCTTTGAAAGTCCACGAACGAGGTTTGAATCAGATCAGCTGCACTAAGCAATGAAAATGATTTAGTGTGCCCCGCATTTAACTTATCTTTCGCAGTCCGAGGACAAATTTTCATTACATTAAAAACCTCTGCGCGATATCACACAGCCGTTTAACATGGTCTGAAGACGAAATTTGCTCCTGGGGGGAAAATTTGTTACTCAAAAGCTATTGTAACGATGAATCAGTTCGTTATAAATGTGGTTTGGGAATAAAACCGTTCATAAAAGATAACTTTAAGACATAAAGTTCATATAGAAATAAAACTTGATAATTGACTTGTAAAACCGAGTGTGAACTCATCGGCAAACATGTACAATATTTTCTAAACTTATGTTGAAAAAACAACCTCGGTCATTATATGAACATACTTAGAAATTCTCCAAATTTCCATCATACCAAGCTGAAGCTAGGTCACTTTATTAACTGTATTAGCCGTTGTTGTTCTTCATTGAGTACAAAAATACGTGCTACACTTCGAGGAGGTCTTTCATTAGCCATTAAGCTTTAAGAAAAAGACATCAAATGGTCCTACGAAACCGCAGTTTTTCTTTAGATCGAAATAAGTCCCCAGTTAGCTCGATCCTACATCTGGCCGGATTAAATAAAGACAGGTAATTTCATAGTAATGTTATCCGCAGAATATCGGGATTGTTTTGAAAACACAAGCCTACATGAAAAATAACACGCGGGCCGTTTACAGTGTTTCACTGGGACTTTGTTGTCTAAAGAGAAAGTTTTATTTTCGCTCCAAGTAAGTTTTAATAGCTTCTTATGGATCCCGATCATTTAAGTTCTCATAAAAAGCGGTGAAAATAAAATAAATTCTTGAAGGAATGCAGCCATATAGGTCAATACAACAAGCGGTCTTTCAGACGAATTTAAATGCCTTGTAAATTAAACGCGATTAAGCCGGCTCGTGAAAATTGAAACGCCCACGAACTATACTTGGCCGCGTTCGATGCCCACTTGTGACCTCGCGTGCCATGCGCGTGCGGGAGAGGGGGTGGGTTCGTCTTGTCTAGACCTTAACTCGAACCAAAACTTAACTGAATATGATTTGTTTTCCCATCATACTCAGAAGTCAATTTCTCTAAAACAAAAATACCAACAGGCACATTGAAATAATTGATAAAACCAAAACGCTTAGAAAATAGAATACCCCCTCCTCCCTCCATCTATTCGAACAAATGACCGCGAGGTCGGACAGCCACTCCGAAGATACTTGTAGCAATTATGTAAAAGAATGCCGACATTGCGCGGCGTGAGTTTGAAACTGGGAAAAGTCCAAATCGTGGAGAGCCTTGCCCACCGAAAACTCTTGTTACAAAGCTTTCTCAAACGCATCACATGACAATGCAACGGAGTTTAATGATCTTACATAAACGGTCGTCCCACGTACTGGTTTCAGCTGTGATTTCGAACGCGGCTTATTGCACTTAAACCGCGCGAGCTTCCATCTACGTGCGCGAAGAACTTGAGCTTATACCACACGCAAATTTACTCTGGAGTCATCTTTCAATCCTCCTTAACTCATCATGTTCTTTTGCTTTACCTGTCGAGAACGAAGAAAGCCGACACGCAGGCTAATATCATGTTATGATGATAACGTCATCACAACCAAAAATAAACAAGATATTGAGCAAAGAAGCGAAGAACAATGTGCAGCAGGAGCAAAAATCGAGCCAATGGTGACGTAGTTTGACGTATAATGGGCAAATCACGTTCTTGTTCCTTATACGAACTTGAAGTAAGAAAGTACTAGCTTGTTGAAAGTTTAACTGACTTCGTAGTTGGACGAAAATCGATGACTGTCCAACACAGCTTTATTGTTATATAACAAGGATGTGCTTGTTGGCGACTGCAATATGGCGATCAAATGTCTAGTTTGTCGGGTCAAGCCTAAACAAGTGCTGTTTCAAAACTCGCTCACCTTGATGTGCGCCGCTAAACCGAACAATGGCTATTTTAACCTTAATGTTTGTGAACAAAATATTGAAATATAACTTAGAAAAGGCATGCGTGTATCTTAGCTTCGTATCAGCGTGTGACGGAGCGATTAGCCGAAAAAAGACTTTTTGGATGAGTACGACAGGAAACCTGCACAACTGGTGAACCGGATGTGGTGTAACGATAGCAGAAGTATGGAATTCTTTTTATCTAAAACGAGCCTTGTTGTCAACTTACAAGGGCACTGGGTCAAAATCCCGTGACATTCTCACAGTCTTGGCAAAGCAAAGGAATATATCAGTTTTGATCCGGGTAAGGGAGGGGTGGGGAAGAGGGTGCTCTCCTAGATTTAGCCTAAACGAGTGTGTAACGCCGAAAAAGGTAAGGTTAAGGGGTCTTGAGTCCTAGGAGGGTATGCAGTGTTACTTTTCAATGCCTCACCAGGCAGTTTTCTAGAGCGGTAACCTTGATCGCTGCGTGATTTTGGTAATGCGCGTTCTTCGTGCACGATTCCAACTATTTTTTCAAAATCTAATTTAAAAAAATTAAGTTAGACTTGACTTCCTGTGGTGTATATGCTTTGGGTTACTGTCTTGACAGGGTCGCGAAATGGACGGATTTTTTCTTAAACAGGGTCAGGATTGAGGCCTCGGGGTAACCGAAAGTCCCGGGGGTATTGATAACTGAGACAGACTAGAGTCAGTAGGTTATCCGCTTTGCGCTTGCTCTAAGGGTCTTGCGGAATATCAAGTACGGATGAAATTTGAGAGCACCCATTTAAAAATGATCACGAGAGTAAAGATAAAGACTAAAAAAGCGATTGACTCGCAGTGCTGTCAGATTACCGAGATGATCTTGATTTTGTAGCATCAAGCTACAGTGATTACGCTTATTCTGCGAGCATAGGGTGCTGATCCTTCGCAGCTAGCACCCCAACATTCAGTCGAGTTTTTCTGATAGTTAACTGGTACCCAGTTTCCCTCATGAGTGGAGAGAGAGAGAGAGAAAGAGACTGTGAAACCCGAGTGTCTCCTCATCAACAGGATACAATGAAATGACACCCACCCACACCCCTCGACCTAGTAACTTTCAACCCAGAGTTTAATGTGCAAACCATTCGGTCTGTCTCGGTCTACGAAGCAAAGAGGCATATCAACTTTCAGAACCGGCAAGAAATAATCCTTGAAATAAATATTCATCCTCTAATAAACAGGTTATGATAAGAGACAACTTAAGAAGTTTAAGGTTGTTATCTAGATTTACTAACAAACTCTCAGAACTTATGTACAGAGAAACTTGTGATAGTTAAAAGGGAGAATTTGGAATCATCATGGAAATTTGCGGGTAAATGGGCCAAAGACGCGCGCCGATAGAGATAAAATACAGCAAGGATTGTATGAATTCATAACCTTAAACCCTATTAGAATTTTGTTGGGCACATCATTTGCTAGTCGTTACTCACTAGGAAAATATTTCCCATCCTGCGTTTAAATTCCGATTGGAAAATTGTAGCTTCATAAAGTTCCCTTTTCGTGTCACGTGGTTATTGCAATTTGCAAAAAAGAGAGAGACCCGGCCTAGTAACATCATTATGGTTACTAAGTAACTTGAAGACACACGCATGTTGGAGGTACACTTCCTTTTCTTCAAAGTTCCAAAAGGTCTGTGATAAATGATTAACCAGACAATATTACTCAACACTCAAGCTTTGGTTTTAATATGTACATGCAAATAAATACTCGTGAAATAAATATCTGTAGGTTAAGTAAAACCAATTGGACATTAATTTGTATGCCAGTTTGAGAAGTTCCGCCAACTTGTGACACCTTTGTGATGCACCACACTCATGTGTCATACTTTCAGGAAAATCTTCGACCCAGAGTTCCTTTCTTTTTTTCATTCATTCTTTCTTTTTTCTTTCTTCTCCGCCAATACTGTAATCTCATTTCGCGTCTTTACTTGTCCTCTGCCATTAGGATTGTCATTGAGGAACGTAATGTATACCACGTTCTTTATCCCAAGCCAGTGATTGTCTGTTCTCGCGGTAAAGTGGCTCGTACGTTTTATACCAGTTTTCGCAGTCAAAGGTGGGAAAGAAAAAGCCGATTTCTCTCTAGCGGATTCATCGGAGTCTATGAGAAAGCCACGTGATATTATTTAGTGCCGTGAACGTCAATCACGAAAGCCTGTAACCCGTGACACAGTGCTCTGTGATTGGTCTAGAAAACTCGCGTCACTCTCTCAACAATCAGATACAACTGTTTCATTTTATTTTAAGTTTTGATTGGTTTATTGCGATATTTCTTTTGATCTGATTACCAGCTGTGACGGCTTCGGTTTAAGTCAAACGACAATCAATCAAAGAGTGCACTGAGGCGAGGAGAAGCTAAGAAGTGGGAAGGGTATTAAAGACAGTAGCTTCCACAACTTGGCACATAATGTCGTTGCAACACCCTTTGCATGAAAAATATTCCTATTGTAACACCTCATGATATGATTGACCACGCAAAATTGGTATCGACGCAAGCTTTGCAGTAAGTGGATTCCAGTCCTACTTGTTGCAACAGCCATGCGTTAACGTTGCGATAACATTTTTATCCTATACAAAACCAAACCATTACTAGGAGAAAGTAAGTTAGCGATATTTTCCACTGAAAGGCGGGGAGGACGGTAACTAGAAATTTGATGGGGAAGCGAGGTTGTTTTTACACCTACCTTTACATCTTAACCACGCCTTTGGGGGATGTTTCCCTGGGCAACGTATAGCCCAAGCAACTTGCCTAACAACAGGACGACGGGTTTGAAGAAATTACTGATCAAATAATCACCTCAGAGAGTTACAGGATCAAGGATAAGCTTATCTTGGAATCATTCTTTAAAAGAGTGCTCTTAGGAGTTGAAAGCAACTTTTTCCACAAAATATCTCCCCATTTGTCTTCAGTTAAAGAAACGGAAATTTACCTGAGCCATGAGCAGCATTCCTCGTGTCGCTTATTCCGTACAAAGCTCGGATACTTGTTGGAGCGATATCTCTTGCTCTGAAGGAAAGAAAAAAGTTCAGTCAGACTATTTTCATAGCGCCAAACAAGCGTAAGGAACTTATCAAAGGCCGAGCCCAACAAAAAAAACATGCTAAATCAAAATATTCGAGGCTGGGCGCTTATTTACAGGGTGGCCGCTTATTCGAGGTCGGGCGCTTAATTGAACGGAAGCGGTAATTAGATTTTAGGAGATGCAAACGTGTGTAGTTGCGTAAAAGTCGTTGCACCCCTAACTATGGACTGGAAACGCGACAGGACTGCACCACTTAAAATACAGGGCATGATATTTTCAGTAATTTTTCGCTACGTGCAAATGTATCTTCAATTTGAAGGAGACTGCAAAATATCAATTCGTTAACAAAGGAAACACAAAAGGGGCGATAACAAACAAAGAACGGGCAAGAATGGCCAAGGATGAGAAAGATCGAAACAGGATGTTAGGTAAAAGTAAAGGACTTAAAGGCCATAATTTTTTTAAGATGCAACGAACACGTCGTAATCCATATGATACCTGTAAGTCTTGGTGGGACCCATCAGTTCCCGCCAGTGAGCGATACCGTTTGCTTTAGCAAGAATCATGGCTGTCATTGGGCCACTGAGAGAAGAAGGAGAAACGTTATTCACAATGACTAATGGTTTGTTTGAATACACAGCTTCAGTTTAAAGAGCTCAAGCTCAAAAAACTTAGGGGAAAAACTCAGACGCTTTTTTAGGTTTGATTAAGAGTAAAAAAAATATATTATTTGTTTCACCATATGGGGAGGACACTAAAAAATCCATAAGTCCCACACGAGGAATCAAACATCCACACTTTCGGATTCCATGCTCTGATACTCTAGTTATTTACTAAAAACAATTATCATCCTTCTTATTTAAGACTTGTGATGTTTAAACACAGAATAAATTAATGTCACTGTTGGCTGGTATATTTTGCAGTATTGGGGAGAGAGAGGTCTTTGTTTGGAACGCTTTACTGAAGCAGTGATTTATTTTTTTTAATCAAATATTTGACTCAATGATCTCTTAATCAATTCTCTCCTCAAATTTCTATACATTTCCTTGTAAAATAGTGAAGAGACTTTGGAGTAACATTGGTGGAGGATTAATGTCCCTATGCTCATCACCCTTTTGCTGGATCATATATTGATATTGTCATGAGAAGTTCCATGTTAATCAACTCTAAGATTTAAAATGGAAATATCAACGTCTTATAAGAAGACATGTGTCCTTTATTTTCTTGCATAAGGAATTCCTACAAATTTATTTTGCATTGAAAAAAGATTTGTACACAATATTTCTATTTATTTCAAAGAAAAAGAGGTGGAAGGTGCTTACAGACTCCAATTTTTTTTCAATACAAGGAAGGACTCTTTTGCATAGATACTGATAGATAGCTTACTTGGTAAATACATCAATTACCTGCTCATGTATCCAGTTAACCTACTGAAGAAAAACCGCTCTGAGGAAATAACAAAACAACAACTTTACTCCATTTGCTTCATGAACACCTTTTCTCAAGACTTCCCCCACAAAACTTACCTGTAAATTGACTAAATTTTGGAAAGGGGTCCTAAAATATCTATAATATCATAATGTCTATTTATCTAAGAGTTACTAATGAACTACCTGATAGTGCTACCCTTGTAAGTGCAAACATCAGGCTAGTCTCCATTGCAGCAGTTCTTTAGGGTATGATGCAAATTGCTATCTCAGAGACTGGCTAGAATGGTAGACTATGAGCAGTTCCTCCTTTTCCCATGACAGACTTTGCAGAAAAGGACAGACTGCTTCTAGACTACCACAATGGAGACTAAAAATGAAAGTTCTGTGTCAGTCTTCAAGAAATCTCGACAAAAATTTGTCGCCAATGTTTTCAAACCAAACTAGACCCCATAAATTGTCTAACCCCACAACTGTTTTGGATTATGTACTTTACAGCTTCGCAGGGTGCTTTTAACCTAATCTTAATGAATATTCAATACAATACAATTACAATAAAGAACATGAGAACTGCTCACCCCTATGCTCCTCATAAAACTTCTCTGCATCTTGAAGACTGAGAGAGGTAACTTTGGATTGGATTACAAGAAATCCACTGTTCTTTATGATGTTCTTTACCTCCTGTCATGGGTGGTAAAAACAAAAAATGCTAAATCCTCAGCTTAACCCTAGGCTTTTAGGAACAGTCATCAAATTTTGAAATCATTTTGTGATGCCAAAAATGGCCTCCATAACATATCCAAAACTTATGGCAAAAAGTCAGAATACAGAAATGCAGATCATTAGTATCTTCTTTAACTATGAGTTATGAGTACTCAACCAAAGATTCCAAACGCTATTTAATTCAAATTAAATAAACTTTGCATCAAAACTTCTTAAATCCAAATCCACCCTGAATATTCCGTGGTTAGAGGATTAAAGATTCACTTGGAATTACATAGGAATAAGTAAACAAACGATCACCCAGTCTAGCACCTCTTTGGTTTTGTGGACATTATTCTTCCTTATTCCTAAACAAATTCAAAGTCCAGTCAGTTCCCTATCTTACAATCTTGAACAATCTTGTCAACCCGATTACTATCTGACGTTCATCCTTTTAGCTGAATTCAGCGGTTTTTTCGCTGTCTAGTTATTCTCCATCCGTTGTGGGTGGTTATCCTCGATCTATTTTTCCAGTGGAGCCCTCATTATTTCTTCTCGGGAACACCCCGAGTACAACCAAACAAGATAACGACATCAAACCCTCGAGGCGGTGAACCTACCTTAGTTCTTACTGGGTGCATCATAAGGTCTGGTTTTAGAATTGCAAGCGTCAACTGAAGTCGGCTTCGACACATTTTGTGTAAGAAAAAAGAGTTGTAATTGTCAACAGGAAGACTCGTTCCGTTCACAGCGTCACAGCTGACACATGCAGTGAAGCCAGCCCGCAAAGTTTCTTTTTTCTTACAAAGAGGAAGAACTCATCATCGAAAAAACCTAAATTGCCGAAAAAGCTTTCCTAAAAGAACAAAAATAGCAAGAAATTGCCTAAAATTGCTAACGTTTTGTTTCAGGTGTTTTGGACGCTTGATCGTTTGTTCCAGGTATGTCGTCACGCACCTACAGCGTTACTTTAACATTCGTCCCCAGATTTCTCGCACCGTTCACCGTGGTCATAACATACTCTCTGCGAGATGTTTTCCTAGTTCGGCAAGACACAATCAACTTCGAGAAATAATTATAAAAGTTAAGTTCAGGCTCTAAGATGCCTCCGATTTTGGCAACAGGCTTTAGAAGAAGGAGAACTTTCAGGGATTATTTCTTTGATACGCTTCAAGTTGTCCATTTTTTAATAGCAATGGGATTTTTGTGGGCTGGAGTTGTTGAGTTCATCCGTAATCCACCGTACTTCGATGCTTATGGCGATGCAGCTACGTTGAATGATTTGCCAAAAGGACTGTTTGAGGTAAAAAGGCTCTGAGAGTCTCTTGATTTCTCTTGAATGAATTTAAGTTTGATTTGGATCTGCAAAGCACAATCTATTCACTTACAAACTGGGCATTTAGAGATTGTGCTCGAAGCATATTTTGGATTGATCACGATCATTCTTTTGACCTTGATCCGACCCGAACATGATTGATGCAAGCTCAACATACTTTTTAACAATTTCATGTGAGTTAAGAATCTTAATTTTAGACTTTATTTTATAATTTTTTTAATTATGTTAGTTTTGTCGAGCATGAAAACATTGGAATGTAACTGAATTTGAAACAAAAGATTAACTTAATTCCTTTTATCGTTTTGTTGAATATGAATGACGGGTTTCTTATGAATTTTTAGACTAATCCAAGGAATATCAATAGAGAGGTAAGTGCAAAATGCATAGATTGCCTGATGTAAATAAACACTGTTAAGTATGGAAATTCTGTGACATTTGCATCCTGCATAACCATACATTTAGTAACCTTATTGACCACCCCCGCCTTAAACTATCAAGTACATTTATGGTGAGAATCAAATAAATTATTGATTGAAGCAAAGCGCATGGGCACCCTAACACTAAAATCAGGTCTTATGTTTTTGTTTGTTCTAGCAATCTCTTCGCCTCATGGATCTACCAATCCTTTTTATGCTATTGGTAAGTTAAAAGATCACAGGATTAATCAAAATTAAATAGGGTGTCAAGGTTGACTGGGAGTGAAATTACATATTTGCTGTGTAAACAAGCCAGCTCTCTATGTTTCAATCTATCAGTTAGTATTAATTGTAATGTCTTTATTCTTTTGATTTAAAAGTTAAATTGTGATTGTCTTTATTTGTTCCTCATTTGTTTATGTGTTTGGTTACAGTCCTATTTTGTTGTGTGCTGGTGGTTAAAGTTTAAAGGCTTGTCCTGGATTTTAACAGCTTGTATCACCCTTGTACTGCTTTGTTTCTTCTTTGTTAATTTCTGGGCCTCGGATCTGTTTGACTGGAGGTAGGTAATCATCAGTAGAAATGATTCAATAATGGTTTCAGCTCCAAAAGTGACCTGGTAGTGGTTCTTCCTTATCCCATTAACTCCCAGGATCTCATTAGTAATTCTCCCAACTGTCTGCCACACAGTTCTTGTGATGTCAGTTTGGAGAATTTGGTATTGGATCAACTCATTATCCCCTGACTGATATTTCCTTTATTCTCATCACTTGTCCACTTGATATTTTGTTGATATTGTAAGGAGAAATTCTGTCTTGGTTACTCATGGGAGTCAAAGGGTTAAAATAACGATACAATGGTAAGCAGACATGTGATGGGAAGAAAAATATCAGTTAGGTTTGATTTATCGTTATACTCTAACTGCCAAACTAGCAAGTATTGTTTGGCAGACAGGAAAGAGAACAATTATTGAAATCATGTGAGTAAAAGGGTTGATGAATATTGCGACATTTGTCATTTAAAAGGTGTGTGAAGAGCATTTTAACAGCATGTGTCAAATGGGTATCTCTTCCTCACAGGGTTTCGTTCTTAAGGCCTACCTGTGGAAAACTTGGACTCAAGCATAAGTTGTTAAGCCTCTATGCCAATTTGTGTAAGAAAGCACACAACCTAGAATTTTAAGCCCAGGTTTTCTAATTTGCAATGAGTTGCTATAAAACTACATGAATCTGTTTTCAATTGTTTCCTCTAGATATTACAGACCAAGAATGAGGGGTCTTGAAACCCAAGTATTCACACTTTCACTGGCTCTCACAACAACATATGTTGTGTTGTTCTACTCAAGAAAGAAGATGCCATTCAAATTTAAGGTATTTGATCATTTGGATTTAGTCAAAGTTTATGAGCTGATTATAAAATGAGGTTACTGAGTATTTTCCTACTTGCACAGCAAACATCTCTCAGAGAGGCATAATTGTCAATTGAGAGTAAGCCAAGGTCATCGAGGAAAAAAAAAGGAGTAGGGAGTAGAGGTACTGTTAGGGGTGGTGGTGGGGGTGGTGGTGGGGGTGGTGTTAGGGGTGGTGTTAGGTGTGGTGTTTGGGAAGGTGTTAGGGGTGGTACTAGGAGTAGAGTTACAGGTGGTGTTGGGGTGTTATTTGGGGTGGTGTGTTGGAGGTGGTGTTAGGGATGGTGTTAAGGGTGGTGTTAGGCATGGTATTATGGGTGGTGTTAGGGGTGGCTTTAGGAGTGGTGTTAGGGGTGGTCTTTAGGAGTGGTGTTAGGGGTGGTGTTAGGGGTGGCTTTAGGATGTTAGATGTTTAGGGGTGGTGTTAGGGGTGGCTTTAGGAGTGGTGTTAGGGGTGGTGTTAGGGGTGGCTTTAGGAGTGATGTTAGGGGTGGCTTTAGGAGTGGTGTTAGGGGTGGTGTTAGGGGTGGCATTAGGAGTGGTGTTAGGGGTGGTGGAGAACAGGGAAGGAAAGAATTATAGCTAATGACCACAGAAATTTTTCTTATGCTGCCCTGCCCTTCTGTTTTTGTTTTCTCACATTCTCCAGTACAATTACAAGAAATTAATAATAATAACATTGCTAAATGACCTTAAATTTCAATAAAAATATAAAGTTGAGGTTGTTGGGTTTTCTTTATTGCCCAACAATTGTTGATAGCAAAGTGGGACTATACCACACCTACATCTTCACATTTACCTAAATCATTTGATTGATTTTATCAACAAATTTTTTTTTTTACAGTCCACCCTTCCCATCCGACCATTTGGGAAGATCCATGTGTTCTGCAACTTTGCAGCAATGTTTGTGATTGTCTACTTCTGTTTGATAATGTGGTTCTCCAAACTCTATGTATCTTGGTCTTGCTTCAAAAACTACAAAGAAGTTTTGCTATTATGTCAGAGCACCACCATGGTAAGTAGAACACAAATCTTAGCAGAAAGAGGGTAAGCTTAAGTAGTGGGGTGTTACAACAAGATAAATTGGTTTCATTGACCAATTCGACAATTTAGATTGGCCACTGTAAAGAGTTTCTAAAGCTGATGTAATTGGGAAATGGTTACTTTGTGATGGTCTGGCATCCCAGCCAGGGGAATAAGCTGTACTCCTAGCTACTTTATGCTCTGCCATGAAGGACCACTTGAATCCAATGAAAACTTAACAATTCACTTAACCTACTACTCAACACCTTTGCAAGGCACACTTCTGTCAAAATGGCATTCCCTGATGCCTTGATTTTCCCCCTTTCATCAATACTCCACCTTTTAAGTCACAATATTTTTTGACATTTAGGTACAATGCTTTCCATGTAATAGCTGTGATCCAGATGGATTAAAAAGCTGTGTTAGTGAACAACACAAGATGTTTCATTGTCAAGAGGTTCTAAAAGATCAGGTAAGATGTAAAGAAAGAACTTAATAGTAAACTACTGCAGTGTATTTACAACCTGTTGTTGAGCCTCATTGGGACTACAACAAATACCTCAAGACAACTGGTGTCTTAATTCCTCTCCTCAGGGTATCTACAAAAATAAAGCAAAGATCATAATTTATTTCAGATGGAGACAGACATTGTACTGTGTGTCTTATTAATTTAAATTAGCCATTACTTCAGAAACAAGTAGCGCTCGTGCTTCTGGAGAAAACTGCCTCCATGGCAAGCACCCTTAGGGACATAAGGCTACAACTACTTCTTTCTATTTAGCTTGTTCTGTGGAGCATCTTTTGCCTCACAGCTGAGTTCTGTCTCTAAGGTTGCCTAGCCACCTCCTTACAATGGACATTTGACATTAAAATTCAACTCATTCCATCATTTTCTTGCAACGTATCTCCTAAGGTGGTGATCTCTGTGAGATGAACAGCATACTGTTCAAAAGAGAAATATAATTGTTTGTCTCATGACGTGGTCACTTCCGATGTGGATCATAATGTTTTAGTTGCATACTTTAGTCTTCTGGAGGTGATGAGGTCGACCCTGTACTGTTGTTGTTTCTGAGAAAAATCACTCCTTTACCACTTGAAGAACGCATAACCTCATCTTTACATCACTGTGAAGTATGACTGAATGATATGAAGCACCCATTCATATTCCCTCTTCTAGTAACCTCTGTAAAACTACAATAGAAGATTCCATTCTGGAAAGGATTAGTCAGAGGGCACCTTAGAATAACGAGTTCTTCGAATGTTTCTGATTTTTCAGGGAGCCGTCTGCATCTTCAACTACAACCTCAGTGTCTTTGTCTTTCTCACAGGTATTACAACTTAGAAGTTCTTATTCTTCCCTTCTAAAATACCTACCAAGGTACATAAAGAGCCTTGAATTTAATATAAGGTATTGAAATTTCCAAACTAATGGTCAAGACCAGGGAACATTATGAAAAATTACCTACTGAAAAAATTGGAAGAAGTCTACCAAAGCCGTAGTAAGTACTGTTCATTATAGCTTGGTTTCTATTTTAAAATTCATTGTGAAATAATAATCCTAGTTTATTGGGGGAGTAAACCTTACAAACTTGATAGTCTCATCCTCAAAAGCCTTGGCTAAAAGTCTATTGGTTAACACTGATTTTTTTTCAAATATTGAAGTTGAATTATGACTGAGTGAATTTTTCTACATGGTAGCTGAATCAGATGAGACCAAAACATTCTATCATGATAATAATAGTTAGTGAATTTTCAAATTTGAGGCCAACCCTTAACAACTGCCCTTGTGACAGAATATTTCTGTTTTCTTAATGGTTTCTTTGCTTCCATTTGTTTTCAGTTTTTGCCTATGTTGGTGGCTTAGTAGTGTTTCTTAGCAAAGTCTTCACCATCTTGCTCCATTACACATTTCGAGCATTCTTCCTCTTCATGAAATGGTGTCAGATTAAATTTGGTGCTAGGGAAGGGCACAGAACTAGCATGGATCTTCCTACCATTCAGGATAACATTGCAAATGTGTCTATACAAGAACCATTCCAATATGTTGAAAGGAACACTGATAATGAGGCCCAAGTTACAGACAATAGCTGTCGTTTAAATGCCAGTATTGATACATGTCACATAGAGGAAGGTGATCCATTTGTTGAAGCTCTTGTGGCATAGTTTTCATGACAGTGGAAGATTCAAGAGAATTCAGATATTAATGGAATTATAATAATTTCAATCGCTCTTGTTTTGTAATGAACCAATACCTTCATCCCTCTAAACCTCTTTTTATAACAGTTTACACACAAATCCTTTGGTTTATCATCAATACAGCTATTACAGAGTCCTAAAAAAATAATTTTTATTGACAAGAGAACTAAACATTGTCAAATTATTATAGCATGTCTTTGTAGTAACAACTCAAGTCTAGTATCTCTAGGATATCACATTATAATTGAGTAAAATTCTCTGCTGTTTTCTAACGTAAATTACCAACTTTGATTTTGCCTCAAACCTTAAGTAAAGAACACCAGAAAACTGTGAACACTTTCATTGGTTTGATTAACAGTCAATGATTGACTGACCAATCACAAAAATGTTCAAGAAAAAGGGCATCTGATGCCTGATTGGTTATTTCCTTGAAACACAATGACATTCCATAAATTGTGTTAACAGTTTTCTGAGTGTAAAAATAACATTATCAGTGATGGAAAAAAAAAGGTATGTTAAATGTATATGCTATTGCTAATATCTACAATTACCATGTTTTAGGAAAGGTTTTGAAAAATAGCCCCATTCTCTGTCACGACAGAAAGAATTGAATATTTTAGTAGCTAAAGAAATGTTAATATCACAAATTTTTCAATTTGAAATGTATCATTCAAATACTGATTTCACGCAACAGCTGGCACTTCATTTGCCCTTAACACCGTAATGTCAGTATACATATTCTCCATACTGTTCTCTATAGATTTCCTAAGGTGCCAACAAGGAGAATTTGTTTAACGATCAAAAGCTTCTTTAGTTGGTGATTAATTCTTTTGTTCTGATGACCTTAATGTTTGATTCTGGGGTGACAGTCACTCTACAGGGTCCAAGGGGTAATTTAATGAAAATCTTCCCCCAACTCGTTATGGCAAAAACACACTACCATAGGCTGGCATTAAAACTATAAATTCATTCTACATGTATATAAAGAACATGTAAAATTATTAGATAGTTTCTATTTTCTTGCAATTTAACCTTAATGTTTGATTCAGAGGTGATACCAAAATAATAAATTAGATGCTAGTTATCATTTAAGTGATGACCTCTTACAAATGTACCAATAAGTCATACTTTTGTTTGCAGGTATACATCAAAGTAATCAATTGAAAATTAATATGACCAGTTTTGAAGACACCCTATTTTTTTAATTTTCATCTTACATTAACATAAGTTTGGTCCTGAGAGACAACTTCTCAGTGCCTAAGACATATAAACCCTCATGTCATCGCTGCATCCATAATGTACATTCTGACTGTCTCAACTACTGTAAAGTGGCTTTCATTACTAGTAAGTTGTATTCGTTTCCTACTTATGACAATTTGTGAACCATCAATTATGATCCTTTCTACATTATTAATAGAAACTAATGAGTAACGCTCCAATTCATTGCTGCATCTAGAAATGTGCCTTCTGACTGTCTCAACTTCTGTCAAGAGGTTGCCATTACTAGTAAGTTTTATTCATCACTAACTAATGATGATTTATACATTACAACTTTTAATAATTTTGTTAAGAATAACTAAACAGTTTTTTCTTATCAAATGCTTAACTGACAGAGGCAGGTGTCTCAAAGATGTATCCAAACACCTTTAACTTTGCTGTGAATTGTGTGAGTATTCAGAAAACAAAGAATCAACTTCAGCACCTAACATACTGTACTTAGCTTCCTGTTAACAAAGAAAAACAAAATGATGTAATAACTTCCGTTATAAATATCTTTAAATCATATTTCAACAACATCATTACCCAAATTATTCCTCTATCATAATAATTAATAATTAAGCATTAATAACCATTCAGTTGTTTATTAGTTAAAATGATAGTGCTAACAAAATAAAATTAATGTCTTTTTTCCATCCTCAAAATTTTCTTTGGCAGATCCCTACCTTGAAGTATAATTATCATAGAGAAGGGGGGTGGGGGTGGTGGAGAAGCAGGTATGTGAAAAAAGTAGGAAAAAACAACTGTGAATATATAAAACAGATAAATTTGAGATGCAGACAGGCACCCAAATAAATATACAATTCCTGCATGCCTTGACATCAACCAATTAGTGTAACTGCCAAAATTGGGTCCTTTTTTAATATCAAGAACCAAGAGCCCACTACTCCTGCGAGAACTAAACACTTTAGACAAAAGATCTGTAGCAAGCACCAAGGAAAAGATATATGCTTGTGCTCCAAGTCAAATGTAACTGAGCCTAAGCTTGGCCCCCTAGCCCTCGAGACCTCTGCAAACAACTTCAATACACAAGGAAAAAAATAAACACAATCCTGATATAGTTATTCTTACCTGATCCAGTCTGAGATACTCTTTGCGCAGAACAAGAAAGAAAATTATAAGAGCAGGAATCAGGAGGAACAATGCCAAATCATATGAAGTAAAATACTTCCATGGTTCACCTGAAAAGAAATATTAGATATCATTCACCTTAACCCTTTAACTCCCAGATCAAATTTGTAATTCTCCTTACTGTCAACCATACCATTCTTGTAATGTTAGTTCAGAGAATTAAGTATCAGATCAAGTAATTATCCTCAAATTAATATTCTTTATTCTCATCACTTATCTAGTTGATATTGTATTGATATTGTAAGGAGAAATTCTGTCTTGGTCACTCATGGGAGTTAAAGGGTTAAAGCCAGTAGTCACTTTAACTGTAACCTCTCTTTTATCCCTCCTTCCCTGCCTTCTTAGTCCTTTTGTCATTGTTATTGAACTGAGTGGAGTGCAATTAGGTCTGAAATCATGTTACTGTGTGATTTCAAAGCCAAGCAAGGCGACCTTTAACCACCCCTTTATAACATTTATGTTGAAGGGGCAAAATTCAGTTACTCAGTTACAGGATTTTTTAGGTAGTACAAACACTACCCCTCCAACAATCTTCTGATCTGGCAATCATCTCTGAAAATCCTCCTCTCTGATTTCCCTTCCTCTACAAAGCTCCCCCACCCCCACCAGCACTTTGAGTCTTGAGTACCCACCTATCCCTAATAAGTATTCAACAATCATGAAAGGCCTGTAACAGTTAATACTTCTTGGAGGAGACCTCTTTGTTATGTACTCACAAATTCCATGAATATCATCAATACAAGATGACCAAACAATGGATGGAATATCTGCAGGTAGAGTGATGAATACCCCACCAGCGAGAAAAATCTAGAAGATAAGAAGAGTAATGATAACAAAAATATAAATGAATTCAGTTTCCTCTGTTCAGAATGTTTCAGTATATTGTAACAATTTCAGGTAATTTCTGTACTTCTTAGCTTGTAATGGTATTTTGTTGAACCCAACATGGAAATGATTACATTGGAATATCAATAATAATGCCTATACAAGCTATGATGATTGAAATCTATTGGCTATTAGTGCTGTTAAAAAAGATTTAAAAACATTTCTTCTTGGAGAGCCCTTCAGTCCCCCCTCCATCATAACCCACAAGTCTACTTCTAATATAATTTCTACAGAAATTTTGTTCTTCAAGAACACTTTCAGGACCTTACTTAGTTCAGAAATGATTTTTTTCATTTGAAAATAGCAATGGAATTCCTATCTTTACTTTTAGTAACTGTCTATTGAAAGCTTAACAGTGTGGCTGTACCATGAGGTGAGAATATTATATTAATTTTTAATTTCCTAGGAAGTTTAATTCTTCTGGCGAAAATTATATGTTAAATTTATTTACTTACAGTATACAGTAAATGCTGAAGTTACTCTTAATTAATTCAAACTCACCTTTGTCATGAGTGTTGGGCCCTCTTCATCATCATACCAAAAAATCAAAATGACCCAAATAATTGTCAAAAGAGCCTGTGTCCAAAATAAGGCCATGTATGTCCAAAAAAGTTGTCTCAAATGGCTGCAACTATTAAAATAAAAATAAGAAATATTCACTACTCAATATGATTGTAAATACAGATACAGTATTTCCTGGATATGGTATTTCTGCAAAAAGGAGGGGCACTCAATCGAGGGAGGTGCTCATTAATGTCCTGTACTGTATAGTTGAAGCTTAAAGATATAAAAAAAAGTGGCAATAGAAACAGGTATTCCTTGTATCCATAATATCTAAGAAAGTGAGGGAGGAAGGGGGGTGCTTATTTGAGAGGGGCTTGATATTATGTCTTAGGGGCTGGGCGCTTATTTGGGGTAGGACACTTATTAGAGTGTAGGTACATTAATAAATTGATACTATATCAAATAATATCACACCAGATAAACACTTATTTATAATAATTCAGTTGATTGTATGGAAATTAAAATGGAACTACCTCTGTCAGTGGAGACTTGACCAAGCCAAAATGGAGATTTGGTTTTAAATATGTCATTCAGGAAAGGACAATCATTGGCAGCAATGGCAGAATATGTAAATTGACTCACAAATTTAAGCAAGTACTTCAAAGAATACTTACATACAAGCTTCCAGTATTGTCAGAAACAGTATTACCAATAGTACTTGTACTGTGAACAAAATGATCACTTTCTTACTTGAAAACTGCGGGTTGGTGATAAAAACAAATCAAAAGATTTTAATCAAATATTCATTGGTATGGTTGTTAAAACAAAATGCAATTTTTCAAAGCCTTCCAAAAATGGTCCGCCTGATAAAGCACCAACATGATATACTAAGTCACGGGTGGAGGAGTAGGGGGGGGGGGCAAATTTATGTTTGGTAGGACTTTTTCATTTGAGCAGCACTGCCCTGTGTTTAAGAAGCAGACAATGTTCTTGGAATATTTGAGTAAGGGTATGCATTTGGCCCGGTAAATGGAAGCCCCCCACACTTCATGGTTTTGACATTTAAGGGATATAAAACTACATTTTTACATCAACCTCAGAAAAATTAATTCTACCAATAAGAAGAGATTTATTTAACCAATCAGATTATATTGCTATGAGAAAATATGCATAGACATTCCACCTTTTTAAAAGAAACCTTGCGTAAATGGTGCAGCACACAGCAGAGAGATTTCTCAATTAATTGAATGTATAGTGAGTCTATCAATTGCAGCAAACATAAAACTTCTTAACTCTGCATATGGAAATTAAACTTCAAAAATACCATTGTTGTAATTCCAGTCCGTGATCCAGTTTCAGTGCTACTTGTACTGTGCCCTCCCGAATTCAAACTCCTTATTTCCTGCATAAGAAATCCTGGTTTGGGAAGAAACAAATCAAACCAGATTGACTGTATCAATAACACTTACTCATGGTACACCAGTTACAGGATTGTTACAGGAATCAAATGGAAAAAGTGTTCATGCTAGCTGAGGAAAGAGGAAGGTTCTCTCATACTAAGTTAAGGGCTGGGTTCATGTTAGGATATTAGATGCCACCTGACCATGTGACTCATTTGTTTATTTCTTGCCATATGAAACAAAACAACAGCTTAAATGTACTTGCCCACCCACCCACCCATCCCCCTTCTCTCTTTTGTCACCAATTGGCATGTTGTTCCTCTGATATCAAGCTATGGCAAGCTTGCCAAAGGTTTATTTTTTCAGTAATAGCTTGCAAATTTACAATAAATTGTGATATGTTTGTAAGTGTTGGCTTGAATTGTCAATAAAGTGCTGACGCTTTCTTTGCCTGGCAGACAAATGGCATTTGGTGTGTGAGAAATGAAGAAAGTGTCATTACATATCAATAATCAATAGCTACCTGATGATCTAAACTGCCATTGATGATTCAGTGCACATAACAAACAAAAAACCTAGAAAAAAATCAAAATAACCTAGTTCAACTCAGAAATTAAATAACCAATCATAAATTTAAATTTAAAAAAATCCATTAAATCTTTCAACTGAATACCAACTAAAGGCTGGACTTAAATGATACTTTCAAAATGGAAAAGCTATTGACATTTTATTTCTGGGAATGACCAACAAGGAATATCTCCTTACATCCTTAATACATTTTCAAACAAAAAGGTGATGCAAAGAAGAGGAAAATATTAACAACAGGATATCACTTGATTTACTACCAAATTCTCAACGTTGTAAGTGTAAGAAATGTATAGCAGACAGCATGAAGAATTGATATTCAGACCTTGTCTGCAAAAGTCCTCATGATACCATCTGCTCACATTGTTAACAGAAGTCATTCAACCCTTAAACTCCCATGATCTGATTGTCGATTCTCCCCTCTATGATCTAGCTGCTGCACATTACCTTGTAAACTAGTCACAAGAATTTAGTGTTTTATCAAGATAACAATTTCTACCTGACGAGTTTGAGTATTCTCATTACCTATTTGCTGCATAATGTATGGATATTTTGGGGAGAAGTTACACGTTAATCACTTGTGGGAGTTAAAGGGTTAAACCAACATATAATTATTTTGAGGATCACCCTTAACCACATTTTTTAAAATTTTCACAGTTACATTTTTCGTAAATAAATATTTACTAAAAATCATAATTATGAATTGACAAAAGAGATTACACCACATTACTAAATGTTAACCCTTCAACTCCCATGAGTGACCAAGACAAAATTTCTCCTCACAATATCAAGCAGACAAGTGATGAGAATAAAGAAAAATATAAATTAGGGGATCAAATACCAAATTCTCACACATCTTGTACAACAGACAGTAAGGAGAATTATTAATGATATATTAGGAGTTACAAGGATGATAATAATACTATCTAATATGTACTTACTGGTGAACAAAGTTTCAAAACAATTCGTAAAACTTGCAGAAGAATACATTTAGCATAACATTAACGTAAACTTCAAGTTTAAAAACTGAATGATCATACATCACAAATTTGAATACCTCTTGGCAATAACTTTATGCAACAGATATGACTTATCTGCAAAGAGCTACCTCTTCTTTTTTTGATCTTACCTCAAATGACTTTAACACTCCATCTAAAAACACAAATACATTTGCATTGGTTCATAGTCATTGTAACTGTGATAAACATATTTGGCTGGTTATTTACACAAGGTCTACCCCATCTCAAGCCTATAGTGCAGGCGACAGTCTTACAAGGGTGAGTTAATGTTAAGAAGCTTGTGATCATTTATTCAACTAGCCATGTTTGATTTGGAGATAGAAGCGGTGGGGGAGGCAGGCAGCCAAAGGCAAAAATCTTCACTCCCCCACCCCCACCCTACTCCTTACTTTTGACCATCAACTGCCCCCTAGAAACAAATTTCTCTCCTCAGTATTCTACTGCCATTAAATTAAAAGATTGCCACCATAATTTTCCCCTAAGAAAATACTGAGTAATCTCTTGCCAAAATTCCACCTGCTCTGCAGGCTACCCTAACCCACAGTTTTATATCATCAGTGGGCCTCCAGCTTTCTCAATAAGAGGGTTGATTTGATTAAATGAATGTCCTCCTACTCTTAACTTTTAACCTCTTGATGCTGTTCAGAAATATAAATTTTCAGATAAAAAGTTCAGCTAAAACAAGGATTGTCTAGGATGGCATTTTGTTAGACAACAGCTAAAAAATGTTTAAATGATCAGACCATTGAGCCTTGCACTGTTTTTAACTATGCCCAGTTTACCTTATTGGGATCAAAAGCAAGAAGTTAAGATTTATGCAACTGTAGGAATATTATTGATTGTTAATACTGCAGATACCTGCAATGAAGTAGACTTGGAGTCCCACTGGAAAGTGTTGAGTTACACTTGAGTAGATACCTGCTCCAACAGCTGATCTAGACAGAACAATGGTTCCCTCAGTTAACATTATTGAACAATTATTTGCTGAAGGCAAAGTGTATGTTGTTGAGTAATCCCAAAGACAAAGCTGTTCTGCTGATTCCAAATTCTGTTGTAAGTTTGTTTTGGTGTTGAAACCATTCTGGTACAATTGTTTTGTTAAATGGTATTGAAATATGCTACCAGTTTCCACTAGAATTTAACAGGTTTATTTAATTCAGTCTGCAAAAACTTCATATCTCTCTTTTGAAAAGTGTTATGCCAAACTAAATGGCATCTTTTGTACCAGCTAGAATTAAATTTTCTTCAATGGCCTTTATCATGTCCTTGCTAACATTTGATGCTGCCAACATCAGCCATTTTGAAAATTAACGCCCCTACTGTAATCACCTTTGTGAGGTAATTATAGGGAGATATGACACAATCCTTAACCAATCAGAGCATGCACATCTCAATAATCACCAGAAAATTATACTCTAACAAACTTATAAAGTTTTTGCTGATTGATCAAGTGAACCTATCAAATTTTAGTGGAAACTGGCTCTTTATCTCAATACAAGTGGTCAGAACAATTAAAACAGAATGGTTTTAACATCAAAACAAACTTTTCTTATATGTTAATAAGAAATTACTGATCAGAAAGAAGTTGAGCATGATATAATACAAAAACCCAATTCATAAGTTGTTTTATTCTACATTTTTTAAACAATCTGCAAAAGAAAAAAACACTATTGTGGGCAATTATACTAAAACAATTACTTGCCTCAGGCTCACTGAAGATTGTTGAATAATCCCCCTGACTTTGTCTCAGGGACTATTCAGAAATATTCACTGAGCCTGAGGTGAATAATTGTTAATTAGACTTACCATGAAAAATATGATTGACTGATAGCATTCAATTTTTACATAATAGCATGTAAAGTTGACATGATAAATGCAATACCTACAGTGGATTGCACTTATCACCATGATGCCATGTTCAAATTCAGGTTAATTTCCAAGCCCCTTATTCATGTAATGTTCTCAAACTTTTGCAAACTCAGAGAGAGGTGTTTTTTTTTCTTTTGCAGAATGTAGAATTACTAATAAATTTGGTTTTTGTATTATATCATGCTCAACCTCCTTCTGATCAGTAATTGCTTATTAACATATAAGAAAAGTGTTCTCATTTGTCTTACACTATAGGTTATGCAAAATGAAAAAATCCTCAAAGCCAAAGATACAATTTTCAGTGATCAATCTGCACTACAAATGCCCTGGAAACTAAACTGTAGTGGTACCAAAATTGACGTAACTAACTTATTAGGCTACAAACAGCAGCTTCTCTACCTACCTTATGAACATGACAATGAAATATGCAATCCAAGCATTGTTAGAGATGACATTACTTCGAACAGTAATGTTCAGGACAGTAACACTGGAACGTAACAATACAAAATGGTTCACTTAAACAAAATACTTCCTTCATTACAAAACACTTCTGAAGGTATGTCATTTTATTTTTGTTAAAACATATTTCAAAATAACAATGCAGTGGATCAAAATATCCAATGCATCTGTGATTGCCAGCCAATTCATTCCACACAATAAATTTACATTCATGTTACAAGGGGTTTAAGTGTAATTTCAAGTAATTCTTCAGGGCTGAGTTGTTCAAAGCTGGGTTAAGATAACCCTGGGTTAGTGTGAAAATTGGTTTCAGATCTGAAAGCTTAAAAAAAAAAATACAATTTAATTATTTCTGTCTGTAATTTGATGATTGGATACTCTAAAAAGAATAGGAAAAATTATCCTAAAAAGGCTCATGAATAGAGAAAAAAAGATACCTGGATTAAAATTTAACCCTGGGTTTGCGCTAACCATCCTTAAACTGGACCCATATGTTTTAAACCTTCAAGTACTTCAACCATCCACTGACCTGTTGTACTTTAGACAAGTAACAGTACTAAACAAGACACAGAGGACTGCAGTCACAATGTAAATGGAGAAAGTCACTGGATGATATGGTACCCCTGAATAATATGTTCCTGAATAATTTGTCCCTAAAGAAATAAAATGAGAAGATTTAACTTGAAGATAAACCCTCTAACTCCCAAGATCTATACATAAACTCTCTTCAACATCTGCTATATATTTCTCATACTAAAAGCTTTGGGAATTTGGTGTTAAAATCAAACAATATTCCCCAGTTAATGTTTTCTCTTTTTCCATCACCTCTTTACTTGAAAAGGTATTGATCTGGTAATGAAAAATTCCTTTTTGTCGCTCCTTACAAACAAAAGGTTCATTCAGAGCTAGAGAATGCGATTTTGACTTAAAATCTTATCAAGTGAAGGATTTCTAGATTCCAGTCTTCATGTATGTAGTGATAAATTTTTCAAAAGAATATATAAGAGAGTTGTTGCATTTTTGACTTCTGTTCAAGAATTCTTTGTCATAAACAGCCAATTAAAAAATTCCAATCAATTCAAAAATCCCATGACCCCAGACCTCTTTGTTTCTCATGCCAAGGTTTCACCAGCTAAGAGTAGCAATAAAGGCTATGGGGACAAAAATGGCTAATGAGTGATTTCTTCATAAAACACTCAAGGATGAACAAGAATTAGTCACTTAAAAAAAAAAATGTTAGTAATACAACTAGCCTCAGAGCTTTAAGAGAAATGAAAAGGGCTATGCTCGCTCCAGTTTACCCACCAACACAGTCTACCATTTACTAGTTTTCAGTTTCTGTGAAAACAGAATGTCAGCTCAGAAAGTAAAAGCAAGGAGACACATATATTTAGATGTGGAATTCACTTTACAACTTGAAGTAATGCAGAAAACTTTAATCCAGGTAAGGAAGCTGAAATTTGATGATTTCCCCTAAAAGAAACCAGGGTCTTAGTTTTCCAGGTCTTGGGTCTTAGGTCTTAGGTCTTAGCTTTCCGGATACCCAAGATGGAAGAAGGGGCAGAAGAGGTAGGAGCAGATGGGTTAGAAAGTAGATGCAAATGCTAAAAGATAAATATCCATTTTTAATCATTCATCTGCAGTACTCATAACAAAAGGGGTCAGGAGTCTGTAGTCAAATCAGGAGGAAGCAATAGGATAGCTTATAAACCTTTGTTCAAGCAGGAGATTTGAATCTCTTTTGCTCCCCTTCTGCAACTCTCATTCCCCATTAAATTGTCCATCACAAAATCTCTTCAGCTTTGTTACAGTTCTTTAATATGTAATGAGACAAGGGCAACTAATCAATAAGATATTGCCATATTGCTAATTGGACCTCATCATTCCATATCCTGTAATTTTTTAAATACTATTATTGGAATCTTTGATCGTAAAAAGTAAAAAAAAAAAGATTGGAAATTGAAACTGAGATGCTAATGAAATGTTGGGAAACAAGACCAAGGTTACAAAATCGATTGCAATCAGTCAGTAACCTCCATCAGTTTTCTCTAAACAAATAGGACATCTTTTCCAGTTCACAGGAGCGACCAATTTGTAAGTTTTCTACTCTGTGTACACTTGGAAAGGTCTGTACACCGAGTTAAAAATTAATAGAAATTTGAAACTCAATTAGCACCTCATCGAGGGCTACCCTTTAACTGAACTTATGCTCATCAGCGATATCAAAGGTACTTACTATTCAGCTAGAGCCTTAGCTTATAAGGGAAGGCCGACACTACTGTTTCGTTGCCTTTCGTTTATTTGCTTACCGTTGCAGTTTCCGTTTAGTACGTGAAGAGACGTCAAAGTAAGCCAGTTAGTTATGTTACAGACCATGCTTCTGCAATCTTGGTTGGGTATATGCAGAGTGAAGAATCCCAGACCTTGCTGTGAGCTATATCATCGACCGACATTCACCATCCGATTTGGAAAACAGCAACGTTCTGAATCCACGTTGATCATCAATTACTAGCGAAACTTAGTCTTTAAAAACACCCGCTGTCCGGTGAAGTCTGACGTTTACTCAAACTCTCTCCCTCTCTATGGGGATACGTCGCTTCGTTTGTCAACTCCGACTCTCCGTCCCCCTGGGGAAAGTTACTCGGATTATTCCCGCCATCTTTGCGATCGGTTTGTGGCATCGCGTGTCGCAACATATACATAAATTATACAGGGATGTTAAGAGGAATGGCTGCCACAATCAGAAAAATAGTAAGCACTTCCAAAGCTCCTGGAGCCATTGGACCTTACAAGTAAGATCAACAAAGTTAAATACGAGGGAGTGTGCGTCGGGGTACAAAGACAGACGACACTGATTAAATGTGCAGACAAAAATAAGTAATTGAAAGTCTCGCTCACGTGCATTGTTTCAAGTACTCGTTAAGTTTTCATTTTAGACGGAATTTGTAAGTTTATTTTTTGGAAAACCTTTGCGATCGGAGAGAGTCGCTCTCAGGAAGGAGAGACAAAAACGTTGCCCCTCTCCACCCTCGATGGTCCATGAAGCAACTCGGTTTAAGTTACTTCTCCTAAGATTTACACATGGCTACTCTAAGAAAGATTGTCCATACTTCGAAGGGAGTTCAGCCGATTCGTGGTGTGTACAGGTAAATATTTCGAAGAAGAAGTTACGAGTATGCCCGTAGCATCGAGAGAAATAGAGTTAGAGGGACGTGAAAGATCGACCTAAACGCATCAAATTGATACCCTGTTTCGGACCAAAAGGGGTCTTCAACAACACTCCTTGGAGCTGTGCATGCCTACATAGCCTATGTGGAGGAGTTTCTCCCTCCCTTCCTGGGTGTCAATCGTGAGATGTGTAATCATGTGAGCTGAAACGAAGTCTCGATCACAACCAGAACGACCTACAACATTTTTTTGAGGCCTCACCTTGAGTAGTCTCATTAGGCCTTGAACTCATGACTTCCAACTTGCACATCAGTTCTCTTGCCAACCAAGAGAACTGCTGTGAAAGTGGTAAGCTGGTAATCTAAATAGTGTTCTAAAAGAGACTCATATTGGCTCCTTCCTATTTTGAACAGCCAAGCTGTAATTGCAGACAAAACAATGTATGTGTCTGGACAGCTGGGACTAGACCCAAACGTGAGTGTAACCATAATTAAATTAAGATAATTCGCATCACGTGACAGCATGATGGGAGGCATGTTTACCAAGTGATTAGGACACAAGATCAAGAGGTCCCAATTGGAGTACTGGCTCCTTTTTCGTGCTTTATTCTTGGAAAATATATTCCTATGCTTGGGAAATCCCTCAAAATTCAATGAGATTACCTAAGATGAATAAGGAGCCTCTTCCCCCCCAAAGTGGGAGTAGAGATACTCCTGGTCTCTTCATGCCACAAAAAACTGGGGATAAACACCAGAAGTTATGGACTCTATAGCCACTTGACCTGATTCCCCATCCTCCTCCTCCTCCCCCCCTCCTCCACCTCCTTACAAAGACAAAGGGCAGAGTTCTTGCAACCTTGGCATCAGTGGGGGATGATGTTGGTAGTTCAGATTGTATATAGAATTAGTCTGTCAGTGGCATCAGCTTGCTGAACCAGGGTAGCACTTTGAATACCCATTATCTTCGACTTCAAGGTGTTAGTCTCAGACTGACAGAAGTCATTTCCATAACCCCCTTCAAGCTCAAATTTGAACTGACCACTGTAAAGACACTGTACTCACTCTGATGATAACAAACAGAGATACTTTTTGTTTAAAAATATGAATCCCAGAAGGGTTAAAAAGAAATGTGTACTACACCCTTGAACAGGTACTTGTAACTACTTTACCATTCAATTTGATATAAACATTGTCATATTATTTTTATATTTTGTCTTTTTGTCATCTGGAAAGACTATGGATTTTGTATCAGATGATGTCACAGAGCAAACTAAGCAGGTATTTTGAACAAAAGTATGTTTAATACAAAGCACACCACACTTCCTATGAAGAGAATTCCAGTTCTATCTCATCTTCTGTCCTTATTGACAATATTGTCTCCTGAGACCTACTTTTATCAACCCTTTAAGTCCCACTAGTGACCAAGATAGAATTTCTCCTTACACTATCTGCTCAATATCAAGCAGACAAGTGATGAGAATAAAGAAAAATATCAATTGAGGGATTATTTGTTGATCCAATTCCAAATTCTCCAAACTAACATCATATGAATTGTATGACAGACAGTAATGAGAATTACTAATGAGATCTTGGGAGTTAAAGGGTTAATTAATTTCTATGCTGTTTATATGAAGGCACTGACCAACATGGGCCATATTCTGGAGGCAGGAGGCTCATCATTTGACAAAGGTATGTAACTTGGTCATGGGAGGGTTCAAGCCCCAGACCAGACCAACACTCGGGTCTAAAAAATAACTGAGGAGAATGTGTCACCTTTGCTATGACATCTGTAAGTGGTTAGACTTGCTGGTCTTCTCAGCTAAGGGTAATTAACTATAAGCCCCATCTCCTACATCTCCTCTGTACTGGTTGGCAAGGGAGGTTAATGAACTCACGCACTTCTTGCAAAGAACAAGGAATACAGCTTCTGGTGTTGTGGTCTGGCCTTGTTATTATTAATTAATTTTAAAGATTACCCAGTAGTAGTTACTATATAGAAAGAGGTGGGGTGACAGAGGAAGAAGAAGAAGAACTTCTTATACTCTTCATTTTATAAGTATTATAATTTAAAGTTTGCTGTCCAAATAAAAAGAATGGCTTCAAAAGATTGCGAGCAGCAAGCGATATTTTTACTTTTGAGTAATGATATCTATATCAAGTTAGAAGCACTTGCACCAATTCTTGTAGATTATTTTGTGAGCTTTTGATTTAAGAATGTAAGGGAAATCATCAGATCTTGACTGTCAACTTTTAGCAAACTAATCATGGCATGTTTCTAATATGTGAGCAAAATTTACATTTTAGTTGTGAAGACCACCGTTCTATTGGCGGACATTGGAGACTTTGCCAAAGTGAATGAGGTTTATGCCACCTGTGAGTTTACTGTCATTGATGTGATTTTCAATGTAACGGTTGTTAACCCTTTAACTCCCAAGATCTGATTGTTAATTCTCCCTACTAGCTTCTAGAAGTTTCCCTATAACTGAGTTACCAGAATTTGGTGTTAGTTCAAGATCACTACTCCTACCTGATAAGTTTTAGTATTCTCATCACATTTTTTCTGAATACTGTTTGGATTTTGTAGGGAGAAGTTACATGTTAATCACTTCTGGGCGTTAAAGGTTTAAATGGTTTTTGTCTATATAGTGGGATTCATGGTGATCAACTGGATAGCTTAGTAGAGTCAGGATTGAAGGGTCTGGGAACGAGTCCTGGCCAGAGTTTCCATTGTGTTCAGTGGTAAGACTCATCACTCCATGACTCTCCTCAGCCAGAGTTCAAACAGGGTTGCCTGCGATAATGAGGGTAACCTAATGAGATTGATTAGTTGATCCAGTATCAAATTCTCCAAACTAACTTCACTATAATTGTATGGCAGACAACGAGGAAAATTACTAATGAGATCTTGTGAGTGAAAGTATTAAGGGTTGCACTGTACTCTGATTGGCTTTTAGTGAAGGAAAGCATTCCATATTGTTTATTCTTCACAGTTTTCACTTCAAAACAGCCAGCCAGGGCAGCCTATCAAGTAGGAAATCTTCCCAAGGTAATAAACATTTCATCCATCAGAAAATTTACCTTTTTTTCCTTTTTCTGTCAAGGGTAGTAGAGGGGAAGGCTATCAGGGTACACCTTGCCCCTCTCTGTCTAGAAAAAGTGATACTTTTCACAAAAGGTGTTTCAATTAAATGCCTTGAAATCAAAAACCAAAGTACAAGGTACATAACACAAGGAGCTAATGAAAACTCAAAGTGAAAAAAAACCAAGCTGGGTAACGCGCGTGAAAACGCGAGTGAAAATACGCGGGGAAACGTGAGTGACCATATCACGATATAAGCTGATGTTATAAGGTTCTGGTCGCGATTGGTGTATCTTTTGTATCTGATTAGCTAAGAGGGTGGCGTGGGTTTTCTAAACCTACACAGAGTGACCTACAGTCCTGGTTTACTTTCGATGCTCGATTAAAAACTCTCTGTAGCAGAAAAAACCCTGGCGTGCCCCCAAACGGTATTAAGACGTTGGTTTGGTATCCACATCCTGGAAAATACTGCATAGGTCCCAGATCATAATTCGCGCGACTCCCAAGGTAAAGATACACTGAAATAAGGAATTTTTATATATTTCTTTTCAGTATGGAAAAGTTGAGATAGAAGCAGTTGCGATTGTGGGTGAGGTAAAGGATGAGTAGGCATTGATGTGATACTACGATAAAGACACAAACTAATCCAAACTATAAAGAAAGATTAGAATCTTCTGTGAGTTTAAAAAGAGAGAAGTGTAAACTCGCTTAAACTTTGTAACGGGTAGGGAATGATGAATGCTCCAAACGAAGTCACTAGTGTGAAATAAATGTTTTTGCCTTTTCAGACTTGGTTATTTGATGATTTTCTTCTTTTTTCGGTCAGGTTTTTTTTTTTACAAAAATAATATGGGAACTAACAAAATATTTAGAAAAACCCATATGATGAAGACCCCGTTAAGCTTCGTGGAAAGCTTATTCTGCGTGTAGTCGAGTTAGCCTCGGTCCGCTCTCACGCAATTTTGTTCTTCTAAAATCTCTTTACGCCTCGTGTGATGAAGAGGAACAAACCCTGGAGGCTCTTGACGTTCTTGAGGGTGATTAGATAATCTGTAACAAGAACGTCGCTCGATACGTGTTTCCTCTTTTTGTTCCCATCACTGTTTAATATCGTATAAATTTGGGCTGGGTCTTTCCATCAGGGTTGATTAGGAAGGTTTTATTGTCAGAAGACACCAGACAAAAAATTGCTGCAACTCGTCGCGGGGGACATGGAAGACAAATTTAAATCTTTGGCTTTGCGACAGAATTTTTTTCGCCACCATAGGTAGCACAAGTTAAAGTAGGTTTAAAAAATAACGTTTGCAGCGATATATTAGTCGCAGCGATTTGTTGCGGTGACACGACGCACGAATCGCTGGTTTGTCGCTGAGACCAACTAGTTTGTCCCAACCAGGTAGATAGCGCTGTTTAGTGGATAAATCTTTACTTGGAAATAAGGTGTTAGGAAAATGGATCACTATCCACTAGGACCAGTTGCTATTAAGAGTGCATGTCTATTTAGTGTCGTAAATCCAGGGCCGTAGTTATCGCAACGAGCCCGCATTGACCATTCCAAGTCAAAGCAAGCCATCTCTTCAAGGCGTCGAAAAACGCGGGTGATAAAAGTCGTGAATACAGGGGATATATTTCTACAGAAACTGTGGTGCTGCGTCTGTGGGAGAGGATAAAAAGCTAAGTTAGCATTATCAACTGAGTTGATAACGTAAATTGGCCACTGTGAAGAGTTCAAAGCTTACGTTTCGAGCGTTAACCTTTCGCCAGAGCGAAAGACAAAGGACTAACGCTCAAATCCTCTTATGCTTTTTTGGCAACGTCGAAGTTATTTGCCTTCTTCTTACGGTAGGATTTCTTCTTTGCCCTGGTTTAGGTCACTGCAAGTAAGCTGTAATGGCATGGAGATGTTGGGTGATATTCAATGATATGTAAAAATTTTTAGAGCCAGAAGCGTTTTTTTGATAAACTTCAGTATATGTTAATAAAGATTCTCTCGTTGAGTGGTGCAGAACGGTTCTCGAGTGTATGATTAATCCGGTTTGAGTTTTGCATCTGATTGGTTGGGATGCTGGAAAGAGTTTTCTAGACCAATCACAGAGCAAGGCACAGCAAAATCAATGCAATTGCGGACTTTCAAGGTCGGTAATTTTCAAATGAGTGTCGAAATCAATCCTGGTCAGTCCCGGATTGCTCTAAGCTAGCTTTACTTCGCTCCGTGATTGGTCTAGAAAACACGCGCTCCTCCCCCATGCAACCAATCAGATGCAAAACCAATACCAATCACGCCTTGCTCATAAGCGTTTTCCCGCGCTTTACGCAGTTTACTCGTTTTCACTGTGCCTTCTCATTGACTCATGAAGCTATTTTCCCTTGTTCTGATTGGCTGTTGTGATAACTCTGGATTTGGTTTGACGACATTCAATCGAAAAGCGCTCTGTCGACGCCTGTCAGTCGGTTTCTTTGCAATCGTTGGGGTAGTCCTTTGGTTTGTGAAGTCAACTTAGGAGGGCTTACACAAACTACTTGCACATAAACAAGCGGTGATTAAACTGAACCATGGGGAGTTTCGATACGGTAACGAGAGAAGCGGAGAAGGAAACGCTATCAACTCCGACATAGAACTGAGTTTTATTTCATTTAACAAAAACAGTTACAACAGTTTGAAAACCTTGACCGGAAAGAGTCAAAAACTGTTCTTCACAGCTGTTTACAAATCATCTAAGAAAATCATTGTAGTATTTTAACAATGTTTCCTGTCATTAAACTCGTCAGTATGTTATCTACTACAAACTATACTATAGCATCATCAGTGATCAAGATTTCTTTTAGCTAAATCGATGTTTTACCCAGACCTTCACACATATGAGTTACTAATTTTCCTCTCTAGAAAATCACAGTCTACGTCCAATTATACTACAGAAATAAATCAAGTTCTGCTTTCTTCAGTATTTACAATCAATTTTCACATCCACATGCCTCAGCTTATTTATAGTGTAAACTATTATCTTCTGTCATAGGGAAGTAATTGTAAGGCACCGAGAAATAGTGAAAATTACTGGTTCTTTTGATACGTAAGTCTTATGATTTAATCATATTCAGTTTATCAGATTTCTCAACACTTACAAATTATCAATCTCTATTTCTCTATTTCATAAGGTAAAACTTTCCTTCTCTTTTAAATACATAGTATTTTATCTTGCGTTAAACTTAGATTTGTGTGTTTTATTTTGAGTTTAATGTTTTTAGGTTTGGTGTTACTAGAGTGGCGATTTACTGTTTTGCCGATATGTATTCAAGTAAACCTTGCGTATGATAAAAGCTGTAATTACTGATTCAGATTCAACAGATCTTCTCAAGGCCTGTGTCTCTGAATACATAGATACGTAAAACCTTCATGGTAAAAAGGGTCATGCTTCAGAACCCAGTTTTTCGAACGATAGATAAAGCTGTCCAGCAGATAAATCTTTATCCAGCGGATAAGTGCTAACAAAACGTACTACACTATCCACAAGATAGAAATTTAACCACTGGATAGAGTTGTCCACCTTAAGAACCTACGTGGACAAGGATTTTGTGTACAGTTCCAGACTGTAAAATTGGGTGAAATGATAGGCGTTCAGTGTTTTTACGGAAACCCAATACATTTTTAACTGTCCTCACTAGCCGGTGTTTCCTCTTGCGGTGTCGCGTCTTCGCTTTTTTGCGGTTCTTCAGCTGCTTGCTGTTCGTCGGCTTGAGGTTCTCCATCTGCGGGATTTGATTCCTCAGCCGCAAGATTCGAATCTTCGACCGCGGGCTTCGCTTCTTCGGCCGCAGGATTCGCTTCTTCAGGCGCAGGTTGCGCTTCTTGTTCCTCAGGTTTTGTTTCCTCGGCCGCTGGTTGTGATTCTTCCTCCGCAGGTTTAGATTCTTCGGCTGCGGGTTGCGATTGCTGTGTTTGATCAGCGGCAGCTGGCATCTCTTCTGCGTTTTCTGCTTGTGATGGCGTTTCTCCGTCCACTTGTGCAGCCGCCTCTTCACCTTCCTTTGCTACTTCTGGTTCTCTTTCAGTTCCTTCTTGCGCCTCTGTTTTCACAGCTTCATTCTGCTCCTCTACTTGCTCAACATCAGGTTTATCACTACCGCTGCTTTCCGCTGCGGCCTCGGCGTTCACTTCACTCTCAGCCGGTTGCTGAGTTTGTTCTTCGTCTTTACTGGGAGCCGTGCTTTCTTCGCCTGATCCACTCTGTTCTCCTCTTTTGTCTTTCTTCGTCTCCTCTTCCTGTGGTTTAACTTGTTCGTCTTTCTTTCCTTGTACAACTTCTTGTTGAGATTCCTCCACTACTTCAGGTCTCGATTCTTCACCGAGAGGATCTTCTCGCGGTTCGTTCTCGCTCGCTTTCTCGGAAACGGAACTTTGTGGTTTACCATCTACTTGAGTTGGTTGCTCTGAAATAAAAATAAAACAATAAACATGCATTCCCGTTTAGCCAGTAGTATCATTTCAAATATTCCATACGTTTCCTCGACAGTAACGCATCAATAACCCGCTTCAACATTTCTGGGGTTGGTTTTTTAAAAGTTGCAACTAATGGATAAAATCTGAAATAAAACTTGCAAATTATTTCGAAACCAGAGAATTGCTCCTGTCAATGCAAGTGCAGAATTGGCCAATGATAACTCCACTAGAGGCACAGCTAAGGAGTTAGGTATTTCAGCTGTAACAATACTTCATTTGCAGCCGAGTTTCCCCACCTTACAACACGCAAGGCGCGTTTACACTTGCTGGTTCATTCCCTCAAAATCCTCTACCAAAACACAGCGCCTAAAGGTTGACGAGGCAAATTTCTGTACTCCATAGATATCTCCTAATAGTGTCGCAAAAGAAATCTGATAACTCCCAGACTAAGTATACCATTCTGATTTTTTTCTCTGTCACTTCTCAGTTGTTCGTTTTTTCGTCACCGACATATTGCAAAAGCGCTAGTGGTTCAAAGTTATCCAACGCTTGGCAGCTGTTTTTTATCTTATTCAGAGTAACTTATGGTCGTCTAGCAATGAAGTATAGACATTAAATACTCTTTTACTTCGACTGTTTTCGTCGAAAACGACTGTGCATAAAGTAGCCTTCTTCACTACACAGAAAAATAGCAAATTGACGAAGGAACAAATTTCTGACGATCGAATTTTTTTCGTTCGGGAAAGCAAAACTCAAGACCTAAAAAGTTGTTGACAATTTAGCAGAATGAATAATTTAGCTCAAAGGCTACACGGATGAACGATTTCTCTCCACTCATAAAAGGAAGAAACTGCTGACAAGCTTTGTTCCAGCATGATATCGATAGCAACTATTCATTTGTATCTCATGACAAAAATTTTAAAAACACTTTTGTCTTGAAACAAACACTTCAGAATAGACAAGTGAAAAAATAAATAAATAAAAACCAATGAAACAAAACACGACACGGTTTACATCGTCCTCTCGAACATGCTTAATGCTTATTTAGCTTTATCGAAATAAAAACAATTTCGTGGTATTAATTAGAGTTGAGATTTAGACAAAACAAGTTTAATTTACAAGAAATCCGTTGCGCAATTAAAAAACGCTTCTGATACGGCTATATATATTGTTTAGTCTTAGTTCATTTCCTACCATGGCAACTGTTGCAGTTTTCTAATCACAAACCATTTGTTCATTTTATTCCTTTCTACCGTGCTTGATTAAATATTATTGTTCACTACTGGGAAAAAATATTTAAATGTGCTTTTTGCAACTGAAAAAAATTGCTTCGATTTGTGAAGATTTTCATAGAAAGATATGTATTTCGAGGTTCGCCACACTAAAGCTGTATATTGTATTTGTTCAATGCAAACTGAAGTTTTGGATGTATAAACACATGGGATTTCCAATTGTCAGTTTTAATCTAGAAGATCAAGCGCATTTAAAATGATTTTCATTTCGCCTTTATTCCCATTTTATAACAGCTGGTATATCATGGCAAGGGTTTCGTGTTTTTTCCCTACTAAAAATTGAATTTTTATTAAAAAAAAATGAAAGGTTTCAGAAATATGGTTAGTACGAGTCGTAGAGTCTTTCAATTATGCGTGCTGAGGATTTAAAGTTTACTTTATGTGTCCACACTAAAATTAATCGCTTTCCGACTATGAATCGTTCTTTATTAGCATGGTTAGAGGACACATGCTAAAACACGTCAGAATATCTCTCATTTGATAAGAAGCTTGTATTCTAATTTCTCACATGTCCGCTCTTTCCTTCTTGTAGTAAAACGATTTCCCGCTGTATAGTTTTGAATTCAAGTAATATGTCTCCAACTGGTACATACAAACTTAAAATAGGACGGTGTATCATTGATCGCGATCAGCGCGCCAATATAGCGATTTATTCTGAGATGGCGCTTTATTTATTTCCCAGCATCAAAAATGACCTTTAAATTCTCAGTTTAACGACGGTTTATTTCACAATAAGCCAGTTAAATCCTATTAGAAATCACGATTAAAGGGTAGTGCGAGGACGAATTACCACTTCTTTATTTTTGTGTGTTCCCCAAACCGCAGTAAAAAAATATCAGATTTCATTGTCGCGCAGATGTTGAATCGAAGCGTAAGCATCTTAACAACTGACACCACTCGATTCTTAGGAAAACTGAACCTTTATTTCTTCCCGGGAAAAACCACTTAAAGCAGTCTGTACATTCAGTTACCTGTGCTTGGGGCATCTTTCTGATCATTTACCACCTGGTTATTTTCTGCAGTTGTTGTACTTTCGATCTTCACGGGTTTCGTGGGAGCGACGTTTGCTTGGGGTGACATCTCAGATCCTCCTTGGTTCGCGGCCGTTTGAGCAGCAGCGACCTGAACTGGTTGCGGAGTTCTCTCAACGTTTCGCGCCTGTGCGCTTGAAGAACAACCCATAGCGGCTTACGATAAAATAGAGTTTCCTCTGTTTTCTTTGTGAGATGAGCGACTGTTTCTTTAAGGCTTTTCTGCACCACTGCGTTTGGTAGATGAGAGAGTGATTGTCACGCGTGCGTTTGTTTTGTGTTTCAACCGGTAGACGAGTAGCCTTCGCTGTTTATGCTTGTTTACATCCGTTACCAGGCAACAGCTGTCAACAGTAATTGATCTGTGGTTGGGATGAATAACTCCGTTGCTATTTTTCTGTTTGCAGAAATTACAAAAGAAACATCTTAACATAATAATGCCCTGCTGGTTGTTTTACAACCTTAAATGCCATATAATCCATGGCAATACGAAGGTTGTGTAAACGAATATGTACAATTAATGCTTTCGGGTAATTATTTTCTTCATCATCCCACCTTTCATAATTTATTGCTTTGGCAACCCTAAGGTCCAAAAATACTTTTTCTCTTGAGTGCGAAGTAAGTAAAGCTGCTTCTGCGTTTAAATTATTTTAACAGATCGAAGCCGTGTGTTATTTTCATCACCCGATCAATCACTTTTCAAACATGGTGTACATTAAAAAAAGAAGAATTTAAGATTAAAATTTCGGCATTTACCACGCTTCATTTCCTAGTAATACTTCCTTTCCCCAGCGGGTCGCATTTAAATCAACTCAACACAAGAGCTTTCAACCACTAACAATTCTAGCAAAACACTTCTTTGTGCGTTTCAAGTAATACTGTGCCACACTCAGAGTAAAGAGTGGCATTTTCCTTGCACTTTGTTTGTCGAGACGAGCGAAAAAGTAGGAGGAGCAAGGGAAAATTAAGCGGGGGCGAGTGGGTGAGGGGGGCCGCTCTGCCAGCTCAGAGCTAGACACAATGTTGGCCCCAGTCTAGGGAGGGTGGTGGGATAGAGATGCTCGTAAAAAATAGGGCAAAATCCTCCCCCCTATTAAAAATGGCAGTGCTGTTTTTTTTTTTTTATATGAGCCCTTCCAAATTTCCCAAATCAAATTGCCAGGAAAAAATTCAAATGCTGCATTTTCCTTAATCCATGAAGTCATTTGTTAGTTTCTGCCACCACATTATCCAGAAAAACTTGATCAACACATTTTCAATGTAATCTTACTAAATAATACATAAGCATTAAGTGCCCCTTTTGTCAAATGACTGGGCACTGGCGTCTTCGGGTCGACCCTTTATATACACAATGTGCATGAGTAAAAGTTTTGAAATACGACTACAATTTATCACTTTTTGATTCCAAGGAATTCAACTGTCAGATGACACTTCCTATCAGCGATTCGTGCGTTGTAGAATATTTTCCTCCTTCATGTCCACCCTAAAACGGAAAACTTCTTACACGAGGAGGATTTTTTTTTCTTTTTCTGGCATACATTCGAAGCTAAAATGAAGATCCTTATGTATGGCGTATTATTACAATTTAATCAATTTACCTCATTTGCATCAATTGGCTCAGAACTTCGTAACTTTCGTGATGAAGGCCAATTTACATTCTCTGTCTAAAATGTCTGTCTGTCTGTGACACTTCTTAATTAAAAAGCAACGAATTGCCAATACGAGACATCTATAATTTTTCAAGGCTGGCATCTATTTCATTAAATATGTTGTTTTCATAAAGAACATCTATACATTTTATTTTCCACTATCAGAGAAAAACACTCGGGCTCTTCCAAGCCATACAAATTATTCCTGAGAATGAAAAACATTGCAAAATACAGTTTGACGTTTCTCTTTGCCAATCATTTCACCGAGCTCAGTAGTCTTCGGATTAAGTGAGATTCACTGTAAACATGAAAAGCGGAGGCATCAAGCAGAGTAATAGTCTAATAGGGGTAGAAGCGGATACATGAACCCGTTTATCGTGGCAATTAAATTAGACTCACGATTCATGAATTTTCACGTTTTACACCTGGAAATCATGAATTACCAGATAAAGTCAAATAAATCATGAATATTTCACAAAATTTTTGATGAATCATGAATCATTGGGCTAGAAAAAGACAGGAATCACGAATCTCGACGGTAAAATAATTCTGCTTCCAACCCAGGAATTTTGAAACAAATATTCGATGAATTCAGCTAGTAAAGTAATTAACTTTTTTTTTCTTACATAAATAGTAAGAATGTATCTTCTAATATCATTGAGTTTCTAGTACGATAATTGTGAGGGATCGACAAGTAAATGCAAAGTGTTGAATGACACGTACCTTGGTCAAAGTGTTAGCCTGAAAAAGCTGTTGTCGACCGAATCTTGTACAAAAGTCATGATGAAGGACAGGAACATCATAGAAGCTAGAGGGTCTTAAAAAATGAATATATTTGTATTCGAAACCACTCCTTGTAAGAACAGTGGGTATTTGCGAGCTTTTTCCCTTAAGCTTTTCTCGCACTGCGGGATTAGTTGATTATTTTGGAGCAATTACCATGAAAATAAAGAGCGGAACAAAGTTTCCACCTCTTTCAAGGTCTTATTACAAAACTGTTCATTAGATAACTCGGACGGTGCCTTTGGAAGCAGTATTTTTCTCAGCTTTGTTAAGCAGTATCTCCTTGTTCGCTTGGATTATCTTTTAATCACTCAAACTTTGAATTATCTTCGCCTGAGCTCGCTTTAATTGTCTTGATTGTGACTGCCTTTTCATGTCAGCCTTATCGGCTGCCTGCATCGAGGGTGAAAGTTTCCCTTCTTCTTCCCTGAAGGCTACAAAATGCTTTGCAGAGACTTTGAAGCACAAATCAATTTATGTAAAGTAAAAGAAAAGGCTTCAGAGCTTCGAGATGGGCATGATATTCACGTCTCTGGGTCGTTTGAAGTATTTGAAAACATAGGCATGCGTAGCATGTAAGAGTTATTTATTCGGCTGGGTGGATTGAGGTGGGACAGTTTGTGTACTTAATGTTTTCGTTTTTGTCACCGAAAAGAGCATAACTTTCAAAACGAAAATATCGCATAAATTCGAAAGACAGAAAAAAAAACCTAATTTATCTGAACTCACACAGATATTATGTGGTCTACTGTCTCTATTATCTTAACACTTCTAAGAAATGAAATACATCGGTGCCACGTTTATTGTTGTCTCCTTCGCAGCCGTTGTTTGGTCTCGTCACACAACGCCCCCTATTTCACGGTTGTGAAAGAGACTACGCCAACTGCCGTCCCTCTAACATATAAAAAAATCAAAATTATTTGTTTACAGTTAGTTACCTCAAAAATATAATTTCGAGTAATTTTACCACGAAAAGCAAACTGAAACTCTGCTGTACCTCAAATAGACCCTGACCAAAGATATATTGCGATCTCGAGTAAGTGAAGATACATTGAACAAGAGAAAACGATACTATTTCAAAGAGGGTTCCTTGATTGGTTGTCGCCTATCTGGACTTTGCCCTCTGTGTGTTAAATACGTGATAAAATGCCTGTTGTTTTACAAGGAATTAACCGGCAATTGGGTTAAGTCCAAGGTAGCTTAAAGCGACTTTAACTCGTCAAAAAAGTCAAACGCGAGAGAATTGCGTGGAAAATCCAATATTAGAAGTATTTAGTTTTATGTGAATTTTTTTCAGTGGGGTTGGACAATGCGTTTAGAATACGTGGTAAAATCCAGGCCCCGGTTGTTCGAAGGTTGGGTGGATAACGCGATACGTTTTGCTATCACTTACCCGCTGGATAGCGATTTATTCGTTGGATAGTGTTATCCGCCCTTTATACAACTGGGCTCAGGTTGTTAACAAGGAAATGACACGTGATAGTGCGAAGTCTTATGTGGAAAAATGGAATTTGATTAGTGGAATACAGTTCAATCACGTGAAAAATTGCCTAATGTTCATGTAGTGCAGTGATTGGGTATGTTCTGATTAAACTTTGGAAGTTGTTTTCATGGTACTTGATGGAATGTAAGTTGTTTGGCGTGTGCGTTGTGAGTAAAGGAGAGGCAAAAACACGTTTTAACTTTGAAATTTAAAGGGGAACCTTTCATATCCCAATAAATCTCGACCTTTATCAACGAGGTTCTCGCGAAGGCCACAAACCATTACACTTAACATTCTTTGTGCACAGCTCCCTAATCCATGACATCATTTACAAGAAAACAATATCCAAACGCTGTGATTGGTGCAAGATATCCAAATGCTGGGATATGATTGGTGCGAGGTACATACCCTAATGTGGCAACCTGATTGGTGCGAGATACATACCCTAATGTGGCAGTCTGATTGGTGCGAGATACATACCACTCTATACGCTTTAAAAAAAAAAGAAAAAAAAAACCTGGAAAAGGCTGCTCCGCGCCCCTTCAGCAGTGAATCTGGGAACTTGTACATTGTCGCTGACACGAGCAGCGTGGGCTCGTGAAGTCAATTCCCGCGAGATTTGCACGCGATTTGTGAATGATAAACTGACGCAAAGTGGAGGTTTAGCACACATCTGTGCTTCGGAAACGTCTTCATTGAATTGTCCCAGTCCGTCGTTTATCAAGCTCCTTAGATTTCTTCCAGACGTCAGATAATCTGTTGCCACTTAATCATTTCCTCTACAACCTCAGCTGATTCACATGGGACGCGATGGACTTATTTCGCCATTGTTTAAACGCTGTGTAAAGAGAAATTTCCTAGAGAACCAAAATTAACAGGTAAGACACTTAACAATGGACACATTGTCTTTATGCGCTTTCAAGACTTCATTTGCACAAAATCAAAGAACTCCTAGTGTATTTTAACAAAGCCTGAATTAATCCTTAAATTTGGCGCTTGAATTAGTTAGTCAGCTCGAGCAAAAATATTTCAGTAGCCACGGTAAAAAAATTGTATCGGTGACAACGTTTTTCGGATGGTATCCTTCGTTTAAAATGTTTTCGGAACACATTGATTATTTTTAAGAGTTATGGTATAGTGTGGTAACTTTCCTGGTACTTTAAACCAAGACATAGCCCCGAAACAGTGATGGAATTACCTCGAAAGTACGTTCAGAGTGAACTCGGGTGTGAAGGCATTTCTCGCTTGGCGTCAGGGAAAGAGAGATCTAGTATGAAAAGCGCGACTATCGGGAACAGTTCTCGTAAAAGTACTCTCTCTTCTTTTCACAGTGAGCGATACGAGCCAGCAGTTAAAGTTTTATCGACCTGTGATCAGTTCTCGAAGATTAATTCCACGAGTGAGTGTCATGGTGTTGTGAGGTCAAATGTTGCTTCTGGGAATCATCAAATGTCAAGTTTTGAACGGGCTTGCTACGAGGATTTTCAAACATACATCCCTGAAATTGCACAAGAAACGCAGTTTATCTATCCTAGAAAACTTTACGAAAACAATGCAGTTTATGGTGGTTTATCTTCACCTAATTCAGTTGTCAATTGTGACAATGAATTGACACATTATTCCAGTGCCAATAGTCACACAGTCACACCAAGTTCAAGACACTGCTTGTATAATGATAGATTGGATGTCTTTGCTTGTGAAGGCCATGAAAGGAAGGTTACACCAGGGGCATCCAACATGCTAGGGGGTCCTAAGTTCATGGATGCAACTTTCAGCTCATGCACACAAAGTGGATATCCATGGAAACAAGAATTACAACCAAGTCTTCATGAAAGTATGAGATTTTCTAAGGGTGCATACCGAGGTACACCAAACAAGGTCGTGAGCCATTTCAATCAGTCATTATGTCCAACTGTGAGTATCCGGGTGGATATTTCATGTCCACTTTCTTCATGCAGTGAGGATAAAGTGTCATGCTGTTGTGGAGATGCTTATTCTGAACATCCAGTGCAGAATTCCCATTGTTTTGGTGAGGTGCTGGAGAAACGGAATATTGTTGGTTACAGGCCAAATGAACTGCAAAACATTCCTATGGCAACAGTGAAAAGTAAGGTAAACTCTTGCAACAATCAGATTAACTGTGGTCATGTCTGTTCCAGTGGTGGGATTGCTAGTGCATCAAATTGGCAGCTTAAATCAGATTGCTTTCCAGAGGGAAATTTCAAGCCTTTTCCACAAAATCTAGACTCTCCACTTGAGAACAACAGCTGTATAGAAAGGTGGAATAGTGGAATATTCGACATGGGCCCAGCTATGCTGAATGGGAATTACATAACGGATGAAAAAAGATTGTGTCCATGGATTGGGTCTGATTGCTCTGAAAATGGGTTGACATGTCGTAAAGAAAAAGATGAAACTCTTAACTCATGTGCAATAAAGAATGAGGAGAAGATGGGAAGTGCTGACCACTCTCCACCTGAAAATTCTTGTATTTTGATGGAGAAACATTTGAAAAATGTGGATTTTTCCAACCAAGGTCAGATAACTTCTAAAGAGTTTTCCTTTTCCAGAACTGAAATGAGTCATTCCTATCAGAAGAGTCATAGTGGTAAGGGGGGCATGGAATGCATTGAACTGACGCCCATCAATCCAAGAAAGATCTTTGGACAATGTAGATTTCAAACTAGTGGAATTGTAGATGAGAAGTACAGTTATAAAGAAGAAGCACCAGCCCAGACAAAAACCTGGCAGAGTCCTCCCAACAAAGATACATATTCACAGCTTTGTGGTGAAAGTCCTGTTAAGGCAAGAAACAAGGGAGGGCTGATTGAGGCATTGTTGGAGAGAGATCCATCATCTCCTATTGCAAACCTTTCTAATTTGGTTGCCAGGATGCATCCTGACCATGCAAACATCATGACTGGAAAAAAGAATCAAAAATTTGATGGTATGTAGAAATTAGGAATGCCTGTTCCCTTTGCAATATCACTTGTCTTTTCTTTTGTTGTTAACTCTAAGATGGTTCATCCCTAGGGCTCAGAAATGAAACAGTCAACAAGAGACGTTCTCATTGTGTCTGTCCAAACTGTCTTAATGGTCTCAACAGTGGAACTGGAAATGTGCAGCAAAGGTCACATAGTTGTCATTATCCTGGATGTGGCAAGGTACTTGACAAGATGTAAATTCAGTTTTAAAAAAGGGGCTGTTTATCCTAAGTTAAATACAACTGCTGCATGTACTTGTGCTGTTAAGTGATGGAACAGTGATAAGTTGTTATGTCTTTCATTGTGCCATGCCAGTTTTAATCAGGAGTTTCCTGTCCCAAAATGGCCTCTTTCATTTCATACACACTGTCAGGTTTTCAGACAAATGTACCATCAGGTCAACATTTATCAATAGTAGTCAAGCATCTCTTACTAGTATGATATTTAACCATTACAGTCCCTTAGACTTCAAATTAAGTGGTGGATGTTTTTTTCATCTCCATGCTATGATATGTAGGTCATGAAAACCTTGTTTTGACCAAGGTATGCTGAACATCATCCTCAAGTTCTGTTTTTTTTTTGTTTTTTTTTTTCATGCAGGTTTACGGGAAAACGTCACACTTGAAGGCTCATTTACGCTGGCACAAAGGAGAAAGACCATTTGTCTGTAATTGGGTTAGTTTGTTTACACAGAAGTGGGGGAAAACCCAATCACTTGATCACTTTACTTTACCACCACCTTTGCAACAACTTCTGACAAACCTATGACATCTTTTTTTTAACCATGAAATTTAGTTTTCCTTCCCTTAGGTTACACATTTCTTTTTTTCTTTTTGGATTTTTTAAGTATTCCCTCAATCTCTCTCTCCCTCATCCTACTGAACCACTCCTTCTCTTTTTTGCATCACCCACCTTTCACCTCTATTTTCACCCCATGGAATTATCAGCAGTACTGATGCACATTACCCATTATCTCTTATACCACACTTTATCAATTTAAATTTGGAGTTACAGTGGATAGAGATGACATAATCATGAAAGTTAAAAATCATTTATCTCTTTCTAGAATACTGGAGCTCGTTGTTGTGGCAAGAGCTTTACTCGTTCAGATGAACTGCAGCGGCACTTGAGAACACATACAAAGGAGAAAGCTTACACATGCACCATTTGTAACAAAGCATTTGGCCGAAGCGATCATCTAAGTAAACATCTCAGAACCCATGAGGGGAAAGGGAGAAAGGCTGTTCATGACAAGGACGGTGGAGAAGATTATGATAATCACAATAACGACAACCCAACTGACATTGTAGATGATGATGATGACGATGATGTTTTTGTAGATTACTAAAGTCAAGGAAATCCTTTTTTAATTTTCATTATTAAATAGCTTTGATAGTTATGAGTGATACAAATTTGTTATTTCCTTTGGGAAAAAAGTGTTTTATAAAATGTTTGATTATAGCAGTTTGATGGATGCCTTAATTCTTATGATTGGTTTCTATCTACTATTTAACCCTTTAACTCCCAGGAGTGATCAACAGGTAACTTCTCCCTATAATATCTAAAACATTATCTGCAAACAGGTCATGAGAATATTCAATCTTATTAGTTCCAAGTTGTTATCTCTATCTGACACCAAATTCTGGTAATGTATTTACTAAGGAATGTGAGGCAGCTAATGGGGAGAATTTACTTTCAGGTCTTGTGGGTTTAAAGGTTAATATTCATGTGGGTTTAATTTCCTTAAAGATTGTGCTTGAAATATTTTTGGGAGAATGCTGTAAAATATTAGTACAGTTCTACTGACATTGTGGTCATTTCCTCAATTGTAATTATGTTGTTTGAGACAAGCTTTTTCAAGTTTTTGATGTTTGGTAACTTTTTTCACAATTATCAACAATAAAGTAATAGTCTATTTTATGACAAAGAAACACTTTTTTGTACTGAATTTATTGTTGTGATATGACTATTTAATATATTTTGTCATTTAGTTGTAATAAAATTAAGCACAATTTAAAGTTTTCAGTTTCCATCAGGAATCTGTGTGTCCATTCAACTAGTAAAAATTTGACAAAAAAATCAAGAGAAAGAAGCAGTGTGATGAAGGCTAACAAATGTCAAATGATTAAGCTTGATTTGCACTTGTTTCACGCCCAAATTGTTTATCGGTTTGCCTATTTTTTTGTCCTGGCAGAGTGCCTCAATCGAGGTTTTAGCTTTGTTGCAAAAGCTGGAAAATTTATGGTCAACCAATTACTGGTTATATCACCCATATAGCTTTAACTGGGCTATGCTACCAGGTCACAGTCTCCAAACAGCCCCTTCACCCTCCCTTGAATCCACCACTACTTTTGAAAGTGTTATACTGTCTTAAAAAATGAGGTCATGGAAAGAATTAAAACAAAAATATACAATGATGTTTCTTATAAGCAAAATGTATTATTTTCCTTGTAATTCATGAACATACTAATACATCTCACATTCAAAATTAGGCATCAATACATGCTGGTGTATAACTGATAAATGTGGCAAGGAATACAAATAATAATACCAAATTTCTCTGATTTGTCAGGCATATTTAAAATTTACAGCCTTAAAATATGTACCTATTCAATCTTTTTTAATTCTTTGCTATTTACAAGCATGAAACAGAGCTCCTTTAAACCGAAGTTTCTATCAAATAGATCTAACATGGAGATGATAACCAATTAATTCTTCAGAATCAAGGTCAGCAATAGCTTAGGGTGATCTGGTGAACTTAGTGTTACTGAACAATTTTTTCTACTAAAATCTGCCCAGTCCAAATTTTCAAATTTTCTCTGGTTTGGAGAAAAATCCCAAAATGTGCCTTCTTGATCACATGTGCTCATCAAACATGGAGTTAACACTTCACAAAAATTATATCAGGCTAGCACAGTTATGTGCCTAGTTTCTAGACTTCTATGATTTTGTGTTTATTTCAGATGTAATGAAGAAGGAATCAATTTGGAAAGGCCCAAAAGGATCATCAAAATTTGACCTTTAAAATATTTTGGACCATGATGCTCTCTTAACATACTAAAAATAAGATGAATGCATCCTTACTAGACAAAAACACATGTCATTGTGAAATAGAAAGACAACAGAAGTGTTTTGACTTCTCAAACCTAAGGGCCTAAGAGTGAAAAGAAAATGGAGATTCTGGACACTTAATAAGCCTTCCACTCCACGACACAATCTAATAGTTCCCTTCCATACTAATTGAAAAAAAGAAAAGAAAAAGAGAGAGAAAGGTAAATATCCCTGCTTTTACAGAAAATCATAATAAGTTCCAAGGAAAAATCTCCGTAATCTCAAAATGTAAATTTTTTTTTCCCCAAAGAACTAAAATACTTGCTAATCCCAGAGTCAATCACCTGTTCTTGATGTGAGTGTCCAAAATGTGAAACTGGGAAATTGAGATTTGACGATGTTCATATTATTGCCAGTCAAAAGGTTGAGCCTATTCATGCATTGATCCTGGTGTGAGAATATCTCATCTCTCTTACTTCTGTCCAACACAATTTGCAGGACTGGAAGTGTTGATCAACCCTTTGGCCTCTAAGAGTGACTAGCATCTAATTTCTCCCTACTATATCACCCTTGAATCAAACATGAAAATTATAAGAATTGAGGAGATGATCACCAACTAAAGCAGCTCTTGACTGTTAAACAAATTCTCCTAATCAGCTTCTTAGGAAATGTGTAGAGAACAATATGGAGAATGTGCATACTGATGTTAAGAGGTAAAGGATTAACATACATATAATAAACTGCAATAACACTTAAATACTGAAATGCATACAAACAGCTCAAGAATATTAATGTAATGCTGCTGATGCCAATTACAACAATGTACTTATTTCAATAGTTTACCCCTATTTTTGTGTGCAAAAAACCTACATACCAAGTCATTAGGTTTGGTAGTTACATATAGGTTAATTTCTAGGGGAAGCACTGTGTATGTGTATCCAACACAGGCACAAAGATGTGCCACAAAGCATCAGCTGAAACTGGAGCCACCATGGCAATAAAAGGAAATCTCCTCTTACTCAATTAATTTTTATTTCCAAGAAGGCATGTTAAAAGTCAAGTTCCAGCCATTGATCTTTGGTAATTTTACATCCTTTACATGTTGAAGGAGAACGTATTTGAAAATTTAAATTACTGCTTTTAGTTACAACTAGGTTGTTGGGTGATTTATACCATTCAGAAAAGTGTCAGGTAGGTTGAAATTGCTTGATATTTAAATCAGCTTTCAAATTACCTTTTATTGCTATGGCTCCAGTTTAATCAGATGCACTGTAATAAGTCAAATACTTGAAGATAAATAACTTAGTTTTACTACCTGTAAAACTGTTTGCACAAAAATTTGATTGTATCAATTTATGTCATAGTTTCAGTACCTCAGGATACCTGGAGTTGTAAATAACTTAAGAAACATCATAAAATTATCTGCTTCAGGAACTACTCTTGCCATTACCAATTTCCTTTTTCTTTACGCATTTTCTGCAAATCCGCAGCATCTCTCCTGGCTGCTGGGCAAATAATGGTTTGATATGTGAAGGAGCTTCAGTGCGCATAACACATCTGTATGACTTCACAACCTTTTCATTGCATCCTGCACATTTCACAGGTACTTGATTTCTTCTTGTCATAGAATGCCCCTTTACTAGATAAAAAAAGCCAAAAAAACAAAACATCACTGATGTGGTCAAATAAATATATCGTTACCTTTTTTTGCCCTAATAATGTACATGAAAAATTACATGTTTCTGATTCGTTGAAAACAATTGCATTCATATGTAACAGGAGGGCAAAGTTGTAACACATGTGAAAATTACAAATAGCCCATGCCCGCTTTCAAAATTTTGTTTGTGTCGACTTTCTGTGATGTTTTTTCATGTACATTATTTACAAGTAATAACATGGTTTCTCTTGCAATTTGGTGTAATAAGCACTTTTAAATATTTCAAAGACTATAAATTGCACTCATGCAATTTTGTTGTCTTTGAAAAATTTACTTGTGCTTATTAACACCACATTTCACTCAAAATCATGTTTAACTTATTACCTATACTAATTGTTTTCTGTGCATTTAAGCCAATGCACACAAATGTGTCTTGCTCCCAGATTCCATTCCTCAAGTTCATGCTGAGTATGAATAATTTCATAGGTATAGTCCATCTCTGAAAGTATTATTTAAACCCTCAAAATGCTCTCTATGTTTAGTATAATCAGGGGCAAACTCCAATAGTATGCTCCCTCAAGTATACATGTCATGCAAAATGACCTTGGAGCATGCTTTAGGAGCAAAAACCCTTATGTAAGATGACCTCAAAAATTTACATATTTTTTTATTTTTGTGAATGTATGTATTAACCCTTTCACAACAAATTCTTGTAACTAATTTACAGGGAAATGAGTAGCAGCTAGGGGGGGGGGGAATTGGGAGTAAAAGGTTTGATGTTAATTAATTTTTTTTCTGCGGAAATGTGTTCTCACCTTCTTTATCTGGTTCTTTTGCATCTTTAGTTTCCTTTGCATAAGTATGCTCTTGCTTTACTTTGCTTGAAGCAGTACTTGCGGAAGATGGTATATCATTAGTTTTCCTGGACATTTTCTCAAGCAAGGCAGCAGCAACAGCCCTCCTTTTGCCACCAGGAGTTTCATCTGTTTTTTTCTCTGCCTCTGACTCAGAAAATGAAGCCAGTCTCTTTCGGGTCATTATTGTTGGCATTATTTGTTTATCTTCGCGTTTTCTGTCTGGAGTCCCTGAACTTCTTCCCTTCCTTGGTGATGCAACTTCAGAAGAATCTGTCCCTCTCAATACAACTGGAGAGAGTGATGCTGATCGTCTTCCCCTCGTCATAATAATATCCAAAATGCTTTTAGAGTCTGTTGTTTTTTCCTTGACTTCCTTTGACTCTTTGGGTTCCTCTGTATTTTTAGATTCCAATTTACTTTCTTCAAGTTTTTCTCCTTCTTTTTCATTCTGTTTATCTTTTGGTTCTTTGTCTGTTACAGTCATTTTTGAATTCATTTCTTCTCTGTTCTTCTCTTTAGAGCTTGTTTTTGAAATGTCCTCCACATCAATAGTAGAAACATCTTCACTTGCTTTTGATTCAGCACATATATTTTCTGTCACTCTTTCTTTTTCCTTAGGCACATCTGAAACATCAACATCATTTATCTCTCGAGAGTCCCCATTTTTACTCATCGACAAATCTGTATCATCTTTCGAAACACCCTCACTTGGTGATGATGAATCACTTTCCTTACCTTTAACTTTGCTGATACCAATCATAGACTTCATTGACTGTGTCCCAGAATCTACTTTCACTGACACTGACTTCAGCTTACTTGCTGTAGCAGTTTCTTTTTCAACTGTAATGTTATTGTTCGCTTTTTCTGTCAAGTTCATATCACTTTTTGGTACATTGCTTTTTGGTAAGGTTGATGATGCCTTACTACTCATATTAGAACCTTTGTTTGATTTTCCAACATCAGTCTTTGATGCTCCTTTGACAATCGTCTGAATGCCCTTTGGCACAGCTGACACAAACTTCACATTCACTATTTTATATTCTTTAGTCAACACTCCCTTTGTTGATGGAGCCTTCTTTGTTTGTACAGCTGGTGTACACAATTTCTTCGAAGCTGGTTGAGGTTTGGACTTCTCATCCTTTCCACTCTCTTTTCTTTTCTTGTCATCTCTTACTGGTGACTTTACACTGTTCTTTTCCACGCTTGTGACCTTTGCTTTCTCACTTCCCTTGACAGAATTGACCTTTCCAATTGTTTTGGCATTTTTGATCAGCTTGGCAGTGTGAAGTTTTGCAAGTTTTCCTTTGACAACCTTCACTTTCCCTTTGCCAGCTCCTGTCCCATTATCAGCTTCTTTGGGTTTCTTATAAGGCATACACCTACGGCAAACTTTGACAATCTTCACTCCAGGAGTAAACAGATGCTTGATTTTATCAGGGGCATTTTCCTTCTTGTAACAGCTGTAGGATTTTGTGACCAGTTTGTCACAAAGAAAGCAGACTATTCCACAAGTTCTTTCTGTAGTAGATGTCTGGCCATCTGCAGATTTAAAAATAAACCAATAAAATTGAAAGTTGAAGGAAGTAATTGGAAAGAGATTGAGCATGACCATGTTTTCATCTTTGATTTTCTCCATCATACTTTACCAGTCCCCTAAATAATCCTTTACACCCTAATATCAGTGTGCATATTCTCCACACTGTTCTCTATACATTTCTGATGATAAGGATAAGTGAAACAATCAAGAATTTCTTAACCATTTCACTCCCACAAGTGACCAAGACAGAATTTCTCCTTACAATACCAATACAATATCAAGCAGGTAGGTGATGAGAATAGAGAACAATATCAATTATGGGATTATTAGTTGATCCAATACCAAATTCTCTGAACTAACATCATAAGAATTGTATGGCAGATAGTAAGGAGAATTACTAATTAGATCTTGGGAGTGAAAGGGTTAAGCTGGTGATCATTTCCTAATTAATCTCACGACTCTAATTTTTTATTCAAATAAGGTACAGATTAGAATTACCTGTCTTTTTCTGAGGCTCTTGTTTAACACCACTCTCCACTTTGGCTGCCTTTGGAAGAGGAGACTTCACAGGCTTAGGGATTGCATTATGAGATGGTGACATCTTACCCTTGGGGGGTGGTAAGGCATAGGCATGGTCCAGAAATGTCAGCTTGTTATTGATGTTGTTTATCTCAGAATTCTCTGATCCACTCAGAGATGTTGGCAGGGAATTATTGTGATCCACAAGTTTTTTGAGATTTTCTGTTACATTTACTGGAGCATTATTTTCGTTCTGTTTCTCAACTTGCTCACTTGCTTTATCCTTGTCCTTTAGGCTGTCAACATCTCCATAAAGTGTGAAACAATTTGGTGTAGAATTGTATTTTCCACTTTGATGCCTCACAACGGTCACAATTCCAACACTTTTAACAGGAGAGGGTGGTGTAACTACACTTTGCTTAAAATTTCCATTTTCAGCCAAAATTAGTTTAGGGAATTGTCCTTCTTTATTCTTTGTTTTACTTCCACTCAACATAAATCTTTCATCTTCTACTTCCATTTCATCTTCATCAGCCATTGTTTCATCACAGAGGAGGTCCTCATAGGGCCTTTTCAACCTTTTCTTGAGGTCTCGTGCAATGTAATCCATACCTTTAGAGGCACGATTGTAGGTAACACCAAGAGGTGTCCGCAGATGAATCCTCTGGCTGGTCTTGGAACGCAGCAATATGAGCGCCAGGTTTTGCCGGCAGCGCTCTCGTGAGCTGAAACATCTTTTGCAAACCCTGAGGCGGTCATGCTCTGGGGTGACAAAGCTTTTTAAGTGCACTGGTGCACTGGTGCGACTGATGAAACGGTAAGACTTGAATGCTCTTAACCCACACACATCACATCTTGGTGGTTGCTTGGGAACACCTGTGGAAAGAAAATGAGACTGGGCTCTCATCTGTGCTATTGCTTTTGGACAACATAATAATCTATACATTTACAAAAGAATAGACTTATACAAAAGTATAGACATTTATGTTGCCTGTACCATTCAGCATTAATAAAGGATTACCAAACTTCATGTGCGCCAAAAAAATTCTGTAAGGTTACATGTCTTGCTTAGCCAGTGATTGAACCTACACCACTCTATCAAACCTTTAAATCCCAAGATGAAATAAGTATTTCTCCTTTCTGACTGCCATACAGTTCCTTATAAATTAGACAGGAGAATTTGGCATTATAAATGAACACCCTCTAGCTGATAAGCTTGTGCGTTCTCAGAACTTTTTTGCATGATAACATATTAGAATCAGAAGGAGAAGTAACATGTCAGTCACTTCTGGGGGTTTAGGGGGTAAGAATCCAGTATGCCAACCACTAGACCACCATGTTTTCCATACCTGGGATTCAAAAAAAAAAAAAAAAAAATCTCTAATATCTATTGTGTCTTCCATTTCAGTCACAGTGTTATTATTCCAGGATAAATTTTTTAGAGAAATCCTTCCAAGTCTGGGATTTTTCTCATGTAATAACATGAGATGGGCTCCAAAGTTGAACTAGAACTAATATTGACAAACTTAGGCAAATAAAAAACTTGTAGGGGTTTGGGGTTTCACAATGTTCCCACTTCCTGGTCTAATAATTCTTAGCAAATTTTTTCATTGATCTCTCAGATCCTTGTACTGTCAACTCACCTTTCTTGACTTCCTCTTTTTCTTCCTCTACAACGGTTTGTTTGTCATTTACTTGTTCATCATCACTGACACTCTCCTGATCACTGACGGAGGGTGATGCTGGATCCGATGATGGTGTGGGTGGTAATAAATATGACCTGCTGTTACTATGACACCAAAATTGTTAATTAAAGTACTAAATGAGGCATTTCAAGATTGAGGAAGCTTTAGCAGTAAATAGTTTCATCCCACTGGTAATAATTCATTGTGTAGTCCAGCTGATCATCCAGGTAAGAGAAGTCCTGAGAAGGACTGTTGTTGGTAGTAATGGCTGATGTTTCGACAACTTAGGCAAAGTCATCATCAGAGTTGAGACATGACTCTAATGATGACTGCTGTTAAAGCATCAGTCTCTAATACTACCAATAGTCCTTCTCAGGACTACCCTCATCCTCCAGATTACAAGATTAGTCAAATCAAATTTTGTGTCTAGTGGCTTACTGATGAAACCAAAATTATTGAAATTCCCCTGAAACATTGTTACTCACTAAATATCCTTGATCAATTCTCATTTACCGCTCAAACACATTTCCTTGTAAATTGGCTGTAAGAATTAAAAATTTTGTCTACACAAAACCTTTAGCTGAAAACTTAATCCAATCTCACAACCTATTGGCTGGATATTGTCTTGAAAATGCGAGAAGAGGTAAGTTGCTAACTACTTAGAGAATCAGTAACTCAATCACAATTCATCACTGTTGATGAAGTGCATTTTTAAGTTTTTCAGCTAAACAAATAACTTTTCCCACACATCTAATGGCAAAATATTTTATGCATTGAACAATAATTTCTTGTGTAATGACATATATATCTGACATTGTATACAGAATACTTATTTCATCAAACCTCTTTTGGCTGATGAAATCATTGAAACTTCACTAACTAAAGTCAGTGCCAAACTTAATTAATGATGTACGATGTTTGTTAAATATCAAGCAAATAAGGTATATTTTGCAAAGATAATAGTTGAATTGTAGTTACCTGATAGGCACAGCTGGTCTTAGAGGAGACAAGTGTTCATCCTAAAACAGGAAGTAAAATGTAAATGCTATAAATATTTACCATTTGTTGGACAGTCAAGCACTATTTCAATTTCTGTCATGACCAGACTCTTTCAGCTCCTGATGTGAAAAACAAACTTTGACTACCAAACTTTAATTTTGGTCCCAACTCAAGCAATTTGGTGGCATGTAGCATTTATGGCTGACAAAGGGCAAACTAATTCAGAAATTAATGTACATTAATCGGATGAATTATTGATCACTAGGAATCAGATAATTTATCTACCAGCTGACAGGTTTTCAGTAGTTTAAATTGGCCGTAAAAGTTAAAAGATCAAATCATGCAACTGTTAACAATTTGAGCCAACGAAATCTCCAAGTTACAAGTGCCACCATAAATTCCACGTGACACCACTCTTGGCCTTTTGCATGCTGTATGAAATATTGTACATTTACTGGATTCCTAGGAGCTGCAAATTAAAAACTGCCTCTGGGAAAGGGTAGTAAATGAAAGTATAACCATCTTAAATGACTTTCATCTACTTTCTTTCACAATAAAACAAAATCTAGCAAAATAACTTTTATTAACAATTTATGTAACATTTCTGTCCACACTTGCTGAAAACAAAACTAGTTTAGTCCATACTGTGAAAAAAAAGGCCTTGGCATAACCTATGTCACCATTCATGATCAAAATTAAAATAACCCAAGTTCGCAAACTAGAGACCAGTCAGATAGGCTTCATGGAAGAGACTTGGAAGTTAGGCTTCATTTCGCATCTTATGTTTCAGAGAACGCCCCCTAATCAACAGTTTTCTCTAGGCGCAGTAATGTAAACAACAGAACATCACTAAGAAAACCTCCCAATTGAGGAGTTATGCGCAAATTAAATTTCGATCGCATTGTATAGGAAATGCGCGTCCTGCGTGAATTTTTTAAAGCCAAATGCTGTCACAAATTCGCCATCGCATCGAGGTGTCGAATAATGATTGTGCGCCTGACGCAAAACCTAAGTGTTTGCAACTGTTTCGAGATCAAACCTGTATTTAAAGTTGAGCTGTGAGTCTACCTGACATAGGAAAAATTTTCGTTCAACATTTCAAAAGCATTTCAATAAGAATCGTGCGTAATATGAAGAAGTCGCGCACTTAAGTCAAGCGGAAATTTTTAGTAGTTTGCTCGACGCAATCTTGGCTGTGAGAAAGTACAACTTGACGCACGCAAAGATCGAAGTACCTCTTTTTGTGTTTATTTGCTTTGCGCCATCGCAGCTAGCGCTTCGGTCTCAGATGGAACGTTTTTCTCGATGCAAAGGTGCGAATTTGTTATAAAACTCAAACATTTATCGGCCAGCGCGTTACTTTTAGTTTCTAAACGGCGCCCGCCGCCATGTTTTAGTACAAAATATGTGCGTTCTAGAATTTTTACGAAAATTCACCCAAGAAAATGACATTTTCGCTAGAATTTTCGTTTATAAAGGTTGCGCACATTGAGATGAATAATACAGTTTAACTGAGTGTTTAAATCTAATTGCCAGTTGCGAGAGATTCCATGCCACAAAACAAATCCTCTTCAATTCGCAAACAGCCGGCCGGCAATAAGGTTTAGGCAGGTCTAAACAAGATCGAAAGCAACACTATTCATTTGTCGGTGCGCATTACTCATATTTAGCTAAAAAACATTCCACTAAGCCTAATATATTTATTCATAAGTAAAAGCGCGAGTAATTTGGCCTTTCCTTGGGCTAAGAGTACGAACGAAGGACGAAATTCTACTCGCAGCCAACGGTTTCTCCCTGTATCCACGCTTAGACGAAGTACGCGAAATGGACAAAATCGCACTCGTTCCACGCCATACACGGCAAATCGTAATTTTTTTCGCCAAAATTTCTTGCGTAAACATCTTACAAGGAAACAGATAAAAAAATTTCATCAAATATCTGGATGCGCAAATTCTTAAAAACGAAAAAACGAGAGGAAAGCGGAAAGCGCGTCGCAAAACGGCCTCGATTCTTCAAATTTCGGTCTCTGACCCTATTTTCCAGTTTGCGCCGTGCGCGATCGCCAAAGTCTAACCTTCCTCTACATACCTTTTTTTTCGGAACAGAGACTTCCTCTCGCGTTTCAGTCTTTTTAACGAGCCTGTCTACAATGGTTAGAAGATTTGTTCTGGAAAACAAGAAAAAACACAGAATATGTAAGCGATAGAAAGCGACGTCACAAAACCGAAACGCGGAAACTTCAGTGCGGAAATTTCGCAGTCGATTAAGATTTCTCACCGCTTCTTCATTGTTGATTCGAGCGCCATTGCGAGACGATAATTCCCCGAAACCGCGTTTTAAAACTTCGACATTTAGCAAAGGAGATGCGTGAGGGTGTTGGTGAGAGAACTGACCGAGAGAGAATATCCAACGCAAGACTCAAATGAGATTTGCATAAAATTTACAAGTTAGCGCGCCTGGTGTCAACCCAGGATACATTGCAATCTCTCAAAAATTATGGGCTGGTCGGAGAGAAAGTTTATTTTTAGCACATGAGGTAGTCTTTCAAAAATAATTTATTATGATGTAGGCTAAGGTAGAATGAAAATAAATTCGCAAGTGCTGTCTAGCCTGAAATTATTGAGCATCATAATTTGAGAAGAAACGTTCCTTACAAATTGTAGACACCAATCAAATTCTTCACCTGGTAAAATACTATATGCGTCAAAAATTGCCTCTGAATTTTCTCTTTTGCATCTCAAAACTCATTAATTACTGCAATAGAGATATATTGAGCTAAATCCTACATCAGGCAAGATGCCACCTTTTCAAGTCTAAGCCTTGGGGAAAAATTCCGAGAATTGCAAATATTTTTTTACAGCCTGAATAGCCGTAAATCGGAGACTTCTGAAAACATAATTTCGAAGTCTTTATTTCAGGTCCTTCGTTGTGCCAGTGGAGGAGAAGGACCGTTTTTTTTTTTCGCATAAAAAAAGGGGATAAAAAATCACAATGCTTTGTAAGAGGCTTTCTCTAAACCATACACATGCTGAAGAAGATCGTATGATCAGTAAAGAGAACCTGTTGTTCAGAAGAACACTGCTCCTCAAAGAGAAACTTCAGGTTCATGCAGAAAACATTACAAACTTTATCCGTGCAGTTACAGATAGGGTTTGTCGCAAATAAAAAACACATTTGACTCATCAACGACAGACTGTGTTGGAACAGTTCTCTTTTATTTGCGCTAAAATCATCGGACCGTTGCGGTCACACAGGATCTTTAGAGCGGGTCTCGAGTGATCCAGTTTTGGATTGATTTTAATCTATTACACCGTGTGATTGTTCCATAAAAATCCCACCCGTGACCCTGTCAAGCAATCAGATGCGAAATCAAAACAAATCGCAAATTCGGGTCTGACTCATGCTTGACGCAGCTTGCTTGTTTTGTACTTTGAGTTTTCAATCAAATCGTGAGAAAATTTCTTTGCTTCGATTAGCGGTCTTAATTACGTTAAGTTCTTTTCTCCAACACTGGTAAAAAAAAAGCGCTCTAAGATACAAGCTAGCGTGGGAGTTCTGTCAACCCTCTTCCGCCTAAATACCCAAGATGGAGAATAAAACGACTGAGAAAAGTTTTGAATGGCACTTTTTCTCATCCTCTCTCAGACTATACCAGTGCAGCTAACCGCGCTGGTATAAAGTTGTGAACTGATCTTGTTCTTACTAGTGTCAACTGAAACACGTTCATCTACCAGTTTTTAGTTAGCTTCGCTTCTTTGCTGTGATTTGTGATTTCAGGGTAGAAATTGAATTAAATAAAATACAATCAAGCACTAAGTGATGAATTCGTGTGCCATGAAGTTCTGTTATATATAGATACTGACTCTGTTCCACATAAGGTACATATATTGTGGACTAAAAAGGTTAGTTTTCATACCATAAGAGCCGAAATCAAGACGCTGTTTCTTAACAATATTGCATTCTCACCTGGAGTCTTAAATCCTAAATCTGGTTAGTGGCGCATGCCAAAGTATACATAAGGCTTAGACAACACAGTTCGTGAAGAGGTTGTGAGTAATTTGCTCACCCAGATACGAGTACAGTGTGATGCAAGTCGCGTCTATCCAGGTAACCTGTCTTCTACAGCTTTGGTCGCATCAGCCGATCCAAAATGGCAAAGCTTATTGATGCTTGTTCAATAATGAAAGAAAAGAAATAGCATTCGTGGGGGTGAAGTTTCCTGTAGTCGTGTATCATGTCTAAAAGAACAAGGGTCACCTTACGGGCTGCAGAACAATCATTTACCATGACTGTTACAAAGCGTCAGGCTCAGAATGTAAGGATTCTCGTACATAGTGTGGTAGTCTTGTTTGCCTATATGGTTTTTTTTTAATAATGTTTACAAAATTCGGGCCGTTTTTCTGTCTAGAAATGATTACTTGCCCACGCACCTCAAGCAGAGTTGTGTGGGCAAGTGAGCATATCCGATTGCACAATTGTCCTCCTTCATGGCACAGTAACCCCCAATTTTCCTCCTTCATGGTACAGTAACCCACAATTATTTTTTCCTTTCGAAAATTCTCTCAAAATCTTCCCTAAATTTTGACCGCAGACGCCCTCATTTTGAATCTTGCTTAGCGCTCTGGTCAATTACCTGTGTCCTATTTAAGTCTCAAACCTTTTTTTCCTTATCAGTTGGAGATTTATTTAAACAATCATTTCTATCCGTCTATTATTACAGGATTTAAAAAGAGGCATTTTAGACTAAAATAGTGATTTTCCTTTCCATACCCAGTGTAGTGGCTGTATTTCAAGACCAGGTGTAGGTAACACACGTTACTAACAAATGCACAACTTTTTCCTAGTCCCAGGAAAGGAAGAGATTTACTGTAAAACGTTTAGGGAGTTCTGTTTTCACCTTTGACAAAAATCAGGGATGTTTTATTTTCGTCTCACTACATCTGGATAACCGATATCGGATCAATGTTGGTACATGAACGACTGCGCACCTACCCCTCCCTTAACCCAGCCACATTCAACTGATCACAAGTTAGGATTAATGTTGGGTTAGGGGTGGAATAGGTACGCAGTTGCTTAGACAGTGACATTGATCCCCGATATCTTGTCATTTCAACCAGATATGTATTCATGAAAACCACTTCGGCTCATTGAATTCCGGCTTCATTTGATTTGATTCCCTCAGAAAAAAGCTTCACATATTTTCAGACTTTTCTGTCATCTTCTTTTCCCTCCAGTTGTGTCAATTATATAATGGATTTAATGCTGCTTTTTATTCTCACAGAGAAGCAGTTCCACACCCAGTTAAGGTCAAGAAACAAAGTTCATAAGCTTTTGACAGTAACTTACTTAGTAGTGGTCCTTAAAGACCAATTAAAATCAAGAAAATTTTAAGAGAGTAGGTCTTTACGACAAAACTAACGAAACTTACATATCCAAAACTACGCTTTTCTAGTTATTTAAAAACCAGTTTGCACTATCGATAAAGAGTTCAGCAAAAGTCCGAAAGTCAAGATTTCCTCTTTCGCTTAGCTTCGTGTCGCGTTAAAATTACCGGAGACCATCCTATTAAATTGGAAAAGATGCAAATTTTGTAGATACTTAAAGCTGAAAGCTTGCTGGTCTCTAAACGTTTACAACCTAACTTCAGTTGGCAAGTTCTCCATACCGTTCTCTATACGTTTCCTATGACACTTATAAGGAGAATTTGCCTAATAATCAAGAGCTTGTTAACCTCGTCAGTCGTATCCTTATTCAGGTTCATGGCCTCAGTGTTTGATTGAAGGGGTGATACTGCTGGGGGGAAATTAGATGCGTATCACTCTCTAGGGTTAAAGCTTTCATGATAGTACAGGAAATATCAGATCGAAGATATTAGCAATTCGTCTTTCGCACACCTCCCTTGATATGATAGCCCATTACCGATGGCTTATTCATTCGCTCCGACGAAGGGCTAACGCTCGATACCCAACATTAGAAACTCCTCACGGTGGCCAATTTTCAGAATCAACTCAGTTAGTTATCTTGTATTACTGAATACCATCACGGAGTGGTACCTTTCTCCAACCCAAAGGAATAAAGACAAACCTTTTTTTTCATGAAGTGTTATTTTCAAAGAATATGTTAAATGAATGGCATATCTTATGTCATGCCTTGTAATACTGTAGGCTGTAACTTCTCGACATAAATAAATTGCTGATATCGTCATTTTTCAGCATGAAACTTTCATTCTTATGGCATAGAAGCTTGGAAATGGTTCATGCAAAGAGAAGATGCAAAAGAAAACTTAAATTAAGTCTCCTACCCGGCACATAACAAACAAGTAAATTAACGTAATTATGCGCCTTCGTAGTTCACAAAAATTCAAATAGCAAGAGTGTATGATATCTTGCAAATAGTCAAAACTTTGAAGATACGCGTGTTATCAATCCTAAATTGCACGTTCTCCGCTAAATACAATAACTCTTAGGGAACATAAAGGCTCTAAAATCGGATGGGCTAATTCATCTTCCTCTCTGGGGCCTTTCTGGTCCGGGAGGACCCTAAGAGACAATCTCCCAGTGACCCTGAAATCCCGGGAAGTGTAAAAGTCAGTGTAGATGACACATCTAGAAAGTCGGGCTTTTGTACTTTGTTTTTATTACGTATTAGACTCCTCAGGGTTGTTTGTGTACTGACGGCATGTAAACTGATCAGGAGAGTCCAGACACATTAATTTTTAACCAATGAAAGTAAATTACTTTTCATTTACTGCCACTGCAAGCGAAAGGAGAACGAAATTGTTTTAACACTTGCTATTGAATATGGTCCAGCGTATGATTTCTTAATGAAAGAAGACTTGGAAGGGAAGATCAATTTTCTTCTGTGATGGAAAATGCATCTGTGAAACCTTTTAGAGGTGGAGGAATTCATTTAATTTTAATATAATGAGGAGATAGAGAATGTTTTGTCATCTGATGAATGAATTGAAGGAGCATGGCAGCTCTTATGACAGAGAAAGTCAATAGCGGGCTTAAAAGATCATGTGAACTACATTTTAGTGCAAGTCTGTTCGCGTTTACTTTAATTATCAAGGATCACGTTAGGGTTACGTTTAAATTGAAGTGGAGAAGTGAACAATCGAACACTCATTGTGGTCGCATACGCGATATCACTGGTTTAGTGCAGAGGACAGAAGGAAGTTTATTTCTAATTAATCTTTTTTTACATATTTGTTAATCCGTGGCGACTAAACCACAGAGCAGCTTAATGGAAAAACACAGGAGAAACAAAGTTGGTGTCGTTTCTGCTGATAGTCAAGGAGGTGTGCAGTTGGCAATGGCTGAAGCAGACACAACAAGAAAGGTGAAAATTAAAGTTATGATGCATATTAGCTAATAATTGAGAAGCTCCACAGTAGACAACGAAAAAGTGTTAATCTAATTGACACAGTGGTAGAGCGGCTTTGCATCTAATTTGCTGCGGAGTTAGCTGCTCAGAGAATGAGAGAGTGCATTTGTAGCCTAAACATTTTGTCTTACCCAGTGAAAAATTACATCAGTCCCATTCCTAGACTTAAAGTTCTACTGATTTGTCCATCTCTGCTGAATTATCATCCACCTCTTCATTGAGAATAGATGATAATATCTGCAACTTTTCCTTGAGAAATGTCACTGCATCTGATAAAATTTGACACAAAATTATAGTTTAGAATATTTATATTCCTTGTAGGTTTAATCAGGTGTATCAGTTTCTTGTTATCACATGTGTGGGGTTAATATAAATCAATAAATCAACCTCACTTATCCTTCTCTTCCTGAACATGATATACGTATTCACATCGAGGGTGAAGATAATGGTTGATGTAGTCTTTAAAGAGGTCTGAAAGTGTCTGTAAAAGACGGTCAGTTTTGTTGGATTAATTATTTCTTTTCATGTGCAACTCTTTTTACATTGCTGCCAACTTAGCAGTATGCAGGATGCTTGTCACATGTGAATCTAGTAGTGGTCATACACACCATCCTTCAAGCTCAATGGTAGAGCATTTAATTACAGAATCAGAAGATCTTTGAGTTGAATTGTTATGAAGGACTGAGTTGTTTTTCAATCTCCTACACTCATGTGTAATATTGATCATCCTTATTTACATGTTAATGAAGCCTTTGAAAATTCTTTTCCAAACTGAAGTATGACACTTGTAATCACAAAAACTAAATGTTATCAGTTTTGCAGTGCTCTGAGCATGATAGAGTATAGTACTCAAGAGAGCTAATTTTATTGTTTTGCTTTCATGTGTGTTACAACTTCATAAAGCTTAAAGTGAGGAAAAAAACAGAAAGTTTTGTTCTTGCACATTAAACATTCCATCCCAAAAACCTGTCAAAGAGTGGAATATTTTGATCAGTAACTTTCTGGAATTTTGCCTTTGCTCATCTTCACAACAAACTTGTGCCTTGTAAGGTAACAAGAATTGTTTCCTCGAGGCAAAAAAAAAGGGGCCTTAAATGACTGAGCCAGAATGTGTGTCAGAGTTGTTCAAACCATGACCTTGTATGTGAAAAAAACTTGAAAAGGGAGAGCACATTTGCTTTTAATTAAGTGTCAGGTTTGGTAGCCTGTTTACATAATAAGAACCATGGTGGAGTTAAAGGTTAATGTAAAATTAATTTAAGCACAAGATGTTCATAGAAGTGTTTTCTCTTTGAATAAATTTCACTTTACCTTGTTAGTCCATCACAGGGTAGATGCAAAGAAGTGGTTGCTAAAACCGATTTTTAATGTAAAATTCCTTTGATAATCATTTGTATATTATTGGAATAGTTGAAATGAGATTGACATGAAGCTGTTTGTGTACTGACAATGCTTCAATATATCATCAGAATTTACACAGTTTTCCTCCTCAGTAACTTGTCCTTCAATAATCATGCTTTTAATAAGTAGAGTATTTATTAATTGGGAGAACTATATCAGAGCTCAGCCATGGGTATTATCAATCATGGCAAAGTTTCAATAACAGTCACCCACTTCTAAGTGAGATTGAAAAGCATTAATCCTTATGTAGTGTACAAGTTAATTTTTGTAGAAAGATGATAATTCTATAAAGCTGTTTTTTTATCTTCTAAATCTAATTTACTAGATTGCCTTAATCCATACTGAATTGCAGTGGTAATTATGAGATGTTATACCAATATGGGCATGACAACAGGATTGGTCTCTGGCAGAGCATGTTTTGCATTGTCAGCAATTCCATTCATGCCATTGTTTAGGGGTGCCCATGATCCTTGTGTGGAACAGCTCACTAGGGCATTGAAGTAGTCATGGTTAGAGATTTAGCCTTGGGTTGTAGCCTCCCCTAGATTCAATAGAAATTTATATCTCCTAGTCAAGGAATGACTGGAATAAGTTTGGAAGTATACACTCAATTGCAAAACAGTTGACACCTAAAAAACATGATCCAGGAATGATGAGATCCAATGGCTTTATGGAAAATGTTCATGCAGATATATAATCAGTGATTCACTTTTCTCACTAATCATGAAAAACCTTTTTTATGGTAATCCTTTTCTCTCAGGAAAGCATGGATAGCTTTTATCAGTCACCACCTGCTAATGGTGTGTTACATGTAAATGAGTACCCAGAGAGCATTTGGGTTTCATTTAACCCTTTAACTCCAAACATCTCTTTAGTAATTCTCCTTACTGTCTCCCAAATGATTCTCACTATGTTAGTTTAGAGAATTTGGTTATCGGATCAATTGGTTATCCCATAATTGATATTTTTCTTTATTCTTATCACTTGTCTGCATGATATTGTATAGATATGGTAAGGAGAAATTCTGTCTCAGTCACTCATGAGAGTAAAAGGGTAAAGTGTCCAAATTTTTTGCAATCAAGAGTATATTCTTTTAGTAATTACTTCACTTCCCAGTGTGTAGTAGTATTGTTCAGTTTTTTTGCTTTTTCTAGGAAGCATTCACCAAAAGTGCCTCGCAGCAAAATCTGCTGCCTGTGGATGAAGAGGATTCTGCCCATGACAAAGCGGTTGACATGAAAAGAAGGCGAAGGCTCATCTTTATCCTTCTTATAGCTACCATAACTACAGTCCTTCTAGTGCTGGCTGCAACTATTCCTTTCTTACTTGGTGAGTCATCTCTAACATTGATCTATTTTTCATTTTCCCTGGTGACTTGACTTCTTGTGAGTTGCGAGGCAGAATCCCCAATCCCAAAAACATATTGGAGATCCTGGATAACTATCAGAATTAGAAAACTGTGAATTTTTTTATTCTTACTGTTCCCTTTTTTGTTATGATTCCAGCATCTAAGAGTTCAGACAGTGAGCAATCAGGTGATAGTAGTACAGGCAAAGCCACTGGAAATGAATTGAAGTGTGAACCATTTTCACACACTTTGGAAGATGGTCATGTGGTTTGTAATGGAGAAACAATTGGCTCAAAATGCTGGACTGTCTGTATTGAGGGATTTGAAAAGGAAAATGAGTTGATTGGCAGTTTTGAATGCCAGGAAAGTGCAGAATGGAGTGGTGAGAGAACAAGATGTGTTCAAAAAGACTGTGGATCTCGTAATCAGGTTGTTGATTAAATTTTCAAATGTTTAACTTTAACTGATTTAATTTTCTGTGCCCTCTGTGAGGTATAAGGTCTATTAGGTTCTTACCATAACCTTCTACTGTTTGGGCATACAAGAGCAAAACATTCTGACTGCATAATGACTGAGCATCTGAATCCAATTTTCCCTAAACCACTAACTTTCTAAGCAACGTTAAATTACTCCTTTATATGTTGTGTGCAAGGAAGCAGTCAAGTCGAACTTGTGAATTTTTGTTGTGATTGATCATTCATTTTTGGTAGGTGCCATATTATGCATCACAGAATTGTACTGGTACAAAATACAGGGATATTTGTACAGTTCATTGCCTTGAAGGATATAAAAAGGAAAACTTATCAAGGGGAATTTACTCTTGCGAAGGAAATGGAGAATGGAGTGGAGAAGATACTAATTGTCTTCCCAAAGATTGTGGTGTACCTCTCCATCAGGTATATGAGCTAAAATATTTACAGTTTAACCCTTTACACCCTAACATCAATATGCATATTCTCCATACTTTCTCTATACATTTCTCAAGGTTCTGAAAAAGAGAATTTGTTTAACAATCAAGAGCTTCTTGAGGTGTTGATCTTGTAAGGAAATGTTAGATGCCAGATATTCTTAGGGATAAAGAGTTAAAAGGAATAGAATTTGAGACCAATAATTGTAATCTTGTTATCAATGTTCACTTGATTATCCAGTGATGCTTTCCCTGGTTGATTAAATTGTAAAACTGTGGTGATAACTTCATCATAAATTTTGGTAATCCACTCTCTTGTAATGGAATCTGAAATTCAAAGTCTGAGTTGCTATATGTTACAGAAGACAGAGTTTCTGTAAAATTAATGACCTTACAACTTCACAGGGCTCCTGTTAAACCAGTGTAGTTAAGGATGATCTTGTGAACTGAACTCTTCCTTTGTCCTTATTATGAGGAACCTTTTGTGGAGCTACTAAATTGCACTGGCACAAAATACAAGGATACTTGTGATGTGAGCTGTGATAAGGAATTCAACCAAACTATTTCTTATGTGCAGTGTGGCTCAGATGGCTATTGGACAAGTCTTATTGGAGGTAAGGTAGTCACTGTTTCAATCTGGAAGAAAAACTTGCCGGGAAATATTTTCCTAAAGTGTTTAGTTAGTACTTGAGAATTTTGAATTTGAAATCAAAATAAAACCAAATCATCTTTATGAAATTACCATAAAGTAAAGTGAAATAATATGTCTGTTAATTAGCCCAATGATTGTTGGTATTTTATGGTCAGGTAAAAAGGTCTTGTGCTTACTTTCTGTTATAACTGAAACAAGCAAGGCACATCTCAATTAGAGTCAAACAGATGATTAATGTTCACAGATTCTTTGAAAATTAGATCTGTTTTCAGTCATTATAATTGCAGAAATCAAATCTGTAGAATACAAGAGGTCTCTATCCTCTCTAAAGCCACGATAGAGAAGCTATTTTATACACAAAAAAAAAAATTTAGACATCGATGAGCTAATTCCTTCCTCCTATGTAAAAGAGAGGCACTAACAATTGATATTTTCGTGAATATTTGAGAGAACAGTCATTATTTCATTGGGTGCAGTCGCCATGTGGTGCAGGCAAGGGCATAAACCTGGATTTTTTCTTGGAGATCACAACCACACTTATTTTTTTACCCACTCAGAATTGATTGTGTATTTATCAATGTCATCAGCTTGTATCATCAGTGATATTTGTACCATATGCAACAAAGTAAATGGCTCCTGTGTCCAACAACCAAACAACCTGCAGTCCCAATGTCTTTGTAACCTGGGTTTTGCTGGTAACGGTAAATATTGTGAGCAAGATTCTGACTTGGATGGTTTTCCTGATGTCCAGTTACCTTGCCAATCACTGGATTGCAAGATCGACAATTGTCCATTCATTCCCAACAGTGGACAAGAGAACAATGATGCGGATGATCTTGGTGATGTTTGTGACATTGATGATGACAATGACAACATCACAGATACCATGGATAACTGTCAGTTTAAGGCCAATTCAAATCAAGAAGACAAAGATGGCGATGGCTTGGGGGATTTATGTGACAATTGTATTGATGTTCCCAATCTAGACCAGAAAGACAGTGATGGTGATGGAACAGGTGATGCTTGTGAGAGCCGTGATTTGGACAACAATGGCATAAAAAATGGGGACAACTGCCCTCTTGTGCCAAATCCAAAGCAGGAAGACACTGATGGTGATACTGTGGGGGACACATGTGATAACTGCATCAATGTGTATAATATTGATCAGAATGACACTGACCAGGATCTTATTGGGGATGCATGTGAGGACATGTCAGATGCAGATCAAGATGGCATAAGTGATGGTATTGACAACTGTAAAGATGTTCCCAATGGGGATCAGGTCAGATATGAAACTCCTGGTTCATTTTTCATTTGGTTAAATTGTCATCTCTGGGAAATCTAACTGTCTAGTAGTTTAACTTTCAGTCACTTAAGTCTCAAAGCAAGATTATTGTTAGATGGCTGAGCTTAGTAGGTTAGAGAGATAACTGAGTTGTCATTTCAGTAGCCTTTTCCAGGAATAAGCAAAGTGAGAGAAAATGGGCGAGACTTCTCCTGAAAATCCTGCTGACTTTTTTTCACTCACACATTTGTTTGTCTCCTCTAACTACAGAAGCCTGACAAAGTCTATGATTTTGGCCAATTGCCCAGCCAGAAAGTTGGTCAGTCAGTTTAAGTCAGTCAGTCAGGTTGGTTGTGGATCAGTCTCTCATTTATTCATTCAGTCAGTTAGTTAAGGAAGTCAGTTACCCACTCTTCTTTAGTTACATTGGTAGACTAATCTTCTGTTCTATCTGTAGCTTGATAGTGACAATGATGAACTTGGAGACGACTGTGATAAGGATAAAGATGGAGATGGTGTTTTGAATATTGATGACAACTGCCCTATTATGCCTAATGAGAATCAGGTATGCCTGTCCATGACTTTTCTGCCCTAAAATCTGCAGCTATTTTACTCTAAGGAGTTACTTAGAAGTGACCTCAATACACTACAGCCAGACAGGTGATGAGTATGAAGGAAACTCACTGAGGAACACCACTTGATTTAGCACCAAATCTCATTACTGATGTTACAATCAATGGATTGAAGACTGCCTAGAGAATTATTGTAAAGATCTCAAGAGTGAAATCTCTGTGAAATCTGGAAGAAATCATTGGAAAGTGGTGTAATTATCTTACAGGCTGACAGTGATGGTGACAATATTGGTGATGCATGTGTAGTTGATACAGATGGTGACTCTATTCCTGATAGTCAGGTATGTCCAATTAAGTACATTCTTCATTTTGTAAAGCAAAAGTTTCATGGGTGGTCATTATCCCTAATATTGCAAGAGGGATCAGCTTGTCACTTTATTTATGGTTACCGTAACATTTACATTTAACCCATGAATAGTATATCATTTCCATGGAAAACTCTCCAAAACCACACAATTATACTGTAAGATACTTAAATTTATTGAATTATGGTTATTTTTTGATTATTGGTTTTATTTTTTTTATTATTTTTTCGGCTATTTTACAGGATGATTATCCAGTCAACAAGTTTTTAAACAAAACAGACTTCAGTGTGTATCAGGAAGTGATTTTAGATGGTGTGGGAAATGTTCAGAAGCCTCCTAAGTGGATGGTTTATGACAATGGAAGAGAAATTGTCCAAACTGTTAATGGGTAAATAATATATTTTTTCCCTGCCTATTACTCAAAATTAAAGGTGATAATTATATATAAGTCAAACATTTAGCCTACAATCTTCAGAAACAGTTTTGGAGCAGTGGTTGAAAATGAAAACATTTTAAAATCATGAAGCCTAGAGTACCCTGTTCCCCATTTAAAATGTTGATAACAGTTTTTTTTAAACTTTGCTAGGGGGATCAGGCAAGGGGGGTGTAGAGCCTCTATGAGAATATTTTTGAAAATAGATAAAGGGCAATTACTTGATACTAGGGTTTACGCAAAATAGCCTGAAAGTTTGAATTATGAATCTATAAAATCATCTGCTTTTTTGCTTCTTTATGAACAACTTGGAAAGTTAGAAAATGTGGGAGTATAACCCTTTAACTCCCAAGATCTCATTGGTAATTCTCCTTACTGTCTCCCATACAGTTCTTGTGATGATAGTTTAGCGAATTTGGTATTGGATCAACTTAATCCCCTAACTGATATTTTTTTTTATTCTCATCACTTGTCTGCTTGATATTGTATTGATAATGAATGGAGAAATTCTGTCTTGGTCACTCATGGGATTTAAAGGGTTAACCTAGCTTTCTTTCCTAATATTTTTGCTTACTGATTTTGTGTTCTTGAGTAGAGATTTGCAAGGTTTTGTCCCCTGCAAAATCAAGCAGTAGATCTTTTATTTTGTTTATGCAAAAAATTGTCAATCTAGAGCATGAAACTCCCAAAGAATTTTATATTTCATGGTAGGGTGCAATGACTGTAATAAAATGAACCTAATGTTTCTGTGTCATGTGTGTTTTTTTAGGAATCCTGGCCTTTTAATAAGTTTCACAAAATTTGGACATGTAGATTACCGTGGAACTTTTTTTATATCTGACACGAAAGATGATGACATTGCTGGTATAGTGTTTGGCTATCAGAGTAATAGGTGAGGCACATTGACAAGGAAAAACTTTGACATTTCCAAATTTGTCCTTTATTACCTATTTTAAATATATTACCAGTTAAATATTAGTTCAAGGACTGCTGTTGTGGGGTACTTTATAAGTAGTCTCTTCATCGCCTTTTTGATAACATTTGAAGTGTCCCAATATTTGACATTCAGTTTATTTTATACAATAAAATTGAGAGTCTGTTGACCTACAATTTTTCTTTCTCTCTTAGGCATTTTTATGTATGCTCTTGGAAGAAAGTGACCCAGTCCTACAATTTAAAAGAAAATTTGACTTATCCAAGATCTGTTGCAAGACAAGGCATAAATCTTATGGTATATGGTCTGAGATGCTATCAGATGAATGTGCAGTAAAACCAATTTTCATGAACATTGTTTTAGTCCTTACAGGTTGCAATAATCTTGAGGCACTTGGCATTTTTTTTTTTTCCAACCATTTATGTGAGATAATTTTGTTTGTCTACAGGTGGTTGACTCAAGTACAGGACCTGGCGAGAATCTTCGTGATGCTTTGTGGGAGACTGGGAACACCATGAATCAAACTCATCTTCTGTGGTATGACAATGGTCCCAAGTGGGCTGCAGGAGTGGCATATCGTTGGAGAATACTGCATGACCCAGACTCTGGAAGGATCCGTGTGCGTTGGTACAGGGTAAGTTTTGAAAAATTTTGCAATGAATTGTACATTCTACACTGATTGTCAGTTCTCAATGCATCGGTCTGAAGTTGTCTGACAGCTGGACAGTACCCATTCTTACCATCAGATACAGAACTGTCATCACCCATAACCAACATGTTTTTCATTTCTGTTTTGCTGTGATAGGGAGGAAAGCTGTTAGCAGACTCAGGGAACATAATAAACAAACGTTATAATGGTGGCCGCCTGGGGATGTATGTCTTTTCACAGGAAGGAGTACACTATTCAAAGTTATATGCCAGATCACCTAAAGTGAGATTCATTTTATTGATCACATTGATGTCATTTTGTTTGAGCAATGTTAAACCAAACCAAAGCAGTCATAAAGGAAAACTCAGATAAAAAAGAAGATATGAATTAGAGCTAATGAAAAAACTAGGGAACTGAGTCAAACACGAGAAAATGAAAGTGGCCAAGATGCAGCAGGGTTTAGTTTTGTAGCTGATTGTTTTGAAGGGTGGTGCAAGTCTCTCTGACAAAGAACTATGATCTCTCCCCCTTTTTTTGTCAACAGATTAGTGACTTTTCCATAAGCTTCAATGGCAGTGGTGGTAATGTAGACTTAGGAGGGATCAGTGATCTACTAGGAGGCTCTGGAAGCATCACTGTGGCTGCTTGGATATGGATACTGGGTCCAAAGTGAGTACCCCAAAAGATTTCTTTTAACAATACCTTGTAAAAAGTGATTTCCTTGAGAAAGATATTTTGTGTTGAGACTACTTTTAAACTTGTTAATATAAAGGAACTTGAGAATCCTCTGGTATCACAATGTGGTTTGTTAAATTGAACTTGGAGCTCAAGGTCATTTTCAAAAGAAAACTTTGAATAAGTTATCTTCTGGTGGATTGCTGGTGGCATAAATACCTGGAAAGATTTTTTTCAGTTTGCATTATTATTTTTATTTGACTATGGTCAAAAGTTGAGCATTAAACTATTAGAGTCTTTCATCTCTTTCAGTGGAAAGGTGATTTGTGATCTGCCTCCAATCAACTTTGGTTCCATGCACCTGATTTGGGGTTTTCACACAGTCATCAGATGATGAGAGGGATTGGACACTAAAAAAAGGGAAAACTCCAACTTCAAACACTGGTCCATCTGCTGACCACACCACAGGCTCAGGGTATTACGCTTTTTTGGAGACATCAGGGATAAAAATTGGCAGTAGGGTTAGTAAAATTGAAAGGACAGAGTCAAAACTCTCCAATTAATTTTCCCTTACAATAGTAATTTACTAATAATGTTGTCAAACAGTGAGATGATAAGAATGAAGGAAAAGTTATGGCCACTGAAAGATATCTAGCAGCCTTCTGTAACTTGCAGCATTTTCAGGGTACTTCTCTTACTCTTGGATACAATTTATTTGTCCTTCCTTGACAGAAAACAGATTTGTCTAATCTTTATTTTTAACCACACCCTCAATAAAATGAAAGCTCATTTTAAAAGCTCTTTATTACTTTTTAGAATTTATTGCTGCACATATTAGAAATACTGCAGAACCTAGCTCCTGTTTTGATTTTTCTGCCTATTTTGTATGTGGGTTCATGTGAATGGCACATTCCATTTTTTAGACCCTGTCACTTCCAATAAAAATTTACTCTTCAGTGACAAGTTGTTTCCAGGTAGTGCCATGTCTAGAATCCATCATTCAAGGGGTTAATTTTTGTAAGAAGGATTTCTCACAAAAAAAAAAACAACAACAACAACAACACACATACCCCTCTACGTAAAAGTGTTACTGAAAATAAATGAAGAATACATGAATATTACAGGCTTAGTTAGTTGACTCACCAATGGGTGGACTTGAACCAGACTGCTCTTAAGCTAACTAACTGCGAGTTAGCAATCCCCAACTCCAATGAAATGGCAATTTATCTAAGCTGTTATTTTAAGAAATGTTCTGTTAACCCTATAACTCCCATGAGTGACCAAGACAGAATTTCTCCCTACAATATCAATACAACATCAAATAGAAAAGTGATAAGAATAAAGAAAAATATTAATTAAGGATTTATTAGTTGATCCAATGTTAAATTCTCCATACTAATGTCACAAGAACTTTATGGCAGACAGTAAGGAGAATTACTAATGAGATCTTGAGAGTTAAAGGGTTAAGACCAACCTTAAACTTATTTAAAAAGTAGTATTTTGTGTAACTACACAACTATGTATCCTATCTCACAGACCAATGCCACTTGTATTGCACCCATACCTCTGTCACTGCATGACTTTTGAACAACCCTATCTGGGTTCCCTCTCTATGGGGTAGGAAGGGGGTGTGTTGTACTTTTATTAATGCAATATCACAAGAAAATTTTGTTTTTTTTTTAGGCCTCTTTTGAAACCCCTTGGTTTGCTGCAGGTGAAGGGTGTAACATGACTTTTTACTATCATATGAATGATCGTTCTAACAAGACAGAAATGGGGAGCCTAGCTGTGGAGGTTAAAACAGTAGATCAGACTTGGTTCATGGTGTTTAGGAAGGCAGGAGATCAAGGCAACATTTGGCATCAAGGAACCATAGATCTTTCAGTAAGGCACCTCTCTCTCCATCATCATATTTTTTTTTTTTAACAATTTGCTAAATTGTTTCTAGAAATTTTGAGCAATACCAATTCAAAATGATGTTCTTCAGTGGGTGATATCTCCACAAGGAAACAGCCATGCCCATTGATTTTTAAAATTGGAAATTATTTTTGACCCATACAAGGTCTAAAATTATAGAAAAAAAAAACTGCTACCTAGGAACTTATACCTGGAAAAGCACATTAAATTTTGAAAGAATGGGAAGAAGTCTGAAGTTTTTCTTCAAGCTGCAGCAATTGTTTAGTTTCTGTGCAAAATCTTGCTGAATTTAAGTTTGTTTACAAATATGTGTACAAACCCTGAAAAGTAAATAGTAATTTGGTGTCTTGATTGACAAAAAAAATTATGCTGAACATATGGATACAGGTAACTTGAGAGCTTTCTTTATCCTGAACATAAATGAGATATGAAAAGTCAGGTCACTAAGATCTGTGGCTGTTAGGTCAATATAACTTGTGCATTCATTTGCAATCCCTTCTGGAATATCACAGTCTTTGAGTTTAATACCAAGCACCATCTTTCCCTCGATAGCATCCAAGATTTCTTGACAGAACGGCTCTTGAAAAAGCTCTGGTGTGAAAACAACTATCATGCGAGAAGTTTTTCTTGACATCTGCCTGTTTGTAGTGATGTTATATCTGTTTGCCTCCATCATTCCAATTATCCATCTTTTTACCCACAGTCTGTCCTTTTTACTGTGGTATATGTGAACTTGAGAATCCTCTGGTACTACAGTATGCAAAAAAAATTGATTTATATTTAAAGGCATGCCAATTTAATATCTTGCTTTGTGTGCTTTCTGCAATCTTTTTTCATACTTTAAATAATCATGTAGTTGTCTATGGTTTGCTATGTTGCCATGATATGGTGTAGCAGTGTTTGATTTTGACAACTCTAAATTGTTATACATGGTGTCACTCTCTGCATAAATCTCTTGAATTGTGTAAACTCAAAAAATATTTTCATTTCATAAGTTTGGTCTTGCAACAGGCTATTAGTTTAAAATTAAACATTATGCAGCCTACAAGATTTTTGCTGTGTGTCATAATACAATCTTGGACAAAATAGAACGGAGCATAAAATGAACTAACATATTTCTGGATCAATGGGTGGCTTAGATGTCTTCATCCTCAGTGGATATCTTGCACTGCTGCTGGGTGTCCAACGACGCAAATCTGGCTGCCACTCATTCATGCCATTCAGTGAGAATACACCATTGTCCAATAACCACTGCCGATGTGCAGTTCTATACCTTACAGCTTGATTATCTCCTTGAGTTGAAAATTCATCAAATTCTGGAAGAAAAAGCATTTCCAAATTTAAATGATAGTTCCTTTTGTCGTGCTGATTAGGGATATGAAACATACTTTGGGGCACACGAATCACTTCTAATTTAAAGAGAAAATGTTTGACAGGTCATTAATATGATTAATAATCAACATTTTACAGTGTAACACATGATTGATATCATTACCTACACATTCTTTAGGATATTCTCTTGAGGCAGGGCTTCTATTGGCCAGTTTTCTCTGCTTGCGTCGTTTCTCACTGTACTGGCTGTCATAGTTTGATGTACTCGTGCATGTATTGCTGCACTCGGTTAAGTTTTCTTTGGCTGAGACATCCTTACTCGTGTATTTTTGTGGGCTTTCAGAGGACATGATAAAGCTGGCAGAGAAAGAATGATTAAATTAATTATATTTTCATTCCCTTTTTTTGTAAATAATAATACTATTGTCTTAATTCACACATTTTTTGATACTGATAGTTCAAAGAATTTTTATGATGTGTTGGCTTTTATTTAGTGGACATGATAAAGCTGGCAAAGAAAGAATGATTAAATTAAATAATGTTTAGTTATTATTTCTAGATCTCAGAGTATTATCTGAAAATTGTTTGAAGATTTGTTTAACCCTCTTTAACACATTTCCCAGTGAAATAATGTTTAGTTATTATTTCTAGATCTCAGAGTATTATCTGAAAATTGTTTGAAGATTTGTAAAACTTTTGACACATTTCCCCACATTTTTACTCACTATATGGATAAATTTTCACTTTAGCTTTGTTATCTACTGCTAATGCATAAAAATATCTTAAAACTTGTCTGAGATAGGTATTAAAAATATTTCTTCAAAATATTTTGTAAATTATTTTACTTACCTTGAACTTCAGGGGAACTTGATAAACTGTTGTGAGATTTTATCTCCATGGAAATTCATTGTATTTTTAGTATATAATTATTCAAAATTCCAATTCCAACAATTCCATATTATCTTATTGGTTGAACATATTTTGGACTTCTTAATTATTTCCCTTTGTTGTTTTGATCTGAAAATATTTTCTCACAACTTTTCTGTGATTACTGATAATTTTGCTGTTGAGAGAATTTTAAAATATAGTAGTTTTGCATTCATAGTGAAAAGCAGGTGACAAGATTGTTTTATGTTCTTGTCATAAAATATTCATTATGTTAAAGCTTTACATCTGTGCTCAGGGTTTGAATAATGAATTTTTGTGTAAACTAGTATGTAACCTGAACTTGGGTCAACTTTAAAATGTATCTTTACCTTTAGCACAATATTTCACATACATGACTTTTTTTGTGTTTAATTAATTTATATCTTTTTTTTTTTTTCATTCTTGCCACAGTCATGTGAAATTAGAGAAGAGTTAAGATTAGATCCCTAACTACAGATGGTTATGTTCACCCAGGATGTTCATTATTTTAAATACAAGAATACATAAAATCTTTAAGACTTACATCAGACATTTTAGAACTTTCTTCTTGTTTAAACAAATATTTGGCATATTTAATATGAAAATTACAATTTTTTTTTAAATGTCATATCTAATTTTTTTGAAAAAGTTTTAGTTTTATGTTTTGAATTGGGTTGGGCAAAAATATAATTTTGTCAAATTCCTTTTTTCCCTAACAGTTATGTTATGAAAAAACCCTGACCAAGTGAAAATCTAATCATCCTATTATTGTTGTTGGAACTTTTCTCTTAATGCTGTGTTTTTGTCTTAATCAGGCTTACAAAGGACTTGTGGCTGTGCGATTTACTGCAGCCAAAGGAAAATCTTACAGGAGTGATATTGCCTTAGATGATATTGTGTTTAGGTAACCCAATTATCCATGGACTATAAAATTAATTGAATTGTCATTTAACTCCATCCCTGTGATTCTCAATGCAATACTAATGTACAATTGTTATATTCATCCCTTTTCTTTTTCTTGTTTTAGTGCAAAATGTGGCTCTGCAAAGGCCTGTATTAATAATTCAGATACAAATCCCATCTTTGGTTCAAAAAAGGGAAGGTCAGGTATGAGCATGTAAAACTTATTACTGTACTTGGTGTGCGAAAAATTTTTTTCTTTTCCTTTTTTTTTTAATTTTGTGAAGATGAGGTTGGGATTATGGTTGGCTTCCCACAATCAGCTAGTTGCAAGTTCCACTGTCCTACAATTTACAATCTCACCTCATAATACTTAAATATCTTACTTTTATAGGAGTACAATTGTCAGTGGGCAACACTGGCATGCTGGGTAACATATCCTTTGCATACAACACCTGGACACATGTGGCTTTTCAGTACAACAACCAAACTAAACAGCAGGTGAGGGTTTTTTTTTTTTTTCAGTCTGGTGATGAAGCAGCAATACATGCAATTATCCTCTTTGGTTACTGATTGTTTGCCAAGTGGTCAGAGATAACCCATCCTTATTAAAGCATCAAATTAAAGCAACCCAACAAAAAATTAAGAAAAAAAAAGCCTTACAAGTCTAAGCCAAGTAAAACTGTTGGTGCCTTTTGTTTGAGAAACTGGAATAAGAAAAAAACTGAATTTCAAAAAAATTAAGTTAGTGAGAACACATAACAATAGAACCGTTAATAGCCAAGAATTATCATTTTTTGGAAACTTTTGTTTGTGAATTAACAGGAAACTGTGAATTTTATTTCCCTGTGCTTGGAATGGAAGGTTCAGTATTGCAATATTAAATATTACAATATATAACATTACAACAATTTAATATTGTCCTGATTTACTCTGATTTTTTTCTTCAGACTCTTTATGTGAATGGCAGAGTGGCTCAACAAGAAAGCAATGTGTCATCCCTTTTGGTGTCAACAAACCTCCTCTTGGGACAGAATGGCCTCAATCATACAACAGGGCAGATGGATGAGGTAGCGAAATGGCCATAGTTTTTTAGAACATCTTTCTCTGTTTCCAAACAAACTGAAGTGCTCGGTTGAAAGCTGTGCAAAGTGGAAAAACTGCTTCTTTTTATCTTAAAGGCCAATTGCCTATGACCTTCAAATTATTGGACAAACATTTCAAAATTTAACTTTTATTGCAACTTAGGGACCAAAACTAAACTGAGATTTCCACAAAATAGGTTTGGGTCATCCATCATGGTGAAATGTAGTGAGTGCAAAGTATATAAATTTGCTTTTTTCACATACACAAATTCTCTCATTTTGAAGGTCCAGATTTGGAACACTGCTGTCAATGTATCAACTATTTATGACAAGTACTTGAGAGGCACTGAAGAAGGACTGGTTAGATATTTCAAGTCAGTTGAAAATATTTTGATTTTGATAGATTACTTTTAATCAACTTAAATATCATAGTAGAAAACCTTAGCTTTTTAATAGATTAAGTTCAACTTCTCTTAGTTACATAATTAAAACACTGAAGTAGATTTCACACAATTAAATTTTGTTAGGCCTACTCAAAATGAAATGTTGTTATTGGTTTTTTGTGTTTCATCTTTTTAACAAACTTCTCTATATTACTCTTTCATCCAGGTGTAACGAAGGGGAAGGGAAACTATTAAAAGACAGTTCTTCATCAAAGAGGCATGTTATTCTTCAGGAAACAAACTGGCTTTCCTCATCTTTGGAGCTTAACAAGAACTAGATGCAGCCACCCTGAGACATGTTTGACATAGGACAATTTCATAAGTTACAAGAACCTAAGGCAGAACTAGAGTTCAGGATTGTACCTTTTTTCAGAAACAAATTGCAATGACTTTTCAGGAATTTTCCATGACTCAGATTGATTTTTCCAAGGCTCCAAATTTCACCTCACATCCAAGATTTCAAAATCAATTCTCCTTGTTCTTATGACATTAATTCTTAAAACTTTTAGAATTAACTTTTTAAGAAGATTCTAGGACTGTCCAGGACCTATACTCTTTTTCCAGGACCTTTCAGTCCTGGAAATTGTCAAAATAAAATTCTAGGACTTTTCAGGTTTTCAAGGACCAGTATGAACCCTGGGAGTTGTTTAATATAAGCTAGAATCACTCCTAAACTGGTTTCCTCAATGTTAGAGCGTAATAAGGACTTTTAAACTATGCACCCACTATGAGATATTTTTGACATATGACAATTCCATAACTTACAAGGACCCTAGGCGGTACTCAACTAGCTTGAAATTATTAAAAATCCCATGATTCAAGATAAATTGCATAGTAGCCCCAAGTTTCACCCATTGTGAACACTTCTGTAAAAAATAATGCAACATAGATACATACATTTAAGAAGCGAGTCTGAGTGAAAGAAGTCACGACAAAAGTACACAATATTAAATAAAGTAGACTTAATAGGATTCTCTGCCCACAGTAGGGGCCACTATTTGTAACTTGACCTAGCCTATGAGCACTTTGGCTCATTATTAGCATCTAGGGATAGGCTTTTCTTTGCCTGCAGGAAATAAGTTGACTTTGCGCATCATGAGCTAATGAGATGTCTGTAAGGGGGCTAGCACTTTAACTAGTGCTAAGTGTCTCCCCCAGTCATCTCAAACCTTCCTGCAGGCCAGAGGGACATGTCCTGCAGCACTTATAAAGATGAGAGCCTGCTTGCATGCTGAAGTAAAGTTTGTCTGAACCACTTGTATTGTATTCATAATGGATATCATTCATACGCATTGGCCTTAGTGAAGAGCAGCTTTGGTGCTGTAGACTATACACACAACAAGCACCAATACCATACATACAAAATATCATGAAACTGGTACCAAAGATTGAAATAAATCGACACAGAAATACTTTTCTGCATTTCCATGTTTTAAAGTTGGTCTCCTGTATAGCACCAGCCTTAAAAGTATTGTAAAATAAATCTACTGTGTTCAAGGGAAGGTACAGTGAAGGAACTAGCAAACCAATAAACAAAGAGGGCAGTGGAAAACAATATAGTTTTTATTACTATACACAAAACACCTGCCTGGTTCTCAAACTTGTTGCATGTATATCTTTACCTCTTATCTCAACAGCCTGAGTCAGTTTCTTATCCTTACATTCACATTCACATTAACAATCTTTCACCCTGAACACCTTGATTACAAAATAAGTGCTCAGTTTCTGCTTTTATCTTTTAAAGAAATCTCTCAGGACAAATGTCAAGTTTAGCTGATACTTCGCTGATAGTCCACTGTACAAAACAATTCCTAAATGTTCAGTCTAGAATTTTACGCACTTTCCTCCTTAGGTGGCCATTTTCCAGCTTTTATCAGCTTTTCTTTCTGCCTCTTGATCTTTTGAACCCTTGTGTACTACGAAGAACAAATGGAACATACCAACTTACATTTCAGGGATTTTACAAGGCCCCTTTCCCACTCTTGCAGGTATTTCAAGAATTTTTGGGAGGCAGACATTGAATAGTCAGTAATTCAACAAACAAGAGAAGTCATTGTAAACTTTTCTTGCTCTAAAAATATGAGTTAGTATGGATTGATATATTAAATAGGTACTAGGGGAATAGCATCAAATACTAACAATGAATACGATAGAGACAGCACTTGATTCTCAAAAATTTGCTCTTGGGGTATATATCACTATTGTGATGGGTATCTAGTACGGGGGGTGGGAGTTGGCTACCTTGATTACACAGTCTAGGAAATAATAAAGTTTTATCGAGCTATGAACAATTTGCACAGTAAATTTCCACACCTTGTCTACCTTGGTTTGTGCTAGAGGTAGAATCGCAGGAGACCAAGGGAACCACAAAATATGAAATATAGGTGCTTGGAAATAACTATCGTCCCTTGCATTGCATTAAACGTTTTCAAAGTCACTCAAAGAAACAAAAAGATGAACGAAAAGCGTACCAGTTTCTTGTGATGTAGACACTCCATAAAATCTTCCCTCTGTTCTTTGCAGAGTGCCCACTGCTCATTACGGCCATTCTTCACTACACAAGCAAAGAAGTCATCCCAAAATGGAGCACATCGTGGTCTGTTTCCGTCCAATCCCGGTCCAAACATCCTCTCAAGAAAACTGGAGAAAAGAACACCCGAAAATAACTAATCTTTTCAAGAACATAAAAGCAGTAAATTGAAAAGAGAACACAAACATACCAATATTTTGAAAAGATTGTATCAGAGCACAGTTTGCTCAAAATGACAAAATGAAGGTTGAATATCCGGGGATTCTTGGAGCGTATATTCGCTGAAGTGTTGCACGCGGGCGCTTAAAAACGAGGCTGTCGGTGCATGCTTTCTGTTTTCCAAATATGGGTTCTTGCGTCCGTGTTGAAATTCCCGCGAACAAAAGAGGCCAATCACAGTAAGAAAATCTCTCAAAACTTATTTTGTGATTGGTTGCTTTTATCGCGGCGCGCAAATTGAACTTCAGCGTCGCGTCCATCGGCGATCATTCCTTCCTCAGCCTTTTTGCACATTGCATCCTTTAGCACTTTATACTCTTTGCTGTATTTCTTAGAAACCTAGTCGTAATTCATCATGCTTGGTGTAGACAATCATATCGTGAGTAGCCACGGCATCAACAAGCTCGCTAAAACTCTTGAAGATGTAGATATAAACGAGAAGGAAGACAGAAGCAACGAAAAGAACAACGAGGTGAGTTCACAGCTAATAACGAATTATTCGATTTTGGCGGGAGAAAAAAAATCTGGGTCCCTATTCCCCGTTCCTTTTTCTCACAAGGCCTTAAATATCGACAAACCATTAAAAAACGAAAGTAGTATTTCACTTTCTTTTCGGTCGAAATTTAATTTCTGGTCCCTCACAAGTTTTTACGAAAGAAGCGTTTACTTCTCGAAAAGTATGCCTGCACGAGGCCACAGAGCGACAGTATGGTTTGCTTGAGAGGTATTTATGTTACTTAAGCACGTTTGAATACGGTGTAGTTACGGATTTGCCTGTGTTTTTTCTTCGTTTTTTTTTTTTTAACCAGAAGTGCTGTGGAAAACTCCTGCAGGGATCTAATGTAAATTTTATAAGCCCGCGCTGAATTACTTAACGGTATTTGGCGGTCAAATGCAGAACTCAGGTTGAGAAATGAAAGTTCAAGCCACAACAAAAGCTTATTTCAACAGCATTTTTTGTGAAAGCTCTGGGAATATTTAGAATTGTTAAGAATTATACAAATTTTCTTATTTTCCGTCAGACTCGCGGACCGGTGAAGCCAGTTTACAAATCTCCTTCAAAATTTGACAACGAGGATGAACCGCTCCTACGTGAAAATCCGCGAAGATTTGTCCTTCTTCCTATCCAGTATAAAGATATTTGGGAAATGTACAAAAAGGCTGAAGGTAAGGAAATCAAACCCTACCCTTAGAAGCTACTATCTTTGTGCGAGTGACCCGGCCGGTATATTACATAAGCTGCCAGGAAAGTTGCATTACTTATATATTATGCAAGCTATTTGGTGCCCGGTATGTTATATAATCTCAAAAGGTAATTAGCCAGTCCCAGATGACCAGGAAATTTTAATGGTTTTTTTCTAAAGACTGGTATGAAAGGAGGAAATTTGTAGACGTCATTATTAGAATAAATCGTGTTCCATAGCTATTATATTTCAAACAATTTTTTTTTCCTCATTATAGCATCCATCTGGGTAGCGGAAGAAGTTGATCTCTCCAAAGACAAAGATGACTGGGCTAACCTTTCGGTGAGTTCAAATCTGTCTTTCTATCTGCATGATACATAAACTGGCTGATAATTTACTTCTGATTGCCTACCTGCTTACAGCTTAAATGTTATTACATTCTTTTGTTAATTTTTATTTTATTCACAGGATGATGAAAGGTATTTTATTTCCCATGTTCTTGCCTTCTTTGCTGCCAGTGACGGCATTGTAAATGAAAACCTGGTTGAGTGTTTTAGCCAGGAAGTGCAAGTTCCTGAGGCAAGATGCTTCTATGGCTTCCAAATTGCAATTGAGGTAAGTTTGTATTTGCAACTAATATTCTAAGTGCCGTTTTTTTCCCAGGATGGTCTTAACAGAATCAGCAGTAAGTTGTAACAATAACAACCAAGCTGTAGTGTGTCTTCTATACAAAAAAAAACCTTGACATTTTCAAGTTGACAAAAATTTTTATTTTGAAAAGAATGAGGAAAAAAGAACTTTATCAATAAGTTTGATAACTCGTAAACAACTTACTCCAAAGTTAAATTAATCACTTTTTCCCCTTTTAAGAATATTCACTCTGAGATGTACAGTCTGTTGATTGACACCTACATTGAGGACCCTGATGAAAAGTAAGTGAAAAAACTACATGATCTTTTTTACTTTGTTAGGAGACAAAATTCAAAATGTTTGCTCAATTGATATTACATTTATGTTAATTAAAATAAAATCACATTGATGTAGTCCTTAAATCAGTGTTTGTTTTGCAGGGAAAATCTTTTTAATGCTATTGAGACAATGCCTTGCGTCAAAAGAAAAGCTCAGTGGGCTTTGAACTGGATCAATCCTGAGAGAGTAAGATTTCATTTTGTAGACTTGAACTTTTTTCTTTTTCTTTTTTCTTTTTCTTTTTCTTTTCCATTCCTTTTATTAGCACTCATATTAAATTATTGTAAAACATTTTGATGAGACAAATGTCCAAACACTCGCCTTATTTTTTTTATTTATTTATTTTTTTTGTAACAGGCTTCTTATGGTGAGAGGGTAGTTGCCTTTGCTGCTGTGGAAGGAATCTTTTTTTCTGGTTCTTTTGCTGCCATTTTCTGGCTAAAAAAGAGGTAAGTGATGTCCAATTAACTATCAAACCTCTTTTTTTTTTTGTTTTGTTTTCTTTGGGATTTTAAATTAAATTTCAGGTGAAAAAAGTTGCTAATCTACTTCTGTTTCAAATTTGCATCAAAAGGGGCAAGATGCCTGGACTTACATTCTCAAATGAGCTCATCAGTCGTGATGAGGTAAGTTACTTAAGGAAGGTGAATATCTTTAAATCACTGCTCAAAAAATATTTTCCTGTTTCAAATCCTGACAAAAAAATAAAACTTCTTTCCAACAATTAAGGACTAACCTTAAGAACTAAGTAAAGAGAAGACTATGAAACTTTTTTGACACTATTTTCTTCCAAAAGATATATATCCCTTTAGACCTCTTAGAGTGACCAGCAATTTCTTTTTACAATATCACCCCAAATCTCACATTGTCACAAGAATACAGGAAATGATCAACTAAAGGAACTCTTGGTAATTACGCAAATTTTCCTTGTCAGCACCTTAGCAAATGTATAATGGACAGTATAAGCATAGTGATGTTAATATAAACACTTTCTTATTCCAGGGTCTTCACTGTGATTTTGCTTGTTTGATGTTCTCCTACCTAAAAAACAAGCCCTCACAAGAAACCATTGTCGGAATTATCAAGGATGCTGTTGAAATTGAACAAGAATTTCTAACAGAGGCCCTTCCAGTGAGACTCATAGGCATGAACCACACCCTTATGAAGCAGTACATTGAATTTGTTGCTGACAGACTTTTGGTGGCTCTCCATTGCCCCAAGGTATGAACTAAGACAGTTTCTCTTTACAATGTCAATATAATATCTGATTACAGACTGAATTGGATGACAAAAGTCTTGTTATTAATTCATTAAAACTATGATGACATTTTTAAAAAAAACTAGACATCAGTGAAACATTTCCATCCAAAAAATTAACAATTATTTAGCAAAATGAACAACAACAGCACACGACATGTACTGACCACTTACACAGGCATGATATGTCAACTGTCCAATTACAGGCATGGTTTGTACACTGTCCTATCTGTGTTCTAATTGAGCTGGTGATAAATATCAATTTGGTGATTAATTGATCCTCTACCAACTTCTCATTACTTACACAAGAATTATATGGCAGACAGGAACACAACTAACTAATGAATGGAAGGTTAAAGAAATGCAAAATTGTTGATTTGTGGGGTTTTTTTCTTAAGCATCCAAAAATTTTATAGCATTTAAGAGCTTGTGACATGCTGTCACTGAAAGGTTTAAAACCAACTTACAATCTTGTAACTCTTTTTCTTAACAGGTTTTTAATGCAAAAAATCCATTTGACTTCATGGAAAACATTTCTTTGGAAGGAAAGACCAACTTCTTCGAGAAAAGAGTTGCAGAATATCAGCGTGCAGGAGTTATGAAGAAAAAGTCTGAGGATTCCCACAAATTTACCACAGATGAGGAATTTTAGACAATTTATGAGAGCTGTGGGAAGGATATATTTTTTTAACATTTAGAACATGAACTATTTTAAAATTACATGTACATTCTTGCATAAAACTGTAAATATCACCTACATCTGGAAAGGTTTTGCAAATTGTTTTTTTTGTAATTAGCAACTTATTAGTTCAAAGTCTTTTGTGTACAAAGTTTAAACTTTTTCACTCAGACTGTTGAGTTTAGCTTTTCCTTTTTTGAGATTTTGTATGTATTTTAATATGCCTTACTTTTTATTAAAAGAAGTTTTAAGAATTTTTGTCATTGTTTTATACAAGGACTGCGGTGCTCTGGGTATTTGGTAAAAAAAAATCTGCCATGGTAGTGAGAGTCCTAAAATGTACATTTTCAGACCTGGAAAACAGTTGGATAGATATTGAAAAGATTGTTAGGAAAACTTGCAACTTGTAGATTAAAACAAACTGTATTTCTTTGACCCCTAGCCCTCTCACTTTTCTTAAAAAGTAGGGAACAAAGAATTGATATGCTATGGAAAGGAAAAAAGTTGAAAAAATTCATTGCTGTCTAAAACTTTTTTGAATAAAGAGACTTGCACAAAAAGCTACTTGGAATTTTTTTTATTTCAGTCAGTTTCTTGTTTTTCTCTATCCATTTCTATTATGGACATAACCTTGCTAACTGAAAACATTGAAAAAAAATCCTGTATTGTGGTCACCAACAAACTCGTACAACATGAAAGCCATAACAAGGACAGAATGATGAACTTATCTTCAGAGCTAACATGCTGTATAAGGCCATAGTTGGCCTGGCACTGTCCTACATAACTGATCTTATCCAGCAATGATTTTCACTTGAAACATTCATTACGTAAGTCTTTTGCTACGCTTGGCTCTTTTAATGTGGCTGCCCCAAAAGTTTGGAACTTAATTCAACATATGTCAAAAGAGTCACTACTGTTGACAGTTTTAAATGTTTGACCCATTATTTTGAATAAGTGTTTCTCAGATATCTCTAAAATTTCAACTGGTATTTTAATTCTTATTGTATTTGTAATTTTTAAGCCATTTTAGTTGATACATGATTCTAGTACTAGATTTTATACCATTTGATTCTCGTAATTTTTAAAGTGATTTTAGTGTTTATCGTATTTTATCCTCTAATTTTATTTGTTTTATTTTTTTTTGCAAAGCACATGTGATCATTATGTCATGCAGCATGCTTTATATAAGTTTATAAACTATTATTATTATTGTTATTATTATTTCTAATATATGAAAATCACCACAATTGTTTCTGTATTTCCTTGATGATAAAAAGCTACTGTAAACATCAAAAACATAAAATTCCTCCACTAAAGCGTAAACTTGGCTGGCTGTTCATAATCATTCATCTAGAAGCAATAAATAGTGTTTTTCAGTGGTAACTGTTAAAATATTTAATTCAAGACTGGGAAATATTTGCATGCATAAATTTTAGATTTCTCTCTCAGTGTTCAGTGAGGGAAAATTGTTCTTATTAATATCTTATAAATTCGAGTCAATTCAGTATTTGCGTGTTTGTGATGTTATCATGGATACTCTACGCTATTAGTCCGATCTTCTTTTGTCTGTTTACTCCTGATTTACGTATAAACGTTCGGACACTGGGTACTAGTTTACGTATGTCGCCATTTTGTTTCGTAACGTGTAATGGCTTCTTAACGCCAACATTTTCGGAGTTTAGTTCAATTTTCTGGGATGTCTGCTCCTCCAAAACCTTGGGAAGGAGTAGGAACAAATGCCAGGTCAAGTTCTGTTGCGTTTGATTCGCCATCTCGACCTCCAATAGGGGCATCTGGTCCAAGACCGAGTGCTCTGCGAAGTTCATTCAATCCAAGCAAAATGGATTCTTCCACAAGCAATGGTACTTCTGTGGCAAAAGTACCTCCTTTACCGCCACGACCTCAAACACAGAGGTCCACTAGTAGTATGATGTATGGAGGGTCGAGATATGGTAATTTCTTTGTTTGCTTTGTTTTGTTTTTCTATTTTTCACATAGCAAATTATTACAGGTTGTGCTCTTCGGTGAGGTGCCTTTTGTAGCTTTCTTCTAAAAATATTTAACAGCTGGAAACTGTTGAATTTACAACCTTTATTCCGCTCACACAAAAACCGTTACAACATAGGAAAGAGAACAAAATACATATATATTTGCTAATTAAAAAAAAAGAGCTTGAATAACAAAAGGATAAATTAAATTAATAATTCCTGTGAAATAAAATCTAAATTTAAATAACAACGGTCAAATATTCATAATAACAACAGAAACCTTAGAATTCTAAAAAGGAGAGCCTCTAGGCTCCCAGTTATTCTTTTAAGAGCACAGCTTTGATTAAAATGTATGAATTGAATGTCATTTAGTGTACAATCAGTTGTTAAAATATACACACACACACATATATATATATATATATATATATCCAGTCTTTTGAGCCAGAAATGCTTAAACGAGGATGTTTGCTGTTATTTAACTCTAAATATGAAGAAAAACCAGAAGAAAACAAAGAACCCAAATAAGCAATGACCAGTCCACAATAGAGGAAATAATGAACTAGCTCATACATACTAAATAGACAGACATGTCTCTTTGGTCTTATTAAAGAAGAGTAGAGCATCATGACCTGTTCTTATTACAAAACTGAAACATTATTTAGTTTCTCTTGTCCACTATATTGTATCATTCCCAAAGAGTGCTGTTTCTGCCATCCACCCATAGAAGATTTTCTTGAGCAATTGTTTTGACTTCCAGTGCCAAAAAGATGAAATGTCTTTGTTAGTTTATAAACATTGAAGAAGTAGTCTTCAAGTGACTGTATTACCATTTAGACTGAATTAAGTAAAAGCAGTAAAAACATTGCAGTAAATTGAATGGGAATTATGTTTGGTGATTGGTAATTACAGATGGTCTTGATAAGCTGCTCGTATAATTTCAGGGCTGGGGTTGTTCAAACAAGAATGAACTAAGCAAGGGTTAGTTAATAATTTTTCATTTAGTTTTGTCACTCTGGAAGCAGTTTCAAGTGTTTATATTGTTTCCTTTAGTTTCATCTAATGCTGAGCTAAAACTTCTGGAAATGAAAGCTCTACTATATGCTTTATTTCAAGAGAAATCAATGACAAGTTAAACTTTTAATCCTGGATTTCGCTAACTGCCTTGCAAACAACCAGCCCAGGAGTGTAAAATCAAGGAGAAGTTGGGGTGCAATTCACCACAGGAGATTTTTCCTTTGTTTCATGGCCCTTAACAAAATTAGTAACATTTTTTTATACAGGCCATTAATTACTGAGAACATATTTTGGCTTTGTATGATACATAACATTCATTTACCTCTTTTTTTATTGTTAATATTATTACTGTTTATCTTCATCCATGTTATACTAGGTTTCTAGGAATTACTAGAAAAGAAGTTCCTTAAAAAATTCGCACAAGAAAAGAAGAAAATACAATGCAAAGCAAAATAGGAATAGAGAAAGGCATGGTGTAGTTATCCCTTTAATTCTCAAGATCTGATCATTAATTTTCCCCTCCAGCTTTAACACAATTCCTTGTAAATAAGCAAGGAGAATTTGGTGTTTGATCAAGGTAACAACTTCTACCTGATAAGTTTGAGTATTGTCATTACCTGTTTGCTGGATAATGTATGGATATTTTAGGGAGAAGTTTCATGTTTATCACTTGTGGGAGGTAAAGGGTTAAGACTACATGAATTTAGTGATCTCTTAAGTGTAATTAGCAAAGTTCATTGTACCTTGCTGAATAATAGGGTTGCATTATCTGTGTTTCAGGTTATGGAGGAAGTATGTATGGAGGTTACAGTGGCATGTATGGAGGGGGAATGGGAGGTGAGTATAGAAAGGGTAAAGAAACATGTTAAAAATACAGTTTTACTGACTGACATTCCACTGTAATGAAGTTGAGGAGGGAGGAAGATGCTCATTTATTTTGGTTTTTCAGGTGATAATGGTGTATAAATTAAAGTAAAGAGGAATAGATAGCATTCAGTTGCAAAGCCATAAAGATCTATAATTAAAGAAATTTTTGTTAACTTTCTCCAAATGGCAAATACCAAAAATGTAGGTAATGGCAAACAGTTCTGTTCACAGGGCAAACTTGCAAACAAAGCCAGAAAGGTATTCTAGACCAAAGTTTTCAATTTATTGGGGATCCACCTTATTTTTTTAAGCTGGGAATCCAATCAACTTTTTGCAAAAATCCACAATCCATAAATTTTTCAAGGCCAAATCTATTAATTTTCTGCTTAAACCACTTCAGCATGAGAGTACATACTGAGGAAGGAAATCATTTTCATGGGTTTGTAAGGGATGACATTAATATTATGTTTGTAAGTCATATGTCTTCCTTTTCTGGAATGTGCAGGTTATGGAGGAATGTATGGAGGTGGTTATGGGGGTTATGGTGGATATGGATTTGGCATGAATCGTTATGGTAATGCCATGAACCAATCAGGAACAAGTTCTTTTGTAAGCCAGGCAGAAGAAAGTAGCCGAGCAGCTTTTCAGTCGATTGAATCTATTGTGCAGGCATTTGGATCTGTTGCCATGATGTTGGAATCAACTCACTTTGCTATGCATAACACATTTCATGCTGTTTTAAGCATGGCAGATCATTTCAGTAGACTACGGGCTCATCTAGTCAGCATGTTTGGTGCATTTACTCTGTTCAAGGTCATAAGATATGTCTTTAGAAAGATCAAAGCTTTATTTGGTGTAAGCCAGGGTCTTGAAGAAGAACTTTGGAACAGTGCAGAAACTGCTGTTATATCTTCAAGTGAAAAAGGTGACTCCAGAAAGCCAAGATCATGGCCCATTTTGCTCTTCTTTGGAGTTGTGCTTGGTACACCACTGATTATATGGAAGTTACTACAGTCTCTGCTTAATGACGAGAGTAAAACCAAAGACTGGAAGACAGGTACTGCTTATGCTTAGCTGACTTGGGCAGGGGATTTAGAAACAACATGATTTGATATCTTGTATTCCCATTACACCCTAACACTATGGAGAGTAACTTTCAAAGTACTTTGGCAAATTAATTTCAAAAGTGAAACAGGTTTCAGCATTAGCCCAGCTTATTGTGTTGTGGTCTTGTAAACTTAGAAGCCACCTACTGTAGCTAATTACTGTTACCTACAAAGCATGAGATAGCTAGTTGCTTTGCTACTTCTTCAAGAAAAGCTGTCAGTACCCTCACTCATGTAAGGGTAGAGGAATAGAGTTCAGGATCTTTCCCATTAACAAACACAGTTACCTTACCTAGATTCACATCTTGACTTCACTTATCATTTTTTGGTTTATAATTTTCACCCTAAAGCTAGAAAACTTACCTCCACAAGTCCAACAGCGACTCTTTCATCCTTCTTTTTCCCTTTCACCTAAATATTTATGTGAGAAGTAATACGTAGTTTATTGATCGCAGGAGAGGGAGACCATGTTATTGCCAGAGCAGAGTATGATTTTGATGGTGAAAATGATGAGGAGTTGTCATTCCGTGCTGGTGACATTCTTCGACTTGCTCCCAAGGGAAAGCAGCCACGCATTAGAGGTTGGCTCTTGGGTAGTCTTGATGGCAGCAGTGAGGGAATTGTACCTGCTAATTATGTTAAGGTTTGTAGTCAGCTATTTCTTGTTATAAGTGTGCAGTGGGTTGCATTATTCTTGTTTTGGAGAGCAAACAAAGGAAAACACCACAAAGAGATGATAAGAATTAACAATACAAAAAGCAAACTGTTGGAAAGGCAGAAAAACATGAAGTTCAAATGGAACTAGGCTAACCCTTCACACCCTAACATCAGTATGTATGCAGCTATTTCAATTTACGTTGTCAGATCAAAGCCTCAAGCCTACAAGACAAGACCGAAGGGGAATATGGGATCTTAATGAATAATTATCAGCAAAATTGACAGTGCCTTGTCCATACTAATTGTATTTTCAGCCTCCATGTCCATCTCACGCCGACAACCCTGAAAGCCTAAAATTAATTCTAAACTACCCATACCGCCTTTCGGTCTTGTCCCGTACCCTTGAAGCTTTGATCTGACAACGTAAATTGAAATAGCTGTATTCTCCATACTGCTCTCTATACATTTCCAAAGAGGCTGACAAGGAGAAATTGTTTCACAATCAAGACCTCCTTTAGTTGGTGATCATCTCCTCTGTTCTCATGACTTTCATGTTTGATTCAGGGGTGATATTGTTAGGAGAAATTAGATGTTAGTCACTCTTAGGAGTCAAAGGGTTCAGAACTGTATCCAATGAATAGAGTGAGTTACACAAGTTTTGCTGGACCAATTGTAGATTGAAGTGACACAAAGCCAATACAAATCCAGTTAACTGAAAACAGGTGAATATGAAAACAGTCTGTGCAGAAATGAACACTACTAAAGCAGTATTGAAAATTAGGCCTGAAAAAATTCAGGGCTGCATGGGATTTGAACCCATGACCTCTGCGATACCAGTGCAGTGCTCTACCTTATTTTTCAGATGTTATTTTCACAACTGTGTAAGTAGTGTTCATTATGGCAAGGATTGTTTTCATGTTCACTTCTTTATCTGCCGTTCACATTTATGATTTTCCCTTATCCACAGTTATATAAACCTACTATGTCTCTTTTGTAAACAAACAGATTCTGGGTCTGCGTCGTGCAAAGAAGGAACTAAAAGACTCCCAGGAGGAGAAAACTGAAGAATCAGAGACTTCTCAAGCAGATCGAAGTAGGACATTTGATGATAAAATGGATAATGAATATGATCAAATAGTAGAGGGGACAGATGGTAGTAGTTTCCTTCCATCCCAGGACTTGCTTACTGAAGATTCATTGAACGAAAGAACTCTTGTAGATGATGGTCTTTCAGACACTGATTTTCAAAATTTTGTTGAAGAACAAGTTTAGTGCCTTTAGTTTGATGCTTTGTCTTCATTAGATTTTTTTCGTTGATTGAAGTTGATTCCCAGAACTCTCTTCTGTGATGATATTAGGATTAGGATTTTGCAGTAGCACTACCAAACCCACTCTGATGAGTTATTCACATGTTACTTATCCTTAAAGTGTCAATACTTTATCTGGTAATCATGAAGATCAACTCCCTGAAAAACCCTGTCGGCCAACTGAAGTTCAGCTGTTGGCTGACAGTCAACGTACAGTCTGCAACTGTTGATTGACAGTGGACCAACTTTTGGCTGACAGTTATAAGCAAACTTGTTGGCTGACAGGCAGGGTGACAGGTGGCCAACAGTTGGTATAAGGGAGTTGATTCTCACAATCATCCTATGCTTATGCAATCAGCATAGACAGAGTTATTGAATGCTTAACAAAACATCTCTTTCCTGATTGGTCAATAACAAATACATAAATAAGTTATAGACTGCTATACAAGACTTCTGTCATGCACTCTCCCGAAAAAAAAACAAAACAAAAACCGAAAAACAAGCTAGAAAGCTTTAAAAATTATTAGATATTTCTCAAACTTGGTTGGGCCTTTACAAGTGTAATCTGAAGTGACTAATTCAAATTCTCCTCTGCGATTCACTAGGAAAGGTAAGGCAGTGAGAAGGGAGAGTTACTTATTGGATCTTAGGAGTTAAAGGGTCAAAATATTCATTCTATAATGAACCAGGAGTTCCATTGTACGAGCCATTGTCTCTTCTGATTTTGTGAAAGAAAGTCTCCATGCAAATCTTCGACGTTATTTGTGTAAAAGTAATAATCACAATCAATAGACTTCATTACAAAGAAGTACTTTGTGAAAGGTGTTAGTAGTCACGATGTTTTCAAATCTTCTTTTAGCAGTGTGACCGAATTACCTGGCTGGTTAGAGGACTTAAATAAAAGATGAATCGTAATTGGTCGCACGCACCAATAATGATTTATTTTATTTAATTGTGATCAGATTCCTTTGAGGGAAGGAACAACAACATTTACGTCGCTGGTAATATATGACATCGTAGCTCAGTTGGTTGCAGCGTCCATTTTGAATCAGGAAGGGAGGGGGGGAGCACAGAGTCGTTTTCCATTCCAGCCTGAATTTTTTCAGAGCTCTTTTCTATAATTTCTTTTGCAATTTATCTTGTAAAAGGAATGATTTTTCTATTTTTCTTTCTTGATTTTTTTTCTCTTTTGAAATCCTTGAACATTTCTAAAATGTTAAAGCTTCAGAAACAGAAAAGAAATGTAGCTTTTTTTACTGATATTATACCCAGTACTGGTTTTCCCGCGATCCCTCGCGGTCAAAGATGGCCCGCTAACCATCTGAATTGTAAATCGTTCCTCATTATCATTCATGATTTTCTCTCACTTGTGTGTGGTACTGAAACTTTGTTCGGGTGTGGGAAGCTCAGCTACCGTTTAGGACTCTCAACTTCGTTTACAAAGTTCAAGATGGAAAGAAAAGTTCGAAAGCTTTGGTTGAGGACACGAGCGTTGTCAAAATGGCCACAGCCTGAACCTAAAAGTGGTAATTTAACAGATGGCGGCTAATTTTGCATCGACAGTACAACACATGACGACAAGATGGCGCCCAAAATGAAGGATCGGTGATGCATTGCTTTCGAAGGTAATCATGAACTGAGTTCTGTTTTAAAGAAAGATAGCTTATCTTGATAAGAATTATCTTGTGCTTCTTAAGAATTGCAGGAATTTTTCCTCGTTTTTATTTCCAACAAGGAAATAGCGAATGGCCTTGATATGTTGTTGTCCTCATTAAATACTCTCAAAGAACAAAGAGAACTTAAACATCATATTACTTTGTTCTATGGTTTGATTTATGCCCTGAAGAAAGCTTACGTTAAAATCATGAAAGCAAGAAACAGATACAGAGAATTATTAAAGTTGAAATTAGTTTTATTCGACAGAAGGATATTCAGGCCATTTATATACAAGTTCTGCATTACTTAGTAAAGTGTTGTCTTAAAATAAACCTTTTGTTGTGATTTTACGGGGGGTTGTTCAAACTAAACATCGCTCTTGCTGTCTTGGTTGTGCTCAAAACACCAACATGTTCTATTTTAAATTGTGGACTTCTCTATAAGACTAACTCGACGACGAATTCTACGCATAAGGAAAAAAACAACACTATGATCTCTTACGTAAACGCAATCTTAACTCCTTCTGATTTCAAGAGATGTTTGCGACCTATTTCTCCATATTTTTTCGTAACAGTGGCATCAAGGTCTTGTATTAATTTCGTTTTTGAGAGCGAGTCTAACCAATTTTTCCTCTTCTGTCAGGTGGCGATTCTTTGCTGAGTTCCCTCTACTTTCACATCAAGTGTCATGTAACAAATGCCCACCTCTCTGGATTGATACTGAACTGGAAAATGGACGGCTTATTGGATTGAAATCAAAATGGCAAATGGACAAGTAACTGGGATGAGCTCAAGTTAGAAAATGGACAAGCGACCGGATTAGAATCAGGTGTTCATATTTTGTTTTGAGGTAGAATCTTTAATAATGTTCGCTTAAAATTAATGATTGGCTGCGAAGGTACACTTTGAACTCTAGTATTTGGCTCAGATACAAACCAATTTTAATACCTTTGGTAACGAAAACTATTTTTGGACAGGGGAAGAACAAAATTTGATTTTAATTCGATTCGTTTTCAACAATTTATAACAAAGTTTCCTGATTGTTAATACTTCAAAACAACCTTTACCGAGACATCTGCTTTACGTGTCAAACACCAAGACGGAGAGATCATTAATTAACACAAACACTGGAGGAAGGAGATTGTTCCAACGAATCACGAAATTTTAGTACAAGCTTATGGTCAATAATGTGATTGAGTACCTTAGCATGAGAAAATAAAGGAACTTTTACAATCGAACTCATTTTGATTAACTAAAAAATCCAACGCTGAAAGAAGGCAGTTGTCGGCATGAATCGCTAAATGTTTGGAACACATGCTTTCGATGAGTTCCGTGATTTGCTCACCTTTGTCACATTAACTCAGAAACGTAATCAGAGAAAAGCAAGAAATACGTTGATGTAAGATTTTGTTAACATAGCATTTATTTATTTCAAAGCCAGTAGTAGCGTTACTTGTGTACCTTCGCTTATCTTTGAGAGGGAAAATTAATAGGCACTCCATTTCAATCTTTGGAAGGAAACTGATGTATCCGCTGGCGTTTCTAAATCAAATTTGGACTTACCTCGTACATTAGTCTTGTTTTGACTGAATTCTTTTATAAGTTCGTTAGCTTGTAATTTTTATTTATCAATTTGTTTTCTTTCTATATCCCTGTCAAAAATTTTCCCACCAAAAAACTTATAAAAATATGGGCGCCTTAATACGCATGCGCCGGTTTTTAAATTTTTTTTATTCTGTAACACCCTGTTAAAAAGGCGTAATTTTCCCGCCAAAAGACTTAGAAAAAATACAGGCGCCCAAAATACGCATGCGCCGTTTTTTTTAAAGTGTGTTAAAGACTTTATTACTCATATTTGTATATTGTTGTTATCAAATAAAATCAAACTCAACAATGTTCTTGTGTGATTTTTATTTTCCTTCTTAAATTATTTCATACAATCAATAAGTAATAAAAGTGTTTTGTCTCTAAATTCTTTAATCAGTTAAGTAATTTTTCGTTGAAATACATACTGAGACTTTTGGCGGGAAAATTTGGAGCAATTTGCACAGAGTTTTCCCCAGCAATATTTTCGACAAAAAAATTGAAAATGGCTTCCCTTAAATTTTCCCGCCAAAATTTATATGTGAACATCACCTTGTGCCAAAAGTTTTAACGCAAATTATCAAATGGTCCTTTTCAGCAACAATTCTCTCCGACAAATTTTGGTGTCTGATTTTTTTTTTTTTTTTTTTTTTTTTTTTTTTTTGCACAAGAGGATATCTTGTACTACTTTAACAATAAGTAGTATGGCAAGTTAGTGTATTATAAATTGGCGTGTTTCAAATTGACAAAATCATGAAAGCTTGCAATGTTGCCTCTTACAAGATCTTTTTTAGCCGTCTAATTTATTTCCTTTCTTACACAGGACGAATTTAACGTAAACTGATTGATATTTGTAATCAAATAAACCTTTAATAAAACTAAGATGATCGTGAAATATTTCTCTCCTTTGGGACAAGTTTGCATTTTTTTGTTCTTTTTGGTCGCAATAATTCAGATGATCAGATGATTGCTCGGCTCCAGGTATCTTTGCATAATATGGAAAGATTTTGCTCAAGTTATTTTTTGTTTTTCACATATAAATTACCCGAACTTCCTTAAAGTCCTGTGTTACATTAAAAGAAGGCTGAAAGAGGTCTTTGTACATAACATATAGTTCCATAAAACCCAATGACTGGTTCAAAGAATAGTATAAAGTTGTAATATTTTGCGAGCAATGGGATATTCAACGACTAAAGTTTGAAACGAGTAGTGCAGACCAAAAGAAAAAATACTTAAGCCATCAAACAACTTTATTCTTCACGTTTTTCTCTCTTTGACTAAAGGAAATATCCTAAGCATTTTTTGAAGCTGACAGTCACTGACAATTTTCGTAATGAAACTCTCGCTCACTGCGATCAAACAACCATGAAAAATTTCCTTTTCGAAACAAACAAAAACCTTTCGGTCACAATGTTTATTACAGGCGGACCGGCCCAAATTGAGTTCGGTTGCAGAAATTTGTTCACCAGAAACTTCTATACAAGACAAATAATGGAACGCAGCTTCCGCATTTTTACATCGCTGGAGTTTGACAGACAATTTTGTTCTCTCATCACTGAATTGCTGAGAGCAGAGGGTTTAAACTTTTAAGTTTCCTGGAGCAACAAGAAAACCTTTTTCATTTTGTAATGCAATGTTTTCATACAAAATACTAGTTTCTTGCCTGTGTTCATGCCCAAACATTTACAGTTCTTTGATCTATAAAGTTTCAATGATTTTTAAAGGTATCTTGGAAATTATATCAATTTTGTGGTCTGTACCACTCTTACTCAAAACTGTTCCACGGAACATTCCTCCGAATCTTCTGAACCAGACATTTAGGTTTTACATATTAAACTTCTGAAAGGATAAGAGAACGTTGGCAATTGGGTTTTCCGTAAGATGTTACGGTCAAAACGGTCAAATTGTTTTTCCCCCTTTTTTGCAAGTTGCTTTATATAGTCAATGGTTCGAGGCAAAGTAAAAGGGAAGAGCTGTCATTGTAAGTCTTTTTGTAGGTTCTTAGATCTATGTGGACGTCTCTTTATATCCTAGACAGACTGCCTTCTTAAGTCAGTCGTTAAAATTGCCAAATGTCTCTTCTGTACGCTGGTTTCTGTTTATTTTACTTAATGTCGTCTTAGCAATTGAGGTGACATCCGTTTCAGAATTTTAAAACATCGGCGTGTGTTTCGTTTCGTCTCGTCAAGTCAAGTCAAGTCATTTTCTTTCTTCCAATAAATTTCTGATGCGTTTTAAACTACTTCCGATCGTCCCCAGTAGTCGAAACAGTCCTAACTTTTTGCAAGATGTCGATTTGTAGGCTGATTCGTCAAGCAATTTGTCGATATACGTTGGTTTTTGTCAACAGTCAATGGGAAACTGAAAAATGTCTTCACACGAGTCTTCACACGAGTCATGTCAACGGTGGTATATGCATTGTTAACATAGTATCATTTAGCCGCGAGAGGTGAGTAAATAGCTATTTTTTTGTCGCAAATGAAACAAAACTTCTAAAAATTTACAAGGTACGTTTGGTTGCCATTGTTCTCTTACCCTTTGCAAAAAGTTTACAAGGATTATGGGGAATCTTTTATGGTGACACTGACCATTGTCTCTAGAAAATTCTGGCTAATTCACCAGTCAAAAAATCTAACATGTTTTCAAAATAAACAATTGTAGAAAATCAAATCAATAAAATATGCGTTCACAACCAAATGTGGTGAAAATGTTCCCAGAGAGTTTTAATTATTTTTTGTTCCTCTACCATAATAGGGTAATCGCTGCACGTGTTTAGACCTATTTTCGTCTTTGAAATATCATTGCGTTGGAGTGCCACACTAAAAAATTCCACCCACATGGGTGGCTGCCATCGCTTCAGGTAAATCTTTAAAGCGAAATTTCTACTCCTGCTCGACACCTATTTGTTTTTCACAATAGCCTTTTGATAATACAACAAACTGTTGGCAGCCACCATTCACATTAGCACAGTACAACAACTTTAACGTTCTTATCTTTGTAAAGTTTCTTGTTCATGCATTGAATCCAGTTTGTCCTCTTGTACTTTCTTGTCTGTTGTCTTCTTCATTTTTTCAGTCATTCTGTAAATAGGAATAAGCAAAACAATATTTAGTTCGGTGGCAAATTGATAAAACTTCTGAGCAATCGTCAATGTGTGTGAAAGAGGCAAGGTATGTCAACATTGAAGTTCAATGGATGGATTGGAGACGCATCAACGATGTTCTCAGTTGCAACACGAAGTTTCGTGATCGAAAGGTTCATGCCACGATTCCTCTACGCGTTTAGAGGTTCCTTTACCTCAAACTTCAAACGCACTCGCCTGCGTTCTTCTCGAGTCTTACCGCATGCTATTGCCGTAATTTTGTTCGGAATGTAACTTACTATGTGTAATTTCCTTCGAAAGGTAACACTATTTCTGTTAACCTAAGGCTAAATTAAGTTTCTTCTACTTTGGCATGAATACGAATGATTTGACTTACTCTAAGTCGGAGGCGCAACATGATGTGAACCGAAAGCGCACTCGCTCATTCAATAGTTGTTTCTAACTTCTACACTGAGGGGAAGATAATTAGACCAGAAATTTTGAAAGAGCAACAGAATGCTCACCTTCAAACGTCTTTCAAGCAAGAGTCCAATTCTAAAACCATGCATGTACTCCAGGCACGTCGTTAAAGTAACACGTCCTCACCCGTCCAAGACCTGTTTGGTTTGAGAAAACTTTACAATCTGCTATGAATATTGAATACGAAAACAGACCAATCACAGATGCATACATCACGAATATGACGCAAATTCTATTCACACGCCCCTAAAGGAGCCAATGAGAAACTCCCGTTCATAAAGAAAGGGACATTTCACGTGTTACTCATTCTTCAGCTCAATTTCTTTAGCATTTCCAAAATTTTTGAATTAAATACTCTTTCTAACCAAGATATAAAATGAAATAATAATATAAATAATAAAATGATTTTATTCCTTCGCTAAAATTGAAACGGCGTCAGCGATGAGTGAGCGAAAACGGTTAACTACCCACTGAGTGGAAAAAAAAAATGAACAGACCGTCAAACAAAGACAATCCAGATTATTTATCAGCTGGCTGAAAAAAGAAAAATGAAACATCACCGAAAAAAAAAAGGTTAAAAAAGAAAGAGCAAACAATAAAACGGCAAGTTCCCCGGAACAGGATCTCCATCCTGACTGGGACCGCTTTCGCGGTACAATACTCTACCCACTGAGCTGCGGGGAACTTGCCCTGAAAGAAGAAATTTTAAGATTACATTTAACAAGTGGAGTACCTACTGCAAGGAACAAGTGCACTAACCTTTTAAGGAAGAAGCGTTTTTACTCTAACAGGACATTATCATAGAAAACTCTCACAGCTTTTTTTTATTAACAGTGTTCAAATTCAGTCGTGTTAGGTTGCATATCCTCAAGTTTTTGATGTGGGAAAAGGGAAAACCCGCCAATAAGTACTTGAAAATTAAAAAAAACATTCGCTGCTGTAGTAAAATCAAAGGACCTGTATACAAAGACATTCAAGACTATCCATAAGTTGGCTATTAAGTGGGGAAAGAAAAATATAAAAAAAAGATTAAAAAGAAATCAAACAAAAATAACGGCAAGTTCTCCGAATAGTATCTCCATCCTGACTAAGACCGCTTTTGCAGCTCTATGCTCTACTTACTGAGCTGAGGGAAACCTGCCGAAAAAGCAAATTTTAAGTTCATAGGTAACAAGTGGATTAACTGCAAGGATCAACTGCGCAAACATTCTGAGAAAAAGTGTTTTGATTATAAGATGACATTGTAACGCATCCACTGCTATTTGCCACTTTAATAATGTTTAAATTCAATAGCGTTCAGTTGCATGTCCTCAATTTAGAGTGTAGGAGAAGGATTAACTTGTCAATAAGTGATAAAACCATGGCTGATGTGCGTAAATGAACAAAACGTTATACAAGACATTCCAGACTGTTTAAAAGTTGGGTGTAAAATGAGAAAAGAAACAAATCATCCGAAAAAAATAAGGTTAAAAAAAATTAAAGCAAACAAGCGGCAAGTCCTCCTTGACAGGGTTAGCATCTGACTGTAGAATGTTCAACCCACTGCGCTCCGGGGAACTTTTAAGTTTATACTGGTAACAAGTGGATTGCGTACTACAGGATTCGAGTGCGCAAACACTCTAAGGAAAAAGTGTTATCTGGATCTAAGATAACATTTAACGCAAACTATACTATTTAACAGTTTAATAATGCTCGAATTCAGTGGCGTTTCGATGCATGTCCTCAATTTAAGAGTGTAAGAAACGGGTAAACTTGCCAATAAGTGGAATAAAAAGTTCGTTAATGAAATGAAGTGAAAAGGCGAGTATAAAAAGACATTTCAAAGTAATTATGGGCTTTGTATAAAATACAAAAACCAACAAATTATCGAAAAAAGGAAAATATTTAAAAAGGACAAAAAAACAAACAAAGAAACAAAAAACGGCAAGTTCCCCGGGTCAGGATCTCTATCCTGACTGGGACCGCATTTGCGGTCCAACGCTCTACCCACTGAGCTGCGGGGAACTTGCCATGATTAAGAAGTAAATATTAAGATTATATATAACAAAAAAAATACGTGTTGCAAGGAACAAGTGCACTAAGATTCTGAGGAAATAGTGTTTTGACTCTAAAAAGACATTACTACAAAAACGTCTTTGTTTGATATAATAATGTTCCAATTGAGCAGCGTTTCGATGCATGTCCTGAATGTAAGAGTTTAGGAAAAGGGTAAACTTACCAATAATTGGAAGAAACCTTCGCTAATGTAATGAAGTGAGAAAATGAGTTTAAAAACACATTACGGACTGTTTATAACCTTCGTATAAAATAGGAAAACCATCAAATCATCGAAAAAGAAATTATAAAAGGAATCGAATAAAAGGAAAAAAAAACGGCAAGTTCCCCGAGTCAGGATCTCCATCCTGACTGGGACCACTTTCGCGGTACAATGCTCTACCCACTGATCTGCGGGGAACTTGCCATGATTGAAGGGTAAATTTTAAGATTATATGTAACAAGTGGAGTACGTACTGGAAGGAACAAGTGTACAAAATTTCATTGAAAAAGTGTTTTGACTCTAAAATGACATAACTACACGAACTTTGTTGTTTGATTAAATAATGTTCAAACTCCGAAGTGTTTAGATAAATATCCTGAATTTAAGAGTATAGAAAAAGGGTGAACTTGCCATTAAGGAGAGAAACATTCGCTGACGTAATGAAGTAAAAAGACGAGTATACAATTGAAAGACATTCCAGACTATTTATAAGCGTGGTATAAAATGGGAAAACCAACAAATCATCAGAAAAAAAGCTTACAAAATGAATAATGAAAAAAAGAAATACGACAAGCTCCCCGGAACAGGATCTCCATCCCGACTGGGACCTCTTTCGCGGTACAATGCTCTACCCACCGAGCTGCTGGGAACTTGCCATGAATGAAGAGCAAATTATAATTTTTTATGTAACAAGTGGACTACGTACTGCAAGTATCAAATGCGTAAAGATTCTGAGGAAAAGCGTCAAGAATCCAAGATGACATTTTTATGAAAATCCTGCTATTTGATTCGATATTGTTCAAATTCAGCAGCAATTTTTGCCAGGATTGTGTACTAATCGATCAAAAGAGCTCGAGTAAATCCTAACGTGACAGTCGCAGGCTTAGCTTACTTACTCACCCACACTCACATACGATAGCATTATAGTGCTGGCTTTTAAAGACCAGTAACCACGAAAAGTTGATAAATAAAACAGTTGACAAGTTCCCCCTGATAGTATTTGAACTGTAGTAGGGACTGCTTCTGCGGCAAGATGCTACACCCATCGGGTAGCGGGAACTCGTCAGCAAGCCAGAGCAAATTCTTAGTTTATGCATCACAAATGGACTATGGACTGCTAAGATCAACTCCAGAAATATACCGAAGTATAAGCGAGTTGACGTACGAAGTTCATATGAAAAATAATTAATTTTTTTTACTGTTGAAAAATGCAGTAATGCTTACTGAAAGAAAATTTTGTTTAAGTCTAAAATAGCTTGGAACAGAATTAGTTTCTATTTCACTACGCTCTGTGATTATTTTGAAAATCCTTCCCATCCTCTCAACCAATCAGATGCAACAATGAGACCTATCATGACTCGGTCACTCGCACTCTCCCGCAGTCTTCCCCAATTTATAGGCTCTTTGTAAAACTCTTCTCGATTACGATCGACCGCTGAAATAATTATTTTCTTTTGCCACGTCAATCAATCGAAACACGTCAGGGTGGTGGGGTTAGAGTAGAAACCATGGATTTCCTGTGCAGGGAGTGTGTGGCTGTGTCAGGTACCATGGATCTCCTGTGAAGAGGTAAAGGGGGGGAGGGTGGGGTGTGTTGGAGTTGTAAAAGATACCTTGTGTCAAAAGGGAGAGGGGATTACGATGGAAGACCATGGGCTCAAATCCCCAGTATGTTCAATAGTTATGATCGTTACCTTGAGAGCACTGTATCAAAATGTGCCATGAGACCAGAAAATTTAACTATATAACGAAGTTTATTAAAAGCCACCCAATGAGAGGACGCTTACACGGTCATGTAAGATGCCTACAACTTATCAACTTCAACAGAGTCGTTGTAACAGCGTTAATTTAAAGTAATTATTCCATTAAATAAACTTATCTAAAATGTGAACCTCATACATGGCAAATGTACACGCTTCCCGTTTTAGAAGCTATAATAACTGCAAAGCAGTTTTGAAGCTATCTCGTTGAGGTGTACTATCGAATACAAAGTTCACGAATCATTTCAGCAGTAGCGTTCTCAACGTGCCCCGAATTGAGCAAAGCCCACATTCATACGAAAGAAGGGATTCACTCGTAAAAATCGTGATTTTAAAACGTTGCTGAGCTAGGTACCACGAATGATACATCTTTAGTCTTCAACCATCTTATATAAAAGATTAAAATTATAGAGCTAAGTACCGCGAATGATAAATCTTTAATCTTCCACCATCTTAGATAAAAGTTCGAAATTGTAGTAAGCGAACACCTAAAGCTATTAATTAGAAAAAAACATACCGTGGGAAGCTTCCGCATGACACGACCCCAATTCATCTTATTTAGAAAATGGTTACATTATTACAAAACTAAAAGCAGGAATTCCAACTTAAAGCAATCTTAAAATACTATAATTTAATGTGTTTGAATCGAGTTAGTTTCAAAATCCCTAGGATGTTGAATGATTTGGGGCATTTTAAAAAATAGAAACAAACATAATAAGAAGATAATATACCTAGTGCTTATCAAAGTTTGTTACTTTTGTAACGATAAGGTCTTCTCCAAACAAATTTTATCTCTGCATGTGTGAAAGTCGAAATAAAACTTGCGTAACATTTCGCCTTAAATGAAATTCTTTCATTGGATGAACTGGCAACGGGCTTCGTGTACGGTTAATCATCTGAAAAAGCTAACTACCAAATAACGACGTGCACATACGCCTTTTCCTAAAATTAAAAGCACATTTACAATAAAATTCTAATACAGTGCTTGACAAAAACAAACAAACAAACCCATTGAGCGGTTTAATTCTCCTCCCACTTCAACACCTTCAACAACCTAGACTTGTTTTAAACTGTACCACTATGGGCTCTTCAATATTCCAACACCACTGATTTTACATCCTTAACTTTTATAGTATATCCTTTACGAGTGTGTAACACTTTAGGGAAGCAGCGTTCATCCTCTACTTGTCGGCTTGGCCGACTGCAGTTCCTTAAGGGTTCCGTGGGTTTTAACTGCTGCGGATGGTAAATCGTACATCAAAATCAAGAAAGTTTCAAAGACGACTGAATTTGAGATTAAAAAACCATAGGATTGACATGACAAAGGAATGTCTACATTCAAATTGGAAGGATAACACGAACATATCATTAGCAGGAGAACCAATCGCCACAACGGAACAAAAAGACATAAGCCAATCAAGGTTCAAGCACAGCAGCAAGTGTGTAAACAAACAAGATCCAGTTAAAATCACTGTCAAATGTCAGAAGAGAACTAAAATTATCAACAGCGTTATGCAGCTAGAGAGAATAATCAATAAAACAATAAAACTCGGGAAGTTGAAAGAAAGTCGCTTAAAAATAACAAAATAACTTTACCTTTACGCTTGGCTTTCTTCATCAGTCCTGGTTATAACAACCTCGGTTATTTTAGCGTTAGGGTTCTCTTCCTTTGCTCGCTGGATGGCCTCCCAAATTGCCTACATAGGATTTCAATGCAAGAGCAATGAGTACAATACTTTGACTTCTTAACCTTTTGCAGAGATTAGGTTGGGAACCAAACTATTCCGTCGAAAAATAAATAAATAGAAAAACAAACAAATATACGGAAAATTACATAAATACAATTCATTTGTCATTTAGCAACTACAGTGAAGGAAAAAAAGCGCCTTCGTCTAAACACCGTCCCACTTCTTGCAAAAAAATTCATGAAATATTTAGTACATTAACCGAATACTAGGAAATCTTCTTGTTCATAATCCAGAGTTTTACGGTTCAACCAATCGCACGTACACTTCGTTGTAAACGTACGTCACTGAATTACTTAGCAACCTTCAATCGATCTACCGTGGGCTCAAACATTCTTCTGTTTAAGACAAAAGTTACAACAGTTCGACCAACAAGAGAGTTCACTGGTGCCACCATGGTAATGGTGGTGAGCCGATCACTTACAGCATCAGTATCAGGGTCACCAGTTTTGATGATGTTCCCTTCATCATCCACAACCCTCATTGTTTCTGTTATTGTCTTCGTTTGCTTCACTTCTTGAACCTTGGTTGTGTAAGTCTGAAAAGGAATGAGACATTTCGTATGTAAAAGAGTTATTCGAAGCTCGCACTCGTCTAAGGACGAAGTAACAACATCATTTCCAGTACAATTTGGTGTAAATAAGCATGAGTAAATCTTTCAAAAGATCTAAAAGTGTCTTCATCCCAAACTGCATCGGAATTCATGTTATTACTTGGTAATAATGTACTTGAAAGAGCAGCACAGAAAGTCAAGAAAGGCGACATTTTGAAAGCGTGCGCGCGCCATTTGTAATTTGCGTTCGTGTTGCATGGAAAATGCGGAATTTTTTAAATTTATATTATCATCACCAAAACACGAACATTTTGAGTGTAGCTGGAGTCTAAACAGTATCCACAAGGTTAGTGATTCAGTTGTCCTACCACCAAGCAACAGGGACCTTTGGGAGGGTGGCCACAGAAAACTGTAGTAAACATAACACACGCTGGAAGAGTGAACGTAGATAGAAAACGAAAATGTTATACTGCAAGCCTGATGTGAAATTCTCCTCTATCCCTAACAGTCTTATTTCTTGTTTTGGCTTAGGGTCCCCATTTTTGTGCTTCTCTATCTCACAAAACTATTTTTTTTCTTGGTTTCCGCACTTTATTACTTTCATTTTTCATCAACATGATGGCCATGGCATAGTCGCGACTTACAGTGGTAACCACTTCACTGCTTCCAATGTCTCCTGCATGTTTAGCTATGATGTCCTTCAGCTCCTCGGCAGTCAGCTGGTTTCCATCACCCTCGATGGTGATTGTCTTTTGAATTATCTCTGTAGGCATGGTCGTCTGACGAATAGTCTCTGTTCTAGTTGGCTCTGCACCACCCATCATTATGGTACGAGTAATCACCGTGCCGCCATCTTGGGTTCCTGTTGAGAGGAAGTCGTAAATTAAATTAAAAGACAGAAAATTTACATCACTTCCAGAATGACGTGACATTCTTGGTAAAAGCAAGAGAACTGCTTTGGCTATGACCAACCTGCTCAGTCACTTTCGGACCTGTTCTTTGGAATGTCACGCAACGTTCCCCTCTTTGAAACTTCTTTTAACGAGAGGGTTGAGTTACTTTCCAAAGAACGGCTCCGAAGAAGACTTGCATGTAAAGTCTCACTTAGCTGAAATGTGATATAAGTCATCAATCTCCAAAACTTTTGAGCAAATGTCATAACTAGTGCGGGAAATGTTCGCAAGCAGAGATCAACTTGACTATTGTAAGCGAATTTAAAAAAAAATGTCATGGATTAAATATGATAAGAAAAAAAAACTGATTGTGATAATTTCTGGACAAGTGTGCGGTTAGATCTCATACAGGCACCTTTAATTTGCAGGGTTTTTTCACCAGTTTTTCCGAATTTTCGTTTCTCAGCAGATAAAAACACTGAGAGCTCGTCCGTTTTTTCAATGCAATGTTCTCCAACCAATACCAAAATCATGCAGTGGCTCAAAATAGCTTGAAAATTTCTATCTTTGGGGTAAATTAAAAAACACTAAAACGGCATTAAACTAACAAGTTCTCAATGACAGAATTTCTCTCGAAAATTTCCCTGAGCAGCGAAGACTATGACACAGCTTTTCCGTAGAAAGAATCCGTTTGAAAGCAAAATGAAAAAAAAAAAAGGATACCAATAAAGGAGAAAGCAGTTATCTTGAAAACGAAACTTGATTAGGAGACCTGATGGGGAATTTGTAGTGAGGTTGAAGGAAAATTCTTTTCCATGTAAATTCTACTCCTTCGTAACTTTGTCTTACACACGCGCAAAGGTTGTTGTAACTGAATGTCCCATGAGAAGTTCATTTGTCGAGAAGCAATCACTAGTGTTACTGCGGTTTTATAAACTGCACTCAAAGGGAACTTGGATCAATGTCGGTCCTTGAACAACTACACACCTAACCCTTCCCTAACCCAACAAAAGTCAACTGCAGACAAGTCAAGGGTTAACGTTGAGTTAGGTGCGTAGTTACTGGGTTAGGGGAGGGGTAGGTGCGCAGTTACTGAAATACTGAAATTGATTGGGAATCGTTTACTAACCACTCGAAGGTGGACTAATGGGAGGTCCATTTTGGTCATACACAACTCTCTGTGTGGTGACGCTGGGCACATTGTAATGTCTTGAATGTGGTGAATATGGCTCAGGAGAACCATCCTGGGTGATGTCACTAAAGCGATAGGGAGTACCTTGTTTAACTCCTGGCTGTCCATCGTTCCGTCCAATCAAAAACGAGTGCGTCTCTACCTCCGGAGCTCTGTTCTGACGATACACTTTCGGGTCTCTGTCATTATCGATGATCATGGTCTTGGTGGTGATCTCGGGTGGAGCGCTTTCCAGGTCGTTCCGCACGGTCTGCTTTGCAATGAAGCCTTCGTTTCTTCGGATGCTCTCCCGAACAAAGCCACCCTCGCCTTGCTCGTGCTGCAAGTTGAGGTCATCTTTCAGTGATCTCTTGATCTCATGCTGGGCGGGTTCAGTGCGCAGAGTGTCACTTGACCCAGGTGAGTAGTACCTCATCAGTTCATCCCTATTCACCAGAGGTACTTTTCCTTGTCTTTGGCCCCTCTCCTGTCCATTGTTCTCCAACAAATCCTCAGCACTGCGTCTCCTGTCCTCATCAGGCATCATGTTGCTATCAAAGCCTTTTCTTGCTCCTCGGTTGGGTAAAGTTGCACTGGTGTGTGTTCGGGTGTAGGATACATTATCCTTTTTTCCACCACCCCATGTGTTTGTCCTTGCAGAAGGGTCAGGACCCTGTGAAAAAAAAAGTTTTCAGGATGTAATTAATTGAGCGTCGAAAGTAATCCATGATCTCTTTGATTTTGCTTAATTTCGTTCTAGGATTGGTGCAAAAAACCTCGCGTTTTTACGCAGAGTTCTAATTCTGTAATGATGTCAACCTTCTTTCCGATTGGCTGTTGTGATCATTATGGTCTTAGTTGTTCGAGGCTCAAATGAAAACTACACTAAAAAGGTCGTTTCGAGTGCCTGTCATTCTATACACAGACAAAGATGGTGGAATGATGCAATACATGCGTTCCATAACTCAACATTTAAAAATATATTTTACCATCGATTGTCGAAAGTAATTTGCTATTGTTTTCCTTTTGCTTCGGTTCTCTCTGAGGCTCCGTCGCAACCGTTCTTTAAATGTCACGCAACACTCTAGGGGACCATTCTTTCACATCTCAAAGAACGGTTGCGAAGGAGGCAAGTTTGCTCTGTGATTGGCCTGGAAAACCGCGACAAGTTTCCTTCATATTTCTTTACAATACCAGGCACTGTTACAGACTGATGCCCTTGTCTAAGTTTAAGAGCCAGAACCAAAACGGGTTTACGTAAAACGGCGACAATGCCATTGTTGGACAGACGCTGTTTGGACGCTCTCATTTTAGCTGCGTCAAACTGCCTTTGAATGGCTTATCTACATAACAAGTGTTGGGGTGCTAATCATTAGTAACAACTCACTGGTCGGCAGAATGTCGAATTTGAACGGAGTTGGCATTTGAGAATTTTCTGTAGGAAGTGAACTGATAAAAATTGGGAAATAATGGTTCTAGTCAAAATGCTCCTATCAACAGTGGAACTCTCTCCCAACGGAAAGACCCAACTAGCCAAACGCGTCTGACAAATGACAAGAGTTTTTGGTCAACTTTTAGGACTCAATGACATCTATAGATTCTTACCATCTCATCCTGTGGCAGCTTCTGGACACGTCCCTTGTACGTATCAGTATCAGCTACCCTCGTCTCTGCCCTCTTGATGGTGTCAAAACCACTAACGGGGGTAGCCACGCCCATGCTGACAAATTCTGGTTCTTCCTTCTTGACCTTTTCCAGAGTAAATGTTGCTCTAAAATAGACAGCATTCAATACGTGAGAAAACAATAAATAGTGTGGTAGAAAAAAAATATACAAACAAGATATGAATATCAAGCTTATACACACGTTTCGTTAAGGTACACTTTACCTCAATTTGACCAATTTGATCGCGTAAAATTACCTTTCAGCTTTTCCTCCAGGAGCTGTGTACGCTGGGCCGGCTTCCTGCGGCTCAATTGCCTCAACCCTAAAATCAAGACAGATTGTACCTTATGTTATTCTATCCAACAAAAAATGACCAAATTTTGCTGATCAGTTATTGTATTCTAGAGCAATTTTCAATTGAGCGTTGAAAGGAATTGAGGATTGCTTTGATTTTTCTTTAATTTGCTCTGTGATTGGTCAAGAAAACGCGCCATTCTCTCAACCAATAGGATACAAAACTAAAAACAATCGCGACTTGGTCATGCACGTTTTCCCGCGCTTCAAGCAGTTTGCTTGTTTTCACACAGAGTTCTCATTGGTTAATAACAAAGCAAGTTTTTGTTCTGATTGGTCGCTGGGAAAAATTTGGTTTTAATTTTTCACTGACTAAGATCCTTTAGGAAAAGATGACTTGAATAACACTCTTATCAAACTTTTATTTAACCTTCTCTTCTCGCTTTCAATCCATTCTTGCAATTTCCTCTCTCGTTCTGCTTCTTTCTCCTGCTCACGTATCCTTTCTCGTTCCTCAGCTTGTTTCCTCTCCCACTCACGTCTCCTTGCCTCTTCTTCCACAGCAGTGACTGTGGCTTGAGGATCAGGTCTTTCTGCTCTACCATATGCATAGAAGCCACCAGCTTCCCCAGCACCAGTAGCTCTGATGACATCGTCTCCTCTTTCTCCCTTTTGTTTTCCCAATTTCTCTGTTATCTCTCTCTGATACTGTTCACGCTCTTCTGGTGTCAAGGTCGCCATTGATTCCTCCTCCATTAGTGGTGCCTAAAACAATTGGAAAATAAAATTTCCATACAGAGCAACAAAATTCACTTGCAGACTAATAATCTCCTAAACATATCGTACATTTGCCAAATTTTGCCTGATGCTACCCTATATGTCTCAACAATCTTGTTTTCATACATAAAACACGTATACAGGCATCTTGAGTACACTAGGAATAAGAAATAAATATTTGAAGGTTCCAGCTTTGTTGTAAAGAAAATTGTACAAAAAAGAATCAAAAGACATGTCCAAGAAACGTATACATTGAATTAACCATACTAACTCACCTGTCCCCCTTTGTACCACCGCATCTTTCCAGGAAGATTTCCCTCTGATAAGGGCCTCTTGTTGCTCTCATCATCTTCTTTCACATAAATCCTGGTTTCTGATAGAGAAGGCATTTGGTAACGACGTGACCAGTTTAGACTTGAAACACGATTAAACTTGGGCTGGTCCTTGATTGGTTGACCATCCTTGTGTAGCTGATACAGGGTGCGGTCACTGTAACGGAACTTTGATCCCATCCTCAGCAGAGAGCTACTGCGACTTGGTGGTGGGTCAGAGAAAGTTAACCTGACACAGAAAAGGCAAGATTGTGTTTGGAGCAATATCAGTAATGTGGTGTGGGGGAGAAAACTCCTAACAGAGTTTTGCTGAACGTATTGGCAGTAGGATTTAAAATTCAGGCAGTAGCAGAGGAAAAAAAAATAGTAATAAAAACATGGGTGTTTTGCAGAAGGGCAATGTGCAGACAGTTGATACTAGCCAGAAGAAAATTTTATACCTGAAGAATGTATGATGTTCAACGCAAGATTTATACAAGCGCTTGGCTGCCTTCTCACTTGGCATCTTGTAAACAGCTCTAGTTGTCAAAGTGTCCAGCTGATAATTGAAAGAAATACCAATAATTTATAAGAATGTTTTGCACAAGTGTTAAATTGTGTTCATTAAATAATAATGTTTCACACAAGTGCAAAATTGTGTTTATCAAATGATAATGTTTTGCACAAGTGCAAAATTGTGTTCATCAACCCTTTACACCCTCAAAATATACTTTCTCCAAACTGCTCCTCATACAATTCATGAGGTTTGTCAGGAGAATTTGTATGACAATCAGGACCTTTTTTAATTTTGGATATTTTCCTTTTCGTTACAACGTTTATGTTTGATTCAGCAGTGATGCTATATGGAGACAATTGATCCCAGTCACTCTTAGAGGTTAAAGGGTCAAAGGGTGGCTGAAATCCTTCATAGGATTATGAAACAGAACTCACAGGAAGGAGTCAAATTCTGTGCAATCTGAGCCAAATCTCGTCTCTTAAAGTCTAAAAAAAGAAAAAGAGGATCTACCAAATAATGATCTTACTTGGGATTTTCTGGATCACATAGACAAAAAATCCCTTGTAAGGGTATCTTCTTGGAGTGCAAAGCTCTAGAGAACCTTTTAACCTTTAAACAAAATATGTCTCCTCTTGAAGGCCTCTGGAAAATGCTAGAACTAACTGCGGCAATTACTCTGTTTTTACCTCTCCTGGATGGCTTTTGATGATGAAATTCCTCTTTCTGTACTTGATGTAGTCAATCTTGGTCCTAAATCAAAATTTCAAATGAAGTTCAGATACTATGATTGAAGAATGAAGAATTTGTTTATCAATCAAAAGCCTCTTAATTTAAGTTATTCTCATAACCCTAATGTCTGATTCAGGTGTGATATTGTAAGGAGAAATTAGATGCTCGTCACACTCAGGGGCCATAGGCTTAAAGAAGTTGCACCTATAACTTCCCTTGGAATGTAAGAATTAATCATGCAATGCGAGATGAAATTCATGCACTTACCATGGAATTTTGTTGACCACCAGTCTGTCTTTGTAGGTAGCAACACCATCATGAGAAACACCAATGAGTATTTCTGTGCCATCTTGTTCCTTTATTTGGAATCAAACAAATATACTCAGAGCAACTTTGGATGAGATATCACAAGCAACCTGATAAAAAACTTGCTGTGAAAGTAACCAGACTTGTTACAAACAAGACAATTGGTAGCAAGCCATTTATAGGTAGAGATATGCTACTTCAACTGGACAAACAAGTAAAATACATGTACTGATATGAAAGAGCACATAAACCTTTGCCAGCTAGAGTAATTTTTAGCTGGCTACTGACAGTTCTCCACAGAACATTGCTACCACAAGGTTCTCAATTCTGTGACTTTTTTCAAGTTGAATTCTAACTTATAATTTTGCTCTTAGTGGAAGAGGAAAACCATGGAATTCAGAAGAAAACTCTCAGAACTAGAAGGAGACCTAACAACAATTTAACAGGGTGTAAAATTAACTTTTTTTCTCAGATAGCCACTTAGCTCCTAAATTCTTCAAAGTGGTAGCCAATTAAAAAAAAGTTGATGGCCATTTTCAAAGACAAACAAAACCTTTTTTTACACAGTCAGCATTCCAGATAGACCCTCCAAAATTAAGTTAGGGAGAAGATCTTTAACATGCTACAAAGAGGACACTAGGATGGATGATATAAAATGTTCAAGCTCACTTAAATCCAAGATGGTGTCTAGTTATCGATTGAGATGCATGTGCCGCGTTTTGGAAACAAACTTAATGAGGAAGTTTGCCATGGATTTATCTTTGCAAATCTATTTAATTCACTATATCTCTTGGTAAGGTTATGATGAAACATTCTAGTCACCAATTTGGCGACTAATTTTCAGGATTTAGTCACCAAAGTGAAAAATTTAGTCACATTGGTGCCTTTATTAGGTGCAATTTCATGCCCTGTTTAAACAAGTGATGTCAGGTTTAGTGGTAGAAGCAATTCTACCTACCCTTGCTGGATGTGCATCCACACCAAACATGACAAGTTTTGTTGCTGCCATCTTTAGGTACTGTAAATCAGCTTCTTCTGGACTGAGACCCCTGGAAAACAAACATCAAACTATAACATCCATTTCTGGATATCATGAGTTCCTTAAATGCTAACTAAGCAATAGACTGCACTTTCAATCAGTTTATCTGCATAATAACCCACAAAGAAAATTGGAAGATTGATAGAGAACTTTGTAATTCACAAGCTGGAGGGGAGTGATTTAAAAACTTTTCTCATGTTCTTCCAATATTCCAAGTGGGTTGTTATGCCAGTGAACCCAAAAAAGTGCGCTCTATTGCTTTGATAACATAAACTAAGAACAAAACAACCTTTGTTTCAATTTTCTATCAGTTTATCGGTGCAATGAATGATAGGCTTATGACCAATCAGATTTCTTGCAGTATCTTGGTCATTTTTATCACAGGCATGTCTAATGAGATGATTCTGCTTTTAAACAGATTCTGTTTAATTGAGTGTAAAAAATTACCACAGCATTTAACTTCCAATCAACTTAATTTTTCACCCAGCAATAATAACAAAATTTTCATTAACAACTTCCTTTCAATGACACCTTATTTCCTGTAACATGCACTCTAAAGAAATGAAAGTGTTTGATTAACATTGAAAAAATCCACAAGGTTATGAATGCAAACTATTGTTGAAAAATACCATTTGAGAGATCAAAGTGTTACTTTATTAGTAGAGATCTTATGCTACCTGTTTTGCTTGTGAAGTTCCCTAATTTTGTCCAGTAATTCTTGTGTCTGTACAAACAGAAAAAATAAAATATTGCTTTAAGGTTACTGACTTTGTAGAGTTACCATTTATTTCTAAAAAGTGATAGGGATAGCCTTTACATTTGCAGGACGACCAATAGCTTATTTTCCTGACAATATAATACATTTTTACGATGACAGTTCAAGAGAATAAGACAAAATCTCAACCCAGTGAAACTTTTGATTTGACTTGAGAATTGACCAAGTCATTGAATCACAAGTTAATATAAAAACCATTTTAACTCAGCATCTTTACCTGGTCAGGAGCAAAGACCATTCCATCCAAGTAGTCAGTTCCATGTTCACGAGCTTCATAATCACCAACATCACCTAAATTATAAGTAAAAGGAAGAGTCAGTTTCCAGCTGGACTATGAAAACAAATGCCACAACTTTGACAAATGAGGTAGAAAACTCTTTCCACAACAACATTGGCTGAATGCAATGAAAATTAGTTCTTGATTTTCTTTTTGAAGGACTAACCCTGCACAATGTAAGATCCAAGCACAGCCTGGTTGCTAAAGGAACATGGCAATCTGAAAAAGAGAAACCAACATAACAGTCAATCAGTGATATTACATTCAGGTGACCATAAAAAGCTAGGAGATATGGTTTATGGAAGTCTCAAACACCATATCCACACTTTCTGTTGTATGAAGTGACTACAAATGTGTCTACATCTTAAGGGTGAAGATGTTCATTCAGCCTTATTACTCTACACTCATTCAAATTCTTAGGTGAGGAAGACTCTATGAGAGTAAGTTTCTCACTTAAGAACATAGCAAAATGACCCCATCAGAGCCTCTTAATCCCAGGCCCAGGCCCAGGCCCAGAGAGCTATGCCCAAGAACAGGATGACTTCATATCATGCAAGGTTGAGCTTACAAAGACATATTCATTCTTTGCATTGACTCAAGGGAATTCTGAAGTTAGAAATTTCATTGTAAAGAAGATGACATGGATACAAGCAATTCTATTTTTAGCCACTAAACATTTCATCTAAGCTGTCCATGCTCTTATGGTATATCTGCATAGCAAACAAATGTTAGAGATTTGTATCTTACCTCCCAGAATTTACATCATCCCTCAACTGCATGCACATCAAATACCTTGGGAGCAAAATGATGATTGAGACATATGCTACATCTAAATCCAAATAAAAGAACCCTTCTTTTCTCGTACTTTATGAAAAAATTACAAGAGATACTTGGTAAGATCTGATTGTAAACAATAGAAAACGATACTGTGAAACGCTAATCCATAACTTAGTTTTATAAACACCATTTCATAATTAATATTTGGAATTAACAACAATCACAAGGTTTTTTCAAGGAATCCCAATAAAATATAAAAATGTATGAAAAAAAAAACCACAAATTAAATAAAGACTGAGTAGAAGAATCTAGTATGAATGCTTAGTGAATGTTCTCTTTGATTTGCTTGAGTAGTTCTTGCTCTTGCATCATACATGTGACTCAAAGAATATTCTTTGGAATTAAGTTCAAAAGCAATTTCTCACATTTAATAAAAAACTTAGGGGAAATTCTTTCTATCAATAACAAGTTGAAGTTCAATTGGGAGACAAAACAGTATGATAACCAATAAAAGTAATAACAAACTGTCTGAAGCCAAGCCGAGTAGGTGGCAAAAGTATTCTAGACTAATTAATATTTAGGGAAGTAGACCAAAACTAATGCAACTCTAAATAACCTCTAAAACTCACTATAAAAAGAATTCCATCTCTATCTGTGGGAAGTATGCTATGTATTTGCTTTACCTGGTGTAGTCAGTCTTGATTTGGGAAGGAAGGGGCTCATAAAACTTAACAGCAAAACCAAAGTTTGGCTGGCAACCTGAAACAAATTTATATTCTTTAATTGACTTACTGATGTCAATAGCTTCAAATGACTGTCAAGCATAACTTGGTTTACTTTATTGTCTCAGATATTGCTCGATGCTAAGGTCAGATGAAACAACTAAGTTACGCAAATACACCCACATTAAAAAAAAAATGTTTCCATTTACATGATAATCACAGAGTCAAACTTTGTTTACAGATTAACCTTCTAGAAAAAGAAATTATGTCTTACATCAGAAAGTATGGACAAAAGGAAGAACAAAGGGTAGATGTTGACAGTCAACTTGTAAACTTTTACTTGAAAAACAATTGCGAATGTATACAACATAACCATCCATAGAATGCTAAAATAGAGTTTCTTATTTTTAAATGAATGTTTTAACATCATCCAAAAATTATCAGGTAAATAAATAAACTATTCAACAAATGCCATGCATATCAAGTGCTTCATGGTAAAGATAATTAGAGAGAGAATCAAAACGCTAACATCAATTCCATAATTTTCCCATCCTTTTGTTCCATTTTTATGAAAATCAATTTTTCATGATAGTTAGATTTTGAGTTTGATAAAATAAAGTACTTTAGATTGCTAATGAAACCTAATATAGAACTAACTTCATGTCAACAAGTGACCACAGTACTTATATCAGAATCAATATCAGAACTGAAGCATTTCAACATCAAATATGTCAGCGAAAAACTCATTGACGACAAAGGGAAATTTTTCTTTAAGTACTTCTACTTCACAACAGGAAAAGGAAACAAGTGGATGTAATACGGCAGAAATATGAAAGAGAAACATCATTCTGTTACCGTTTGATTCACAAAAGTGCAAAGAATGGTATTGCTATATTAATTTTGTTTGCAGTTATGAAACAAACAAATGAAACACACACATTAAAAAAAGAGCTTTATAAAATACTGGGGCTCTTGCGTGTCCAAGATTGATCTCACTCAGACATACTATTTCCTGTGTACACTGAAGTTAAGAGAGCCAACAGGTTGTACAGCATGCAACCATCAAGAAATATTTAAACAATCAGACCACATAGGTAGTGAAAGCTAGGTCAGTGAAGTGGGGATTGTAATCAGTCCTTTTTGCTGATAACATCACAAACGAACCCACTCCTTCTAATTCTTTTGGTAAAGGATTAACCTTGGTTATCCCGTGATATACTTTGAGCTGAACTGCTTCAAAAGCAAATCTTTTTATTTCACAATAATGCAGAGATTAGTAAAAGCTGTCTGGGATCATCCATTAATGCTAATCACAACAAATTTAATTTAGTTATAAATAACAACATTTTAATAAATATATAACGTTCTGAACAAGTGCATGATTATTTACAACACATATTTTGTGTTAGTTTGTTAACATAAACCATTTGGGAAGAAGTACTGAATCAAAAATAAAAAATTCATGCTACCAAGATAAAAGTCGCATAACAAACTAGTGGACAATATTATTCTCTAAGGAAAATTGTCCGGGATACTCATTTACATAACAATAAAATTTAGGCGTTGGGGCTTAATCGTGGGAAGAAATTTCATACGAAGAATCTCGCAAAATACCTTTTAGCTGAGTTGTTATTTTCTTTTGAGGATTTAGCCAGTACTAAAGGGAAAAAACAAAAACATATTGTAATTTACAGAAAGCAAACACAGGAAAAACGATTGCAGAACACAATTTTGATAAGTTGTTTTGGTAGGTCATGGTCACGCAACGGAAAAAATTGTTTCGATAAAAGATAATAAGTTAGGGAAAATTTTTTTTCCTCTTCAATGTCTAACGGAGTTAAATTTGTCGATAAGGGGCGATCTACTTCAAGACACAACAAAGAAAAGTTATATTAAGACAATCATCTACCCTAATCATAACCCAAAGCTTAGTTGTGCTGGGTAACCTAAAAATATCCTATTACCTTTTCTCCTGTTTTGTCCTCCCATAGTAGTCCAAAGTACTCTTTTTCTGTAATGTTCAGTTGTGTTGTTACCCAGTGCATCAAGTCCATACCCTTGGCACTTTTCTTTGAGAGGAAGTAATTCGTGTGTCAAAAATCATCGCAAGAACATAGAATTATAGACCGAAAGATTGACGAAAGCTAAAGCTAGGAACGAAAAACACCTTTTTAATTTTCGAATGCTAAATTGGTCAAACCGAATCAAATATATTTTGGCATCGATAACAGAATTCTAACGTTATCATATCTATGATGACGTTTGGACGTTAAAATATAACTTGCAGAATGTTAGTTTTGAAGTGTTAATAACACAACCTATACTTATCCTGCAAAATGTTCGCTGAAAATCAAAACATTGGCTCTCTTTCCAATTGCTCTTTATCATTCCATGCCAATTTTGGAACATGAAGAGCAGAATAGATGAAAACAAATCCTTAGGCAGTAAATATGAAGTCATAAATCAAAATGCAGTTTCATGTAAGAGAATCCATTAATGCATAGGGAAAATAGCTAAAAGAAGACCAACTATGAAATGATGAACGCGAACATCGAACAATTTTTCTTCCTAATCATGATGTAAACATCGAAGAGAACAGAGGTCGACTGGCAACAAATTGAAATCCACACACGATTCACCTTAACTTTCAGTGTTGTAGGATTTATTTGCAGATAAGGCAAACCCTGATGATCGGCCATGAAACGTGTTAATGTGCACAGTCAAAGCCGCTGTAGACATTTACATAAAATGCTTTTGTAGGTCCGCGGGAGACGACCGTTTCCTTTCTCAATTTTTCCAATTTGACTTCTCACGAGACACAATAACACACCATTTAACAGCCATAGGACAAATATAAAATCGTGTCGTTAAGCAACAAGAGTTGTTAGGTATTGGAAAGTTTCCATGTAATCGCTTCAATCATTGCCATTCGAACCGTGCTTAAAGTTCGATTCAAAATATACTGCTGCCCGTCTTGACAACGACATTTCGGGTAAGACATTTCCCCAAGCATTTCCCATCATAAAATTGGAAAAACTGTGGGTTAAACTTCAAGATTTTTAACGAGATCTACTACAGTAGCTTAAAAACATCGAATAGACCGTTGGAAAAAACTTACTTGTAAGTGATCTGTAGTCAAAACCGTTCCATCGAGAAGAGTGACTTGACAAGAAAGACGATTTCGCGAGGGCTTTCTATTCGCTTGCTGTCTGGGAGAAATTGTCGGACTTTCTGCATTCTCTCCGCTGGCACCAGCCATTGCAAATCGTTCAAAAATCTCCGGCTGTAACTCAAATTATTTTGAAAGTCTTTACTCGACAAGAAACGAGGCAAACATAAGTGAAACGAAAGGATTCAAGCTTACAAGAATGAGATTGTCACGTGATTAAATTATTTTACTTTTTTTCGACCAATCAAATTCGATATCCATAATATTGATTATCTCGGAAGTAATGTAATTGGCTGTTTCTTATCGGGCTCTATTTCCCGCCACGAGATGTCATACCGATGTCATGTCCGACGTCATGAGGTAATGTTCGGCGGAAGTGGGTGTGTAGTCCTTTTACAAGATCGTAACTACCGAAGGTGGTGACGAAAGTACGAAATCACGCACCGAAAAAATTCATATTTTTTATGTCAAAAAAATCTATGATTATCATCGCACAGAGAGCCTTCCACTGGCGATTTTAGCTTAATATCATTAGACGATGTTAGGAACATAACAGCACCAATCTTGGTTAATCATTGTTGAACAAAGCGTCACAGTTGAACTCCGGCCCTATATTCGGACAATTATTTCCGGAAGTGGAAAAGTGCAAGCCGAAAACCCGTGACAGATTCTTTTTGTTCTCAGCGCTTCCTTTAATGGTAAAAACTTTATTGATCTTGTTCGCACCTAAGACAAGATACGAAACTTTGTTTCAATAATGCTGCGCTGTAAACAGTCAGTAATTTGAATTCGCGCTGTACGCAAATTGGGGAGACTCTCAAACAAGCAGCGCCTGATGAGTCATATGTCATCACTTTCTATTTAAAACCCAAGTAAGGGTTGAAAAAGGAACTCCAAACATGTAAATATATGTTAATAGTTGAAATTCGAAAATTGTAAAATTGGAATTTCCTTAAGAGGAAAGGGATGACACTTTCACTTCTGGTAACAAATAGCATCAAAATAAAAATTTCATTTCAAATCCTAATATCTTTTCTTGATTATATTTTCTTCATAAAAATCCAACCACTCAAAATAATTTTAAAGTCATTTAATTTAATTTGCAAACTCAGTTTTCTGAGTTGTTTACTTCAATATTTTTTCTGATTGCACTCCCAGTTTTCTGAACTTTACTTTCCTATGTAAATATAGGTGCAGTTACTGAGAAGACCAGACAAATGAATTTAAGTTCATCAGTGAATATTCATTAATGTATCTTATTATTCACAAATACCTGTTACTTACCTATTATTACAGATGACAGTTTAAAAAAAGCATGCAAATTTCCCCCCATCACTTTTATTTAAGGAAAAACTGATCAGTTGATTGTTAACTGCCAAAAAACAATATAATATTAAGCAAGTGTTGATTATGAAAGCAAATTTAACAAATATGCAACATCCTTGATAATTTAACCAAAATAATCAATTTATCTAACAGTCTGATGTTTTGAGTTTATAGTTGCCCAAAAGGAAATAGAATTAGCCATAACACCCAACTGGTTTACAACACTCCCCAAACCCAGAATTGACCAAAACAGAATTTTTCCTCATAAAGTTCACACATTTCAAAGTTAATGAGATGAAATAATTCAATCAACATGGGATACTTTTGGATTCAACTCCAAATTCTTAGAAGTAAAATTATAGGAAATATATGGAAGACCATGTAGAGAGCTGATATCATGATCTCAGTTGCGGGTGAAGGGTCATAAAACACAACAACAACACTGGGAGGTCTCTTTTCTATTTGCAATCGTAGTTGGATGAGAAGCCAAAACAAAACACAGTGATAAAATTCATGGAATTTCTCTTGAAATTTCTATCATGATAACCTTCCTATTACAACTACATTAGCACTCTGTCTATAACACAGCTACAAAAGTAGATATTCAATTCAAAGTTGCCATCACTATGAAAAATAATAATTTCAAAGACAATGCTATGGGGATTACCTGGCAGTATCATTAAAGTGAATTTTTTTCATTTCATTTTTTGTCCCATGACAAACAAACTCTGTCCACCACTACCTTTCATTTTCCTCTCCACCATGCATAATAATAACACTATCTCTTTCTAGCTCTATGTTTACAATAATTAACAGAAAAAAAATCTTAAGTCACATACAGGAAATACTCTTTCAAATCATTTATGGTGGGTATCTCACTTTCTTAACCTTTTACACCCTAACATCAGCATACATTTTCTCCACACTGTTCCCTATACATTTCCTATGGCACTAACAAAGAGAATTCGTTTAACAATCAAGAGCGTCTTTAGCTGGTGATCATTTCCTTTATTCTCATAACCTCAATGTTTGTTTTAGGGGTGATATTAATAAGAGAAAATAGCTAGTAATCACTATTAGGGGTTAAAGGGTTAAGTAAGCCTACTGCAGAGACAGCTGCTCTCATTCTCAATCAATTTTCCACATGCCAAGTTTAACCAGAATAATTGCTATACTAATGTTTTCGTCCTCAGTGTGAAGAACACAAGAGAAAAAGTATTAGAAAGAACAAAACGACACAACTGTTACATATATTTCTCTAACACCAATGTAAAGTTGTAAGCATGGACCAGACCTAATATTCTAACAACCAAGGACAAAAAATCAGCACTACTTCAACAAAAGTGTTTATTAGTTAAAAATTACTAAAAGCATAAGCGTACACCATGCACAAGAATAACACTATCTCTTTCTAGCCTTATGTTTACAATAACTAACAGAAAAAAATTTTGATCAAAAAAAATTTTTTTTACTTCATTTTTTCGGAGTTTTAGACTGGACACCCAGAGCAGGCATTTTCAAAAACTGTTAGCTTACAAGACTCTTTCAGTATTATTTTAACTAACAAAACTTTTTTTTTCTATTTTCTACAGTAAATCAAAATCAGTAAATCTGTAAATTAGTAAATCTTTTATAGTATATAAATTTTCTATTTTCTATAGTTTTTCTTACATTACTTTCATTCTGTTGGTTTTGACAAGGAAAATATATTGAGGTTTAGATATGATATCTAGTATAGCTTAGTTCAGGCTTGACAAGAACTACTATTGTACTTCCACCTTGTGATGTGTCTTCTGCTGAACAGTCTACATTCGGCGATAACTGCCAAGCCTTGCATGGCAATTTGGACAAGAATGAATGACATCTTTGCAACCATCCAAGCAAAATGGAATTAAACAGCAACCTAGCCAACATCTGTTGATTAAATTGTAAAACAACAATATCAATAAAGAAAGATCTTAAAAACAATTCAATTAATTTTGAAACATTTTGATTATTACCAGCATGGGACACAGGAAAAAACTTGAGTTCTAATGAAGCAGTTAATTTAAAAGCTTGAGGAAGCTTGTGATAAGATAGATTGTTTTTAAGGTTCATAATGCAAAGGAATCCTGCATACTGTTGGGAAGAAACATTTTAAAAGTTCCCCATGGAGTGAAAGGAAAAGATTTAGTCCTTCAGAGATTCCACTGCAGCCCTGAAGTATTTCATGTATCCTTTGCTTTGATTTCACAACAAAGGTCATCTTGTTATTTCTTTTTTTGAGCCATTAAATAGGTTAACACCACTAAGATTAGTGGGCTTTGACAGAATTACATTTTTAAATAGTTAAAATCCAAGTGCTGTCATCATTTACCAACAACTGTTTGAACTCAATTGACCTTGAAAGGCACAGTGCCCAACCTGATGACCAGACTCCATTGATTAGTCACTTAACACTTTTCAATTTTTAAACTTAATTGAGGTTACCGTTCAAATGATGGATCAAATTTCAATTTACCCCAAAAGTAATAGAGCTCCAGCTGACAACCATGTTAGAGTACCATCCTGATATGTTGTACATGTGATAATATGTGTCTGGCAATGTGGACAGACCATGCTAACAGGAGATTCACCAAAAACCATGTTCACAATGATAGGAGTGGGTGGCGTAATGATTGTTGTTGTTGTGGGTCCCACAGGCTGCATCCTCGGGGGAGGAGCTTGATAAGGCTGTGGTGGTTGATACCCTGGTGCTGAAATAAAATAAATTAATAAATAAATAAAAAAACCTGCTAATATTAACTTGAGGAAAAATCCCATTTGCTCCTGTGTTCTCGCGTTTGTCACTATTTTTTTCATTTTATTGATGAAAGAAGTATGAACAAGTCATTGGTCACTTGAATATCCCAATTCTAAAAATAAGTAACTCCACAATTTCATTCACAGTTTGCTTCTCCAGATAATGTAATATATATCTATATGAATTGAGAGAATTTGGTTTCATTTCATCATGACACTCTTGCTGATGAGTTTATCAACTCTCATAAGCTGTTTACTGTCCAATGTATTCAATTCATAGGAGGAAGTTATACCCAGAAAGCTGTCAAAGTCAGGACACCCTTGAGAGTCTACAGAACAATGCCAACACTTTAATTCTTCCAAACTTTGGTCTGAATGCCAGTGAGCTGACTACTGTTGTTGGTCTTATACCACTTAGAAATGGGTGGAAACTTCACATAGTTTTATTAACAAGAAAATGCCTTGATGGCTCAGTAACACCATATTTTAATAATTACTTTCATTTAAATAGCTCCATCCACACAATTGTAACAAGAAATTGTTCAGATACTCATACACTATGGTTAGAAGAAGTCTTTTTTATTTTACTGAGGCAAACAAGTACAGCAGCCTCACCTGCCATTTGAAGACCAAGAACTCCTATACTGAATTTTCAAAGGAAATTAAGGACTTTTTAGTAATACTATAGTAAATTTTTAGATAGATTTTATTCAGTATTTTTCTTTACAACACTATATAGTAATACCTTTTGTGATGTTAACACTGTAATTAACTTATAGGACACCCATTATTACCAGTGTCATTAAACTGATGGGGTTATCCGATATAAATATTATCATTATTATTATTATTATTATTATTATTATTATCATTATCATTATCATTATTATTATCATCTGTCAACTTTATTTTTTTCTGAGCACATAGCATTAGATTTTATTTTAATATTATAAGAAATGTTTTTGTTGGGGACCTGTATGTATGAAAAGATCTCAGAGATTTCTGAAGACTTTCAAAGATCTCCTGAGTAGTTTAAACACAAACTCCCATCTAGAGCTCTCTCTTCAAAAATTCCAGCATTTTCCAAAAAATGATTTGTCAGAAATAAGTTTCTTTTCTAGAATGGTTGACCCCAAATTAATCATAACCATTACAATTTCCTTAAATGTGATTGGTGCATCAGCTGCTTTATATTTCACTAATCACTCTGTATCGTTGTAATCAGACAGTGTAATCAGACATTGGGCTGTAATCAGACACCTATGATCAGACAGTTGAAGCAGCCAATAATACTAAGTCACTCTGCTAAATCCACCAATCACAGAATTGATCACAATAACCATAGCAACAACCACTTGTTCTGAAAAAAAGAACTGGGAAATTTCCAAATTTGTTGCTTTAGACATTGTCCCTACTGGAGATGTTTGTCCTAAATGTATTTTTTTTTTTTGGAAATTGTAATGGTCATGATTAATTGGTAGCAGGACTTCATGTCGTACAATTCTGTCTGTAATCATACTCATGACGTAGGTACGTATGATTACAGACCAAATTGGACTCCACTCAGTCCTATTACCATTATTAATTGATATAATATAAAGACTTGGCCAAGCCTAAAAGCGGAGCTCACATTTTTTTTTTCCACATGTCTCAAGGGCAAAACGCCTTACCCTGGCCAGTACTGGAACCTGAGTCATCCGACTCAGAGCCCAGTGCACTGACCACTGGACTACTGGACAAAGCCGTGGCATTGGCATGCCCGCGGTACAGTTGACCACGCATGTTAAAAGTAGCACCTTGTATGGTTGTACAGTCGTATGGTCGTACGGTCGTACAGTCGTACGGTCATACAGTCGTACAGTTGTACTGTCATACATCCAAATTTTTTCGGCTCGATGGGTTCCTACTATTTTGTATAATTATGGGGCTAAGCTATGCATTTGGAAATGTTTCAGTCAAGCAGGGCTGCCATGGATCGATTTTTTCCTCCATGAGAAATTAGTTATCAGGTATAGGCTAGAGTGAGATCAGACTTAACAGGGGCACAGACACCAGTTCAGTGTTCATCACGTTGCCTCTGAAATATTAACCAGCTCGAAAAATGATGGCTAGAACTGTTTCCTATCGTCATGGCCCTTGTAACTGAGCAACCAATAGGCCACAGGGGTATTTTAAACATGATTGCCTAATTTGAACATGCGTCTGCTCGGACAATAAACCATCAGTGACCAGAGATGGCAAAAAGCGATACAAAGGAAGCAGTTGGTGGGATGATAAATGAATTAGGAGGAAGAAAGGGAGCTTTCAACATGTTATAAGCATCTATTCAATGCCCTCTTTCTCATTAATTAATCAGGCATTCGCGCGCTTCAAACAACATGTAATCTTTCACAAAATAGATCGTACGAGTACGTCTACAATTACTGATGATTTTTAACGATTCTAAATGTCCCCAAAATCATCAGAATCCTCGCCAAGCGAAACGCTTTTCTGAGAAGTAAAGTAGCCGTCATAACAGCAGATTTCATCACAGACACCAAAGCCTGGTTTTACCATTCACTTAGAGGCTTTTTTGCGTCTACAACGAATCCACGTTTGGTAGATTACCTGCGGCAGGATAAGGCGGTGGAGCTGCATAACCAGAATCTGTTGGAATGGCACCGTAATTATAAGGCGGAGGCTTCCCTTGTCCTTCCATTCCTCAGCTATCTTGCTCAATAGTTAATTTTATCTCCTAATTTTACTTCCCGTTTCCTTTTCGGATCTCGTGATCAACACCAACTCGAAGCTAGTATCCAGGCCTTCAGACGATAAATCTCTCGTCCCCCTCCCCTCAGTAAATGGATTAGATCCCTCACCAATAAAATCCATCAAAAAAGATCGATTTTGTTTCACTTTCGGATTAACAGAAGATAAGCCTGTTGATCTTGAATTTAAAGTACAAACTCAGATCCTGAATCTAACTCTATTTTGCATAAAAAAGTTTGAAATTAAAACCCAGTAAACAGACCATCAATAACTTCAGGGTAATATAAGAATCTGGACTAGCTACAACTGTGAAAGACAAAATTATCAAAGTGCAAGATAAGCAGGGAGAACATATCTAATTTGAGGTTCAATCAACTCTAAATATCAAAACATAACTGAGAACTAGAGAATTTTTTTTCGAGGCACTATTAACTGAATTGGCTTGAGTTGACCCCTATCATGGCCTCAGTATGGATAACATCTATTGCATTTTGGACCACCTAGTGGTAACAACAGTTCCCACCATTCACTCAGAGGCTAGATTTTTCAAGGACAGAAAATTAAGGGGGATGAACATACTCAATTTTCAATAGTTCATGGTATACTCGGTGTCAAAAGATAATTCCAAGGTCAACAGCTTTTTAGCTAAGTTAGGGGGTGTTTGCTGAAGAATCAGGAATATCTAGAAGGAAGAGCTTGCCAGAGGACACAAAGGTCCTTATCATTTTCCCCTACCAGCTACTTTTAACCCCTAAAGACATGTTGCTTTGTGCTAAGACAGACTACTATCATGTTTTGATTTAAGTGCAAGTTACCAAAACAGTTTGCAAAACTTTAAAACATATCCCTATCCAGCAGTACAAGTTTAACATGGAAAAGATCAACACATCCCCATTGCCAAGCAATACCCACAGACAGTTCTGTTAGATATCTCACCAAATAGTTGCAGGCCATTCCATCATAACAGGAGATAGCTTACGAACAAAGAGACCAGTCTAAGTTAACACTTTTTTATTTCTTCGGTAAGCAATTAAGTCAATGTTAAGATTTATGTGCCCCGCTTGCTCTTGAAATATTGCATGATAACATCATGAGCTTGACCTTCCTTTCCATAGTCCTGAATAAAAAGCACACAAAGAGAAAATGAATCAAAACAAAAATATACAGTGCTTACAGAAGCTGCTACTTTTAAGCAAGTGCCTTCTCAGAATTTCAATATCGATTCCGGTTTTGGACATATCCTCACAAAATTTCAGAAGAGGGAGTCCTTTTCTTCATCACAGTATGGCACTACTTAATATAAACTTTGTACAATAATTCCACGAAAACTCACAACTTCCTTAACTATCAGCTGCTGCTATAAAGTAGTCACCTTTATCTAACACTAAAACATCAGGAAAATAGCAGCCTGCCAGTATGGAGTTATTATTGACACCTCACTGTCTGACAGAGATAGTAATCTACTTTTCTTTTGTGAAACTATATTTCAAGTGCATGGTTACATGACACTGACTGCTTTAACAGAAATTCATTAACTCCTATAGCAAGGCAGTTAAATATAATGGTGGAATTCCCGTAACCAGCTATGTCAAGAAAGTTTCCAAATGTAGGTATTCAACTGTACCACCACTTAAAGAGCACTTCACCCAAACAAACTTTTATATCAAAGATGTCAATCCTACCTTAACAGCAACACAGCTACAGCTGACAACTTTCCTGGCTTTTCCCTCTTTGTCAATCTTGCAGAGACCAGCCCATTCGCCAAGTTTCTTGTTGTCATCAACCTTAATTTGCAAAAAGAATACCAGACTTATCATTGCTAACTCATCTCCCCAATAGTTAACAAGTCATAATAATCTATTGTTAGATTCCATTCAATGTTTCATTCCAAAGCCAACTCTTTCTTTTAGTTAACCCTTAACACCCTGGCATTAGTATGCATATTCTCCATACTGTTCTCTATACATTTCCTGAGGTGCTGACAAAGTAAATGTGTTTAACAATTAAGAGCTTATTTAGCAGGTGATCATTTCCTTTATTCTTGTGACACTGATGTTTAATTCAGAGGTAATATTGTAGGGAGAAATTAGATGCCAGTCACTCTTAAGGGTCAAAGGGTTACGAAAAATACTAAGATTTATTGTGCAACTTCAATAATGTACATCTATATGTATAACCTCACCTTCAAAAGGTTGATATTGTGTTCAGTGCACAGGGCCTCAACAAGCTTAACATACTGTGCTTCATCACAGTTGTTAGCCAGGACACAAAGATGAGCCTGACGCCTAAAAAGAAAAGAAAAGAATACAGATCAGACCAATTCAAAACTTCCATTCCAGAAAAAAAAAACTGTCTCATCTCTTTCCCTTCTTATCCCTGTATTCTCTTTAAAAATTGACAATTTCACATTTATCGTAAGAAAAACCCCAAATAGATTGAACAAAAATGTGATGAACACTGAGGGTCATCTTAGATGTTGATGGATGCCAATGGATGATATTGTATAACTGTCAATAGTTTTGATCTCGAATAACAACACGGCAAACAAAAGCTTCACTAGACTAGTAATTACTGCAACTTTTGAAAAATTGGCACCAGTTCCCCATTATTAGCTCTCTGTCTCCCTACCATCTATCGAGAAAGGATAACTTCTTTTCGTATTGGATAACACCGCATGGCTGATGAGTTTGTCTATTTCTTAACACCTGTTTACTACCTACTAGATTGATATTGTAAGGAGAAGTTAGATTTTAATCATAAATGACAGTTGCAAGAGTGTTCCCACAATGTGAACGTGATCTCAAAACCTGGGAGATACAACAGATCGCCTACTTTGCCAAAGAGAAGATAGAAGCCCTCAGTTGGAGCTCATTGCAATCATTGCTCTTGAGAGACTATATATTAAGGCGATTGCAAAAATTGAGCACAGCAATAATACTTTACGGGAAAGTAACAAAAGTAAATGTAATTACCTACCTATCCAAAGCCTTAGCAGCTTCGTGCAGGCCACGGGCCAAGCCATTGTGAACCAGGGCAGTCTTCAAAACTTCCTGAAGAGCTGTGTTAACATCCATTTCACCAACACTGGTTGTGGTAGGCACATCATCTCTATCAACACAAAATATACAAATAATATGTATAGGAGAAATGAAGAGAAAATCTCGAGCAAAGAACTTTATTCCAACCTAACAGAACCACGTAGACTCTCACGTACCCTTCCGCGTCAGACATGTTTGATACTCAGAGCGGAACTCCTTACTGTTGAAAATAAACGGAGAAAAATCACAATGAAACATCCATCTTTCACCCTGTGTAAAATAATTGATGATTTTTTCACACGATGTAAAAGATTTTCAAGAGATTGTAAAGCCTACATGATGTACGGTCCGTACTCTTAGTTATTTCTTCCAGTAGAAAAGGCCGAGAGGAAGAAGTCACGTGGTTTTGTAGTTGTACCCAGTGCCTCTCTCCATAAACTAAACCAGGAGCTTGCCGTTTTCAATTAAAAAAGCATAAATACTCCTTGCTTATATTTCTTCCAGTTAGCTGAATGTTAGATGACTAGGGATGTCAGCTGATATGGATAAAGATCGAGGGGGATGGGGGAGGGAATTATTGCATTACAAGGGGCCTTTAATGTGTTAAGAATAGCTTCCAAAAAGTTGAAACCATGGGTAGAAGTAGCTAACAAAACCAGGCTTCAGTCAGGAATATATGGTCGCCTGTAAGGGGTTCTCTCGAAGCAGAGTTTCATGCAACTTGTGTTATTTTTTTTGTCTCCCTCAGTCCTTCGGTCCTTTGAGTGCGATGGCAGGGTTTTGGCCTTTACTCAAGAGGAAGCCGTCATGTTTGTCGTGCCGACAGGTCGGTTTACCGACCTTTTACTGATAAATTACTGAATTTACTTAACTGATTAAACAGACATAGTGGTAATAATGACCAGGATAATTGTTTTATTTCTAAGGTAAATAACTAGCAACAGAGTGGGGATTGAAAGCCCAGTATGTCAAATACGAGATATTGGTTTCGATTTGACGAGTAATTTATTTGACAGACTAAAGAACAAACACAACTCAGAGGTAATAACAGCGATAACTGAAAAGAAAAAAACGAGAGAGAGACTTAGGAGGGGTAATTTTAAGTAATTTAAAAGTGGTGATTCTAAGGATAATCAAAAAGAGACCGTTGTAGCGAGTCTTAACTCAGAGGTAATTTGAGGGAACTTTCATAGTGTGAATTTAAAGGCACCATACAATGAAGAGGCAAGTTTTGCCCACCATAGGGGGAGGTAAGAGAGAAAGTGTTATTTTGTTAACTTTGTTCAGCGATTTTTCGTAACGGGCTGTGAATGGTTGTGCTCGCGGATCTGACTTAATCAGAGGCAATTTTAACAGAATTCAAAGGGAGCCCGAGATAAAAGGGGGTAATTTTGAAAATATTTTTGGCGATTTTTCATAGGGGGGGAGGGGGTATGGGCGGCTGTAGTCGCAGTTCATCTTATCAACGGCTTACTTTACGAGTCTGCCTGCGTAATATCACCCCCTCTGCTGAGAGTGAAAAACCAAGCATAGGCAGCTTCGAAGGGAAAGTTTTCGAGGTTTTCTCTCAATGACACAAAAGCAGTGTTAACCTTTTTTTTATTCGACCATAAGCCGCCAAACATCTGCTATGATTCACTTTGCAATTTTAACCCTATTGAATAAGGCTGTCAGTTATTTGTCAATTTTATAAAACCTATGATAGTTTTCCTCAATTTTCTGTTTGCTTTGCGATTGTCAAAATGGGCTTGACAAAAAAAGTGGCTTTAAAAATGAGGAACTTCACATAGAAAACTGAACTGCTTTTCCACAATCGATTGGTAAAAGTCTACGCATTGAGGTTGTAAGCTTTGGTCTATGTTAGTAACAAGGTGAGATTTTGGAGTGTTGGTGAAAAGAAAAACCCTCTCGATTCACTTCATCAGTTCATTGTCTTCTTAGTTCTACCGGGGTAAACATTAAGGACCAGTGCTAAGCTTGTTGAAATAAGGTGACGTTAGAGCTAAGGTACTTTACGTAAAATCTTAAGTTCCACGCGCAAATTTTGAGGTAAAAAGCAAAATGTCTTAAAATGTCCAGAAGATTGCTTTCCTGGCTTTAACCGTTTCACCTCCAAGTATGACTAAATGACAATTTATCGCTACAATATCATTTCATTTTCAATCAGAAATGAGAAGAGAAGAAAGAAAAAAAATAACTTAGGAAAGTTGTCTGGTTTGATACCAAAGCCTGATAATTGAAATTAAGCGATGGGATACTAAATATACCGTTAAAAACATTTTCATTTAAATGACTTTGATCGTAATGGCGATTTACTCGGCGAAAAGTGCTTAAAAAATGCAGCTGGACTTTATATTCTCAGATCTTGATCTGTGTTACAAAAATTTTAATTATATATGGTTTCTTAAAAATAGCTGATCTTGAAAAAAGGAGAAATTTGAAATTCCTTATCGGCAAAGAAGGACCTAAATCTAGATTTAATGAGCTTCACAATGGCCATTCAAACCTCAATTAAAACCAAATCGAAATTCGTTATCTACTATTTGACAACCTCCGGTTTGTCCTGAAGAGTGCGTGGGCTTTCGCTCCGTAAAACCGTGGGGAGTAAAAATATACAGCCTTCTCATTATAAATGAAACAAGTTACAAAGAGTAGGGAACAATTTTCTTCTTAGATTTTTCGCCAAGGGAGAGTGGAACTAACTTGAATTTTTACCTTGTAAAGTAGTTACCACTTTTTAAAAGGTCGACGTCCGAAATCAAGAGTGGCGAAATTACAGAACGTAAAAAAAATATGAAATCCTTACTGCTAAAGGTCTGAAAGAAAAGCACCATGATATGATAAGTGGTGTTGAAAGGTGCTTCGTAGTACTTTCAGAAAAAAAATTCAGGAATAGTTTTGCAGTTTAATTCAAAGGACAGGATTTACTGATATGTCTCAAAAAGAAGCGAAAGGTTTTCCTTGGCAATTGGCTCGTTAATTGGTCAAAGTTAAACTCAGTTATTTCTGAATTATTTTCTATGGCGAAAAGAGAAAAGGATATACATGTAAACGAGTGATTATAAAACATTTGCAAACTAGCCCATGAACTTTCCAGTGAAGGGGAAAAAGCACACGTTCGTCCCGTGAGAAGAGACATCGGGATAAATTGTCATATAAGCGATGAATGCGAACAAAGGAACCCTAACCCCTCCCACCTAAATGCATCCTTTAAAATCTCATGGGAGATTACTGGTTGCTTCCAGCCTAACATGGTCATTATCCTTGATTCTTAGCATTCCCCTTGTTTTTGATGTATCATTATTTTTTTTATCCATCAATATCTCTTTTACGGGCATTGTACCATCTACAATAATTTTCTGCCAGTTAACAGCGTACTCGGAAGTTCGCAGACACCAAAAGAAAATTTCAACGCAGCAAGTTACGGAAGAGACAATGTAAAAATATTAGAAAGACAAAAAGGCTTTCAAACTAACCACTACGATTGTTGCAGCGCTTCTGTTTAGTTACTCGCTACTAATCGTCCTCAGGATTATTTAAAAAAATACTACCAAGTAATATTGTTAAATGATAAAATTGCAATTATAGTTAATCTACAATATCGTAAGGGTTTCCTGTATTGGTGTCGGAAAGAAAAGGAATGGAAATATTATATTATTTTAAGTCATTCAATGTAAATTATAAAAAGGGTAGGTTGATTACTTCGTACTCCTTCTTGGTGGTCTTATCTTAAAGGTTGAGTTTGATGACGTTCTTCTTGTGAGTTTGGCCACGTTTTCCTAGTGAGTTTAATCACGTTTTCTTCGTTGTGATCGTGAGGTTGACATGGAACTCGTGATAAGCCATGTTCTTAAATAAGTTAATTTGTTAGTCCAGGAAGATTAAATCTCCCTGGTAATAGGTCGCGTTCGACACCTTCTTGTTCCCAGAGGTAATTTAAGGTATAAACAGGTGATACCCCTCATGTTACGCAACCGAAAGCAAATTTGGGGGGCGGTACTTTAACTCTTGTGACCAAGATGTTGTTATGTAACAATCTTTAAAGGTAATTTTCTCTTAAGATACCCTTTCAGGTATAAATAATACTCTGAACCAAGGTTATTTGTAATTTTTATATTGTCAATCTCGTTTCTGTTCTGGCCGATCTCAACCGTAAAGATACGAAAATTAAGGTAGAAATTGATTTTGTAACTGCGTAAACAACCCTAAGGTGCATACTCAGTATGTGGGAACTATAATACGTAGTCAAGCGTGATTCGCTAGTTGAGATGGTACGATGACGACCGACACAAGAAGATTGACGGCTTAGAAATGTCATCCGCAGTGTCACTTTTATAAGCGGAGACTCTAGTTTTCCCTGTTATATTGGAGTTAGTCCCCGTTGTAACAACTTGAGAAGAAAAGAAATTAAATACGAATCAACCAAACCAACAACGAGTGTCAGAGAATTTACTTCTAACAATATCTCTATCGAAGCAAGAGTGGCAGTGTCATTCTTATCTCTTTCATTAGTCGTATTAAATTCATTCCTTAATCCACTTATTTACTCGTCTCTGAAGTCCAAAAAATTTAAACGAAAGGTTATGGACCGCCGAGTGCTGTGGGAATATTTGAAGGAGGACAGCAACAGGGAGAGGATCAGATACTGAAAGAATAACAAAATTCAAACCTGAACATTCATGACGAGGTGTTCCGATGGCACGAAGATCACATCCAACAAGCTAATCACAACCGAGTGACTTGGTCAAGTTTGTTGTACTGCGTCGCCATAATATAAAAAATTTATTCGTTTAAGTGATCGTTTTGGCAATTTTTTTGGCAATATTTTGTAAGGAGTCCAATGTTTGTTTAAGTAAGGAGCATCGGAGGTCATGGAAAAAAACTAGATTTTGTTCGCTATTAAGGTTAAGAACATCGCAGAGCAAGAAACAAATCATATCACTTCGAATTTTTCCTGTATTTCGAGAAAGCGTACAAAATACAGCACTGTCAATCCTTCTGACTTGCTTCGGTAGAGTAAATAAAAGGAGTATGAAAGTGTGATTTACAACTGCAAAATTGATTGAGGGAAAGGATAATATTCCTTATTGGTAAGAATGAAAAAAAGTAACTACAATGGTTTTACAGGAGTAAAAATCAACTGCAACTGCCAAAGGTGTCTACGGAGACTAGAAAATTAGTGTCCTAAAATGGCGTTTTAAATACCGAGCCTCTGTATGGCTACTGGACATTAATCTTTATAGGGTTGACTTTTAATGCTTTTTAAGTCCATCTTACTCCTATCTTTTCATCGGAAGATCAATCAGGCTCTTGGGTTGGGAAAATTACGAGCCACAGACACCACATGATTAAATCAAGTCTTGGAGACATGCTTGGTCTTCAAGAAGAATTTTCGTCACTGTATTTTCATCAACAAATAATAGTAATATAGAGTACTCGATAGTGACATTTGTGTGTGATTTAGTTTCAGGAATTAAGGACATGATCACCTCACAGAATCATCTTCTATACGCATTTACTGTCATTTTGTTGATGGCATCAAGTACTTCATCTAAGCTTGTCGAATCGTTTTTGACCATAAGAGAAGGTGTTCTTCTTAAAGGCCACCCTATGCATTGGCAGCGGACTACAAGCTTCTTTTCATGCGCACACCTATGCTTAAGGAAAGAGGGATGCCGATATATTAATTACAAAGCTTCAACCGAGACGGAGGGCGTTTGTGAACTGTTAAAAGACACCAGTAGAGACCATAATAACGGTTACATAGATGGGCCAGGATGGTTTCACGGACAGATTGTTCCTTCTAGAGTGAGAGCTCGTATAGGCAGTGATACGCCAGGTGAGACTAACACAGAATGTTTTCTAATAAGCATTGTCCTTCAATCCCTCGTGGAGAAAGGCTTTGGTAATTATAACCTAAAAAAAATATCATTGGATTATGTTTTTGTCTGTAGAGATTTGATGTTCTCTAATGTTTGAATTAAATTACCAGAGGTTACGAAAAGATTCAGGTGAATTTATCAAGGATGAACGAGTTTTAAAGGTTCCAGGTTTACCATTTGTTTGGAGTGCAATTCCGATCATTTTACCTTAAAAAGATTGAACAATCTTAACGTTTTAGAGAAACGGATTTTACTGCGAAATCGTGAGAGTGGATGGAATTCAATCGCTTTTCCCCTTCTGTGATGTTTGTAGTGCTGATTACTAGGTCAACTCTAAGGAACATGCTACAGTCCAAAATATTTACCCGAAAGTCGTTCTGAAAGCGAGAACTGATCTCTGATGATATGCCATAGGAGCCTCTGGTCCACACGCGTCTGTTTCAAAATTACACCTAAGCATGGAAGTGTTTACCTTTAATTATTCTCAGATTTCAAATTCACCTTCACAACTCTTGGTGCGGTGGGTTCGAATGGGCCAACAGATTCATCCGGGTATAAAGGAACAACATTACAAGGGAAAATTAAGATTGAAAACGGCATCCAATTGTGGACTGTACCCTTAAGTGGATCTTACGTCATAGAGGCCTGGGGAGCATCTGGAGCTGAAGGCCGCCAATCTGCTGACGTGTCAGCAACCACAAGAGCGGGAGGAAAAGGCGCCTATGTAAGAGCCACTTTTGTTCTCACACGCGGAGAAGTACTCAAAATTCTCGTTGGACAAACTGGCTGCTCAGGGAAAATTGGTTCACCGTTACCGGGAGGAGGAGGAGGGGGTACGTTTATCACTTCTTCCGCAGACGTTCCATTGATTATTGCTGGTGGAGGGGGAGGAGGTGTTGCGCAGCCAGGAAATTTACATGAAGGGGATCCAGGCCAGACAACACGGAATGGGTCACAGGCAGGGGGCTCTAACGGATCTGGCGGAAACCTTTCCCAGCAGGGCTCCCCGTTAGCTTTATTGGAATGCGGAGCGGGAGGCGGCTTGAACGGAAATGGGAAGTCTAGAGTGATCTGGGTAGGGGGAAAAGGATTTATAAACGGAGGTAGAGGGGGGAACTCCCCCATTGAAGGCCATGGAGGTTTTGGGGGAGGTGGTGCGGCATGGCGGTATCCTGGGGCAGGGGGTGGGTACTCGGGCGGGGGTGTCGTGAAGGATAAGAACGAAACAATCGCTGGCGGGGGAGGGTCTTTTAACACAGGTGCTAACCCGAAGAAGGAAGAAGGATTGGGAGGGGATGGGAAGGTGATAATTCAACTTCTCGAGGCTGATAAAGAATTTGTATAGTAACATTACCAAAGCTTGTTCCGAGAGAAAAACATGGAAAGTTTCACATCAAATATAATTTTAACTTGAGGTTCGTGTAAAGTGTAGTGCTGTAAAATATAAAAAAGCCAAAATGCTACAAATAACAAATTTGAGAGGAATTTAAGATTATTGTACCAGAAGCACCGTTGCTTACTAATTGTTCAAACACAAAGAAATCTATCAGGGAGATTAGGAAAATATCGCTATAGTGCCCCCTCTCATTGCTGCTTTTGCTCAAGCATCTCGCAGGTACAGTTCTCTCGAAATCCGAGAGACTCGATCCAGCCCGCTTTGCTAGCAGAAGGTGTTCAAGGGTTTGGCACGAGGAAATAAGCCAGACTGCTCACAGACATCCCACAGCTTTCGCGAGAAGCTTGCCAAATATGAGTGAAACAGTGCCAATGAGAGAAATCTGACTATGACAACTCATATTGTAAGAAACCTGAAGATAAACATTTATAGAGAAAGATGTTTTTCGTCTTGTCTTGAGCATGGTACGAAGGAAAAAATCTGAGTCTCCAGGAGGAATCGAACCTCAGACCTTCGGATTCCGCGCTCCGATGCTGTAAAACGTAAAGGGTCATAGGTTCGTTTGCCTCATGGGGACTCAGAGTTTCTTCTTTGGTCCACGCTCGTGACAAGACGAAAAACATCTTTTTTGTCTATTTCTTAACCGAGCTCAGAACTTACCATCTCTCTCATTCTATTTATGAACATTTATGTTTAGCTAAAGCACACAAAACGATTGAACAAACAGGAAAACATCTGACGGGTAATAAACTACAAATTAAAAAGTCTTTTTGTAGAATCAGATCAATCATGTAGCCAAAAAGTAATAAACGGTGACAAAAAGCAAATGTTGACTTCTCTCTGTGTACTTTATTTAAAACTTATTTCCTTTTAGTTACTATCGATGTTCCATCTGGAAGCAAAAAACAGAACTGCAATTTCTACCATGTTTGTGTTTCAAGCAATTTTGTTCGTATTTCTGCAATCGGGAAGAAGCGAAATGATTAAGAGATCGGCGTTTTTTAACACAGATGAGAACGTCAAACTTGAGTCAAACGAAATAATCAGCCGCCAAACTAGCCGAAGTGTCCTATCTTGCTCGCAAAAATGTTTATCGGAACCACACTGCCTTGTATTCAATTACGGCTCTTCTTCAGTGAACCGAGGAATCTGTGAGTTATATAAAACATCCAGCGATGGTTTGAAACTAATCCATGAACCCGGATGGCTTTGTGGGCATCTTCACGGACCCAAGAAAGTATTTAAAGGTGAGTTGGCCTACTGATGACTCGTAAGAGTGACTAGCTTCTAATTTCTCCTACAATATCGCCCCTAAATCACACATTAAGGTCATGAGAATAAAGGAAATGATAACAAGTATAGAAGCTTTGGATTCTTTATCAAATTCTCCTTGCCAGCACCTTGGGAAATGTAACGAGAACAGTATGGAGAATATACATACTGATGTTAGGGTGCAAAGGGTGAAACAGATCTAGGCCTATTGGCTGAACGGGAAAGTGTCTAGAATGAATAGCAAAATAACCGCGGGCTGACGTGAGCTAACCTTTTGGAAAGAGTATTTTACTCGATGTGGCTGTGACAGCCGTTCATAAGAATGTGTTCTTTATTCTGGAAAGATTACTTTCTTGTGTTCACATGATAACCAGAACTTTCCTTACATACAAGATCTTATGTTCTAACCACGCAACGATCTTTTTTCAGTGAGGGTTGCCAGGTGAAGGAATAAAGTCAACAAAAGCTTAGTTATTTTATTATTTTTATATCAGGAAAAAGTTCGGATATAGTCAAATTGAGTAACTATGCCAACTCAGTCGCTTACAACGAACATGAACTTTTGGGTGCCATGTTTCCTTGCCATTAAGACTTATGATCAGAGAGGAACTCGTACCACCATCCTTAGACCTGCGTAACTGCGTAGGATATGTTTCCTTTCCATTTAAACACTAAAAACACTAAATTCTGCCACCACCAACTCCCGCAGAATGTAAAACTTGGCGAACCAAAGATGGAGGTTGCTGTGTGTTTCCATTCCTTTACCGCGGGAAAAATCGGCACTCGTGCGTAGTTGACAACTTCGGGCTGTGGTGCTCCACCACGGATAGCTTTGATGTTGACAAGACTCGAGGTGTGTGTGAGGGTAAGTTATTGTTATTCAAGATACTTAGCTATGTCATTAGTAAAGGCAGCGTCATTCGCATGTGGCGAGTACAAACAGGAGTCGTGAGCCATTCACTTGTTCTGTCTTGCTGTGTCAAACTGTACCCACTAAAATTAACTATATGGATTTAGCTAGTTTGCAGAGTTGCTAGTAAGCACGAAGTGAAAAAAATCAAAAACTTTAATGCATTTGCTTCATACAAGGTAGATATTTCATCAAATAAAGAAGAGTGCTAGAATGAAACATTACACCAAGCGCTGTTAAATTCGTCCAACCAGGTAATTCTTAGGGATATACGTCAGTCCAAAAGATTCTGTAGTGTCCTCGTTCCCGTGAGCGGAACGAAGCCGTTCGGAAAGTGAGAATTAGTCCTCTATGATATGCCTTAGGATCCTCTGATCCCACATAGTAAGCATGGAACTGTTTACATATTCTCAGATTTCAAATTCACCTTCACAACTCTTGGCGCAGAGGGTTCGAATGGGCCAACAGGCACATCTGGATATAAAGGCACAACATTGCAAGGGAAGGTTCAGATTGAAAACGGCGCCCAATTATGGACTGTACCCTTAAGCGGATCTTACGTCATAGAGGCCTGGGGTGCATCCGGAGCTGAAGGCCGGTCTGACAAGTTTTCCTCGGACACAAGACCAGGAGGGAAAGGCGCTTGCGTAAAAGGAACTTTCAATCTCACACGTGGAAAGGAACTCAAAATTCTCGTTGGACAAACTGGCAGCAAGGGGAAAACTGGTTTACCGTTACCGGGAGGAGGAGGAGGGGGAACGTTTATCACTTCTTCCGCAGACGTTCCATTGATTATTGCTGGTGGAGGGGGAGGAGGTGTTGCGCAGCCAGGAAATTTCCATGAAGGGGATCCAGGCCAGACCACACGGAATGGGTCACAGGCAGGAGGCGCTCACGGATCCGGGGGAAACCTTTACGAAAAGGGCTCCCCGTCAGCCTCATTTTTATGTGGAGCGGGAGGCGGGTTAAACGGGGATGGGAAGTCTGGCCTGAGCAAGGAAGGGGGAAAAGGATTTATAAACGGAGGAGAAGGGGGGAACTCCCCCATTGAAGGCCATGGAGGGTTTGGGGGAGGTGGTGCAGCGTGGCATTATCCCGGGGCAGGGGGTGGGTACTCAGGTGGGGGCGTTGTGAAGGATAAAGAAGAAACCATCGCTGGTGGGGAGGGTCTTTTAACACGGGTGCGAACCCGAAGAAGGGAGAAGGATTGGGAGGGGATGGGAAGGTGATCATCACACTTCTGGAGGCTGATGATAAATACGTATAGTAGCATTACAATGCTATCATATAAAGAGAGTTTTACCTCAAATAAAAAATGATAATTTCTTGCGATTCCATGTCAGTAGCAGCTGGTGATGTTTTTCTGTAATTGCTAAGTTGAAATGACACGCGGAAGCTGTGCTTGAAGTATGATTTGGGGTTATGGGTAGGACAATCATTGAGGAAAATTTCAAAAGTAATATTGATTCTTCAAGTTAACGAGGTTCTCACAGGAACATTAAAGTTTCCAAAGGGTCTTAATATTCTTGAAATCAGCAGGCAAGTCAAGAAACTTCTGTCATCTTCAGTTAATTAGTGTACAAAGCGTTGGAAGTTAAATTTATAGTAAGTGGACAAATTCTAATTATGATAAATGATGGCAACAAGAAAAGAGGTAAAGCATGAAAGTGTGAGAATTAAATGAATAGTTTTAGATTTACAGGGTGTAATTGTTGATTCAAGGATGGTTGTTCTCTTTGAATATGAATAACCTCTTTTATCTTAAGTTGAAAACCGTTAGATGCGTGATTCAAAACATGGGAGCTATCCGCTGAACACAAAGCGCGACAATGTGCAGAATCTTGCAGATGCTTTGAAAACGTGAGAGGCCCTGTCACTGACTAAGTGCTCTCTGACACGTGTGGAAAAATGCTGGCACGTTTCACCGACGTAACAGGCATTGTCACCATTTATCATAATTAGCATTTGTTTACTTACTATAAATTCAACTTCCAACGCTTTGTACACTAATTAAGTAAAGATGACAGAAGTTTCTGTCGAAACATGTATTACAGACTCAAAACTTTTGTCGCTTTCTTCAAACATCAAAGTTGCTGATAAACTGTACTGCTGTCAAAGAATAAAAAAATCTGTAAAAAACGATTAGAGAAGGATTCCTTCCAATAATGATTATTGTATCACAAGCAACGAAGGGAGATAAAGGAGATGAAAAGGAAGGGAGATAAAAGTAAACAATTAAAATAGATATGTTCATTTTCGGTCGAAAGTTCGTTCATTCTCGTGAACGAAAGAAGACACACGCTTATTCTGTAAACGCGGAGCACAGTTTAGACTGTATAGCCGATTTCTCCTGTGCAGTGTCAGACAGTTTGGCCTCGCAATTCTTTTTTCGTCGAGTCCTCAAGAGGAAAAAAGACTGCGCTGCCTGATCAATGTCAGGTTGAGGAAGCCCCACTTCACTTTTTTTTATTTTTTATTGTGAATAATCACTATTTGCGCAGATTCTTAACATCCATTGACAAATGTCCACCTCGGTGAAAACTTTTTCCTGGTTGCTTGACTTTTTCCCAAAAAGGTTCATTCAACTGCAGTTCAAATTTACTGTCAGTTCGTACCCCGTAGCCTGCCGATTTCACGTCCACAAGGATAACAGTCTTTGTGTTAACATTAAATTCAAGATGAGCGAGAGCTTAGCTGTTGTTACAACGAAAAGGACGTGTTTGTATGTTGATAAAGTCATACCAGAGAACACTGAAAAGTAAACATCCGCAATAAACGGTAAGCTTTTTGTAAACATTTTTCTCCGTGCGTTGCAAAAATATTCGATGGATATGCCAACATTTGGGGCGAAAATATGGTCGTGTATTTGTCCTTGGACATTATATGTTCCGCGTAACTCACAGTTTTCCTCGCTCTCAGAAAACTGTTCGCGTCTCGGAACAGATTATGTCCGCGGACAAATGTCCGAGCATATTTTAGAGCCAAATAGAGGCTATTGTTTAAATGTACAACGCGGATCGAAACTCAAAAAGGCTATAAAATAATATAAAATTTTCGCTTAATGATGATGATTCAGAATGTTTTAGAAAAATCACCTTGATTCGGAAATGAGATATGAAATTCAACCCTTACCTTGGTGTCACAAACTTGACATTGACACAACATGACAATGTTGCTCTATTAACCACACAGTTGTTGAAAACGTCATCAACAGCTCAATTATTGAGCCGAAACGAACTTGCGACTATATCACTGGGTAAACTTAACTCGTGCAATGAATGATATTAGCTCCCACACCTGTATAAAGCATCATGAAATGAATCGCTGTTACTCCCTTGAAATGTCGCGAGGGAAATTCACTCTCTTCTTAAGTTCTTAGTATGAATCTTGCCATCTTATTACTGACAGTCATCTTGTGTTCATCTCCACCAAGAAGCCAGAGCCTCTTATCCTCCTTGCAGATAAAGGAGGGTTTCCACCTCGTCGGTCATGTCATAGATCGACGGAAAGCACCAAGTGTTTTATCATGTGCACAGCTCTGCCTGAAAAGACGTCATATTTGCCGCTCGTTGAATTACAGAAACAACGAAGGAAATATGGTTTGTGAATTGAACGACAAAGGCACGGATTCCCGTGGTTATACCTCTCTCGTACCTACGTCGGGATTCATCTTTGCTGAGCTGATTAATCTCACGGTATGATATCAAAGCTTTCATGTGTTTGAAGTATATTCATGTCGTTTTGCATTGATGCTGTAAGGTAATACTGTTCCTTTTTATATTTCTTTTTTGTTTGTTGCAGGCACATTATAGGCCTTCAAACTCCAAGGTTAGCTTTTGAAAGTGTTTGACTATATGGCAGAAAAAAAAACGAAAACAAAAACAAAATACAGCGTAGCGTTATTTCGCGCATAAGCGTGTTATTTTGCCAAGTATTACCCAGGATTGCCTGCAAATGAAAAAATATGTTACACAATTTTTTTGCAAGTAATTGGACAAAAACTTTTGAGTTCGTAAAACCTGAAATGATCAATAATCTTTAGGGGTTGCAAGCGAAAAGGCTCTATTCTATATGTAAATGAAGAGGATTCAAGCAGGTGAAAAATTTTGTAAATTCTACATGGTTTTGGCTACAAATTTGAATCACCGACTGACAGATCTTAAAATTCAACCTTGGTATACTTGATATACTTGCCATGCAAATATAACTCAGGTTTGGAGAATAGGATATCTATTTACGTAGATCTAATGTCTTCTCAGGGTAAACACTGTACAGAAGACTCATCAAAAGGGAGCAACAACACACTTGAAGGTAAAATGTTAGGGAGTTGGTTAAATAAAAAACAATCCTTTGGGAATGTGCTTATTTAGAGGCTGTCATATAGGGAACTGCTGTGTCAACACTGATTTAAAGCAGTGATAGGACCTGCATTATTTGCAAATAAAACTGAAAGAGGTCGTCATCAAAACACCCTATATCATCACCTGAGACAAAATTGTTCGAATCTACACCCAGTTTTTCCGAAGATCATTGAAATAGAACTTAATTGGTTGCCTTTCTCGCCGAGAGTGAAACATTTAGCATTCGCTGCTGCTATACGTCAATAGGGTCAAAAACATTTTCCAACATTCCACGACGTTTTTTTTTTTGTGTCACTATGTAGTGAACGAAAATCGCAAGTAGGATGCATGTCAGTTTTCGCTGAAAAGGAGTATACCGTACGCAGGCCTGAAGCATGTACAGACTTGGTTTCACCTGATAAAACGACCTTAACAAAATGATATAGAGACTTTCTTAATCTGGAAGGTAATAATAAGATAATAATGGAAGAAACTTTCTTCGATTTAACGTCTGCCTCTTTCTTTCATGGCAGCCCGTACCAATTTCACATTCACGACTCTTGGTGTACTGGGTCCTACAGGTCCAAAATTCACATACGGGTATCAAGGTACCCCACTAGAGGGAAAGGTGACGTTACAGAACGGTATCCAATTATGGCAAGTACCGCTTACTGGGTCTTACGTCATAGAGGCCTGGGGAGCATCTGGAGCTGATGGCTGTGAAGGCGGTTACGGTCAAGGGGACCGTCGCATAGCTGCGGGTGGGAAAGGCGCCTATATGAAAGGAACTTTCAATCTTACTCGCGGAACAACCCTTAAAATACTTGTGGGCCAAACAGGTGGTAGAAGTAACACAGGCGCGAATTTACCAGGGGCTGGGGGAGGGGGTACTTTTATTACCTCTTTATCAGATATTCCATTCATCATTGCCGGGGGTGGGGGTGGAGGCTATGCACATTGGAGGACAACGAACGATGGAGACCCTGGGCAAATCACCGGAACTGGCTCCCGACATGGGGGTTCTGAAGGAGCTGGGGGAGAATTATATGAGCGGGGATATCCTTCACCCTCTTTTGAAAGCGGGGCGGGAGGTGGCTTAAAAGAAGATGGAGAATCAGGACACCTTACTGAAGGGGGAAAGCGTTTTGTAGTCGGTGGAGAAGGAGGAAGAGTGAAATACGTGGGAAGTGGAGGACTTGGGGGATTTGGGGGAGGTGGAGCGGCATATCATTATCCTGGCGCAGGCGGTGGGTACTCGGGCGGGGGCGTTGTAAAGGATCGCAAATATACCATCGCTGGAGGGGGAGGGTCTTTCAACGGCGGCGCCGACCAGGAAAAGGGAAAGGGTGTGAAACAAGGAGATGGGAAAGTCATCATCACTCTTGTTCATAAGGCCAACTAAAAGTGTTACAAATAGTATCAACGAGATTCCATGTTCGGGGAAATAAACTAAACGTTACTTAATATAATCCTTTGAGTATTAAATAATCTTGATTTCATAAAGAAACTAAATGATTGTTATATTTTGGGACCCGACGGGTAAAAGTTAACTTTGAACGAAATAATTTACTTTATTTTTCAATCAAAGTTGGTTAAAAGGAAACAGAAAAGATAACGGCTTATAGCTGTAAGCAGCTTGTCAATGATGATTCATGTTTAGTTAAGATTAAACCACTGCTTCTGTTTACTCGATGTTTTGATTGGTTTTATTGAAAGTAATTGTGATAATCTTTTGTGGAAGCAGAATCAATTCCAATACCACAAAAGGTATTCAACAAGTGGCGAGAAATAACGAGTCAATGCCGTCGATGGTCTCATTCTTGATTGGCGACGGAAACCAGTCGAGGATTTGGCCACGAGCGCACTGGTTGGCTTTATAGGTTTCCCGAACATTGGGCTCACGAAGACTTTACGGAGATTGGATATCAGACGGACTTACTTGGTAATTCATAGACGTTAGTGCTTAAAGCTACCCATTCTCGCGGCTAGTAGCAAGAAACAACCAACGGCCGTGTACTTCTTAGGGGTAAGCTTGCTGCTACATGCATATGTCTTTCTTTATTCTAAGGAAGATCCTTTAAAAATTCCTCGGGTTAGTGAGTTTTAAATCAGTACTAGCTTTTTTCGCGGAATGTCCGATGGCGTTTGTGAACCAAAGACGTAACAGTGGGCTGAGTCACTTTTACAAAATTTAGAGAACACAGAATCTGTCAATATTTCTGAGTTGGCCAGGAAAATCCCTGGCGCGTTTCGATTCAGCACCCTCTTTACGGGTCTTAAACCATCACGGCAAGGAGGATACAATACATACAGAAAAGAACGTGACAGACCTTTCCGTTTCACTATACAAGTCATCGTTAACTGACAGTTATGTTAACATATCTGAAATTACGATGTGATAATAAACTCAATACAAATATTCTTTGGCCAGCGAAAAAATGTAACAAACAACGAAACAAGGAATTTTACCACACAAAAATTATCATTCGACAAGCGATAACCAATCCTTAGCAATTAATAAATTGAAGCATCAATTTGCGAGTAATGACTACGCCAAAAGTTTGGCAAATACTTTAAATTCTTTTCGTAGGTTCACTGGGTTTCCAGGCCCTTACCGGGAGAAGTCTGGAAAGATTTTGTCAAAAACTCGAACATCTTTTGCCCATCGTAAGGTAGAACTTGCACCCAGTCTTTTAGCTCCAGCAGGTCAAAAAGCTCCTGGAGTAGCAAGCTACCTTTCAGTGTCATGAGCGAACCAATCAAAATCAATTTCTGCTTCGCACGAGTTACCGCCACGTTAACTCGGCGCCAATCCCTTAGCAGGTCTCCCACGTTGGAGTGCTCGTTATTACGAACTAAAGACACTATGATGCAGGCCTTATCTCGACCTTGATATTTATCCACGGTGTTGATTTCGATTTCGTTTTGTTTGGTGTCGGCGTCTCGATGAAAAATCTGCGTTATGAGCTTGAGTTGGTGCCTGTACGGAGAGATTATACCGAGTGATGCAGGCTGGAGGCCGGCTTTCAAGAGTGCGCAAGCTAGTTGGTGAACGATCGCGGCCTCTGTCTCGTTTGAAACCAAGTGCTCTGAACGAGACTCAGGCGCGGGGACCCTATCCGTGTCTAAGAACACCACCGGTCGACTGGGCAAGAGTGTGTCTAGTATCCAGTTACCTACAAACGCGGAAAAATCTGTTAAAATATCTCAGATAAAGTTTCAGTTACTTTCCTTACACATGCTTAAATGGCACCGTACTTCCGTTGAGTGCTGCTTCCTTTGAGTTCTCCTCGACCAAAATAAAATTTGTCTCAACAATCTTTTTCCGCGATTTTAGGGGGAGAGAATGGATAAATATTCGAGTAAATCCTTTCAAAGTTTGGATGACGTGTTTATAATACCCCTGACCTACAATTACTGAGACTTGTATGTTTTATACTTTTAGTTTGCGAGTGAGGAGAATATTTGAGATGTTACGCCTCAAGTTGAAAAGTTAAAATTGATTGTAATTTTCTATCCCGATTTGTCCATCGCTTGTTCAGCACTCGAATTTTTCGGCAAGGAAGGCAGCTAATAATCACTAAGAATTACCCCGATAAGTGTACGGGGACCTCTTTAGATAATTTTTACGGTATACTCTTACCGAAAGAGAAAGATTCGCTCGCCGAACAAAAAAATTGTGGGGGCCTTAATGTATAATACTTTAAGAGCTAACATATGCCTTGCCACATAGAAACAAAATGAACATCGACCAACGCAAATTACAGTAGAGAATTGAGAACATCAGTGTCGCATACCTTTGATATTGGCCGTATTCTCCTTCATATAACAAACAAATTCGTCCCAGTTCGGCAGCTCCAAGACTGCCCTTGCCACGCCTTGCGTACCACATTTAAGCCTGTGTTCATAGATCAGTGTGTTCGACAGCTCCATGATGTCTTCATTCATTCGATACTGATGCTCTAAGCTAACAACCGCGTGTGGGTGTCGTTCTGAAAGGCGTTTAAACAGACTTACGTCCATACCACCCTCTCTGTAGATGGAGCAAAAACGTTCAAGTATATTTAGCCAATACGCTAAGATTGCTGGGTAGGCTGGTATTTGAGCATAAACTTCTCAACTACCCCCTGAAACTATGCAGGGAACTAAAACATTTCCGTAGTACTTGTTAAATTAGTTTCTCATTGCCATAAAATCAAGAATGTAATAACGTTTCGAACATAGCTCTCCTAAGGTTTGGCAACTCGCACCACGTCTGTATGCTGATACGTAAGTAAAGAGAGCTTGGAGCGCTAAAGGGTTAGTGCAACCCTAGAGTTTGGACTCCAGAAAATACACCAGTGGAGAGATGCCAATCACATCTCTAAGGGTTCCACGTTTAGATTCTACTAACGTTAAGAATGAAGCCAATAGCTCCTAAAGAGTCGATCGTTCCATCGTTTTTCGCAGTAAAGAAATATGGCTCTAACTTTATAGCAAATGAAGAAATATATTGCCAGTTTTATAAAAAATATACGAATATACGAAAAATGAGATGGAAAGTTTAACTTACCTAGCTTCTACACTCTGCACCAAGGGTGGCAGCTGATAATGATCACCCACTAAGATAAAGACACGGGCGTACCTTAGAGGACCAATACACACTGGTTGGGTGATCTGGGAAGCCTCGTCCACAATACAGTAGTCAAAGGAGCGTTGAGAGAAGAGGGCGTGTTTCACACCCAAACAGGTGGTCGCCACTACAGACTAGAAAAAAAAAAAAAACGGCAGAAACTAATACTTCATACAACTATATTGTCGTTGTAAAATGGCTTATATCGTCCATAATTGGGCACTTCTCAAGACAGAACCAGAAGATAAATATGTACAAACTGTCTATAGTGTTGGAAAGCACGTGCAACCAGGTCTTAATTGGTTTTAGTTTTGTATCTGATTGGTTTGAAGGTTGGCGTAAAAATTATATACCATTCAGAGACTTTAGTTGCGCAAAACCAATTCAACCCCAGATTACTATGGACACTGATAAAAATAAGTCTAAATCATTAATGTATTTCTTAGCCATATAACAACTGTATACGTTGGGGCAAATTAGTATGCATTTTTTTGGTTGAGGCTTTAAAAGGCAAGTAAGTTTTGAACTGAAACACTTGCTATCTAAATTGACTAATAATGCTACTCTTATTTCAGAAATTTTGTTTATAGGGGGAAGGGGGGACGAGAAAGGCTTATGGGGGGGGGTTGTCCGTTGGTGCATTTACAGTAACTTCTGTATGCTCAGTTTCTTGCCGTTGAACAGTAATATTACCTTGGACTCGTATAACTTCCTTAATTCATTGACACTTTTGATGCCAGCAGCTGCCCGGTGCGCGCTGTATGATTGAATTTTGGGAAGAATTTTATGGACCTGGCCAAGACGAAGGAAATCTATGTTTGCCTGAAAGGAAAGACATGGAAAAGAAGATCAGAGTTCACATCTAACTCTTTAACTAAAAAAATTTGATTAGAACTGAGTTCTCCCTCCGGGCAGCCATATATTTTCTTGAAAATATATAAGGAGAAGTTGGTCTTACATGATAAGTTTATCGCTTTGTAATCACCTATTTCTAGACAATATTTTGAAATTATGAGTGAAAAATTACAATGTACCTTGAATTCATCCCTATTTACTTATCCACTGGTGCACTTCGCTATTAAAGAGGTAATGAACACAAGAATTCCCGGAATACACTGACAAACACAGACCACTTAAAGTTTTCATTAATGGTGAGGCTTGCGCAGCTTGATAGAGCCCGGATAATGCTTAATCCACTCAACTATTGTTAGGCCAAGTAACGAGCTTCTCTTGATAATTGATTACCAAACATTCGAAGTAAACAATGAACCAAAACAAGCGCAAGAGAGAGAATCCCCCTACAAAGAATAATCTTTAAACAATCCATATCATTATCACGATTAAATTACTTCGTCTGGCTATAAAAATGTATAATAGCTACAGCAGGTCATTACAGAAATACTAAAACCTTGGTTAAAACGAGGGTAAATGTGGAACTTCAAATGTGAAAAACAACTTTTTACACACACACAAAGCATTCTAATACATTGGCATGGTTTTACAACTGGGCTCATTCTGAAAGTGAGAGTTTTCATAGATCGGAAATTGCCTCCCAATTCTGAAAAATTAGGCTGGCCTCAGTAAATCAAGTTAAATAAATAAGACCACTGACAAACCTCTTTAAGCTTGAGTAAAATGTTGTCCACAGCAGTATGGGTGTAACTAGTGAGTAGAACAGATTTACCACTTGCCACCAGCACACGAACCAAGCAGGAGATGGTAGTGGTCTTTCCTGTTCCTGGCATACCTAGGATCAGCGCATAGTGATGGGCCGCAAGGGCTTTAGATACCGCCTTCCGTTGCCCTGAGTTCAGCTCCTGTAGGATAGACTCCACAGCTGGGTCCGGCAAGGACTTCTGGCTTTTGTTGCTTTGAGACCTGTACATAACAAGCTTCAACTAAATCTCCGTCGATAATTGTAAGAGTGCGTTACAGCCACAGAATACGCACTAATGCGACAATGGCAGTGAAACTACGTCGTTTCTACCTTGTTAGTAGCCATGAACTGTTTCTTCTTTATCGGCTACTTCTTCATCTGGTGGAGAAGACGTAGCGTCACTCACATTGTCCGCACCTTTGTGTGTATTCTTGGACTTTAATTAACCAGTTTTACCCCATTACAATTTTGTCTCTACAGCCACATTCCAAAACGTCTGCATAACTGGATCAATATTACATTTTTTAGGCGAGTAGAGGCAAACGCACGGCAAGTGCGAAGCGCAAGACATGCGCAAGAAGAGGAGCGCAAAAAAAAAAATACTGATCATAACAATTTTTTCGCACTCCCTTCCTCGCCCTTCGCATTCGCTTATCGTTTGCCTCCGCTCGCCCGGAGAAAGCTTCCATACAAGCAAAGGCCCTATCGCGGAAAGAGGCGAAATTTACTGAGTGTTGGAAAAACCAAAGCTTCTACGAGCACAATCAGAAGTAAAATATCAAAAGGATTCAATAAGAACACAAAGTAAAAATACGAGGACCGTATGTAGCGCGGGAAACGCGAATGACCAAGTTACGAATTATTTCAATTGGCTTTGCTTTTAATTAGCAAAAAGGATCGTGATTTCTTTCTCAATTACAGGGCGGGAAAGGGAGAAGCCAATAATTCCGCGTTACTTTTGACATTCAAATGTTATTTTCTCTATCAAGCGAGAGCAACACTTACGGTGATTGTTGTGAGAAGAACTGAGCGATATCTGATGTCTGACTGCACATGGTCACTGTGTCATTCCGTCTTTCCCTTGAAAACACCGGTGGTTCCAAGTCTACGATTTGGCGACGCAGCTGAGCGTCTCTGTCAGAGTCACCTTTGAACAGTTTTGCCATGTTGGACCGCAGAGTTGTTTGAGTGCTATACTCCTCGTCTTTGTCAAGGCGATAGAGTTTGGAGCTTGTTTCTTTAGTGTGTGTATCATAACTGTAGGTGCAAGTAGTGAACTCATCAGCGATTGAGTGCTAACATTTCCCGTTTAAGTTTTTAGGAAAATATATATTGTGAACGACTTTATTGACGTTGTTATTCTACAAGTGCTTAAACCCGAAATCCCACCATTCTCCATGGTCAGCGAAAACCAAGATGGCATACTTGACGCACGAAGAGCGCGAGCAACATGTATATTGAGTTTTTTCCTCATATTTTTTAAACTATTTTTTAATCAAGTTTTATGTTTATTTTTTTTTTTTTTTTTTTTTTTTTAATTCCGCGGTGTTCCGGCAAGTTCCAGGTTTTAGAACATACCTTGTTATTCACCTCACTACTGAACAATTCCCATTGATTTTGCATTAGAAAAACGAGGAAAGAAACCCGGTTCAAATGAACTGCTTTTTCTGGCACAAACATTAACCTTCACAGATTCGCATTTAAATCTCATCCTTTTTTAATATTTCTATTATGAAACCTTACTTGAATTCTTTACCTTTTAGTCAAATCTCTGTCTAGTGAGACAACAACTTCGCTCTTCTTCACCTCATGTATGTACCCTATGTAGAAGGAACCATAAAATGCTGCAAGTTCAGAAATTAACGCAACTTCGTTTACGCACAACTCTACAATTTCGACAAGCTCTGAAAATGAATCAGCTTAATGTTATTTCTGCGCCATAATAATTTAATAACCACGGCAAATGGATGGCACAATCTCGCTTTGCCAAGAGATCTAAAGTAGTTTGTTTGTTCAAGGACTGATCCTATAAATGATAAGAATTTCAATTTGTGCAAACCTACCTGCCGCGACAGCTGTGGCTCCACCATTCTCTTCACTTAAAATCACACGGTCCCCCGACGTAATTGGCACATCCTGTAATGACATCACGCTAGGATGATCTGCACAGCGCTCGAACTTGTGTCTGTAATAATGACTGCCCCCTTGTACCATGTCATAACCACATGACTTCAGTACCATCCCGCTAAAACAGCGACCAAGTTTTTCCCTTTCGCTTCCATCCAAACACCAAATCTCGTTCTGATTTCTTTTTTGTTCCATCTCCTTACCTTCCAGACAAACCAGTTTATACCAGTCTCTAAAGTAGCGTACGTAGGTTCTGGACATGTGTTCGGTCATCTCTTTAAATAATGATCCCAGACCACTTGTTACACCGTCTCCTTGCTCGACTGCTTTGTGAAAAGTGGTGCAGTTTTGAACCTGAGGACATCGCTTGCAGGTGTTGTGATCTTTCAACATTGCTAAGCGATAAAAAAAAACATACGTTTATGTCATTAAGACAAATTAAAAAAAAGGTTAAGTCTCTACTCGAGCCCATTAACCCACCCAGCCGGAGCTTATCCCGGTTTCCAAATCGATGAAGTGACATGGAGTATTACGACTCCCCCCCGAATGGGAAGCTAATCCATCGCAAGGGTACCCCCCAGCATTTCATCAGGCTTCCCTGACAATCGACAGTACTCATTTATACTCTGAGTGGAGAGAGCGGCACTCTGAGAGTAAAGTGTCTTGACCAAGAACACAACACAATGACCTGCCCGGGTCTCGAACCAGGACCTCTCGACCCGGAGTACAGCGCACTGGCCACTCGTTAGGCCACCATCATTTGTACTCGATGGCTTTACAACAACGTACGTGTTACTGACCAAGGTGCTTACAGAAGCTTGTTCCATTGCCTGCGTTTATTACTCAGTGAGCAATAAACGTACAGATTGTGAGCTTCATCTCTACCAACCTGGCATAGATCCTGTGGCTCCGGCCCTGTTCAGTGTCAAGTAGCGTGCAACTTCATTCCTTTTCATGATAAGAGCTCTCCTCTCGTGAAGGAAACTCGGAACACTAAGCATATGAGCTGCCTTCATGTAAAATAGTAACCCTGCGTCAACTGCTTGAAAATATCGATCAGACATGAGTAAAGTGTACAGAATCACCTGTGCTCGGTGCTCGATCGATCCTGGTGATGCAAATGATAAGGAAAATAATCAATACATAAAATATATAGATAACAGCTACAACGTAGTCGACAGGAGTTACATTTAGCTGAGATCTAACTTTTTAACTCTCAAAGTATTATCTGTAATTTTCCCTTGGGCGTGTTACACATTTCCTTCGCGATTAATAATGAGAATTTAGTATCTCATCAATATTGAAAATACTCTCAGGCTGATACGTTTATCTGATCTCATCATTAGTTTGTTGAATAATTCATTGATATTGCAAGTAATTAGATGTTGATCACTCCTGTAAGTTTAAGATTTAAGCCCATTACTTAAACTATTGTTGTTTAGGAGGTTTCCCATGCTCCTTTGGAAGCGGTATCACTATGTTTTGTACCAAGTGCTACGCTAAATATTTTTTGTTTAGTAACATCTCGAGTGCAGCTAAATTCACGCTCATCCCTTTTGATGATTCCTCCATATTCTACACAAGAAATCGATCTTCAAAAACGTTCAAAAGGTGGAGAAGAGAAAGATATTATACATTGATTTATCGTCACTTTATCTCTAAAAGCTCTAGCCATAACAAAAAATTAAATTGCTAAAAGCTATATCTCAGTAGGCCCCCTCTTATCACTCGTGAATATTATGCATTCTGAAGATGACCACTTAAGTATCTAGGAATGAGCTTCATGTTCTTTTGCAATACAGGACGCTTTTAACGTCGCTTATCCTAGCTGCATACAAGACGCAAATGAACTTGGGATTTGGCCGAAATCGCGACATCCTCCTTAGAGCCAAGAAGTTAACGTATCTTGCTGAAGTTTACCTCGCATGGAGTACACTATGAATGTTTGGTTTTGAGAGTGCCGCTGACATACTGCAATCCCTAGACTTAAGTAACACAGTAGTTAAACTTCTGCGCATCTGCGACCTTTGCAATGGCTAGGCGGCGTGCTTTCAAGTTGCGAGACCCAGGTTGTCCTTGAAAGTTGAACACAACCATTCCGTCAAGTTGATTGTGATAAAGTTCAAAATAAGAGACAAATGAACTTGATACCCCTAGTCAAATAAGCTTTGTGTTTTCCTTTGAAATTTTGCGCGAAATGGGCGTGCAGAAGACCAGAATTAATCCCCTTGCGCAAGTCAGAGGTTTGACTGCTGTGTTGCCTTTACCAACCATGTATAAAATCATCTCGCAACACTTTTATGAAAGTTGGTATGAATGAATGAATGAATGAATGAATGTGTATTTATGAATGTGTATTTATATACCGCACATATCACATACTGTCTCAAGGCGGTTTACAATTCTAATTGAGTGAGATCGAACGTCAGCTTGGTATCGTATTTTTCTGTTTGTTTGTTTGTTTGTTTGTTTGTTTAAATCCCACCTAGTTTAGTGAACATTTTCCCAGTCTTCAATTCCAATGGCATCACTCTGGTCTGTACTTGACTTCCTGTATCAGGCCTGTGCCGTTTTATTTTAGGTCTTCGATCAATTTTAACTTCAACGGTGGCATCCACTTTCCCTAAAAACAAAGATGCAAACCGTTCTGTTCATACAGTTTTCCTTGTCAAGTTTTTGTATCCAAAAAGTAATCATAAAATCCAAGAGAATGTTTAATAAAAATTATTGGATCGTAAAAAAGAATGAAACTATACCAAGACGGTTAAAATAGTTGTAACTGTTATTTAACTTTTCAGAAGAAACGCTTATATTCGTGGTTTATATATATATGGGATATTGTGGTACAAAGAGACTTATGACGTAGGCTATTTCTGGGTTCAAAAAGCCCACACTTTCAAAATAAAGCCAAGCTCAAAACCTCATGTGAATGTATTTGCTTTAGAATAAAAAGAGTACATTCTGGTCAAAAGTATAAGAAATATGTTGGGACTAAACTATTCCAATGAGTTCAGAAATGTAAAAATGCATAGTGAAAAGCAAAGAGAGAAAATGCAGAGAAGATGAAGAAAAAGAACAAGAAAACGAGGAAGAAGGAGAAGAAAATACCAACCTTTAAGTCCATACCGCGGTGACCAGATATTTTCTTCGATGTCTTTCAGTGCTGACACACAAACACTTGGTTGCTCAGTCTGATGTGGGAATTCAGGGGTCTTAAAATCCATGGCCCCCAGATCAGGTTGGGGAAAAGGAACCACAAACTTCTTGGCCCAGTCACAGAGAAGTGGAATATGTTCCTTCAGTTTTTCCAGGGCCCAACTCTCTGTCTGTCCCAGGCTGTAGAAGTCATCCAAGTAAGAAAGTCTCTGGAGAAGCCCTCTAGCTCTTGTTAAAAGTGCATCTGGAGAAAATTCTTTAAAGAGACAAAGCGACTTTACAACTGACTGATAACTAGAAAATCAATTGCATGAACGTGCAGTTTACGGTAAAACATTGGAAGACAAAAAATATTTAACACATAACAAGAAGCATGAAAATACATGTAAAAGAAGAAAAAAGGTTTCTTGAATTACTTGTGCACTATTGTTGGAAAATTTGCCAAAAACTTCAACGTTGTAGATAGCGAACGATTTCATTTAAATGTTTTCAGTGCGATGTTTCCCAGAGAAAGTGCATGGAGAAAACTTGACAGGGTTACCCAAAAAAGGGGGGAAAGTTTGTTAGCCCTAATTCGAACATATGTTGTGAAAACATTTCAAATCTCTCCTTTCAGTTGAATTAACTGTGGATTTGACTAAGAACCACCTGCTTGATAAGGAAACTATCCCAAATGTAAATATGGCAAGAAGAGCCTTTGGTGACATAATACTCTTATTAAAAACCTTGCACAGTGCTTATTAAGCACAAACAACTGTGAAATTCTAAGTCTTCTATTGAGAATTCTCAAGCTGAGATTTTTTTTCATTCAGAGATGGAGAATATTCTCCTATTTTTTCAATAAATTTTCCTGCTTCTGCATTTTTTAACAAACACTCAAACCCTGCAACTTACAGATACTCTAAGGACTCCATAATGTACAATAGTCTTGGGTTAAAAAGAACAAATACAAATGAAAAGACAAACATGTGTCTGTAACATCTTCTTACTGAAATTTGAGCATAAAATTCAGCAGTACTAACCCTTAAACTCCATGGCCAAATCAAACAGATCATGAAGAAGTGTTCCAATCAACATTGCCTCACTTTGGCTTTCAGTGCGAAATTGCTCATTGAGTATGCCCTGCCTTAAACACTTGGTTGCCATGGAAACGGTAGTTCCAGATACCAAAGTATCAGGGTGAATGACAAGATAGTGTTCAGTTGAGTTATCAAGGATACATGTTGCTGTTGACGAGTCAAATGATCCTGTCAAAGAAAACATTACATCCAAAATTATGTGGTGTCCATAGAAAACAATATTAGGAAAAAGTAAAGGGTTGGTGAAGCTTTAGAACTGGCCCTGGTTTTTCAAAGGATGGATAACACTATCCATCGAATAGATCGCTATCCACACTTATCCACTGAATAGTGATTTATCTGTTGGATAGCATTATCTGCCCTTTGAACAGCTGACCCTGTTTAGAGATCACAAATTTAAACACTTGATCCAATATGAAATGTGGTTCAGCATTATAAACTGAAATTAGTGTTGGAAACTTATCAGGACAAGTTTGCGCTAGCTTAGTTGTTATTAACTATTTGCTAAGTCTGGTAATTAAAGATAGAGGAAAAAAATACATACACACCTGTAATATGAACAATGTCACCAGGTTCAACTTCGCTCATCTCCCAGTCTTCCCTTAAACTACAGAACTGTTCTTGACTAGATGCTTCGTCAAATAAACGAAGAACCTTCTCTGGTAATTGTCTTCCATACTTTGTCACAACTTCCTGGCCTTGTAGTTCTCTGCGAGACACCTCCAGCACTAAGAAACGACTGTAGCCCTTTGTTCCAGAGTGACAAGTAATATGAGTAATGTTGCATTTATTTCGGAGATCCTTAGATATTGTGTTAGCCTGCTCTGTGTTTCTGATAGGAGAGAAGAGTGCTTTACATGAGCTGCTGTTGCTGTTGCTGAAAAATGGAACATACATATAGATAGTAAGTTATGATAATTCTCTCCTTATAAAATGGTTGGAGTTGAAGGGGTTTTATGGGAATGCATTCACAAATGTCATCATGGTTCATACAACCTTGTAAAACCTAATTCTAGGACTTTTCAAGAACAAAAAGTAGTTTTTAAGGACCAAGTTTAATGAGAAATTGAAACTCTTCCTCTCCTTAAAACACACAGCTAAGTTGTTTAAAATTTTTAGATAGTTCAGCCTTGGTTGACAAGAACATGGCATTAGCAACAATTTTTTAAACTGGCTATTTGACAGCTTGCACATATGTCTGAAGGAAAGAAACAAAATTTGAAATACAGAGACACTAATATTGATATTTTCTCAAAATTCAAAGTGAAATATTTCAACAGGTATTAGAGCTTCCAAATTTTCATATAGTTTGCTGCCAACTTCTTATTGTTGAGGAGTCTTTACTTTGGCTTTCTTTCTGAGAGCATTGAACAGAGTTAACTGTCCAGTTTTCCTCAGCTATGAATTTTCATCACTTATCTGTTAATGATTGAATGTACATTTCCCCACTGCTCATTTGACTCCCAAACTAAGGTAGCCTCAGACAATTGCTACATAACTACTCTGTCTACATATGCCATTTGGAGCAAAAGTACATGGCAGACAACTGTGAGTGCTGGTACATGAAGTCAAGGCAAATGTCTCAATTTTGTTTTGTTATGACACATCACGCAGAATATGTAATGGCATACCATGCAGAATATGTCATTTTATTTCCTCCATTAGGACCTCTGCTTCTTTTTTTTACAAAAATTAATGGCAAATTGTTCACAAAGTATGCCAGAGGTTAGGCTGTGCAAACATTCAAGATGACATCAAGTGACCCCTTACAAGTGCACTAACATGCCTCTAACATTCCATAATTTTTAGATATTTGATATGAAAATAAGCCAGCAAATTATCCAAAAATACATTGGTTTTATCTCACTAGTTGAAAGCCCAGTACTTATCTCCAAAATGAGTGGCTGTCATCTTTGATACTCAAAGCAAAAGAAGCTTGGAAAGAGTGATCAATTACTGCCTTATGGGTGGTCAATAAGAGAAAGGAAGGTAAGGTGGAAATTGGAAAGGAAAATATTCCCACCTCCTCTCAGACCATTTCTATCAAAATAATAAATGACTGCTTGGAAAGCTATCATTTATTTGGAACTTTAACTTGCACTCCTAATGAGATATCAGAAATGCAAGCTATGATATCAACTCAAAATGTGGTTACGAGAGGAATGATTAGTTCTGTTTTCTCAAGTCTCAAGAGACTCTATTTTTCCAGGGACAAATATTGAGAATTCTTTTCCTGAACATTGATTATGATGTTCCTATCTAACTGTATCCAGGTTAGGATGGAAAATATCAGGCCAGGTCATCATTAATCAACCTATGGTAATCAGATTTGGAGCAAGGGAAACTGGGGTTTCATGATGATACAAATTACTTTTAATCAACATTATATGGAAAAAAATTGTCCAAACTACCCAAAGTCGAACTGTCTTGTTGTTATTTCTTAGTGAAAAAGTAAGTTAGAGAAATCAATAGAAGGAAGTAAATGTATGTGCAATAACCTTGAAATGTGAAATGTTTCAGGAAAGCTGACCATAGGCGACCATTCCACACCATCCAATAAATTATCCAACTCCATAGCATCAGCAAGACTGTCCACTGAAGTATTTCCATCTGCTCTTGTAGGTGTAAGCAACTGCCCAGACAAGTTATTGCATGGTAGAGATTTGAATGGTTGCAGAATTTGATGAGACTGTGATTTGTTAGGAGTTCTAAATTGACTCTTTACATCTCCTCCAACATTTGAGTCATACTTCTCCATCTCTTCTGTACCATAATTATTATTTGTACAACTGTGAGATTCCCCATGGTTTCTTTCATCAAATAATTCTTCACATTCCAGTAATTTTTCATCAAGGGAGCAATTTCCTATGCTTGTGTCCATGGTGTACTGTTTCATCACATTTTTATTTTCAACCCAATGGTTTGCAAGATGGTACTGTTCATGATCTACAGCTTGTTGCCCTTCATTCTCTCCATTCTCTCCAGGAGAGTTAGAGAGTAAATCTTCTTCTATTCTGTCCCAGAGGTTACATCTCACTGTACTCTGTAACAGCAATTGACAAAAACCATTATAGATCCAGAAAGGAAACCAAAATGGCTAAGAAAACTTTTTAAGACAATTTAGTCGAGTGTCAGTCAACAACTGTATACCTACTGGTTGAAGATAAGTCCATTACCAATCAGCTATTTACTCACAATCACATATTGATTGTCAATCAGTCCCTATATTGACCAAAGGCTACCTATGGTACATAATTATGATTCAAAACAAATGATTACCTTTTCTTCCAAAGGACATTCTGTTAAGAGTCTCTTCTGCATAGGAGAACTTCCCCTGGCTGCTGAACGTTTCATCCTCAATCTTAGAACAACACACTTTGATGGTGCAATAATGGAAGCAGACTCCTTCCGGTAGCCTGCGTTGTTTCCTGTGGGTGACTGACTCTTTGGTGACTTATCAACTGATGCACTGATGTTGCTCTTTTTTATTGGACTTGACAGTACCCTTGGTGGCTTAAACCCCTTCCTGGAAAGCTTATACTTTTTACGACTGGTTGCTTGTGTTGTCATTTGAGCTTCAACATAGTTATGTGGAGGTGAAGATATATCTGAGACAGGTAACCTTTTGTCATCATCTGCTTCAATAGGATCATTACCAACAAAGACTGCTTTTTTGATTTTAGCAGATCCTCTTTCACTTAGCTCAGTTTTGTAATAATTTGCAGCAGATGAGTGGTTGAGAACCTTGGACACTCTGCTTTCATCATGCAACAATGGGGTACTTTCTGGACAACAGCTGATAAAACTATGCTGTCCATTTGGAGATGGTGTTGGTGGAATGAAATCATCATCTTTGATAACTATTTCTTTTACGTTATTGACTGCAAGATTACACTTAGATCCATTTATTGAGGTATTCTTCTTGTTTCTTAGCTGGCATATTGGTGATGGCAATTTAAAATTGTTGTATCCATTTTTCTTATGAGCATAAGGAGGCTGATTGGGTTCAGAAGAGGAAGATGACATTTCACCATTACTCTTTGCCTGTTTATTCTTTGGTAAGGGTGTTAACACAACATTTTGTTTCAAAATCTTTGTAAAACATGTTTGATCAGTTTTTCCTTTCCCACTTTGTGGTGAACTTCTTGATTTGTCATTTCTTCTTGTCACCAATGTGTTAAGTTTATCTTCTTTCTAGAAAACAAAGGAATTTCATCTCTAACTTCTGTCTACATAAGAAAACAAATATATCACAAACAAAATTCTGTTTAATCTTTACCCAACTGACACATTGTCCATTTCTTGTGAGTCAAATAGTACATGTAGTTAGACACATAGGAGAAACCATTTGTAAATTGGCTGGTAAAAGAATTTGCTTAAGTTGGTGAACAATCTCTCTTTTAAGCCCTCATACAGCCCAATACAATGGATCATTTGGTGACCTGCTTAAAAGATGTAAAATAAAAAATTAAATGCCCTGATTAAAAGTTCACAAGAAAAAACCCAGCTGCTACCTAAAAATTATTTTAGCAGTACAAAAGCTTTGATTGCAATGACAAATTTTTAAACAAAAGACATAGACTTGACATTAAGATGAAATCTCTTTCAATAACAGTTCAATGTCTCAGTGCCCTTTGTGTGTGAGTGAGTTCCCATCTGACAAAAGTATACAAAAGTATAGGAAGTGCTTATAAATAAGGAGAAGGCCTAGAAGCAGGATTTTGGGGAAAAATTTTATACATTCGAATAATATCTTTCTAGCATCTTTTAGTTTAACTTATCTTTCTCAATCATACCTTTTTTGTTGATAATTTGAGGCTCTTCCTTTTTCCATTTCCTACAGGGACATGATTTACACACAAAAAATACCAAGTGACTAATAGTTGATCAATATATAGGTCAATACACCTTCAGTAGTTGGTTTATAGTAGCCTGATACAAGTAATTTTCTAAAGGTTGACTGCTACTCTCTTGATAACTACCTGTAGCTGACTTTTTCATGTCACAGTAATTAGGAGACACCTCAACTGAGAGATGGACTAAATTTTTCCAGAGTGAGCTGACCATCAACTAGCCATCTGCTTGACCAAGGTTACTCATAAGAGCTATTGTACTGGTGATCTATGGGGTCTAGACATCTACTGTAGTTTCTTTTCTGTGTGTTCATACCAACATGCTTTCTGGTATTACTTGTGATTCTCATGCAATTCAGCAAGGAGATAAAGGAGAAGATGAAGCAGTTATCATCAAATCTCTACTTTTTATAAATTTAGTATTGATAAAGTCAGGAGACATTTTTCATAGTAATCTCCGGGACTGAGTAGTTCAAAGTTAGGTTTTTTTGTGCTCTTATTTTTCTCTGATTTTTAAGGAAAAGTGAACTTTGAGTATATATTTGCATGTCATATCTAAATTGCTCAAAAGAAATACAAAATTTAAAATTATTTTGTTTTGTCACACATATTGCATCTAATATGAGAACAAATTGTGAACTGTGAGGCACATCAGCAAAGATGAAGAAACCTGACTAAACATAAAAAACGTTGTGAACCTCCTTGAGAGTAACGTATTTCTTTATCCCACTGCAAGCTAAAAATGTTTTTTGCTATGGTAGATAAAATTGCTCAAACCTTTAGATTCCTGCCCCACTGTTGTCCAAAGTTTACAGGTCTCCTACAGAGTAACAGAAATAATTTATCACTTTGTTACTTAGAACTTATGATCATAAGAACAGCATTGTTTGTGGTTCCTTGATCTGAAAGAGGGTTTGGTAAATCATAAAAATCTCTGTTTACCTTTAACAAACTAAGGTAACACCATCCTTCCCCTTTAACCTTTGCACTCTTACATCAGTATGCATATTTTACACACTGTTCTCTTAAGATGCTGAAAAGGAAATTTGGTTTACAGTCTAGAACTTCTCTGGTTGATGATCATTTCCTTCATTCCCGTGACTGAAATGTTTGATTCAGGGGTTATATTGTGAAGGGAAAATTGGATGCTAGTCACTTTTACGGCTCTTTATTCTAAGAAAGGATGTCCGAGAGTACCTTCTACCCCAAGGTAGCCTTGCTTAATAAACTGGTTACTCAGGATGTTAGCGGAGAGTCCATTGATAGTTGCTAGTAGCACAACAGTTAAATAATAGCTACTTATGGTCACCAAAAATTCGATCAATAGCCTGCAATATCTTAGTCAACATGTGATCTGCACGTGAAGTTTGTTTGAGGTCACCTAAAGGTTAAACACATGCAAACAATGCATTGACTATTCGAAGACAATCTGTTGATGACCAGTCAACTAATGAGTAACTATGACCCAGTTTAATGATTGAATATTGACTGATATATACCTTGAAAGGTAGGCATAAACATATACTCTGTACCTGTTCCTAGTAAACTGGTGATGCCTGTTTACAATTTGCAAATCAAAGATCATGCTGTATTTTTTCAGGATGAAGAATCCAAGGATCTTCACTTGGACTCTCTTTGTTGTATCAATGTAGTGAGGAATTTGAACAAGAAACTGTCGACAACCAATAATCCTTATGCCACTTAACTAATTATCTACCCAACAGTGCTTTTGTGGAAAAACTCTCCTCAAAAATGCTGTATGCCTCTAGGGTATGTTCAAGAAGGTTTGTGAAATGACTCAAATACTACCAAAAAAGTTGTCGGTTATTACACCTCTCAAAACGATTTTTTTAAAATCATAAGACCACCGTTAACTAGCATAATTACTAACCCACTTATTGGGGATTTTGGCGGAACACTTAAAAATTTTGTACATCACTCGCCTTCAGCTTGTGATATTTGTTAAAAGCTTAACAATGACGGTTACGTTAAAGGACAAACAAACACAAAAAACTCTTAGACATTTGCTTCCGGTCGCGTTGAAACCGAAAGTGAAAACAGTGGAATTTCAGGTGAGCGAGAGACCTTTACACGTTTCAACATACGTTAAAAGTTAGGCTCTTGTAACGTAAACAGAATTGTTGTGCACATTTTATTTTGGTCAGTTTACCTTGCTAAAGTAACTCTTGATGGTTTGCTGAGATGGATTTCTTTCCTAAATACAATAAAAATCAAGATTAAATATCAATATGCAAACTTAATTTAAACCTTACGACATGTCTACAATGTTTTTCTCTGTGTTGTCACAAAAACTTTCGTTTTGTATCGTCTCACCTCGTCTTCCGAGCTGCTTCTTGCTCGCTTTCCAGCCCCCTTATTCAATTTTGGTTTTCCCATAACCTTGTCAGCGAAAAATACAACAAATGAAGCTCTTAAAAATGTTCATATCCTAGTTTCGATACACTCCAAAATGAATGTTAGCATAACAACCAGGCGCAGTGTGAAAAATCCTCGAGAGGCAAGAATTTCCCGCCAAAGCGCCATATTGTGTTGTGCTCTAAGGAACGTTATGTAACAAACAGCAAATGTCATCCTCTCTCAATTTCATGGAAAAATCGCTTCACAATAGTCTGATTGTGAACAATACAAGCTCTTCTTTCTTCCTCAGAGATCTCGGGGGATTTCGCTGAAACCCCACACTATTTTAAAATAAAGTGTTATTTTAAAAGGTAAACTAGCCATTGTCTTCTTTAACAAAGTAACTGTTTGTATGATGAATATTATGAGGTTATATAGAAATATTACTGACCCCCCATTGTTTGTGGAATGATCACTGACCTAGTTCATTTGTTTTTTTAACTGATTTTGTTTGATATAAATCACAGTCAAATAGATTTTGTACTCATTACAGACTGACAAAATAGTCTAAGAGTGAATTCTTACGCCAGTCTTGTGTTCGCGAAAAATTTTATCGAAGAAAAACGGTGAAAGATATTATGTAAAAGTACTAAAATTCGCAATTTGAAAGCTAACTAATGCAAAATGTATCATTTTCAAAAACCTAGAAAAAGATTCTATTACAACTCTGAGAAAATACTCGATGAATGCCGCGATTAAAATTATAATAAACATCCGCGCAGTTCATTATTCAGTAGCATTCACGTTACACCAGTACAGGCATTACGAGGAAGTATTGTTAGTGTAACGTGATCTCAGGTACTAGTCCATTTCAAACAAAATCTAAATCATAAGGTATTGAGATTTTCTAAAAAAAAAATATAAATCAGATAAGTTGACGCTGATAATGATTCACGTTATCTTTATTCGCTACCATTTACAACTGAAGGAATGAAAGAGTTAACTTTGCCGATTGATCAAAAATATAAATAACATATTCAAAAATTTGTCCACGCTCAAATGCGGTGATTTTTTTGTTTTGTTCAAAAATAGCTGCCTTTCACGTGCATGAAAAACAGATCAAACTTGCTAACAACTCCAACGACTTGCTAATGTGTTATGAACGTGCCTATGGCACATGATATTTTTCTTTTCATGTTGCAATTTACCACCTCGCTGACTTGCCAAGGATATTTCCATTTGACAACGAGTCAGAGGTAGGAAGGAAAAACAGAATTTCTTTGCAGAAGTAAAACCTGAAAGACGAACTGTTGTTGCAAAGTTTATTCTTTTAAGGCAAAACTAACTGTCGCAATGGCAAATATTCATGTTTCACCTTTGGCTTCTCCTTCCTTGGAGTGTTTATCTCCAGCGGAACTGACGAACGAAGAAAGTGGACAAGTAGAGCAAGTGACTCCAAATCAAGATGAAAACGAAAATGATGTATTTAAAGGAGAAACGAAGGCATTTGGGAGAAAGAAAGGTTTCTGTAGATTGATTTAAAAAATTTTCCTCGGATTAGCATGGTTGGCAGGGTATTCGAGATTTTGAGTTCAGTTTTAGATTGCAAACAGCTGTGAACGGGACGCGCCTTTAATTTTAAATTGAACAAGACCAGGTCCTGCGCTAGCGCCAATCGATGTCTGAAAGATTATACTTCCTATGAATCTCGTGCAAGAACGGACCTTTGATGTTTTGAAAGAGCAGTATAGATGAAGATATTTGAGGCTTGGTAGCCTGTTGCTACACGCTCTAAATTAATTCTTCACTTGTTCATAGAAAAACAAAAAGTCGGAACTCTAAGACCTCTACTCTTAGTTACGACATAGATGTGCATTTAATACTTCACTCACACTCTTAGATTTCAACCGAACAATTCCGTCAATTGTTCGGTTGAAACTTCGAAATCACACAAATCTAGGCTCCTGATTCGTGTTTATCATTGACCATTTATCATTTGTAGTATGACATCTTGTTCTTAATTGGCAGGCCAATTCGAGACACCGTCAGGCACCTTGACCACTTTACGTCTTAGTGCTGGTAGTGAAGACGCCAGTCAGACCAGCAGTCCGAAAAGAAGTCCCGTCTATTGTTTCCATTCCTTTACATACGGGGTTAGTGGGTCGAGCGAGACTGGAACTGGCTTGCATGATAGTGGAAAGACATCCGCTGAACTTGATAGTAATGATACTTGCGAGAGTGAAAGCTTTGATGCCGATTCTCCCAATGTCTGGCGCACAAGAATGGTCGTGGATCCGGGGGAGACAGAGTCAGGGTCACCCACAATCCTCCATGGGGGGAACTTCGGAATTGGAGCATGTCCCTCGGACGGTTTGCTAGCAATTTATACTTACCATTCACTAAACTTGAGATAGGTTCAGATTTTTTAATAGCATTTGCTAGTTATAAAGAAGGAATTCCTGACAAAATACAGCTGAATAAGTATTCTAGCTCAAAAGAGAACTGAAACTTTCATGCTTGTCTCTCTACGCAGCCTGTTTTTTTTTCTTGTCCTGGTCAGTCTATCCTCTTTTCCATCTCGTATCTGCATTTCTGGTGCCTTTGTCTGCCTCTCTATTTTTGTTTACCGTTTTCCTACTTCTTTCATAACATGGCCTAAAATGTTTGACATTGACTAACTACTTTTCAAAGTTAGGAGTTTGACTCTGAACCGACGCATAAAACCTTGAAGTGTCTAATTTCTCTCTAATATTCCGAAGCACGCTGGTTATTTACGCCATATTAGGGAATAACTGATGATCGGCCAGTCTTGTACACTGAAAACCAAGCTTTGTGACACTACTGATTGCTTGGAGGTTATATTCTTCCGCTGAGATATGAAGTAAATTTTTTTCAGACTCTGTGTCGTTAGAAGAAACCAACAAAACCAAACCCTCCGAAGCTTTTCAGGCGGAGATTCACGTCAAACTCCAGAACTCAAACGATGCCCTCAATAGCGACACCAAGGAAGCGACAACTGCACCGAAACTGCTCTCCTCGCCAGACGAAGACCATTCAGGAGAGGCAAATGGAGAGGAAAATTGCGCAAAGCCTCCTGTCACGAGACCGTCACCAGAAGGCGCGGAAAGTTCTGTAGTTAACACCCACCAGACCACAGTTTCTTCACAGAATGGAAATATTACTAGTTGTTTCATGGTTCCTAGCACGCGAGTTATCTCCGATCATCAGTGGAGCGAGATCATAGGAAGCCCATCAGGTGCTATAGACGTAAAGAACTACTGGATGTCAGGCGAAGTCATGCCGGAAGGTAACAAGACTGATGTCATCAAAGTATATTTATAGCAAAGGCTAATGAATGGTAATCAATTCCTTCTCCCTTCAAATCACACACCCTTTGCTGGCCACACATAGTTTAATGAGTAGCTACCCTCTCTCGACAAATTTTTTCATTCTCCTTTGTTTTAACTAGAAAAAGAAGCTGTCGATGACGATCGCGCACCACTGATACGTCGAGAAAAATCTTACATGGGAAACGCAACTGAGATGAGCTCAGAGGAGGAAGAGGAAGAAGGAACCCCTGTGACGTGCTTTCCTTGCAGGGAGTGCCATATATTATGAAATTGTGCGGCAGGAGATCTACCTCGCTACAATATGTGAAAAGACTGTTGAATTTTGAGTAAGTTTAGTGATATAATTAGCAAAGAGAAAACGGAATCCATCTGAGTGAAAGCAACAACTTTAAACTTGAAGAATAGAGACACTCTTCAGTGTAAATTAATTACTTATTTGTGGGTCACAGAACAGGTAGGAAAATATACTTAACTGATAAATACATTGAATAAAGCAATTCGGTTGCGGTGACCTGAGAATCGTTACCCTGTAAACTTTCTTCCCGTTACCTCTCTACACCCTAACACCAGAATCTATCTTCTCCATACTATACTCCATACATTTTCTATGATACCGACGAGGAGAATTTGAATTTGTAGGAGCCTCTTCTGTTAACAATCATTTCCGTTATTCCCCGTGATCTTAATGTTCAGTACAATAGGGAAACTGTCACGAATAATTAGATGCTAATCACACTTAACCCTGTTTGTTTGTTTGGTATCCATATTCTCCATACTCTTCTACATGTTTCTTTGGATCAATATCAGTATCCGGGCAACTGCCCACCTACCCCTCCCCTAACCCAACATTAACCCTAACTTGCTATCTATTGACTGTTGTTGGGCTAGGGGAGGGGTAGGTGGGCAGTTGCCCAGATACTGATATTGATCTGGTTCTTCTTGGTACTCACAAAGAGAATTCATTTATCAATCAAAACTTCTTAGGTTGACGGTCATTTCCTTTATCCTCATTATCTTAGCTTGATCTTAGTGAGAGACTCAGAAGTATCACTGTAGAGATGAGATGCTGGTCGCTCTTAGGGTTTAAAGGGTTAAGGGTTAGAGCAGATGCATTCTGGGGCGTTGCTAACGGCCTGGTTAATAGATTACACATCACATCAGATACGCAGCAAATCACTCGAGCTCACCATATGAAACTTAAGCAAAATTTCTCCACTCGGTGCATTAACCATTTAACTCCCAGATCAAATTTGAAATTCTCCTTACTGTCGAAGATAAATTCTTGTTTGTTCAGAGAATTTAGTGTTGGATCAACTAATTATCCCCAAATTGATTTTTTCTTTATTCTCATCACTGACCCGGTTGATATTTAATTGATATTGTAAGGAGAAATTCTGTCTTGGTCACTCATGGGAGTTAAAGGGTCAAAGAAACCAATCAAAACAATATCGAAGCAATCCCTATCATCATTCACAAGTCTGAAATAGCTAAAACGACAAGACAACCGAGAATTAAACGTGGGATAGTAGATTCTGCCTATGCCAGAAGCGCAATTATAACGGCGTAAACTATTGCATTTCTAAAAAATAAATTTTATTACTTTCTTCAAGTTTACAAAAATATTCTGAAAACGAAGCAGTACTCTAATATCTTAATTACCCCACTACATAAAATCACTAAAGCACTTCCCTCGCGGGAAAATTTTAAAATTCCTTCAACTCTTCGACAGTCTGTCTCTGACAACTGACTGAAACCCCGGATTTTTTTCGATTGCATTACATCGAAAAATGTTAATAAAGTGCTTCAGTTGCTGCACTGACAACATGCGCGTTTATTTGCTTTAAATATTTCGGACGTGGCCCTTGGGTTAGCGTGAGGGATGCAGTCGGGGAGGGGTGGGGAACAAGCAGATGATTAAAACTTATTCTTTACCAACGGTATACCATAAATAGCACTCTCTCCTGACTAAAAGTACGCAGATTCGGAGAAACCTCAGAATGTTGACACCCTTAAAGAGAAGAGCAAACTGGTTCAATGCGAATTAAAGTCTTAAAAATTCGCGAAAATCGTGAATTCAGGGACATCTTTCTTGAACTATCGGAACACAAGAAACTGGGAAGTCCCCGCATAACTGTTAGCAAGTCGCTTGCCATCTGGTGTAGGATCAGAAAAGGCTACCAGCTCTCTAGGAATAATGCAGCCATAAATAAAGTTTGTTCTAGGGGAGATAAAAAAGAGAACTCGATGAGAACTCAAAGTAATAGCAGCAAAACAATCTAAAGCGCGGAAAAACGCAGGCGACCAAGTCGTGATTAGTTTTAGCTGGCACCTGATTGGTCGACAGGATGGCGCGAGTTTTCTAGCCCAATCACGGAGCGTAAGGCGGTAAAACCAATGCCATCCCAGATCACTTTTGACACTTGATTTGAAATTACTCTACGAACCGATTTTGATAGGAAACAATCCCCTAGTTCTCACCTTACACAGTCCAATAATCTCGTGGCCACTTTCTTCCTTCTGTATTGACTGTGAACCCATATCCTGCTGATACCGCACTGTGCTGACTGAGGGGTGGTACTTTCAAGAAAACAAACAAACAAAAAATACACGTGTTGATGTGCAAAACAACTTCATGATAACATTCATTCAAGTGGCAGGCATCACTGATTTCAAAAATAATGCTAGAAGATTCAAAAGGAAATTCCATCGTGATAATTTATTACAAAATATGTTACATGAAAGGACCCTGAAATTATATATATTTATAGTAGGACTACACTGCAATTCTGAGAATAAGAAAGATGAACCCAGTCCTGTTCTCTGATGAGCTCCTTATGCTGACTTTTGGCTATCACTTAATAGAGAGCAATGATTGAGAAACCTACAAAAAATTTATTTCTAATAAGTTGTTGCCAAGTTTCTTGGACCTGATTGTACACAAAATTCAATAGCAAAGCAGTGCTTTTCATGCCAGGATCTAAACTCATCACATGGAGCTGAGACATGATTAAAAATATCAATATCTTTTTCTTATTTGTACCCCATTTCCAAAATGAACATGAAAAGTTGGACTGGATCATGATCCATTTTCAATAATGGACTAGAGCTCAAGCCTAAGTCTCTAACAACAATAAAATCATTAACATGCTGACAGGCTGCATGTCACTTGATACCTGCAACACCAGGCTGCAATCTGTTTTTCTGGGGTAGAAGATTCTCCAGGTGATGGTAACACAGGATAGCCCTGAGGAAAAGACATTTATTGAGACATATCTTTGCATGTTGAATCACAAGGTAGAAATGCAGCTGGAAAGAAAAATGAAAATTCTCATCATACTGTAAGTTCATACCTGATCAATCTGAATTGCAACAGCACATCCAATGACTTTTTTTCTTGTTATGAAAAGAAAAATCTGTAAACAAGACCATAGGACATTTTAATTCCTAACTGTGTTGAATGTAGGCAACAATCAAACTGGCCCCTTATCAGTCAGCCAGGATATCAGATTATCAAGAGATTTAGGGCCCATTATTTAAATGAATTTTAGCTATGGTTTAACAAAACCGTATTCTAAACTATTTTGAATTTAGTTAAATCTTTTGTCTGAACATTTATTTTTGTGAACAGTGTCAAGAAGGTCTAAAGCTAGCAGTGGAAGGCCATTAATTTACTGAAAACAACCCTCCTACAGAGATTACATGAGGCCCTCTGATTGCATAAAACAGCAGTTTGGGTTAGACCTCATGTAAATAACTGGCCCTTACATGTCCTCCCCTGAAGTCAAGGTTGAATATCTGAATCTATAAGAATCCTATGTATATGTACATTGAGTTTTGTAATTAGTCGTAATCCTTCCTCTGAGAGAAAACCAGTATTTCAAATACCATAAAAAATTACCTTAATTAATTCACTTGTAAATATCCTAGAATTATCGCCAATAACCAAAAATTATCTCTTAGCTTTAATTTTATACTTTAGAAAATTGCTGGTAAGTTCAAACAGCACAAAGAGCTTCACAGTTTTAAAGCTTATCCTTTTTATGATTGACTAACTGATTTGCCATTAAATCCACATTAATTTGTGATACACACTTTTTTTTTACATGAAGAGAAAGACAGGATGGCCAGGAACTTGATCATATACCCTTCCTGACTGCAGCAGTAATTGATTATCACCAACCTTAGCTCCAGATCTTCTATAGGGTACATCTGCTACAAAGCCTAACTCACTGTCAACAACTTTGCGGACCTCTTCAATCTAAAATTTAACAGCAAAGTTTAAAAACTCATCAGGAATTTAATGAATATTTTTAAGGATTAGTGGTTTGTCCTTTCACTCCCAGAAGTGATTAAAAAAAAGGAAAAACTCCTTGGAAAATTAACACATTTTCTAGGATAAATGTGACAAGAAAGTAAAATAACAGCTTAGGGGGTATTTCTTTAGCCAACAAGGGTCTGGGGTTATGTAGTTCATCAAACCTTTTTGAGGTGGAGGCGCGGGTCATCTGGGCCAACCATAATTACTCTGCCATCATGGTACTCTTTCACTACACACTCATTCTTCCAGCCCTGACAAATAAAATAAAAGATATAAAACTTTACATCATCAGATTTTAAAAACTAGATAACAGACATAACCTACTCACTTAAAACCAAAGTGATAATAAGTTTCGTGGTGAATTTGCACCCCTTAATAATGGTTAACCTCTCTTTTGAGACCTATTTGGGTGCCATCTCCTTCGAGAAACAAATTTTGGTCCTGAATAAAATTTTCTCCTGCTCATTGAAGCCAACTCACAGCTGAAGAAAACCTCTGCCTCTACTGACAATGTACACTTGTCACAAAATGGTATCAGAAATACTAAAAAAGATTTTATGAACATTAGAAACTCAATTTCTTTATTCTTGGAGATGTGAATGTTTCAAGTGAGGTGGATTCTATGTAACAGCATTTACAGCTTAACCAGTCATTGGAGTTAAACGTTGCTAAGATCCAATCTTCTATTTCAAGTGCATTTACAGCTGTATATAACTTACAGTAAATTTCAGTCCATTGACAAAGCTCTTGTGATGTCTAATGTGAGCAGCTTCATCATCAGGCTGGGCTCTGGTATATACCATACCACAGGTAGGGCAAGTAACATGTCCAAAGTCTTTTTGGCCCAAGTCCTGACAACAACAACAAAAATAACAACAACCACAATGATGACAACAACAACAAAAGTAAAATAGAGTGAAAAAAGGTTGCAGTTTTAGGTTTCATAAAATGTAGACATTACTGAAATCAATTTTCATGTGGATTGTTCAAGCACATGTGGTTGACCTCATTGCTAAATGAAGGTTAGCAGTATACAGTTGAAACATCATGATCCCTATACTCATCCTAAAAAAAACAAGGATATTTCAAGGCAAAATAGCAGACTTAAATACATTATCCAGAGACTACAATACCTGACATGAACAAGTCTCCATTCAAAGCAAGTGATTTTTAGTGTCTGAACTGGAGGTGAGATCTATCTTTATGAAACCACAATGTTGTATTGAAACAAACCATTTGCAACTTACCAAATACATTTGTTCTTGCTTTTTTCCAGACTTTTTCTTTCCTAGAGTGATTCTAAAAAAATTTGCAAAACATATTTCATAATAGTAAATATTGAGCCATTCCAAAACTAAGCATGCTTCTTTATAGAACCATTCAGCGCAAGTTTTCTGAATAACCCCACACTTCATCATGGATACAGTTCTTTGATAAACCAAAATCATGTTAGGAATGATAGGTTACCTTTGGGACTAAGGCTTTGTTTTAGAAAAGAGAGGGTTCACACAGAAATATTTCCCTATTGAGTAGCAGCATCAAATACACTGTCCATAGCCATTGACTAGTGAAGCATATATCTGAAGCTGAAAGCTTATAATTGTAGACATCATGCAGATTTTCTGAAACACATACAGTAGGCTAGTCTCTCCATGATACATAGACATACAGCCTCAAACCCAACCTGTTTTTGCTCTCCAGTGAATTTTCTGCAGATGAGTGTCCAGTTGATGAAGAAGGAATCCCATTTGCAACTGTCTTTGTTTTGCACTTTGGACCTGGTAATGATCTGAAATATCTCATAATGGAAGCTTGATGCTCAGGAGAACTTTTGGATGAGCTGGATTCATCTTCCTTGCCTGACAATTGTGGTGTAGAAACACTTTCAGCAGCATCTGGAGATGATGTTGAAAGTGAAACACTTGACCTCGAGTCACATACATTTTCATTGCAATCCAGCAGTGTCACCTCTACCCTTTCATTTTGTTCAGTACAAGGCTGGTGAGAGTTTATTGTGTGATGTGTTGTTGCAATTCCTTCTTCTTCTTCGTCAGTGCTCTCACTAGATGGTGTTAATTGTACTGGTGATACATTGCTTGAACTAGAGAAGTAGTATTCATTTCCATTTTTCTGTAAGCAAAAGCCATCCAAGACTGTGCCAGGTCCACTGCAAAGACTTGTCTCTGAACAAGTAGATTCAACTTCACTTATAACTGATTTTGCTACATCTATATTTGATTTTGGCTTCCTGCAAATAGGAACAATTCCACTTTCTTCTGAATCATAATCTGATTGTGGTGTTACAACACCTTCATGGCTATCTTTGATTTCTTTAACAGTTTTCATTACCAATTCATAGGGTTCTTTTTGGCTCTTGCTTAGAATATCCTTATGATCAATGTCAACAAGAACATCCTTGTCATTAACATCTGAGTTCAATTTGTCTTTATTGGTCATATTTTTGTGCTGTTTAGTACCACTAGTAGTTCTGCGCTTTTTACTAACTTTTTTTGAACTTCTTTCCCTCTTCAATTTTCTCTTCACTCCACTCAAGTTATTCATTGGCAAGTCTTCATTTTCTTTCGACAAGTTTTTTTCACTGTTTAGACCAAATAACTTCATATTTGGAGTGACATTTTTGCTCCTTGATCCATAAAAGCCAAGTGGGGTGAAGCCATTTGATTGCAATTGCAAAATCTCACTGGTTCTAATTTCTTCTGATCCATTGTAGTCCTGGTTGTTAGTAATTGTCCGAGATGTTGCATCATTTTGTATGTGAAGACAATTTAGGTCTTCCTCAGGTGACTGAGATCTCTCACTATTGGATGACCCTTCAGTTTTAGAAGCAAACATCTCACAGTCAATATCTGTGATCAGATCAGATGGGGTTAGCCCAACTGTCACTTTCTCTGCTATAACTTTCAGTCTACAAAAAGGAAACAGACCTAAAATTAATAAGAATGTGAGTAACAAATAAGAAACTGTAAAATAAATGCAACTGGGGAGATATTTACTTACAGGGCAAACGGAATATGGAAAGATTTATCTTTGACCCCATACTCTTCTGAAACAAAGCTGTAGACCTAAAGGCATACTATTGACCCTGGCAACGCTTTCTTTTATCCAGAAACTGTAGGCATAGTGAAGCAAGAAGTTGCAAAGAAATCTTGCCCAAAATTTGATATGTTTGTACCAAACGAAATAAAATCTATAGAACGATTTACCATATTACCCAGAGCTGCAAAATACGTATATTATACATTGTACAATGTATTGAACGTGTATACTGTCTAGATAACTAAATAAACCCTCATCACTCGTTCTTCAGCAAACGATATACTATACACAGTTCACAAAAAATCTCCATAATGACTTTGATAATCAATCGGTGCAAGGAAAAAATCGGATTTATAGAACTATATATTGCTAATCGGATTTATGTAATTCGAAACTCGGTTAATGATAGACTTCAAACATCACGGCATGTGTGCAGCAAAACACCTACCTCTCGGTTTGACTGATTTGTCTGATATTCCTACCAAACATCGCAGGTTTTCTTGAAGAAGCCGAAATCTTCCCTTTGGCCATTGCAAGGTTTCATTCGTCCGGACGGTGGGAAGTTCGAAATAGAAATGACGAAGAGATTTTAAGGAATTATGCTACAGTGACAATGATCTCAAATCGATGGCCTGACATTTGTTTCTTCTGAGAAAGAACCAAAGTTCTCCTTTTATCATTAACTTGACAATGGTACCAATTCTCTGGAAGCCGAACAAGTCATTCAAACAGGGCATTGCATTTCCTGTCATCCGCCATTTTGTCGCTTTTCGAACATGGCATGAATTTTCGCGCGCAATAAGCTCGTAGGGAGTTATGGGTTGTTGAGCAGCTGGGCATCCAGGCCTGTTTGGAAGGGAGGGGAAAGGATTAATCTCTGATTTCCGACTTGAGATAAATTATGACATTCCTGTGGGAAATGTACCGTAGTAATGAACAGCATGGTGTATGTTGTTTTCCTTATGAAAGAGAAAAAGTACCATTTCGTACACTTTTCCCCCAGATGATAACATCCATCAACTTCAAAACACAGAAATGTCAGGAGCGAGGAATACAATCATCAGCTTATAATCAGAGCTGTGGATATTATGACAGATGAGAGAAGAACTTGTGGTGAGGAGATGAGGCACGCTAACTAAGACAGTACTAATTGAATATGTAAGACTTCTTCCTCCTTCATACAATGATGTAGACCCTGTATGTATCTGCCTCTGAGGGAGAGGGCGATTAAAAATCTTTGTACAGAAAAACAGTAACAACAAAAACTGTCATAGCAATGAACAAAACGCGAACCTAGTACTCTGCTACAAAGTCAAGAGAACTTCACGAGATGATAGAGAAAATACTGTAGCGTGTCACTTTTGGATTCTACTGGAGCCAAATTTTTAATTGGCGAATATTTCGTTGGTAAGAGTGAAACCCAAGTGCTATTTAGGTTTTTACTTTTTTTTTTCTTTTTCTTTTTACTTTTCGAAAGAAAATGCTTCATTAAGTCAAAATCTAAGTCGATATCAAGTCGGAACGAAAGAAAGAAGATGATCCCCACAAACAGGCATGATCTTATACTTTCATAATCTTTCTGGCGAGCCACGGGATTCCCTCTAAGCGGAGGAATGATTTTTAAGCTCCTTGGACGTTATCAAGACTGTTTGGAGTCGCCTATCTTAGAGAAAGGTATATCCGTGTTTCCTAGCCTGATAATCCCGGTTTGAAAGTTACGAGGTACAGATTATAATAAATACAAATGATGGAAACGAAAGCCAAGTCTGACAAATCCATGATCAAGTAGAAGATCTTTATTGGTCTTTTTGCTTGATAGCTTAAGGAATTACTCACAAATAGTCACGTCAGTGGCTTGTGAAAGAAAGGCTATAAAAGGTAGACATGGTTTGTCCACCAATGTTATCGTTATCAATCATCCGCTTTTACTGATAATGTATTTAGGAAAAAGCCTGACGCTTAAGTAGAATCTCTTAACCTTTTTATTATCAGCGAAAAAAAATCTGTTATACAAGATAACGTCAAAGATGAAAATAAAAATCTTCCTCAAACGAAAATTAATGAAATTAACACTGTAAACGATTGGAAACGATTTGGGAGTTGCAGCACTTTTGAGTGTGAGGAACGTACAAGACATTACCACAAAAGAGCCTGTAACAGGGAAGTTGGTGATTAATTATTTGACCAAAACAACATTTTTGTGTCGTTGGATCGAAAGAAACGCCCCCACACCGGGAAGGAATCGGAAATGGGGAGCATGGTGCATTTTTGGGAAGAACTCGATAATGGCAACATTGCTGAGTGTGAGGAACGTAGAAAGCTTGTCCACATGGCAGTCGGGTACAGAAGGCTTGGATGGGTACTTTCTGCCCAAAGCAACAGCTCTCAATCTGTGGATTGTATGGAAGGCCTCCACACTTGTTTGGAAGTGGTGATCCTGAGCAAGGTACGGTCCTGGGAATAACTTGAGCATGGCAACATTGCTGAGTATGAGGGACATAGAGAGACTGGCCACAGGGTAATCGGTTACATGGAACATGGTGAGACACTATCTGACCAAAGCAACATCTGTGGGTCCGGGGATTGTAGAAAAAACCACCACATCGGAACGGGGTCGGAAATGGCGTGCATGGAATGGTTTTTGGAATAACTTGACCACGGCAACAACGTTGGCTATAGGGGACGTATAGGGCTTGTCTGCAAGGTAGTCTGGTACAAGGAGCATGAATGGGAAGTATCTGGTTGAAACAACATTTGTGGGTCAGTGAGTTGAAAGCGAAGCCACCACACTGAGGAGACACAGGAGATGGAACACAAGGTACAGCTCTTGGAATGATTTTAGAACTGCAGCATTGTTGAGTATGAGATACATACAAGGCCTGTCCGCAAGGAAGTCTTGTACAAGGAACATGGAAGGGTATAATTTGCCCAAAACAACATTTATGAGTGTTTAGATCGTAAGCAAAGCCACCACACTGGAATGAGGTCGGGAATTGCGGACAAGGCACAGCTCTAGGGATGACTCGAGAATGGCAGCATTGTTGAGTATAAGGAAGGTAGGAAGCTTGTCCACAAGATAGTCTGTTACAGGGAAGTTGGTACGGTACAATTTGGCCAAAACAACACTTGTGGGTCTGAGGATCGTAGGCAAAGCCACCACATTGAAGGGGCACCGGGGATGGAATGCAAGGTACAGCTTTTGGGATGACTTTAGAATTGCAGCATTGTTGAGTATGAGAGACATAGAAGGCCTGTCCGCAGGGAAGTCTTGTGCAAGGAACATGGAAGGGTACAATTTGCCCAAAGCAACATCTATGAGTCTGTGGAGCGTAGGAAAAACCGCCACATTGAAATGAGGTCGGGAGTTGAGGACAAGGTACAGCTTTAGGAATGACTCGTAAGTGGCAGCACTGTTGAGTGTAGGGAACGTAGTATGCTCGTCTGCAAGGTAGTCTGATACAGGGGACATGGATCGGCAGAATTTGGTTGAAGCAACATTTGTGTGTGTTTTGATTATAGTAAAAGCTACCACATCGAGCCGACGTCGTGGGCGGTTTACACGGTGTACTCTTTGGAATGACTTGACCGTTGCAACATTGCTGAGTGTGAGAAACGTAGGCGAATTGTTTACAGGGCAATCTTGAACAAGGAACTTGAATTGGTATTATTTGACCAAAGCAACATTTGTGACTCTGTGAATTGTAAGGAAGTTGGCCACACTGTTGAGACTGAGGTATACACTTCGAGGTCTTGGGAATGACTTGACCGTTGCAACATTGCTGAGTGTGAGAAACGTAGGCGGATTGTTTACAGGGCAATCTTGAACAAGGAACTTGAATTGGTATTATTTGACCAAAGCAACATTTGTGACTCTGTGAGTTGTAGGGAAGTTGGCCACACTGTTGAGACTGAGGTATACACTTCGAAGTCTTGGGAATTACTTGACCATTGCAGCATTGTTGATTGAAAGAAAGATAAGGTATTTTTGCGCACCTCAGCCTGATGCACCTCACTCCGAATGGAATCAGTTGTTTAAAGCAACACCTCTGTTTGAAGCGGTTGTATGCATGACCTCCACATTTGCGGAGAAATATTCGCGACCTTTTCATGTCATTTGGAATCTCGCCTGTTTGAGATAACAAAAGATCTTTCATCATTTAAACGAAAATACACAGTTCGGATCTACGTTTACCTTAAGAACTTGGTGATCCAAGCTTCAAAATAGAGCGAAGCTTGAACAGGCCAACTCTGAAAATCATATGAGCTTTAAATAGGTGCATGAATTAAACCTTTACACCCTAACACCAGTATTCATATTCTCCATACTGTTCTCTAAACATTTCCTAAGGTGCTGGCAAGGAGAATTTTTCCAGCAATCAAGAGCTTCTCTATTTGGTGATCAGTTCCTTTATTCTCCTGACCTTAATGTTTGATTCAGGGGTGATGTGGTAAGGAGAAATTAGATGCCGGTCACTCCAAGGGTTAAAGGGTTAAGTAACCATAGGAGTTGTACTATGAACGGGAACTTTAATAAACTAGTTATGGAGATGCAATGGCCCCTTTGATTCTGGAAATGACTAACCAAGCGGAATTATGCGTTGAGAACGAGCTCAATTGCAAAAAAATATATATTTGTTGAATTTATCATACTGCTCAATTGAAAAACAATCATTAAAGGGAGTCATGAATGAAACTTTACCTTCATCATCAAAGCTGTCCTCTGTTTTTTCCGGAAGGTCTTCCACTCCGTTATAATCTTCGCTTACTTCTACTGAAACAGAGAAAAGAATTAATATATCCTTTAAACAAATACACTGTTATCTAGTAAGTTTGGGTTTCATTAACTAGCTGTGATAATTTAACAGCCATTTTAAAACCTTACATTACAAAACCTTGCTAATTTTACAGGGAAAAAATCCTTTAGTGTCTTGCTGATGAACATAATTTCTTACCATCTTCATGGTTTTCTTCGTCGGTGATGTCTTCACTTTCCTGTTGGGGACTTTCGTCTTCTTTATTTTCGTTGGGTCCTAAAAGGATGACATTTTGTTAATTTCACGTTTTGTCTTTTTTATTCGCATGTAAATGCTACCTTTGCCAGCTAAATCTCAGTGCCAAAAAATATATATTTGTTGAATTGATCACACTGCTCGATTGAAAAGCAATCATTAAAGGAAGTCATGAATGAAACCTTACCTTCATCATCAAAGCTGTCCTCCGTTTTTTCCGGAAAGTCTTCCTCTCCGTTATAATCTTCGCTTACTTCTACTGAAACAGAGAAAATAATTGATTTATCTTTTAAATAAATACACTATTATATAGTAATTTTGTCAAAAAAGTTTACATTTACCACAGTCAGCGTTTATGAACATACAACATAGTTGGGAGTTGTAAATAAGGAGCGAATCAACCGCGAAATTTGTGAAACATCGATTGACTCTTAAGACAGACTAAAAAAATAGTTTTAGGCATCGTTGGTATTCGTCTAGCACAGAAACTCCTTCTTGTTATAAATCTATTTCAACAGAGTAGCAAGTTCCAGGATCCCTTCAACAGGGTAGTCGTCGCCGAACCGAAACGATCAGTGCAATGCAGATAGTGGTCAATCCGTACTATTTGCTTCTAAATTCTTAACTCCGAAATAAGTCTTAAGGGGTCGTGATTTGCAAGGGTAATTTCGATTTTAAACGAAAAAACTTGCAAATTTTTGCATTACCTAGCTGTGATAATTTAACAGTTATTTCAAAACATTACATCACAAAACCTTACTAATTTTACAGAGAAAAAATCCTTTAGTGTCTTGCTGATGGACATAATTTCTTACCAGCTTCATGGTTTTCTTCGTCAGTGATGTCTTCACTTTCCTGTTGGGGACTTGCATCTTCTTTGTTTTCGTTGGGTCCTAAAAGGATGACATTTTGTTAATTTCACGTTTTGGCTTTTTTATTCGCATATAAATCTACCTTTGCCAGCTAAATCTCATTGCATTACCCTCACTAACAGCATCACTCACACAGCTCGCAGTCAGATAAAGAGCTCATTTTGAGGAACAGTTTTGTCTCCACAGAGAAGAAAAAATAACTTTTAAAAATTCAAGGAAAAGGTAACAGCGTTTTATCTTTGCTAACAAGGTTTCCTAAGGATTATTCACTCGACGCAGGTACGATTACAGCAGCTAACAAATCGCGAGGAAAATCAGGATGAGAAAAGTATAGAACGACACGTGAATCAACCACGATTTAGGTCTGACTTACCAACTTGCATCTTATTTGAATGAGATAAAGCTACGTCTTCATGGACCTCTTGGTCGTTTGTTTGAAGTTCTTCGCTGGATAAAATCTTCTCTTCGGCATTTGCCAACAACAGTGGAGAAAGCGCAAGAATTAAAACTGTGATTCCACACAGAATACGGGCCATTTTTAGTCAATAACACTAAGTTCAGATAACTAATGTCAGAAAAGAAAAAAACCACTCCCTTATATACTGTCCTCGTCCTCTTAATATACGCTGACCATGCTGAAAAAAGAAATCAGAACTTTTATATTTACATGCATGTATTGCCCTTAGTGGCTTGATGCTGAGAATACATACCAACAGATTAAAAAAGGAGCGAAATTATTTTTACCTGAGGTACTGAATTAATATCACGATACGTGATTACTGCAGGTTTCTCTTTAAAGCACCTCTTTATCGTTTACATAGATTTTCAGGTCGTTTATTGTTTATGTTTGGCTTCCCTACAATTTTATATCATCACCTAATTAGAGGTGTGCGTTCAACGACAAATTTAGCGCCAGTTGACCGGAATAAGTTGAACATTTCATTTAGAACTTTAAAACACCAGCGATAACTTTCCGCCCCTTAATAATACGATACCAAACTTTGGTCAGGATTTCCTCAGCTTGTTAGTGATATAGTCAACAGAAGTGATTTGCGTGACGATGTGTAAGTATATTTTTACAGGGGGGGGGGAAACAACTGAATGCTTTGTTTGAATCATAGGACTAAAAAGAGAAAACAGTTAAAGACAAGGATAAAAATTCTGAAAAAAACGGGGTGGAATTAAAGTGCGTGACAAGAACTAAAGATGGAAATATCTTTTGTAACGAGTTTAAGAGAAAAAGATCGGAAGACAAGAATACTTTTGCAGCTTTTAAACATTTTGGGATTTCAAAGGTCCCAGCGTCGTAAGATATTGGAAGTATCATAGGTAATATCTATATATGCAATCCGTCAAACAAGACTGAAACAAGCTGAAAGGAGAACCCTGTGTATGCATATAAACTCACTTATGTAGTCTCGCCAAATACGTCAGAGTCGAGAATATTCTGACGAAAACCGAAGAAAACCTCAACATTCCAAAAAGTGTCTGCGACCGCAACTGCATGGTGCTCAGCCAAAAAGAAGATGTACAAACCCCTTTTTTTAATCAGATTTCAATAGGAAAACCTACGAGGACAATTGCCACCATAGATCAATTAAGAATTTCCCAAGAAAGGGGGCTTCAACTGAGCATGGTTTACTTCTAGCTACAGACAGATCTATTTAAATCTGAAAGTCACGTTTTCAATCACTCATCAATTTTGATGAGTACCCTTATTCTCAATTTGCGTCAACAATAATATAGCAATAATTTCACACTTGAGAGGACTTAAATTCGAGATAAGAAGAAATTATCAATATTCGTTTCGAGTCGGAGTGAAGTCATTATAGTTCTTGGAAAATTTTTGAAAGATCAAACACTCAACTGAGTTTATAAAAAGATCCACTTTCACAGCCTGAAGACGAAATCAGGGGCACTACATTTTTTGTATGTCAGTATGTTTAATCTTAAGTTCAAGTTCACTTTGATTTATCAGCTGAGTCAATAGTGTAAATTGGCCACCCTCAAGAGGTTTTAAAACTGACGTTTCGAGCGTTAGCTCTTCGTCAGAGCGAATTTCAGGTTCACTGATAAGCTTAGACGTCTCTTATTGATATTTCAAACTAAAGCCAAAATCGAACTCCACAAATTGGCAAACTAGCATAAACACTTCAAGTTTTATGGCTTGTTTAGCTTCATCTTACCTATTTAAAGCTGAATGTTGCGTATTTCAACTTGATATTTGATGGATACTCCAAATGAAATGCGTCACCGATCTTGAAAACAATATTTAATATATTAGTGAGCCCTCCTCGATCTCATGTCTTAGCCGAGGTGGTTCTTTCAGAAGCAGAATATTACTCACATTCTGAAAGCCACCTAAGAAATATAAAACTATACAGTGCAGAAGCACCCGTGAAATTTTCCTTAAAATGACTTTAGTACAAGTTTGTTTCCTTTTTTTCAAAATGTGGTTATGATGGCAACGGAAACACTCATTTTCTACTGATACACCCGATTTTCTACTAAGGGTCCGTTCTGACACAGAAAACATAATGTTTACCAATTAAATCAATATTGTGAGCAATACGGTTCAGCCTCGCTCGACAAAAACGAGATAGCAGTGTATATTGTAGAAACGTCCGCGATCAAGATAGATGTAACAGGACTTTATACAATGGAATTAAATGGGTAGCTTCATCCTTAGGATGGATAGGGGGGAAACCCCAAAGATGGAACAAATTGTCGTTGAATCATCAAAACTGATCCTTAAACATAACAAATTTTGAAATGAATGGAAATGCAGTATTAACCCTTTAACCTCTGAGAGTGGCTAACATCTAATTTCTCCTCAAAAAATCCCACCTGAATCAAACGTTAAGGTTACAAGAATAAAGGAAATGATCACCAACTTAAAAAGCACGAATTTGTTAAACAAATTCTCCTTTTCAGTACCCTAGGAAATGTACAAAGAACAGTATGGAGAATATTCATGCTGATGTCAGGGTTTAAAAGGTTAAGTGTAAGAAGGAATTGAAATATATAGGGTCTATTTTAAAATACGCGTTTTCTGTGCATAGCCAAGTTTGATCGTGTGACGCTCTACGGTTTGGCTGCTGGATATAATGAGACTCCTGCGAACAAAAGAGCTATTTTTCGATGATATCGTAGCATCCACTTGAGATCGTACAATCCTTACTTTGAGCCCACCGATTATTCAAATATCACTACCGTTTGCATCGGTTTCTGGTTCAGTTATGAGCGTTTTTTGTTGTTATTTAACATGTGTTGTAACGAATCGTCATAATTCTAGACATTCTTCAGTCATCACTTTAGTGACACCTTGTTCCACCATCGGAGGTTTCTTTCAACAAGATTCCATGTTTCAAAACTTTCATTCCTCCCCTGTCAGGCGCAGCTGATTAAACCACACAACTATGAAACTCCTCTGAGGTTTTCATCAAAATGACTCGAGAACCATCAGTTTGTTTTATTTTTGGTAAACTGCTCATCGAGACAAAAGCTGTTTAAATTGGATGTGTCAGTCATCTCTAATGATGAATACTTGATATAGTCTCAATATTGATGTGAATTTCATTTATTGTTTCTTTAGCGAATGTATGATACTTGTAAACTAGTTAGTGAGATGGGGCAGTCCTTGACCTTTCCGTTTTTCTTCACTTCACCTGTATTGCCAGTTCATTGACATTGTTGATGGATCCTGTATCATAAATTGGGAAACTTCTTTTTATGGACGTCTTAAAAATAGACGTTGCATGTTGAAACTCCCCCAAAGACCAGTTCAATTCATACCAGCCTTACACGGCTACTAAACAACTCAGTAAGGGATAAGTTTCCACTGTCATACTCTCCCACCATTACGTCGGTGGGAGAGTATAACAGAATAATTTGGTATCATCAACTGAGTTGATAACGTAAATTGGCCACTGTTAAGAGTTTCGAAACTGACGTTTCGAGCGTCAGCCTTTTGTCAGAGCGAATGAATTAATAAAAGATTACTGAACAATTACCAAACAAATTACTAGACAACTCGGTTGAACAATTTTCTTCTGCTTCCCGATTGAGAGTGTCCTCCTGCTAATGGGGACTTCACGAAATTGGATTAGCGCCACAGACGTTGATTTGAGTTCAGTGAGAACAATCAGAGAAATAGGAGAATGCAAATGCAGTCATAAGAATATCGCAACGAGAGATGTTTAAATTTTTTGAACTGATATGTCTAGAATGTATATGATACAGAAAACTCGAGGAAAGAGGCAGAAAATTTAACAACTGAATTTTGAAATAACTTCTGTCTACTCCTTATTCTATATTATACTATAGGTAGAACCTTCAAGGGTAATTAAAAAAGTTCGATTCAGTCATCAGAAATGAGAACAAAGAACCATATGTGAGAAAAATATGGTATTCACCGTGCATCTATTCACGAAAGGTTCGTTTTCATCAAATTTACCCACAATACGAAGAAATCGGGTTAAAATGGAACTTCTATAGTTTGCCGCTGTAAAACAGCTCAATATTGAGGACTACAGTGCTGTCAGCCAGTATGATTTACCATGAACCATATAGCCTGCGTTGCTGGCGGTCTGCGATTTTGGGGGCAGTTTTCATTTTTCTCTCCGCCCCCAAAATCGCAGATCGCCAGCAACGCAGGATATGAACTATATACACATAGTTTCCGATGCATAAAGGGTAAAACTGTACAGAAATTTACTGAAACGAAGCAAAAATGGGTTCAAGTTTGAGGAAGGATCAAGTTACCCAGGCTGCGAGTTACCGAGGATAAAATTATAGAAAATGTTTGACGAAAATCCCTGGAGTTCAATTTTGGCTTTAGTTAACGCAAGGTTTGAGACAGAAAGTGTTCGAGTTGTCAAGAATTGATTTTAAAGGTTAAATACACAACTTAGTGGTTGTTAAACGACCCAAGGCGGTATAAAAGCCAATGAGCTCATCTTTTTTCCCGGTTTTCGTCATTATCGATATTGGCTGGCCACCTTTTTTCATAAAAAATCAAATATTCCAAACTCCATGTTAAGCTTTACGAGGAGACTACAAATGATTTCAAAACATGTCGCAAATGATTTTATTATAAAATCAATAAATTCTCATTGGGTAAAGGCTGCGGATTATAACTTCATCTTCTTTCAATTGGGAAATTTCAATCGAGCACTAATACATTACAAAAGAGTACAAAAGCATAAAAATATTCTTGCAGAACTCTGATAAACCATACAGAGTGAATACATAATGTTGTTTACCCATACGCATTGCACCGAACAAAATTAGGGACAATTTGGTTTCCATGGCAGCATTTGAAGCCAGATCGGATGTAAAAGTCACGGCCACATCTACGACAGGTTGATCGCAGGGGAGCCACGACGTATCCTCGGCAACACCGTTGAAACGAAGGATTGAAAACGTTGCTTCCACAAAATCGATGTTGATAGGGATTTGGACACATCAGGAATTTGGGATAAATTTGTCCACTGCAGCATTTTTGCTTTCGTGGATTGAAATTGCGGCCGCCACACTTAAACGGTATACAGGGTGAACGTAGAGATAGCACTTGGCCGTTACAGCATTGCTGGTATTGCGAATCGTAGAAGGTGTGTCCACAAGGAGTCCAAGACGAACAAGGGGAATGTAGAGACACTACTCGTTTAAAACAACACTTGTATCTGTGTGGATTAAAAGGGACACTACCACATCTGGTCTTTACAGGAAATGGAACACAAGTCTGTCCCTTAGGGATCACTTTACCATTGCAGCATTGATGGGAGAAAGTCATGTACCTCGTTCGTCCACAGCGCTTTCGTGTACAACTCTCTCGTCTGGGAATAACTTGCCGACGGCAACATTTCTCATATCTACGATTAAATAAATTGCGACCGCATTTGCCCATGCGTCGACCACACTGGCCTTTAAGCACAATAACCCCGCGGCAACAGATTTTTACCAACGGCTTATCGATTAACATTCCGGCACAACATAACGGGCTGTTGCGCATGCGATAAGGACAGACACGATTGGTAATATAAGGTCTTGGGCGAAATCTTTGTCTCTTCTCTATATTAAAGCCATTATTTTGATCTATGGATGAAAATGATAACACCAAATTAATTCGACTGATAATATTCAGTTGTTTCATCTGCAAACAGAAACTTTTTTTTCAGCACTAATAAAGTCTTGTTTGTTCTTGTTTTGTTTAGCTGTGATTTGTGAGTGCTTTATAACAAATCCAATGTGCTAGAAACTGCCAAGCAATGTCAGGTCTAAAGATTTAACAGCTTTTTCCTCTTTCTTCATTAAAGAATCCAAGATTTGTAGTTGATCTATCTATTGAAATGATGTATGCTCTCTACTTGTCAGACTCTGTTTTAAGTTAACTAAATCTCACCCCTCTGAAAATTTTTTCTTGTTAAACTAGCCTGCTAGCACTTTTAGATTTTGACAATCATGCAAGGTTTCAAGCCGATATTACAATGATCAGCAATCATTAATACTCGTCTTTTCAGAGATTATAGTAAGTTTACACGTGCACCTGGACCACTTAACCCTTTCACTCCCCGCAGGTTAAAAATATTAAATCTCAAAATCTCTGTCTCTCATAAATTTTTCTTGATTTCAGTTGCCTCGGGAATTTGGTGCTAAATTAAACAATATCCTTTAATCTATATTTTTCTTTCTTCTCGTTACCTTTCTACTTGAAAATGTATTAATTAAGTAAGGAGAAATTATTCTTAAGTCACTACACGAATCACCAGGACTGCTTAACCTCTCCACTCCCCGCAAGATCAAAATATCAAATCTCTGAATCTCTGTCTCATAAGTTTCTCTTGATTTCCGTTGCCTCGGGAATTTGGTGCTGAATCAAACAATAATCTTTAATTTATATATTTTTTTTCTTCTCATCACTTTTCTGCTCGAAAATGTATTCATGAAGTAAGAAGAAATTCCTCTTTAGTCCCTTGGGAATCAACTGGTTAAGGAAAGCAAGTCCTAAATTCCTCACCTTGTAACAATTCCAATGAGTTAGAATCCTCTGAATTTGTGGTAGTACTCATCTGCTCTAACTCACTTTCGAGGGAAACGCTTTCTTCATTAGCGCGAACAACTGTCAGCGAGGATAAAACAATAAGGGGCACCAACGACAACAGATCAAAACGTGCCATCATTTTCCTCTGCTGCCTTGCGCTGTGATTTGTTTCATTTCTTGAGATATGCTCCCGCTTTTATACGGTTTTAGGCTCTGCCGGTGGTTTTACATAATATTTAGGCGCGCGGAAAGCAAAAGGCAGAACTATGCACTTGAAGGTAATTTTAGTTCGAGTGTTGATGTAAGACTCCTTTAAGTCAATTTTGATTAATCGTTTCCACAATATTTCAAGTGGTTGCGTCATCTAAGCAATATCGGATAAATCTTCCTCTTACTAAACCTCTGAGTCTTCAGTGTACATGGATAGATGTCATTAATGGTGTGATGCAAACATTTCAGCTGGTTAATCCAGTGAGAGCAATTTAAATTGATCTCAAACAGTGAAGTTAATAGGAATTAAGTACAAAAGTTTATATTATATGTTTATTAGTAACAAGAAATCAATTGATATGAGTGCAATTTGGAACACATCACAAATTGCATCTGCACCTGGGGAATTGAAAAAATTTGTTTTGTCTTTGAAAAATTTACTCAACCTTGTTATTCCAAGTTTAGGGACCTCACGCAAAAGACTGCTACGAGAGCGTGTTGAAAGAAAAGCCTTATATGGACAGAACAATAGGTCTGTGTTTGAAAGCCTTGTAGAGTTCTCAGTTTCCCTTTGCTAAACAGCAAAGTAAAATCCCCAAATGTTGCATAGTCTAAGATCGAGAGGCCTAAGAGTAAATTAGTCACATTCCTACTTGGACCTCCACGACGCCTTTCAAGTGGAGGTCTGACGCTATTTAAGATGGTAAAGACATCGGTTCTCTCGCAAAATAAAACTAAGTTCATCATTTTAATAAAAGTTTTTGTCGGCGACGCAGTCGTGGCTGTGTAATGCCATTATTATAATTACCTAGACAAAACAAATATTTTCCTTTTTCTAACTGCAAAACCAAAAAAAAACAAAAATAAATTGACAATATATTTATTTCTAAAATAGAAAAAATATTTAATATAAGCAAGGTCTTGACGTAAATTATATCGAGTGAGTTATGTTACATGTATATAGACTATGTTTTTTTAATTGTTCCATCAGTTGTATATTTGTCCAAGGTTAGGAGCCAATCACAACTATTCTTTCCATTTGTTTGCATCTTAATTAACATGGATTATATTGAAGTACTACTTTATTTCACAATTTTTTTTCTTTTAGAATATGATCAGTATCTTATATTATTCTTCACCGTTTAGGTTGAGCAATTCCCACTTTAGTTCGGTTGTGTGTGCAAGGCTGTCGAGGAGCGCGCTAAAATAAGCTTCGCATGTGAGATGCCGTCAGGAAAACCAAAGCATTCATAACTATAGTGTGCATTTCGATCAAACGTCGTAAAAGCGTAATAAAAGTTATTGCAGCAAAAGGTTACAACATGAGCCAATAAGAAATAAAAATTTTGGAATTTCCCTAAGTTTTTGAAATTTCAACGAACGTGGTCTGGTTGTTTAACCAATCACGTTAAGAGACCTTGACCATGACGTCGAAGTGGACACATTCATCAACACTCGTCTGCTGAGTTGAGTTGAGTTTTGAGTTTTTTTTTCCCCTCAAATTTCTAGTGTTTTTTTTTAGTAGAGGAATATTCGAAGGCTTTCCTTACAACCACATGTATCTACTTTGATGTATTAATAATACTTTTATTTACGGAAACTGGACTTTACTCTCTAGACAAATACACAAATACAAGAACGTAAATACTTAACCCAAAAGTTTTCTTGATTTTCTATCTTATTGGAACAGGTGAGAATAAGGTGGTTAGTTTGAAAAAAGAAAGACATTTGTTGCGGTCAGTTTCCTTTTCCAGATCCAATATGCTGGCTGTAATATTCAGCGTTTTACGTTCCCTGAAAAGCGGAAGTGGAAAGCAACTGGCTTTCAGCATGGCGATATTTTGGTTTCGGGTGTTTCAGAAGATTGAAATAATTGCGATATTGCGATACACAATATCGTTCTCCTGACCCTGCCGTGTACCAAGAAAATCGATCGGATCATGTACTTGGCGGATTTTAAGCATAATCTTTGTTCCATGACAAAAATTTTATTTTCGGCAGGGAAAAATTTCGGCTGAATAAAACGTCTTTACATGACAAATAGAAAAAACTGCATGCAAATAAAGTAAGTATTTGTACTCAACATTTTCGGAACCACTCGAAATATCTACCAATCATCGACAATGCAAGTCTTCTCCGTATTACTCGACGAGTTATATATTTTGAGAAAATATCAGATTTCTTCCCACGTTCGAGTTCCTCTGCTGGAGGAGGTTAAACAAGAAGAAGAGGAAGAAGAATAGAAAAAAAACTTTCCATAAGAATCCGAAATCGTGGCGGGATCGGATCGCGGCAGGATTGCTTTGGGACATCGGCGGATGTCTCCTCTAAAGTTCACTTTACTTAGGTAATCCACTGGAATAATTTTTTTTAATTGAGAGTCCAAAGTTATACGGAAATACATTAGTTTTGCTACTGAACTATAGGATCCGTCCCTAGAAAGCTCGCACCACCCTCTCTGAGACTCTAAAATTAATAAAACATCAAAAGAAATACAAAAATCAATCTCAATTTGGTCACTCGCGTTTTCCAACTCCGGGTCTGGTTTACTTATTTGCTGTGTTGAGTCCTCGAAGACTGATACATAACAGCAGAATAAACAAAAAATTCGGAGAAGAAGGGGCGAACCTAGGGTACCGCCCCTAAGAGAGCTCTTCGTATAATATATATGATTATCAATTCAGTAAGGAAGATGAAGGGTACTACATGTTTACACCTTAAGACACCTCTAAGAAAAAGGGGTATCGAACGTGCGAAATTAAATTTAAGAGCTATTCTTCTGATCGGGAATTCGACATGGATTTAGCCTAAAAAACGAGAATATTAAAGAGGTTAAAGTATAGGGAGGGTTATTTCCAGGAAATTCCGGTACGGGATCAATTTTTATAAGGTAACATCATTTTCTTAATAATTAAACATCTTTTCGCATCTTTTTCTCCATGTCAAATTCATGATCACAATAAGGAAAAGGTGACGAAAACTCTAGCTGTAAGATAAGACCCCCAAAAGGAATAAGAAATGATCAACTGGCTTATTATAATGTTTACTGAGTGGCTTATGCTAATATATTTTTTCCATACATTTTCCAACACCAGTATAGGAAACCCTTACAATGTTTTTAGGTTAAATACATTTCTATTTTGTATCGTCTAACACAGCATTTTTGGTTTTTTATCATATACAAATAATAGCTTTCATAGCACACCTGTACTGTCTGGTTGAATGGCGTCAAATCACACGTAGGTTGGACATCTTGACAGTCTACGCCTTGGGAACCATAGCAGCACCTTTCGCGGTTGACATCAAACCAGAAACGACCACACCCGTAATGCGGGTGGCAGAAAGATGGCATGACATGTTTAATTACGATGAGTCCAGCACAGCATGTCTGTAGTATCTTGTCGTCTATGAATTTTCCTGAGCAACAGCGGGTTCTAAGGTATTCATGATTTATGTGCTCGCAAGGAGGCCTTGTTTTGAAAAACCGGTAGTGTGTGGACCACCTCCGGCTCGTCCGAGACCTGAAGTGAGATCTTTTCACTCCAGTAACTTTTTCTGCAATAAATAAAGCGAAATATTTCTACTTGTTCTATATTGCTAGAGAAGTGATCAGATGGTTAGAACATAGCGCAATCTCACTAGTTTCGGAAGAAATCAAGGATTGGTTTGGTTTTTTTTTCTTGTGCCCTGTAATTGGCGCCACTGTCTCATTGTTTCCTCGAGATATTTTCTTTTGCTCTTCTTACTGGACTTTGCTCTGAAAAACGCTCTGTATTGGATTTCAGAAAAAGTGGTCCTCCTCATAGAACGAGCTCACTCCTCTGGCCGGGGCTCTCATGCCCCAGGGAAGGGATTTTACCTAATTCTCTTTTAAGATTTTGTCGCCCTGAGGTTGTATTCGACGTTAAATAGTTTCAACAGGTTGTTATTTCGTGTCACAATAAACATGGTAGGATTTCTTTTTTATTTTTACAAAATAAAACGTCTTCACAGGACAAATAAAAAAATCTGCATACAAATCGAATAAGTATTTGTACTCATCGTTTTCGGAATCATTCGAAATATCTACCAATAGTCAACAATGTAAGTCTGTAAGTTATATATATTTTGAGAAATATCACATTTCTTTCCACGTTCAAGTTCCTCTGCTCGAACAGAACAATCGCAAAAATAAGTCACCGGCAGATATTTCAATCTTGAACTTCTTGCCGCAGAAAAGGAAGTAGTTAAAGAAGAAGAAGAAGAAAAGTAGAAGAAAGAAACTTTTCATAAGAATTCGAAATCGGGGTGGGATCGGATCGCCGCAGGATTGCCGGTTGGGACAATGGCGGCTGTCTCCTCTAAAGTTCACTTTACTTAGGTAACCCACTGGAATAATTTTTTTAATTGTAAGTCCAAAGTGATACCGGAATACATGAGTTTTGCTACTGAACTATAGGATCCGTCCTTAGAAAGCTCACACCACCCTCTCTGAGACTCTAAAATTAATAAAACATCAAAAGAAATACAAAAATCAATCTCAATTTGGTCACTCGCGTTTTCAAACTCCGGGTCTGGTTTACTTATTTGCTGTGTTGAGTTTAGATTTGTCCCTAGATCCATGATGATATTTCTCGTTGAGGTAATTTTTGTTCTGATTCTAGGATACTCGCTCACTGGTGCTTTATCTATTGTAAAGTCGACAGGTCCTCCCTCTGGAGATCACACGGCCGTAACAGCATTTCTGGTTTTTTATCACATACAAATATCGGCCTCTACAGCACGCCTGAACTGTCTGGTTGAATGGTGTCAAACCACACGTTGGTTGGACATCTTGACAGTCTACGCCTTTGGAACCATAGCAGCACTTTTGGCGGTTGCTATCAAACCAGAAACGACCACACCCATAATGCGTGTGACAGAAAGATGGCACCATATTTTTATATACGATGCGTCCAGCACAGCATGTCTGTAATAAAATGTTGTCCATGAATTTTCCTGAGCAACAACGGGTTCTAAAGTGTTCATGATCTTCGTGCTCGCAATGAGGCCTTGTTTTGAAATACCGGTTGTTTGTGGACCTCCTCCGGCTCGTCCAAGACCAGAAGTGAGATCTTTTCACTCTAGTAACTTTTTCTGCAATAATTAAAGCAAAATGATATTACTTGTTCTACTTTGTTAGTGAAGTGATCAAATGGTTAGAGCATAGCGCAATCTCAATAGATTCGGAAGAAATCAAGGATTGGCTTGGTTTTGCTACAATATGCTCTTTAATTGGCGCCACAGTCTCATTGTTTCCTCGCGATATTTTCTTTTGCTCTTCTTGCCGGACTTTGCTCTGAAAAACGCTCTGTATTGGATTGCAGAACAAGAGGTCTTCCTCGTAGAACGAGTTCACTCTTCTGGCCGCGGCTCTCATGCCCCGGGGCACGGATTCTACCCAAATTCTCTTTTAAGATTTTGTCGACCTAAGGTTATATTCGACGTTAAATAGTTTCAACAAGTTGCTATTCAGTGTCACAATAAACATGGCAGGATTTCTTTTTTGATTTTAAGGTCGATTAACTCTAAAATATGTGAACAATCCACTTATTAACTATGTTGAGTGAAGTCAAAGTTAAGGACTTAACGGCGCCGCAGCTAATATTTCGATTTATGTTTTACAAAAAGGCAGACAAAAAATATTTTAAAAGAAGCAAAGTTACTCCGTTAAATCTTGAAAACATATGCCAATTAGGGCAGGCGAAGATAAGTATTCCGTGTATACTTTACATGTGTATCGGCAAGTTGAGATATAAATTGTTTGTGTACCGCTGAGAAAAAGTCGAAAATTTGTAACCGTTTACCTTTAGTGTCTTCCGCTGAAATATCATCAAAAAGCTCGTCTTCTTCTGTCCCTGGCTCTGCATGTCTTTTTACCAAGTTTTCCTGAGGCGAATTGTTCTCACCGTCCGCTTTTAAATTTGACACAAGGATAGAAAAAATAGCGAGGAACACTAAAATGCCGTAACGTAAGCGAGTCATGTTTACCGCTAATCACAGACTGTGGCTTACAAACCTCTCAACTTTATATTGACTTAGCGTAACCAAGTTTTCGGTCATCGAACTCATCCGAATGCAACCGGGACTTAATGAAATCAAGAAGTGTTATGATTTGTTGTAAACTAATTTACATCGAAATCGAACGACTTCTTACATGTGAGTCTGATAACAGAACAACACGGATTCATTTGAGAAAAATCCAACTCTGTTTATTGGAGAGTGCTTGACTGAGTTTGTTTTCGAAGTCAGGTGGCGTCAAAATATGTATGAAGCCGATCTTTTGTAAGAACTAATCAGGAATAGAAAGAGCTAGAACCAAAATTTATAGCTCAAGTCGGAACAAAAGTCAATCCCATAATTCAATAAATTGTTTGATCTCAGTATGGTTAATCGTGTGTTGATTCAGTCTTCCTTCTGTTTCAACGCAATTTACTGGTGCGATGCGAGTCTACTTGTGTCTCGAAAATTATCAGCAAAATCATGATTTCATTTACGCAAAAGAAACCTTGGATGACCGCTGATACTGGCTTAAAGGATTGCACGTGATCACAGAAAATGAGCGGGAAAACGCAAAGCTGATTGCCGCACAACTTTGATGGTTTCTTTGTTTGTGAGACTTGTTAAACGGACTCGATGCGAATCGAGGGGTATTTGGGAAAAGCAAGCAGCCTAATATCGTGGAAATTACCTTGGTGAGTTATTTCTTAATGATAAGCAATACTCTAAAGAGCATACACTTTCTTTTTTTTCCGAGAAAAACAAGAAGCAAACTGTGCGGCTGAAAGCCATAAACAAAATGGCGGTCGCCGTCGGCATAGCAATCTATCAAATGATTCAAGCTTTTTTTAGAGGGGACTGACGACACAACAAGGCCATGACAAACGAAAGAAAGGAGGATGAAAATAGCTTTCAACTTTTGAAGTAGTCACTAAGTAAAAAAATTCCGGCAGCTGTGGTAATGTTTAAAGACCATACAACAATGAATCAAAAATACAATTTTCACACTACGCCACACACAGACCAAATGTAAAATGAACCTTGGAAATCAGAAGACTTCTTTGTGCTGGTTTTTTTTTTTTTTTTTTTTTTTTTAGCTTAGAACTAGTTAACTTGAATGAGCCTGTTAATCACGATTGTAATTCTAAACACGGGTTTGTTCGTATATAGCCGATGATTTATGTGACTGTAAGTAAATTGATATAACTATCATTGCAGAAGTACTAATAAGAATTCAAACGCAGAGAGCATCATAGACAATTTTGTAGGAGCATACCTACACTCCCCGCCACATTCGCTGTGACATTTACTGCTTCTCCCTTACCCTCTCAGTGTGGGTAATCACGTTTACATCAACACCTTGGCAATTAACAACATTGGAAGGGGAAGAGGGGTAAAAGAAGATAGTACTACCAACTAATTATGTTTTGGAGTGTATAATTTTTTTCCAAGAGGGGGTCACACTGTGACATATTCAGAGTACCTACTTAGTTGTTAACATCCATGCTGTTTTTCACTTAAAGTGACAATTTATGTGTTGTATGTTGCTGACTTTAAAAAGTTAATCTTAAGAAGAGGAAGTCATGGACACCTCAGTAGCTTCCTTCTCCCTCTCCCAAGCTAGCCCTCAAATATGTGTTCAATAATGATTGGGTCTTGTTGTAATTTTTTGCACCAAATCATTACATGAATTGCTGTGATGTAAGGAAGACAACCTCATCATTACATGACTATCAAATATGGTTTCTGTCGGTAAACATTTCTATATAAAAGGAACCTAAGCCTTGCTAACTATCAGATTTTATTTCTTCTCCATGAAAACCATTATTAATTTGTTATTAGAAATTAACAGGCAGTGACTGTGAAGGTGGAAATTTTCAGGTATCTATTTTTTTCATGTAAACCTTTACGAAAACTAACCAAATTATGTCGTCCACCTGTTTTCCTCCCTCTGTCCTTCTGTTCTATCTCAGAAGATAAAACAGAAGTCATAAAACTCCACGCAAATAATTTGTGAGGTCTGGTCTTGTGATTAATTGACCATGACAAAACACATTGTGTAAAAACTGATTTTTCCACTTTTTATATCATGTTTCAGTTCAAAGGCCCTCCTTGTTAACCTTGAAAAAGTTACGAGGGAGTCGATCCACATCGACATCTTGAATGACAAAGTATTCTCACGATAATTTTCGGTTGTGCAATTCCTTTGAATAATTAGTAGAAAAGCGCTATCTTTTCTGTAATTCCTTATACATCCGGCCGAGCACTGTCAGTAAAGAAAAACCAGTACCATATAACCTCTATACACAGTTTCCCAGCTCAATTACCTGATGTAAAACATCTTTGATGCAATTTTAGAGACTATACGGTAACCAATGTCTCATCGGTTTTAATGACTTCTCATTATGCGAGATTTTTCGAAACGAAAGCTGAGTGTAGGATAAAACTCTCAGTCATAACTCAATAGTCATAGAGGGGAATGACGATCGATTGTCGAAAAAGGCGTCTTATTGACGGACCTGTTTGACGTCAGTTTCATTTCCCATACGCATGGATATGTTTTCTACTCTTCTGGGGACTGAGAGCGTTTTTTTACGGCTCTCTGTCGAGGTAATTTTTTTGTTAGCGGTAAAAGTAATTTGTTGGTAACATCTTCAACTGCAGAGTAAAAAAGTGAATTTTATTTTTCTTTTCTTATAAGTTTTACAATGTTAAATTACCATCAGCACATCTGAGAAGACACATCTGACTAGTTTAAGCTTGACGTTACTTCTAAAGAACCTTGCAGGAAAATATCCTTTAGGTTAGTAATGTGCTAGCTAACTAGCAAACAGCATACAGTGATATTACTTTACCATAGCAACACTTGTGTGTCAAGGGATTGTAAGTCACGCGGTCGCATCTTGCCGTACAGCTGAAGCTTTTGGACACTACTCTGTTATGGCAGCACTTCTGGGTCCATGGATTATAACTCACCACTCCACATTTCGCCGGGCAACTGAAACTTGTGGACACTACTTTACCGTAGCAGCACTTCTGAGTCCATCGATTATAGCTGACGAGGCCACATTTGGCTGGGCAAGTGAGGCTCTTGAGAACAACTCTGTTGTAGCAACACTTGTGGGTCCATGGATTATAGCTTGCCACCCCACATTTAGCCGGGCAACTGAAACTTTTGGACGCTACTCTACCATAGCAGCACTTCTGGGTCCATGGATTGTAGCTTGTAAGGCCACATTTGGCTGGGCAGGTGAAGCTCTTGGGAACCACTCTGTTGTAGCAACACTTGTGGGTCCATGGATTATAGCTTGCCACCCCACATTTAGCCGGGCAACTGAAACTTATGGACACTACTCTACCATAGCAGCACTTCTGGGTCCATGGATTGTAGCTTGTAAGGCCACATTTAGGTGGGCAGGTGAACCTCTTGAGAACCACTCTGTTGTAGCAACACTTGTGTGTCCACGGATTGTAGCTTGCCACCCCACATCTAGCCGGGCAGCGGAAACTTGTGGACACTACCTTACCATAGCAGCACTTCTGGCTCCATGGGTTGTAGCTCACGAGGCCACATTTGGCTGGGCAGGTGAAGCTCTTGAGAACCACTCTGTTGTAGCAGCACTTGTGCGTCCATGGATTATAGCTCGCCAGCCCGCATTTGGGTGGGCAGGTGAAGCTCTTGAGAACCACTCTGTTGTAGCAGCACTTGTGAGTCCACGGATTGTAGCTTGCGAGGCCACAATTCGCTGGGCAAATATAACTCTTAGTAACCACTCTGTTGTAGCAGCACTTGTGAGTCCACGGATTGTAGCTTGCAAGGCCACATTTTGCTGGGCAAATGTAACTCTTGGTAACCACTCTGTTGTAGCAGCACTTGTGGGTCCACGGGTTGTAGCTGGCAAGACCACATTTCGCTGGGCAAACATAACTCTTGGTAACCACTCTGTTGTAGCAGCACTTGTGAGTCCACGGATTGTAGCTTGCAAGGCCACATTTCGCTGGGCATGTATAACTCTTGGTAACCACTCTGTTGTAGCAGCACTTGTGAGTCCAGGGATTGTAGCTTGCAAGGCCACATTTCGCTGGGCAAATAAAACTCCTGAGAACCACTCTGTTATAGCAGCACTTGTGGGTCCACGGATTGTAGCTTGCAAGGCCACATTTCGCTGGGCAAACATAACTCTTGGTAACCACTCTGTTGTAGCAGCACTTGTGAGTCCACGGATTGTAGCTTGTAAGGCCACATTTCGCTGGGCATGTATAACTCTTGGTAACCACTCTGTTGTAGCAGCACTTGTGAGTCCACGGATTGTAGCTTGCAAGGCCACATTTCGCTGGGCAAATAAAACTCCTGAGAACCACTCTGTTATAGCAGCACTTGTGGGTCCACGGATTGTAGCTTGCAAGGCCACACTTCGCTGGGCAAACATAACTCTTGGTAACCACTCTGTTGTAGCAGCACTTGTGAGTCCACGGATTGTAGCTTGCAAGGCCACATTTCGCTGGGCACGTATAACTCTTGGTAACCACTCTGTTGTAGCAGCACTTGTGAGTCCAGGGATTGTAGCTTGCAAGGCCACATTTCGCTGGGCAAATAAAACTCCTGAGAACCACTCTGTTATAACAGCACTTGTGGGTCCACGGATTGTAGCTTGCAAGGCCACACTTCGCCGGGCAAACATAACTCTTGGTAACCACTCTGTTATAGCAGCACTTGTGAGTCCACGGATTGTAGCTTGCAAGGCCACATTTCGCTGGGCATGTATAACTCTTGGTAACCACTCTGTTGTAGCAGCACTTGTGAGTCCACGGATTGTAGCTTGCAAGGCCACATTTCGCTGGGCAAATAAAACTCCTGAGAACCACTCTGTTATAACAGCACTTGTGAGTCCACGGATTGTAGCTTGCAAGGCCACATTTCGCTGGGCACGTATAACTCTTGGTAACCACTCTGTTGTAGCAGCACTTGTGAGTCCAGGGATTGTAGCTTGCAAGGCCACATTTCGCTGGGCAAACATAACTCCTGAGAACCACTCTGTTATAGCAGCACTTGTGGGTCCACGGATTGTAGCTTGCAAGGCCACACTTCGCCGGGCAAACATAACTCTTGGTAACCACTCTGTTGTAGCAGCACTTGTGGGTCCACGGATTGTAGCTTGCAAGGCCACATTTCGCTGGGCATGTATAACTCTTGGTAACCAATCTGTTATAGCAGCACTTATGGGTCCATGGATTGAATGCAGTTGAGCCGCATCTGCCTGGGCAGGTGAAACGTTTGGAGACCACTTTGCCGTAACAACACTTCTGGGTCCATGGATTGTAGCCTACGAGGCCACATTTGGCCGGGCAAAGGAAACTTTTGAGAACCACTTTGCCATAACAACATTTCTGGGTCCATGGGTTGTAGCTCAGCAGGCCACATCTGCCTGGGCAAGGGAAACACTTAAGAACCACTTTGCCGTAACAGCACTTATAGGTCAGTGGATTGTAGGTAGACAAACCACATCTAGCTCCGCAAATGGAGCTCTTTGGAACCAGTTTGCCATAGCAGCACTTGTGGGTCAGAGTGTATTTGTATGGGATGTTGCATGAAATGTCATCCTCAGGGACGGTTTGTAGTTTATCGACAGCCGGGTCATCTTGGCGAGAGTCTAAATAAAGAACAGATTTATATAGTTAGGCATTAGGTCTGAGAAAAAATAAATGTGATCACCGTTGGCAAGGTTTGTACGTGGTTTCCCTGAATATAGTTTCAGAAGTATTCTTTTTCGTTCTTTCGGAAAATCAAACGTGAGTGCGCTCGTAAATACATTTTATTCCTTGTAGTACAATATCTTTTTCAAGAACGATAGACGGAAGAAAGATTATTTTCTTTCTTACTAGAATTGTAGAACTCCATTGATGATTTTAATTGCTTGACAAAGGGATTACCTTAATTGAGTTATCGTTCATTTAGGCTTATACTTTAAATTTATTGTATGATTACAGTTTTACAAAATGACAGGGATTCCTATCATGACTAGAGGAGATTGTACATCGTCATGTGTGTTTGTTGTTATTGGCATATCACCCATGTGGCTGTTTCACTCTTCGAGGCGGCCTCTTAAACCTTTTTACCCCTATGAGTGACTAACATCTCATTTCTCCTTACCATATCACCTTTAAATCATCCATTTACGTCGCGAGAATATTGGAAATGATCACCAACTAAAGAAGCTCTTGATTGTTAAACAAATTCTCCTTGTTAGCACCTTACGAATTGTATAGAGAACAGTATGGAGAATATGCATGCCGATGTTAGGGTGTAAAGGGTTAAAACAGTCGCCTTCTGGTTTGTCACCTAGTTACCATCTGCACAATTTTTTTGCAGAAAATTTATTTGTTCAAGTTATTGCAATGTGTAGTTTTCTTTTAAAATTCAATTTAATTACTATTATTTTTTCTACGAACCATAGTCACTATCTTCAGCGTCCACGGGGGTGTTTAGCGCGAAAGCATTATTATCTAATGTTGAATCCTCCAGTTGATCTCCCTCTTCTTCATATTCTGGCAAAAGAGAAACGATAATTGCAGATTGGTAATATGATTGATAATGCCTTAAATAAGAACGAAAAAATAACAGTTTGTCGATGGAAAGATGAGAAAAAGGATTACTTATCGAAATTTCAAACGCTTTAGAAATAGCAAATAAGAAAGCAAAGACAAACTCCAGTAATCTAAGAATACGTATAAGTCAATGGAAAGGAAAGCTTAGTTCATTTTGTTGCATAGAGTGATGTTTATCGCGACTTTAGGCAGTTCTACGTCCCAGATATTCATCACGAGAGTCGTAAATCTCATGATATTGTGTTATTAAGGAAGAACATAATATATCGTCACACTGTTTTTGTATTTCAAGAAAATTGCTACTCACCCGAGTTGTTTTCTTCGACAGTGTCGAAAGTTTCTTCATGGGAAGAATCGTTTCCTTCTAAAAAGTCTTGTTGTTGTTGTTGTTCTTCTTCTTCTTCATCGTTTTCTATAATTGAGAAGGAAAATTGACTTGATAATCCTAGCAACCCAGATAGCAATTCATTGGTCGGTTGAGTGAATAACCAATTAACGGACTGACCAATTGATTTTTGGATTTATTGCCGCTGATTCAGTTATTTACTGACTGCCCAATTGATTCATAGAGACACTAATTTACTGATTTCAGCATTTCTATCCTTTTAATGATCCTGTAAAACATCATGATCGAAACTTGGCTACTTACCCGCGTCGTTCTGCTCAGCAGTGTCATAAGTGTCATATTCAGCAGCGGTATCTTTCAATGGGGAATCCTCCTGTTCTTGGCCTTCCGCCTCTTCGGGGTTTACTGTTTAAGAAAATGGGAAGTCATGACGTTTAGAACCTTTCGCCTTACTGTGTAGTGATTGTTTGGATCTTATTCAGTGGATTTATGACTGTTAGGGGAAGCCTGGCGGGGAATCGCCCATACTCGCTTTATTTTTTCTTTTTTTCCTCTCTTTTTTCACATTGGATAATCGTCTTGTCTCCATTTGAATTAATGCTGATTGGCTGACTGATGATTGACAGCTAAGAGATGAAGTGGTGACAATAAAACGGACTTTCGTTAACTTTCCATCCATTAACTTATATATTGAGCAAATGCATTAGGGTCGCTCAAAAATTAAATCAAGATTACTTACCTGAGTCATTCTCCTCAGTAGTGGTAGAAGTCTTTTCTTCGGAGTAATCGTTATCTGACAGGGAATTGGCTTGTTGATCTTCTGTTGCTGTTTCTTGATTACTTTGTTCTATAAAATAAAGTTTCGAAACTTTCGTATTACAATTAACCGATACATCGATTCACTTGCTACGGTATTCCTACCCTTTTAATGATCACATTAACTCTTGCAGGAAAGTTGACTACATACCCAAGTCGCTCTGCTCAGCAGTATCGTAAGCATCATATTCAGTGGCAGTGTCTTCTACTGGAGAATCCCCTTGATTTAGGCCTTCTGCTTCTTCCTCATTTTCTATGGAAGAGAATGTTGAACCACGACCTTTAGAAACTAGTGAGTAAGTGCATGATCAATGTTTCATTGAAAATAAAAACTATAGATATTTTTCTATGCACTTAGTTTAAAACAACGATTGTCCTTTAACTGGTTATGGTAACGCATCGAGGTGGGGAAACCAACTTGACTTAAAGTTGAATTTGACACGAATTTGTTTCGAGGAAGCCTTAGTAGGAGCTTACCTAAGTCGTTCTCGTCCATATTGTAGGAATTTACATCTTCAGAAGTATTATTTTCTACAAGGGATTCTTCTTGTTGCTCCTCATCCGATTTATCATTATTTTCTACGAAAAGAAAAAAAAATGTGCATATATATTAAGCCACCAGCGTATGCTAGAAAAAAAACCTTCATTGTCTCTCTGAAAGCTGAATTTTTATCTGTCTATTGACTTATTATGATATTGACTGACTTCGTGTCCCACACACTATGTAACCGGATGAATTGATTATTGTTAACGAAGAAATAAAAACTTCCTTTTTAACAATATATTAGGAACATCTCCTATTTCAAAAAGCCACATTTATTTTGGAATGTCCTTTAATGCTGGGTATGGTCCGAACTGAATACATTAATACTATTGCAATTGTATTTCAATCGAATGGGTTTTGCTTTTGCTGTTTGGGCATAAATGTTATGTATTGAATGACTGATGATCAACACGAAGAGGAAAAACCATTGATGAACGAAGACAGTCTTGTTATGATAAAATCAAATTACGTCTAATAAGATGGCACAACGACGAAACAGCCCTAATTCCTAAAAGAAAACCATGAACATGGAAGAAACCACCGCTTATAAAATCCACCGTTGCACTTGCCTTGAGTTATGAAAAAATTTCCACTTTTGCAGACGCTTACCTCCTTGCATTCTCTGGCTGATATTAATTCTGAGTGTAATTTGTTCTCTGTGAATTTTTTTGCTACCTCATTTTTCTAGTTTCATTTTATATAAGAAACATAACTTCACGAGAACGAACATAAGTGAAACCAAAGACTCCATAAGTAAACCGTGCCATAAGGTGAATTTTTCCTACCTCTGATCTCCCCTTGATAAGCAGTGTCTCCCAAAGCCTTGCCAAAATCTTGGGTATCATTTGCTTCCTCTTCAGGAGAAACACTGCTATCTTCCAAGGGGTCGGCTTCAATGATAGTGAAAACCACTAAAAAGACTGCAATCCACCGTAGATGGCGAGCCATCATTTCTACCTCTACTTACGCTTCTGCGGGGAGTATGCACCCTAACTCACGACAGTCATTCCTTTTATACCGTTCTAGCGTGGGAACAGCATGATTCTGTCTAGGGGGACGTTTTATGACCTACTTGATATTTACGTAAATTCATTCATCAAACCAAAAAGATAAAGAAACAAAGAAAATATTTAAAGGACTGGAACATTTCCGTTTAATTACAGACGCCTACATATAGCCAAGTACCTCCTAAGTTTAGCTCTCTCCGTGATTCAGCGTGACTGAGGCCTTGTGTAAAAATACGTAAGGAACAGTTTGATAAAAAGACCAATATCCAGTAGTCTTTTCTTGGAGTTCGACTGTAGTTCTTGTACGATGTATTGTGTCTGATCGTGCCTAACGGTAAAAGATTGTTCCTCTTTGGCACGTAAAAACATATTCGAAGTGAGAGCAAAACGGCATATGACATTAGGTTGCTGCAAGTTGCATGTTCATGTCAAAGCCAACCTTTCACCCTGAGACAAAAAAATTACAAAAACTTTTTCCCTTATTAATAGGCTACTCCGGCTCTTCATTTCGTCGGCGTCATTCTCTTTTAAGGAGGTAGATAACTTTGTTAACTATGTAGCAATCATTACCAAAATTAATAACTAAAATAGCTTTATTGTGTTATCCGCAGCAAGCTTCAGCGATGAAACTGGTAAACAAATACGTCACACATCTTTGACTCTCTTTAACTGACATCTTTTTTTTCCCCTCAGTGCACCATTTCGCCTTTCTCTAGAAAGAAACGGAAAAAATTAGAACGTTTTAATGTCGTCGTAGCAACAGCTTAGGATGTTTTTTTCATCTTGTTTTTCCGTTTTCTGGCATGGGAGACTCTCAATGTCTTTCTCTCCAAGAATAGTGTTAGTAAAGCTATGCGGATGTTAGAGAGGGTTGTTCAAGCGTGATTCACGCTTGTTACCTGCGAAAGAGAACGTTGGTAGCAATTTGTTCCATATTGGGACGTTGATAGGGAAACTTGTATATTGTTAAGTGGAAATAACGTGCGTTGACCACAATGGAATGATATCTGACTTCACAAGGAAAGGTACAAATATTTTACGCTGGAAATATCAGTAATACATTGTAGTGTTAACGATAAGAACTTTTCTAAGAGATACTTCAACTCGAGTATTTCTCTCGATGTTGGCCTGATTGAGGTGTTCAAGAAGAAGACAGTGTAAATAAAAATGCATTAACGTAATACTTAATATTTCAAATTCTAAGCAGTTTTAATTAGGAAAGCTTAAACTCTATTTGACAGAACCCGTGGAAGGGTCGGTTAAGAGGAGAGCAAATTATAGGAATTGTTTTTTTTCTTTAGTAAACGTAATTCGTTAACAGTAGTTTTGAGACGGATAGCAACAGGACGCTTTTCCAACTTCAAATTGCGGTAAAAATGTCTAAATGTTGTGAGTTACAATTGCAGCGAAACGTATTCCCCCGAACTGAGTCCGATGTGAGCTCCGTCTTTTTTTCTCACTGAACTTTTGGTAAAATTTGACAATTTTTGGCTTCCTTCCTTCATGATGTTCCGTAACTTGAACAAGAAATCGCAAAACATTAAAAATCGTTTATCAATACAATGCGACTCCGCCAAATTTTCAGCGGTAGGCGGAAGCTTAAAATGTACAATTGCGTGTTCCCCGACAGCTTCTTGCCCAGGCAAATACCAACTGTTAGGATTTGGAACAACAGTAGTTGAATAAACACGAGTCAGTTGGGTTGTGTTTGCATAAGTTTGTTATTACATTTAGCCGATGATTTTTTTTTGCCCCGCTAGTTCCCAAAATGTATTTCTTCAAGAAATCCTTAATCATAGTATGCTGTAATAAAAAGAAAAAAAAAATAAACTTGAGAAGGAACAGAATAGTAAGGGCCGACGGTCAGACAAAGACGTTTTTTTTTCTGGAAATGCAATTTTAACTTCTGTTTTTAAAAGCCTCCTAGCTATCGTCATTTCGTGACAAGCCAAAAGGTCTTTCATACCAAGTGTTATTGCGCACAGCCAAGTAAGAGTACATTTATCGCACAGATACCGACGACGGTACCACACCCACGTTGAGCGGTTTTACCACATGATAGCGTGTTCTTTCATTCGTGTCAAGACTTGAAGTGCATATTGCTCAGCGTAATCTGTTGAATAACTAATTAAACGTTTGAGCGCCTTCGGGATGCTAATGACGAGGTCTGAAGTGTTAAAAACTGCTGACTGGTGACATCGCGAAACAAAGGAATACCATGGCATATAATTTATGGTTCATTTTGCAATGTTTCGCTTTGTTGTACTGCATTTTGAAAAAGAAAACCAAAGATGAAATATCGCCAAAAAAAAAAGTGAATAAAGGATTTAAAATACTGACAAAGAGGAAATTATATTGGCTTTTCTGTAAACAACGATACATCCAAATGTTGAGCTTGGCTGTAAAAAATTAAAGAGCCAAGTCTACTGAACGGATGAGGGTTTTAATTTTATTCTGATATGTAAAATGATCATGAACCTATAAAACCCTTCTCTAGCAGGAAAGCTGGTTATTGAAAAAATTATCAAACCTGTGTTCTTCTGATGAACTTTCATCAAAAAATTGACAGTGATTTTATGTGATATTTTGCATTTAAAGAATGGGTTAAGGAAGAAAACCATGGTTGGATCGTTTCGCACAGTTTTGCTCCCGAGTTATGAACCGAACTGAAATCTTTATTTTAACCTGATGAAGTTTGTCGGCATAGCTAATGAGTCGTTATTTAAAATAACTACATTCGTTTATAACTATGCACAGCTGATTACGAATGCAGTGCCAATGAAAACTTGAAATATGGTATAACACACTCCTAAAGATATAAATAATGGCCTTGATTTACAGCTTCCAAATTTAAGACAAACTTTCTAACAATATTCATAAGCGTTGTCCCTCTTTTTGATAACGGCGACAGTAGAATCAAAACTTATTTTGCTTTCGTCTAATTTCTATAATATGCGCTTGATTTCTTGTGTATTTTTGGCTGCCAATACCTTCCTTTTCAGCTGAAGTGAAAGAAATGCGAAATATTGGGACCGAAGTCATTGAGACATTTGAAGAAGAGTGACGCCATCCCACTTGAACAATATCGGATTTTTTTGACACGCACAAGTGAAACCCCTACTCATTTTTTAAATCTATACTCAGTGAAGCTTTGCTTTGCTGTAGGTCGAGGCTTTTGTTTTTATGTACTTTTTTTTTTCTTTTCTAACTCTTCACAGGTTCCATTATGAAGCCGATTTTTTAGTTTTTCCATGTCTCCGAGGTAGCTTTAATCTAACAGCTTGTTTGAGTCTCATTTTTTTACTCACTGATTTTAAATTTGGAACTAACTGCCAAAGAAATTTTTTGAAATAAACTTTACTACTACGGCATGCTTTGATACAGCAAGCAATATAATATCGTGCTTAGCGATCATTTTTCCAGCGCTCTGCCCACATCGATAAACCAAGCAGAAAGAACCCAAGATGTCTGCCAAGGCGTGTTTTTAAAATCTCCTGCAACAAAAAACGCTGTTCCTAAGCTTACTGACGAAAACAGTGTTGGTTAACACCTGAGGTGGTGCTCAAATTCAAAGCGGTAGACCTCGTTATTTTGTAAATTTACCACATGCCAGTGGCGGCCAGAGACTTCGTCGTTAAGCCTTTCCGATTTTTTAAAAAATTTATTATAGGCAAAATGTCATTGTTTTCCTCTGAAACCGATAAGGTTATCTTTTTCCTCATCATGTGCCTGTGTTATGCGCTTGATACTTTGCACTGTATTTTTATGGCGATAGTTTCCGGTAAAATGTCGAGAATGGTGATGATGATCGGTTCTCTTCGAAGTTCCCGTTCTTAAGACGACTGGGACATTGGCTTTCGTTTTTCCGTTCCATTCCGCTAAAATCTTTTTGAAACTAAGTTTAACGAAGGGTTCATTCAAATGAAGCCCTACGAAACTATTAGATTTACCTACTGTTAAATGTTTTCCATAATTGATTCTTCGAACTTAGGAAGATTTTTCTCTTGAGAGGGTATTGTCTGTGAATTTATCATTCCTATTGCATATTTTTCCCCTTCAACGTGCTGATGTAGCCAGTGACTTCTAAACTGATCCAAGAATCGTGCAGTGAATAGGAAGTAAACCTTAAGAACCATGAAGTTGGTGAGTATTGGCTCTTTAAAAACATTGCATTTGTTTGAAGTCACACCAACCGAAAAGTGTCTAACACAAAGAAACTCTGTTTTTTTTTTCGAATGATGAATGATGGATGGATGCTCTTTTTAAGAAACCAGACAGGCAAAGCAGGAGCTGCAAGGAAAAAGGATTAATATCCAAACCGAACTGCTATCAGAAAGCGAATTTGACACAAGTTGATGCTCAGTTTAAGTCAGTTTTGGGCACCTTGCAAAGTTGACATTGTACTTCGAACACCTTCCATACATTGACACCAATATTTTTTATTGACACTAGAGCTATGACACTGGAGCTGTGAAGTGGAAAAAGCTTCAGGAAATGTGGGCGGCCCCTGAATTTATGAATGTGTGCGTGTTTCTCGCAGCCTCGCGCTTGCGGGTGAATCACTTTACTAGACTTAATATTTCTTTAAGAGTTTCAAGATTGGTACCTTGACCAGTTTTCAGGCGTACGCGATTTATGCTATTGCTTTAAAAAGACCGTCCTGAACAGGACTAGAAGGAAGAACGTATTATAGGAGGAAAGTTAATCACGTATTTTATAAAACGAAGTAAAAAATGTACTTTCAAAGGATATCTCACTCACGATCGTTCATCACACTGTCTGCTACGTTAGAAGTCCTTCTTCCTTTAATGTTTTCAAAATAAGTGGTTAGCTCGTTTAGCGTGTCCTTAATTTTGTTGCGTGCGAATTGCCATAAGCTTTTTTTAACAGTGAAAGTGAGAGCAGTTGTCTGAATGATAATTGCATTAGTTTGCAGTATTTGCTTATTCTTTTGCAGCTTTATATTGTTAGTTATTAATTTTTTTTTGTTCGAAAATTCGTCGCTATTCGCGTGGAATCAAATAAACAATAAAAAACTGGAAAGCTTTAACAATACGTCGGTACTCTTGTACGCCAACACAAAGATGCTACAAAAAGGCACAAGGTATCGATCTTTATGGCTCCTGAAGGCCTTCTATATCTCTAGATAATTTGGTTTTATTAACTGAGTTGATGATGGAAATTGTCCACCGTGAAGAGTTCCTAAAACTGTATATCAAAACTTATCTTCAGAAAACGTTTGAGACCTTATATTCTATTCTCACCAATAACAGCAATTTTGCGTAAATGTAATCTACTTGTCACTTGTTCCGCTTGCAGTGTAGCCATTGTGATTCAAAGTAATCATGTCGTAAATGAATGCACCTCCTAGGTTTTCTAGTTCATGTCATAAGTACTACTTCCACGAACTACTTTCGTGGGATACTTTGAACGAACGTACATTTCTGTAGAATCATTGACTCATGGGGGTAAATGTTGAGATAATGACCTTCTCATTCGAACCAAGCGAATTTTTTTTTTTATTGTAAAAGTACTCTACGTTTAACGTAATTACCCTAAGATAGAACTTCAACTTCACAAGAACTCTTGAAAGTCAAGTAAAAATAATTTAAATAATTCCTTTAGCAACAGATGCGGTCACCAAAACTAACCAGAAAACATCCTGATTCCTTTATCTACAGTTATTCTCTGTCAATCGCTTTATTTCAGGTTCTGTTATATAATGTAATAGTGCCCCGTTCTGAAAATATTCATTCGTTATTTTGTTAATTCCTTGCGATAACCTACGTACACGCAATGATTGTTGGAAAGGTTTGGTCGCGGTATGAATAAATGTACCAGCTCTCAGGCCTTGCAATTACACACACCTTTTAAGGAAATATCGTCATCTTAATTGACGGCATGTAATAGTTTGAAATAATGCCCTGATTTAGAACGATAGGAATTGTGAAAATTGTGTCTTTTCCTTACTTTATCAAAATGCCTACGTAACGTTTGTAAAACAAGTCTGGTCACAGTATTAATTAACGTGATTGCTTTCAAGCCTTTTAAATAACTTTTTCCGGTGGGAAATAATGTCGATTAGAATCCTCCGTTCCACACGAGCAGTTTTCATTTTGACCATGTTCGACAGCGCATTCGGTGTTTTGGGAGAGTTAGTGGCAACCCACTCCCTCAAAGGGCCTCACCTTGACATCATTGGGCTGATAATTCCTTATGGAAACGAGTATTGTACTCACTTACGTGACGAAAAATGTATATTCCGTAAAACTAATTTGGTATCCGACTCCTTGATACGCATGCATGTTAAGAGGGATATTACACAATTTTTCTAGGAGCGCGCGTTGGATCTGAGATAAGGCCTAGTTGGCGAAAATCATCTCATATCCAACAGGCACGGGTGGGAAAATTATGTTATCAAAAACACCCCAAAATGTATACAAAACTTCTCAACTTTATGTTTTTAAACCTACACGTAACACATTTGTAGGGCACGGTATAGTGGCTCATAGCCCATGATTGCTAAGCCAATGAAAAGTCTTGAGATCGATATTTTTAAAGCCGTGCATAAGTAGAACGTAGCATGCGATTAACACTGAACCTCTACACGAGAACACAAATGATTTTAGCTGCAGATTTATTGGACTTTTCTCTGCCTCCAAAGGTTTTGAAAAGATTATAACACTTTTAACAACATTCGCACTACCTTCTACCACTTCATTCCCAGGTTACATCTCTCGACTAATCAGGCAGCTATATTGTTCCCCTTACATCCTTTTCTTTCCATAGTTTCAGCCAATGAGAGTGCTTTGGTTAGACAAACAAAGGCAAACTAGTAAAGGGAGACGAATTGGCTATCGCTCGTGCGTTTTGAAGTAAATGTACACTTAAAACTCCATCCAGTTCAATAACTTGCTCGAAGGTGAGCTCTGAGCAGGATTTAACGATTGATCAATCAACAGTCTTCTTTTCCAATACTAAAAAATTAAGGTTGTCAAATGGCCACTCATTTGACCCCTAGTCGAGGTAGATGCCTACCATAGTAAACTTTAGTTTTACAGACTCTCTTATGTTCCGATCGACGCCGACTCTCATAGAGAACTTTCCTAGACTCAGGATCTCCCAATATCCGCCAAAACATGTATCTTCCGATCATCCCTTTATGAAAAGGGAAGCAGAGAGCCTCACCTGTTTGTGTTGTGTAGTTAAAAGGTCATTACTGATTGTTGGATGTTTTTTTGGGTTAATGACACTTTTTGACCGAGGAACATTCAAGCGTAAAGATTAGCCGATTTCTATTGCATAACCTAAAAGTGATGGCTACTTTGATTAGTATTGTGAGAAATCAACAATCAAAACCGCTGTAAAGCACAAATTCTAGGAAAGGGTGTGCTTCGCCAGGGAACGAAGTGCATCTCCACCAAAGCTTTCTCATGTAGTCACTGCATTTAACTGGGTTCTCACAGTTACGATGAAGAACTTTAAAATTGTAGGTATTAATTTTTTTTTTCCTAGAATACGACGCATTCCAACTCTGAAACAGGAAAAACAACCTACATAAAACTAAAATTGAGTCATCCTTGTTTTAGGTTTATTATTTTTATTTTCTGATCCTTAGCACGATGTCTCCCACCAATTGTGAAAACCACGACGTACTATTAACTTTGTTCAGCCATATTCAGTTTACAGCATAATTTGTCTTTGCTCGCTGAGAAAGGGCCAGAAGAGAAGGACTAGAACCAGGTTAGTGATCTCTATCAGGATAGTGCTGAAGTTAACTTCTCGGCCATTTAATGTTCACACGCTTATAGACCAAGGAAGGCTAAACCCCCATGTAGTTACAAATTCAGAGCTGCATGTAAAAATGAACGAGGTGAGTAACGTCTGGCCGAGACGAAGGAAGGATTCTGGGGAAATTTTTCAAGTAAAATTTGATGGAGAAACCCCTCATTTCTATAACAGCAACAACACATTAATGAGGAAAGCATTTAAGTTTATTTCAACCGAACATTACATAAATGTCTTAAACATTAGCATCGTCGTTAGATTAGGACATTAATTGCTCTTAAGTTTTACTTAGAGTAGTGCGGCTTTACCCATATTGTTACTTTTCATGAAAACTCCCACGAGGAAAAATTCGTTGACTTTCTGGTCAAGGTACTTGGCAGATCATTGGATTGTAGGAAACCGCTAGTACTTAAGAGGGCAACTACGATATAAGGGAGTGAGTATTCGGCGATCACAACATTTGTGGGTCTTTGGGTTGTAGCGACGCAAACCACACGTTAGGGGAGGTCTAGGGCAGGTTGCATATCGTGGAACGACTTTACGCAATTTTCCGAGGTAACAGCATCGGTGGGTCTTTGGGTTGTAGCGACGCAAACCACACGTTAGGGGAGGACTAGGGCAGATTGCATATCGTGGAACGACTTTACGCAATTTTCCGAGGTAACAGCATCGGTGGGTGTTTGGGTTGTAGCGACGCAAACCACACGTTAGGGGAGGTCTAGGGCAGGTTGCATATCGTGGAACGACTTTACGCAATTTTCCGAGGTAACAGCATCGGTGGGTCTTTGGGTTGTAGCGACGCAAACCACACGTTAGGGGAGGACTAGGGCAGATTGCATATCGTGGAACGACTTTACGCAATTTGCCGAGGTAACAGCATCGGTGGGTGTTTGGGTTGTAGCGACGCAAACCACACGTTAGGGGAGGTCTGGGGCAGGTTGCATATCGTGGAACGACTTTACGCAATTTTCCGAGGTAACAGCATCGGTGGGTCTTTGGGTTGTAGCGACGCAAACCACACGTTAGGGGAGGACTAGGGCAGGTTGCATATCGTAGAACGACTTTACGCAATTTTCCGAGGTAACAGCATCGGTGGGTCTTTGGGTTGTAGCGACGCCAACCACACTTCAGGGGAAGACTAAGGCATTTGAATTTCTTTGGGACCACTTTGCCATTGCAACATTTTTTTGTCAGACTTAAGAAATGTTTACCACAAGTAACGTCTTCTCTTGGCATGTCTAAGAAACCCTCTTCTCGGTCTGAATCTAATGAAACGAAGAAGGAGCGGGTGGTTCGTTATGCAAACAATTATTGTTCAAGAAGGAGTAAAGTAACTGGTGCGGTTCAGAAATAGTGAAGATACATATTTAAATTATAAATTTTACCTGAATAGTCCTCATCTTGCTCTTCTTCCAATTCCTCGTCTTCTTCACTGTTTTCTGTTGGGAATTCAAGAAAAAATTATTATTCATCCACAATATATCGAATTGTTTCTGGACTAGAATACCAAATCCTTAAATTGTACTATTGTCTCGGAAATATATAGTTGTTCTTTAAAAGATATAGATACAGTACTCAATTACTCATTTAGGGATGAAGAAACTGATGAGAAACTCTTCATTTTCCACTTTGTTAATTTAGGTACGAGGTTTACTGTACTATTTTGAAAGCACCAGTTCGTTGCTGTATTTCTTTTACTTGCAAAGGGAATCGGGTTTATATTAATGGACAGTCCTGATTCATTACATAAAAGATACTGGGTCAATTTGAACCAATCATGTCAAATGGATCAGATACCTTGGGTCTGAAACAAACAGCTTTTAGAATTACAAATTGTCATTCGTGTTAGCAATTTTGATAGGAAATTGATCACTCGGATGAAGATGAATTAGTACATTCGGAAACAAACTATTTATTTTCTTCCGCTGAATGTTGTATTGGCTGTCAATATTATTTTACATTTCGTCTGTAATTTCGCGGTATTGGCAACTGTTAGTAAAATAATTTTCTACCCATGTTATGCTCTATTTCATCGTCATCTTGTGGATAGTCTTCTTGGGCATCCTCCTCTGCAGAAAATGGAAAATATTGCCAAAAAATTAGCTGATCGAATCGAGTTTCTAGCAAATTATTCCATGAAATTCTCTTCCTTAAATCCCAGTTCTCCAACCGGAAATTAGGCGTATTGCAATTCATAAACTCTTCTCGTGAGCTACAGGACATTCGTGGTCTTAGACATATTTATGGAAATCACTGATTGAATGATTGATAGAAACGAAGTAAAATGGTACATTTTAAACTTAGTGATCGAAGAGAAAATTCAGTGGCATGATGCAATCGGAAAAATGAATCATTTCTCCTATCAAGAGAATAGTTTCAACATCTTGTAAGCTTACTTCATGCTTTAGTTTTAGAAAGGTGTTTTGCCCCACCTGGGTCATTCTCCTCCTCAGCTGCCTCGTATGAAGTTTCTTCTTTCACGGTGTCTTGTTCTATAGGAGCATCTTCTGGCTGTTCTTCTTCCGTTTCTTCGCTGTCCTCGGCTGAAAGAGTATTAAGTTGTTAACATGGATGAGTGACTGAATGACTGATTGACGGACTGATTGGTTGCACTCTTAACCGATTAACTCATTAATTGATTGAGTGATTTGATTATGAAATGTTGAATCATTTTCATTTGAGAAACTTGTGGTCGAGGTTATTCCATCATTCCTAGACATTGTGTAGCATACATACACGTTAACTTAAATTTAGTAAGATATATATTCATTCGAAAAGGAAGGCTTGAGGCTAGAGAGAAAGTTCTTCAAAGGAAAAACTGTTGCGATCATATTGACTAAAAATCAGGAACTGTACATCATGTCCAGTGAGATGATAAAAACGGGGGAACAGATGTAAAGAAGTAAAGAGTACAAAAATAAGCCTCGCAAAACTCGAAGAAAAACCTCAAATTGAAATTAAGGTTGCTCTTTTGACTCCATATTTCGCACAGATCACACTGTAGGATATACATCTTGTCGATATAAAAAATTAAAATTCATCCATTGAATATTTTTTTTTGGTGCACCCACCTCCCACATTTATAAGCTTGGAACAGTTTAATTTTTTATCACACAAAAAATTAAAATACTGTAGATAGTTCGTGAAATAAAAACTAATGAGAAATCATTCGTCTCGGAAGCACATTCGTGGGAGACTGAATTAAGTTACTTTCTTATCATTTCAAAGAAATTTTTTAAGAAAAGATCCATTTTCATACCTTTGTACTCTACTTGATCAGAAAGGTTTTCTAAACCTTCATTTAAGTTTAGAAGCTCAGATTCTGCTGCTACCTCTTCAGGATTATCAGCATTATCTTCGAAGGTTTCGGCATTTACGACAGCTATAGCTGCCAGTAAAACAGCGAGGAAGCGAAGAACTCTAGCCATGGTTGTACCGCTATCGGACGATGTACCTTTTGCTCAAACTCCCTCCCTTTTTATGCTGTTCGAAAAATTCCAAAATAGCACTTGAATGGGGTGGTCTGATTGTCTACGTGGAAGAGAATTTTGAAAGAATAGAGCAATATCTTTTTAACAAAGAAATTCATTCATATATTGAGCCGAATTGAAAGAGATTAAAAAGTGGCTCTTGAATGGCGCGAGTATCCATGCTTTTGATGACCACTCGCATGACCACTCTCCAAAAATATTAGATTGCTGACCAATAGTTTCTGAAACGTTTGCGAATGTTTGTCATGTCGTCTTGGTTTTACTATCGTAACAACTTCAAGTTTTCTGTGATTTACATGTTGGTGTACAATAATGGTTGGAGTAGAAAATGGTCTCTTTTTTTCTGTGAGACACTTATGATAGCGAGTCAATATGGCTTCTACGAAAATTGTTTCACGACAATGATGGTGGAATATTAGAAACGTCTGTCTCAGAGGATGTTTCAGATGTTTATTTTTGGACCATCACAAATTGTTTTCCAAGAAACACCTACGAAATTGGGCTCAAAACATAAGTAAATACATGATTGGTACGATTCATTGACGTAGATGGGAATAACAAGACCACAATATCACCAAAAATTTTATGCTTAAGTAAATGCTATTAAATTGGAGGGTATTTATTTCCTCTGTGAATGTAACGTTAGGAGTTTCTAATTAGCAATGGAGAGATTCTCCATTAAACTTAATCGCTCAGAAGGAAGGAAGGAAAAGAACGGTTGTCGTATGTGCTGGTATATGTGATGTGTCTCAAGTTCCATAGCCTTCCTGTCACCTCTCACGATACCACAAAGTGCGAGCAATACGGACGTAAGTGGCTGGAGAAATTTGTGGTTCAGGTTGTTTTACTTGGATGTAGTCAAAATCAAAAGAACATTTGACTTTTCCGTACCTGATGTCCTACAGTGGTCTTTTTTTAAAAAAAAAAAATTTGAACTGAGCTCAAGGGTGGCATCTCTCGACTTAGGCCCCGTGATTGGGAAGAAAGAAACTGTTACCGATATTTCAAATTTTAGTGCTCAATAAGCAGGAAATAAAAATGTTTCCATTAATAGTCTGCAATGTTGATGCACTTCCTTTCAACGTCAATATGAGGGCCAGAGAGGTTTTAATAAATCATGTCGGACTTCGCTTATGATGACGTGCCTTTTTCCAAGATTCTTGACATGGTTGGATCATTTTCCTATTAAAGTGCGAAAATAACACTAGTTTTCTCCTCAGTTTTACTCTAGATTGATATGTGAAATAGTATTAATCCTAGATGACTTAGTCCACAGAAAGTGGGTGACTTACATTATCCATGTGGTCCGAATACCTTGTAAGATCAACAGTTTTTACAATCTTGCAGGTAGCTCAGTAGAAAACATTGATAAACTATCTCACTGCACATGCTCAGTACTCAAATGAAGTATCTAAAACTCCAAGACTAAAGAACCAAGTTATCCTCCAGCATTCACTGCTAGAGACCGTGTCTTTAACATGCCTTAGCATCGTAATTACGTTAAAAACTAAAAAGAACCATGCCATTTTCTTGCGCCCTCCGCCAACTGACAGATACAGGTTTAGGTAATCAGGAAGTTTGCATAGGATGCTGAGGCCTAGTGGGTCGAATCAGTCAAGATTGGCATTAATCCAGATCATGTACGAGCGCCGTGAAAGCCTGTAGCTTTTATTTGCCGCCCACTCAAGATAATGTTAGTCGAACGTTTAGCAATCAAGGCTAGGATGTGCATGCTAAAATAAGAGCATGTGAAAATTTCTTTGTTGTTACGGCCGATGTTCTTGTCGATAAAAATAGACAAGTAGGTATTTTGCCACTATAACTTCGATCTTGATCCAGTTAAATAAATTCGAACAGTATAAATACACTGTATCTGAACTATTGCTGAAACTAAGTTTCATCTATTTGCGTGAACAGAGCCTTCATTTTAGTTTTCTCAAAGTTACTGGTCAAATCCATGAAATATTTGTATATTAAGTTATCATGATATTCAATAAGCAGGCTTTGGAGCTGGCAAGAGAAAAACAGCAACAGTCAAAAGTCTCTTTTTACGTATATTTGCCTGCATGCTAGTCTGTAGCACCTGGGTCCTCGGTGATACGCTGGAAAACTAAAATGTACGGATGTCGCGCATGGCCATTCTAAGATTAGGCTTTTCCATTCCTTGTTTGTTCTCAAAATTTCACCAGAGCGAAAAAGACTTCATCAAGATCCCTCCTACTACAAATGACAAATATCAGCTCGTCGAGTCACAGGACTGAGTTGTCCGGGCGAATATTTTGCCAATTACATTGTTTCCTCAGTAACTTCTAGTTTCTCAAAATTTCTGCCCTCGTGGTCACCGAAACAGAAACACTTTATTACAAAAGAAGGGCTTCAATATCAAGAGGAAGAATTTCATCGATGTCATTTACCTTCGATCAGTGTTGACTGTTCTAAATACTACCGGTAAAAATTTCTCTGCATAAGAATGACGCAAATTAGAGCAGTCGCTGCAATTTGGTTTATTGAAGCGTTACGATTTGATTCAGTTTTGGTTGGTCAAAGTTCCACATAACACATAACAGTAGTAAAGTAACATTACTTGTGTTATGCACTCGTACCAAAGTTTTATGTTGGACTATGAAAGCTAATATCTGCTGAGAACAGGTTTCCGTACATGAGCACTCGGTGATATTACTTTTTATAGATGCATGACGCGCTAAGTGCTTTCATCTCTACTTCTCTAGATACGCTTACATCCTATGAAAATGGAAAAAAGAGCCTCGTCCGTTTGTGTGGTGTAATATCCAATTCGCTCGGTTACATGCAGGTTGGGTTTTTTGCAGAATGTCTCTAACATCAAGTTTGAGAAAAACGTTCGCTGCGGTATGGTAAGACGTGTGTCACTACGCCTTGAGGAGTTTGGGTCAAGTTTTTGGAAAATAACAATTAAGGCGAATTTCAATCATCGTAACTTTGTTTCACAGTATATATGTACATCTCCATATAGACATCAACCTCTGAAAACATCCATGATCATGAGTTTAATGCAATTTCAGTTTGGCACTTCCTTTACTGAGCATGTGTATTCATATATCCGCATTTTCTTGGTAATATTTTAGCGTATTGAAGTAGCCGCATGGTTTGACCCGACAACTGATGTGTAGGGTAGCATATGGTGTATTGAAGGGTACTGTATTAACTGTATTAAAAGTCACTCAAAGTTAAAATCTGTCGAAGAAACGACCGTTGGAATTGAATCCTCCCCAGCACTACGGTAGGCGGTTCCTAGTAAAAGAATCTATATTGAGGGATTCAAATTATCTTTTAGAAAACAAAAACAAAAAAATTAAAAAAAAACAGATTTCGTTAAGATGGCTTTTCTCTTCAAAATTATTTCTTTGCTTACATTATCTTCCTCTTAAGGTTTGGAGACGGCACCGGATTTTTCCTTTCTTTTCCTGAAGTTCTAAATTAAACGAAAGAGCTGTGAAGTAAAATATAGTACTGGTAATTACGATAATAGTGTCGAATGTTTATCAGGCAAATCGTTAAGCAAAGCCATCAATAGACTGCGTCATTAGACGTGATAAAAACTCAGGGGAGGTCTTCAAGACAGAAAACCGACAGTTGTGCCAGACAATACCACTTTTGCAACTGAGCTGAGAAAGTTCAAAGGACAGAGGGTATTTCCTCGGGGAAGCCTCAAACTAGGCCACCAGACAACAGGTCTACAGCTTCCCCAAACACCATTGTTCAAATCAATTAACTTAATTAAGTTAACTAACTTAATTTTGTATGCCTATTTAATAGTTTGTGTAGATTGAATGCGGCCATTAAGTATGTTCTACTCCTTTTAAATAAACTAGTAGAAATATAGCCGATTTAATGCTGACCTATTTTAAACCAAAGCTACTCAAACTGTTAAAAAATACTTTTAATGAAACTATATTCCCTTCCTGTATGAAGATTTTCTTTCAAATGTGTTGTCATTTTAATCAACATTCTTACCAATCTGTCTCTTTGTTTGAACGAACCTCTTGAGTTTACAGGTTATATTCTCTCTCGACCACTTTGCTTCTTTATTTGAATTAACCTCCTCGAGTTTACAGGTTATGCTCTATGTTATCCTCACTTTTGACCTATCTGCCTCTTTGTTTCTGCAAACATTTTGAGTCCAGAGGTTAAGCTCATAACAAATCTGTATACAACAGAACGAGAAGGCTTGGGAAGGAGAGTCAGGGCGTTGGTTGGGATATGTCGATTTCGCTAAATGTATTATTAGTTTTAATCAGGAAACAAACGTCTGCATGTTTCTCAGACTTCTGCACTTAGATCTTTCGCGCAAGAAAAACGATTTCCCTCATTTTCTGAAGTTGTCTGCATCGATAAAACTGATCTCAAGGCTATCCACCATTACAAAGCTTCCATAATTCTTTCCTGCGAGCGTCTCAGATAATAGTTTATCTATAAATAGTACTTTTAAAGTCTTGACATGCCCGCCTTAAACATGGACAAAAAGCCCTTTCTTTGTCCCCTGATGTTCTCCCTTTGTATATCATTTCATTAACACATAAAATCGGCAGATTTTTGACTAAGAAACAAATTAAAGCGGAAGAAATTATCAAATATTAAATCAAGTTCCCTCCCTCATCATCAAATGACATATTACAGTCGTCGACTGATTTGCTCTTTTTTTTTTTCAGTCGGTAATCTAAACCTCTGGCTTATCGTTCATTTAGGTGGTAACTTTTAATTAAATTAGTGAAGCATAAATTTATACAATCACAGCAGTTTCGATTCGATTCTACAATCCATGCGAGCAGAAGAAGAAATTTCATGCACTTATGCTTCAGTTCTACAGAACAAGACCAAGAGTTCCGTACTACACTCAACCGGTGTTTAGCATTATTGCTCACGTCACAAGCTTGCAAAGTTTATATTGGACAAGGTCGACAAAAGCAGCTAATATCCGCCGAGAAAAGTTAAAACTAACACTCACTGATATTAGACTTGATATATATTCAAAGGAACATCACGTTCTCCTTATTACATGATCAATAATGTTTTAGTGAACGATTGCAAAATCAAATCATACTTGACACCACTGATATAGTTGTTCTCCCGTTTGACTAGACAATTTACTAGCATTTTAAATTTAAGAGACGTTTCCAGTGCTGTCACTTTGTAGTTTTCTATGATGGTCAGACACGTCTCTTCACTGCTCACTGAGACTCTAGTTTCAAAATTAAAAACTCCAAGTAATTGACTCATTGACCCTTTGAGGAGTGACTGGCATCTAATTTCTCCTTACAGTATCACCCCTAAGTCAGACATTAAAGTCACGAAAATAAAGTAAATTAACTCAAGACCAAAGAGGCTCTTCATTTTTAAACAAATTCTCTTTGTCTTCACCTTCACCAGGAAATGTAAAAAGAACAATATGGAGAATATACATACTGATATTGGAGTGTAGAGGAAGAAAGGTTTTCCGTGGCGATAGATAACATGGAAGTTGTACCATGCCGCTCTGTTAAGCATCACAGGACTGCAAATGATCCCTGAACACGAATGATCCTTAAAACTGACCCCGCGAGACAATCTCAATGTAGGACCCTAAATGATCGCGTTAAGATTTTACAGACCTTCAGGGGCCGAATTTTGCGAGAAAAACTGTCTTCACTCATTCTCCAGCTAAAATATTTCTTTGCAGTTTTGTGGAAAAATAATTTAAGATCACTAAATGTTAGTGAGATGTCGAAGAAAAACTGTTCTTGAGATTAATTAATATATAGCTAAAAGTTGTTTTTGTCACCTTAAGGACATTGAGGGTAAGCTGCTCCTCTACTTTTTCGCGAAAAAGTTTATCAAAGGGACTCCAGTTACAATGATATGTATATTTTGTTGAAAGAGGTTTGACGGCGGATAAAAAAACCTTTTAGAGACCCGAGTAAATTCATCGCCACGTTTTGTTGTATTTGGGATCGCCGGTTTATCGATTTGGCCGCTGATTTCGCCTTTAGTTTTTCCTTCTTCTCTGCTCTTACGCTGGTTAGCACTTTTTTTTCAATTTTTTTTTTATTTTCGCTATTCCACTCTCAGGACCTTTTTCTTAGACCTCTCTTTCCCTTTTACGACTTGAGAGTTGACTGCACATAACACACCTTCCTCGAATCACAAAATGCTATTTTTATTTAGAATCTTTAGGAGTCCGAAGCTCTGAAGCTCGTGTTTTATTAGGTGGCGGTTTGACCGCGATGGCTCCTGGTGTGCAAATACTTCTCCTTTTGCCGTGTTCAATGATGATTTCCTCGAAAACCGATCGGAATGTTGAAAAAGCCTCGCACGTTTTCGCACTCCATCAACCGCTGATTTCCACTGTGCAGTTTATTCTTCAAGGTAATCATTTCTTCTGATTCTACATTTTTAAGCTTCAGATTGATATATATATAGTTTTCAAGGAAAAACAACCCACATAAAACTAAAATTGAGTCATTCTTGTGTAAGGGATATTTTTTTTTATTGTTTGACTCTTAGCACGATGTCTCCCACCAATTGTGAAAACCACGACGCACTCAAAACTGTGTTCAGCCATGTTCAGTTCATAGCATAACTTGTCTTTGCTCGCTAACAAAGGGCCAGAAGAGAAGGACTAGAACCAGGTTAGTGATCTCTATCAGGATAGTGCTGAGGTTAATTTCTCGGCCATTTAATGTTCACACGCTTATAGACACGGGAGAGCTATACCTTAAGGCAGCTACAAATTCAGAGCTGCATGTAAAAACGAAATGACGTGAGTAACGAGACGAAGGAAGGATTCTAGGGAAATTGTGCAAGCAAAATTTGATGGGGAAACCCCTCATTTCTATGACAGCAACAACACATTAATGAGGAAAGCATTTAAGTTTATTTCAATCGAACATTACATAAATGTCTTTAACATGAGCATCGTCGTTAGATTAGCATATTAATTGCTCATAAGTTTTACTTTTAGTATTGCAGCTTTACCCATATTGTTACTTTTTATGTAAACTCTCACGAGGAAAAATTCGTTGACTTTCTGGTCAAGGTAGCTTGTAGATCACTGGATGTTAAGAAACCACTAGTACTTCAGAGGGCAACTACCATATATGGAAACAATTATTCGACGATCACAACATTTCTGGGTCTTCGGGTTGTAGGGACGCAGACCACACTTCGGGAGAGTACGAGGACAAGATGCGTATCTCGAAACGATTTTACGCAGTATTCCGTAGATGCAGCATTTGTGGGTCCTTGGGTTGTATGGACGCAGACCACACTTCGGGGGAGGAAGAGGGCAAGATGCATATCTCGAAACGACGTTACGCTGTATTCCGTAGATGCAGCATTTGTGGGTCCTTGGGTTGTAAGGACGCAGACCACACTTCGGGGGAGGACGAGGGCAGGATGCATATCTCGGAACGACGTTACGCAGTATTCCGCGGATGCAGCATTTGTGGGTCTTTGGGTTGTAGGGACGCAGACCACACTTCGGGGGAGGACGAGGGCAAGATGCATATCTCAAAACGACGTTACGCTGTATTCCGTAGATGCAGCATTTGTGGGTCCTTGGGTTGTAAGGACGCAGACCACACTTCGGGGGAGGATGAGGGCAGGATGCATATCTCGGAACGACGTTTCGCAGTATTCCGCGGATGCAGCATTTGTGGGTCTTTGGGTTGTATTGACGCAGACCACACTTCGGGGGAGGACGAGGGCAAGATGCATATCTCGAAACGACGTTACGCTGTATTCCGTAGATGCAGCATTTGTGGGTCCTTGGGTTGTAAGGACGCAGACCACACTTCGGGGGACGATGAGGGCAAGATGCATATCTCGAAACGACGTTACGCTGTATTCCGTAGATGCAGCATTTGTGGGTCCTTGGGTTGTAAGGACGCAGACCACACTTCGGGGGACGATGAGGGCAAGATGCATATCTCGAAACGACGTTACGCTGTATTCCGTAGATGCAGCATTTGTGGGTACTTGGGTTGTAAGGACGCAGACCACACTTCGGGGAAAACGAGGGCAGGATACATATCTCGGAACGACGTTACGCTGTATTCCGCGGATGCAGCATTTGTGGGTCTTTGGGTTGTAGGGACGCAGACCACACTTCGGGGGAGGACGAGGGCAAGATGCATATCTCGAAACCACCTTACGCAGTATTCCGTAGATGCAGCATTTGTGAGTCTTTGGGTTGTAGGGACGCAGACCACACCTCAGGGGAGGACGATTAGCAATGTCTTCCTTTGGCATGTCTAAGAAATCCTCTTCTCGGTCTGAATCTAATGAAACGAAGAAGGAGCGAGTGGTTCGTTATGCAAACAATTATTGCTCAAGAAGGAGTAAAGTAATTGGTGTGATTCACAAGTAGTGAAGATACATTTTTAGATTGTAATTTTTACCTGAATAGTCTTCATCTTGCTCTTCGGCCAATTCCTCGTTTTCTTCACTGTTTTCTGTTGGGAATTTAAAGAAAAAATTTCTCATCCACAATATATCGAATTGTTTCTAGACTAGAACATCAAATCCTTAAAAATTACTATTAATTGTCTCGGTAATATTATCCTCTGAAGAAAATGGAAAATGTTGCCAAAAAATTAGATAATCGAACCGGGTTTCTAGCAAACTATTCCATGAAATTCCAGCCTTAAATCCCAGTTCTCCAACGGAAAATTAGGCGTATTCCAATTCATAAACTCCTCTCGTGAGCTACAGGACATTCATGGTCGTAGTTATATTTATGGAAATCACTGATCGAATGATTGATAGAAACGAAGCAAAATGGTACATTTTAAACTTAGCGATCGAAGAGAAAATTCAGTGGCATGATGTAATCCTAAAAATGAATCTATGATTTCTCCCATCAAGAGAATAGTTTCAACATCTTTTTCGCCTACTTCATGCTTTAGTTTTAGAAAGGTGTTTTACCCCACCTGGGTCACTCTCCTCCTGAGTATCATCCTCAGTAGCTTCGTATGAAGTTTCTTCTTTCGTGGAGTCTTGTTCTATAGGAGTGTCTTCTAGTTGTTCTTCTTCCGATTCTTCGCTGTCTTCGGCTAAAAGAGTAATAAGTTGTTAACATGAACGTACAGAAACGCAAAATAGATGTTAAAAAGAGCACGAGGTATCAATCAGTATGGCTCCTTAAGGCTTTCTATATCTCTAGATAATTTAGTTTTATTAACTGAGTTGATAAAGCTGTATATCAAAGCTTATCTTCAGAAAACATTTGAGACTATATATACTATCTTCATCAATAACGGCGATGTTTGGTTAGTGGACGTTACTTGTCAATTGTTCCGCTTGCAATGTAGCCATTGTGATTCAAGGTAACCGTGTTGTGCATGAATGCATCTCCCAGTTTTTGTTTTTCATGTCAGAAGTACAACTTCCACAAACTACTTGTGAGAGATACTTTGAATGAAGGTACATGTCCGTAGAATCATTGACTCATGGGGTTGTATTTTGAGATATTAATGACCTTATTCGAACCAGGCGAATTTTGTTTTTGTAAAAGTACTATATGTTTAACGTAATTACACAAATATGAAACGTCAACTTCACAAGAACTCTTGAAAGTCAAGTGTAAATAATTTATGTTTTTCCCTGGCAACGGATATAGTTAGCAACTATGATTTTTCCCATCAGAAGAATCGTGTCAACATCTTTTTTGCCAACATCATTCTTTAGTTTTGGAAAGGTGTTTTACCCCACCTGGGTCACTCTCCCCCTCAGTAGCCTCGTATGAAGTTTCATCTTTCACGGTGTCTTGTTCTATAGTGGCATCTTCTAGTTGTTCTTCTTCCGCTTCTTCGCTGTCTTCGGCTAAAAGAGTGCTAAGTTATTAACATGAACGTACAGAAACGCAAAATAGATGTTAAAAAGAGCACGAGGTATTAATCAGTGTGGCTCCTTAAGGCTTTCTATATCTCCAGATAATTTAGTTTTATTAACTGAGTTGATAAAGCTGTATATCAAAGCTTATCTTCAAAAAACATTTGAGACTAAATATATTATTTTCATTAATAGCTGCGACGTTTGGTTAGTGGAGGTTATTTGTCAATTGTTACGCTTGCAATGTGGTCATTGTGATTCAAGGAAACCGTGTTGTACATGAATGCACCTCCCAGTTTTTGTTTTTCATGGCAGAAGTACAACTTCCACGAACTACTTGCGAGGGATACTTTGAATGAACGTACATGTCCGTAGAATCGTTGACTCATGGGGTAACATTTTGAGATATTGATGACCTCCTCATTCTAACCAGGAGAATTTTGTTTTTTGTAAAAGTACTATACGTTTAACGTAATTACACAAATATGAAACGTCAACTTCACAAGAACTCTTAAAAGTCAAGTGTAAATAATTTATGTTTTTCCTTTAGCAACGGATATAGTTAGCAACTATAATTTTTCCCATCAGAAGAATAGTTTCAACGTCTTTTTTGCCAACATCATGATTTAGTTTTGGAAGCGTGTTTTATCCCACCTGGGTCACTCTCCTCCTGAGTATCATCCTCAGTAGCCTCGTATGAAGTTTCGTCTTTCATGGTGTCTTGTTCTATAGGAGCGTCTTCTAGTTGTTCTTCTTCCGCTTCTTCGCTGTCTTCGCCTGAAAGAGTAGTTATATTTATAGAAATCACTGATCGAATGATTGATAGAAACGAAGCAAATTGGTATGTTTTAAACTTAGCGATTGAAGAGAAATTTCAGTGGCATGATGTAATCGGAAAAATGAATTTAAGATTTCTCCCATCAAGAGAATAGTTCCAACATCTTTTTTGCCTACGTCGTGCTTTAGTTTTAGAAAGGTGTTTTACCCCACCTGGGTCACTCTCCTTCTGAGTGTCATCCTCGGTGGCCTCGTATAGAGTTTCTTCTTTCATGGTGTCTCGTTCGATAGGAGCGTCTTCTAGTTGTTCTTCTTCCGCTTCTTCGCTGTCTTCGGCTGAATGAGTATCAAGTTGTTAACATGGATGAGTGACTGAATGACTCATTGATTGCACTCTCAACCGATTACCTCATTGATTGATTGAGTGGTTGATTGTGGAATGTATAATCACTATTATTTGAGAAACTTGTGGTCGAGGTTACTCCATCATTCTTAGTCTAGCATACACACATGTTAATTTAAAGTTATTGAGATATATATTCATTTGAAAAGGAAGGCTTGAGGCTAGAGAGAAAGTTCTTTAAAGGAAAAACGGTTACAATCATACTGAAGAGAAATCTGAAACTGTACATCATGTCCAGTGAGATAATAAAAACGAGAAAACAGATGTAAAGAAGCAAAGAGTACAAAAACAATTAAGCCTCACAAAACTCGAAGAAAAACCTCGAATTGAAATTAAGGCTGCTCTTTTGACTTCTTATTTCGCACAGACTACACTGTAAGATCTACATCTTGTCGATACAAAAAAGATTTAAAATTCATCCATCGAATATTATTTTTTGTGCACCCACCTCCCACATTTATAAGCTTGGAACAGTTTAATTTTATATAACACAAAAAATTAAAATACTGTAAATAGTGCGTGAAATTAAAACTAGTGAGAAATCATTCGTCTCGGAAGCACATTCGTGGGAGACTGAATTAAGTTACTGTCTTATCTTTTTAAAGAATTTTTAAAAGAAAAGGTCAATTTTCATACCTTTGTACTCTACTTGATCAGCAGGATTTTCTAAACCTTCATTTAAGTTTAGAAGCTCGGATTTCGCTGCCACCTCTTCAGGATTATCAGCATTATCTTCAAAGGTTTCAGCATTTACGACAGCTACAACTGCCAGTAAAACAGCGAGGAAGCGAAGAACTCTAGCCATGGTTGTACCGCTATCGGACGATGTACCTTTTGCTCAAACTCCCTCCCTTTTTATGCTGTTCGAAAAATTCCAAAATAGCACTTGAATGGGGTGGTCTGATTGTTTACGTGGTAGAGAATTTTGAAAGAATAAAGCAATATCTTTTTAATGAAGAAATTCATTCTTATATTTAGCCTAATTGAAAGAGATTAAGAAGTGGCTCTTGAATGACGCGAACATCCGTGTTTTCGATAAGCATGGCCACTCTCGGAAAATATGAATGTTGTGAATGTTTGTCTTGTCGTCTGGGTTTTACTATCGTCACAACTTCAAGTTTCCTTTGATTTACATGTTGGTGTACAATAATGGTTAGAGTAGAAAAAGGTCTCTTTTTCTGTGAGACACTTATGATAGCGAGTCAACATGGATGATACGAAAATTGTTTCACGACAATGATGTTGGAATATTAGAAACGTCTGTCAAAGAGGATGAAGAAACGCCTACGACATTGGGCTCAAAACATAGGCAAATACATGATCGGTACGATTCATTGACGTAGATGGGAATGACAAGACCACAATATTGCCAAAAATTTTTATGCAATTGTAAATGCTATTTAATTGGAAGGTATCTATTTCCTCTGTGAATGTAACGTCAGGAGTTTCTTACTAGCGATTGAGAGATTCTCCAATAAACCTAATTGCTCAGAAGGAAGGAAATGAACGGTTGTCGTATGTGCTGGTATATGTGATGTGTCTCAAGTTCCATAGCCTTCCTGTCACCACTCACGATACCATAAAGTGCGAGCTAAACGGACGTGAGGGGCTGGAGAAATTTGTGGTTCAGGTTGTTTACTTGGATGTAGTAAAAAAAAAAACATTTGAGTTATCCGTACCTGTTGTCCTACTGCAGCATTTTTCGTAAAAATGTTGAAGTTCAAGGGTGGCATCTCTCGACTTAGGCCCCATTCGAACTTCAAGATTTGACTCAATTTATTTTGATTTAACGTCAATATATGAGGGCCAAGGAGGTTTTCATAAAACATATCGGACTTCACTTATGATGACATGCCTTTTTTCAAGATTCTTGACATGGTTGAATCATTTTCCTATTAAAGTGTGAAAATAACACTAGTTTTCTCCTTCGTTTTACTCTAGATTGATATGTGAAATAGTATTCATCCCGGATGACTGAAATTGGGTGACGTACATTATCCGTGTGGTGGTAATATCTTGCAAGATCGACAGTTTTTACAATCTTGCAGGTAGGCCAGTAGAAAACGTCGATAAACTATCTCACTGCACATGCTTAGTACTCAAATGAAGTATCTAAGACTCCAAGACTAAAGAACCAAGTTATCCTCCAGCATTCACTGGTGGAGACCGTGTCTTAAACATGCCTAAACATCGCAATTACGTTAAAGACTAACAAGAACCATGTCATTTTCTCGAGCCCTCCGCCAACTGACAGATACAGGTTTAGGTAATCAGGAAGTTTGCATAGGATGCTGAGGCCGAGTGGGTCGAATCAGTCAAGAATGGCATTAATCCAGATCATGTACGAACGCCGTGAAAGCCTGTAGCTTTTATTTGCCGCCCACCCAAGATAATGTTAGTCGAACGTTTAGCAATCAAGGCCAGGATGTACATGCTAAAATAAGAGCATGTGAAAATTTCTTTGTTGTTATGGCCGATGTTCTTGTCGATAAAAATAGACAAGTAGGTATTTTGCCACTATAACTTCGATCTTGTTCCCGTTAAATAAATTCGAACAGTATAAATACACTGTATCTGAACTATTGCTGAAACTAAGTTTCATCTATTTGCGTGAACAGAGCCTTCATTTTAGTTTTCTCAATCTTCCTATTTATCTCCATAGCCTTTAGAAGTTACTGGTCAAATCTATGAAATATTTGTATATTAAGTTATCATGATATTCAATAAGCAGCTGGGCAAGAGAAAAACAGCAACAGTCAAAAGTCTCTTTTTACGTTTATTTGCCTGCATGCTAGTCTGTAGCACCTGGGTCCTCGGTGATACGCTGGAAAACTAAAATGTACGGAAGTCGCGCATGGCCATTCTAAGATTAGGCTTTTCCATTCCTTATTTGTTCTCAAAATTTCACTTCATCAAGATCCCTCCTACTACAAATGACAAATATCAGCTCGTCGAGTCACTGAGTTGTTCGGGCGGATATTTTGCCAATTACATTGTTTCCTCAGTAACGTTTAGTTTCTCAAAATTTCTGCTCTCGTGTTCACCGAAACAGAAACACTTTATTACAAAAGAAGGGCTTCAATATCAAGAGGAAGAATTTCATCGATGTCATTTACCTTCGATCAGTGTTGACTGTTCTAAATACTACCGGTAAAAATTGCTCTGCATAAGAATGACGCAAATTAGAGCAGTCGCTGCAATTTGATTTATTGAAGCGTTACGATTTGATTCAGTTTTGGTTGGTCAAAGTTCCATATAACACATAACAGTAGTAAAGTAACATTACTTGTGTTATGCACTCGTACCAAAGTTTTATGTTGGACTATGAAAGCTAATATCTGCTGAGAACAGGTTTCCGTACATGAGCACCCGTTGATATTACTTTTTATAGATGTATGACACGCTAAGTGCTTTCATCTCTACTTCCCTAGATACGCTTAAATCCTATGATTGCATCCTGCCCGGCACTACGGTAGGCGGTTCTTAGTAAAAGAATATTGAGGGTATAAATGATCTTTTAAAAAAAAAAAAAAACAACCCCCCCCCCCCAAAAAAAAAAAACCAGATTTCGCTCAGATGATTTTTCTCTTCAATATTATTATTTGCTTACATTATCTTCCTCTTAAGGTTAGGAAACGGCACGGGATTTTTTTGTTTCTTTTTCCTGAAGTTTCAAATTAGACAAAAACGCTGTGAAGTAAAATACAATACTGGTAATTACGATATAAGTGTCGAATCTTTAACAGGCATATCGTTAAGAAAAGCCATCAATAGACTGCGTCATTACACGAGATAAAAACTCAGAGGGGGCCCTCAAGACAGAAAAACCGACAGTTGTGTGAGACAATACCACTTGCAACTGAGCTGAGAAAGTTCAAAGGACAGAGGGTATTGTCTCGGGGAAGCCTCAAACTAGGCCACTAAACAACAGGTCTACAGCTTCCCCAAACACTATTGTTCATATCAAGTTGTGTTATTCCATTCTCATCACGGAATCACCTTGAACTGATGCATTTTGTTGACTTGATTTAAGTTCCTGTTGTCTTGGAACTAACTTAATTTTGTATATTTATTTAATAGTTTGTGTAGATTGAATGCGGCCATTAAGTATGTTCTACTCGTTTAAAAAAAGCAAGTAGAAATATAGTTGATTTAATGCTGATCTATTTTAAACCAAGGCGACTCAAATTGTCAAAAATTAATTTTTTAATGAAACTATGCTCCCTCCCTATACGGAGACTTCATTTTCTTTCAAATTTGTTGCCATTTTATTAAACACTCTTAAAAGCTATTTTGCTTCTTTATTTGAACAAACTTTAAGGGTTACAGGATAAACTCTCTTAGACTCTCTCTTAAGCACTTTGCCTCTCTATTTGAATAAACCTCCTTGAGTTTACAGGTTATGCTGTATAGCCTCACTTTCGACCTATCTGCCCCTTTGTTTCTACAAACATTTTGTGTCCACAAACATTTTGTGTCCAGAGGTTAAACTCATAATAAATCTGTATAAAACAGAACGAGAAGGCTTGGGAAGGAGAGTCAGGGCGTTGGTTGGGATATGTCGATTTCGCTAGATTTATTGTTAGTTTTAGTCAGGAAACGAACGTCTGTTTCTCAGACTTCCGCACTCAGAACTTTCGCGCAAGAAAAACGTTCACCTCCTTGTCTGAAGTTGTCTGCATCGATAAAACTGATCTCAAGGCTATCCATCATTACAAGCTTCCATAATGCTTTCATGCGAGCGTCTCGCAGATAATTGTTTATCCCTAAATAGTAAGTTTAAAGTCTTGGCATGCCCGCCCTTAACATGGACCAAAAGCCCTTTCTTTGATACCCGCTGATGTTCTCCCTGTTGGTGTCACCTTGTGCATGTGGTGACCCATTTTATTGGTTCTCCCTTTTTATTTCATTAACATGTAACATCGGCAGATTTTTGACTAAGAATCAAAGTAAAACGGAAGAAATTATCAAAGATTTCATTCTACACGCATACTACACGCAACCGGTGTTTAGCGTTATTGCTCACGTCACTAGCTTGAAAAATTTTATATTGGACAAGGTCGATAAAGATAACTAATATCCGCCGAGAAAAGTTAAAACGAACACTCACTGATATTAGACTTAATATATATTCAAAGTAACATTACGTTCTCCTTATTACATGATCAATATCTTCAATATTGCATTATTAAACGACCACAAAATCAAATTATACTTGACACCACTGATATTGTTGTCCCTCTGTTTGACTAGACAATTTACTAGCATTTTAAATTTAAGAGACGTTTCCAGTGCTGTCACTTTGTGGTTTTCGATGATGGTCGGACACGTCTCCTCACTGTTCACAGAGACTCTACTTTCAAAATTAAAAACTCCTAGTAATTAACTCATGGACCCTTTGAGGAGTGACTGGCATCTTATCTCTCCTTACAGTACCACCCCTAAGTCAGACATTAAAGTCACGAAAATAAAGGAAATTAACTAAAGACTATAAAGGCTCTTGATTGTTAAACAAATTCTCCTTGTCTTCACCTTAGGAAATGTACCAAGAACAGTATGGAGAATATACATACTGATATTAGAGTGTAGAGGAAGAAAGGTTTTCCGTGGCGATAGATAACATGGAAGTTGTACCATGCCGCTCTGTTAAGCATCCCAGGACTGCAAATGATCCCAGAACACGAATGATCCTTAAAACTGACTCCGAGAGGCAATCTCAATGTGAGACCTCAAATGATCGCGTTAAGATTATTTTAGACCTTTATTGGCCGAAATTTTGCGAGAAAAATTGTTTTCTCTTATTCTCCAGCTGAAACATTTATTTGTAGTTTGGTGTAAAAAATAATCTAAAATCATAAAATATTAGTGAGATATCGAGGAAAAACTGTTTTTCGAGAAAAGTTAATACATAGCTAAAAGTTGTTTTTTTTTAATCAAATTTAGGACATTTAGGGTAAGCTACTCCGTTGCTTTTTCGCAATAAACTTTATCAAAGAGACTCCAGTTACAATGATATGTATATTTTGTCGAAAGAGGTTTGACGACGAATAAAAAGACTTTTTAGAGATCCGAGTAAATTCATTGCCACGTTTTGTTTTGTTTGGGATCGCCGGTAGATCGAGTTGGCCGCTGGTTTCGCCTTTGGTTTCTCCTTCTTCTCTGCTTTTACGCTGCTTAGCACTTCTTTTTTTCCATTTTCGCTATTCCACTCTCAGGAACCTTTCTCTTGGATTACGACTTGGGATTTGACTGCACATAACACATCTCTCGCGAATTTCAAAAGGCTATTTCTAATTAGAATTTTAGGGGGTCCGAAGCTCGTGTTTTAGTAGGTGGTGATTTGACCGCGATGTCTACTGGTGTGTAGATGTTACAGATTTTTGATATTTCAATTGCAAATACTTCTCCTTTCGCCGCGTTCAATAGTGATTTTCTCGGCCACCGATGGGAATAATGAAAAAGCCTCGCACGCTTTCGCAGTGCATCAACTGCTGATTTCCATCGAGCAGTTTACTCTTTAAGGTAATCATTTCTCTTGATTCTACATTTTTAAGCTTTACATTGATATACATAGTTTTCAAGGCTTTCCTTTGGTTATATCATAAGCGACGTGCGTACGAACGATTTTACGGTCTACAGTAACTTAACATGGATAGTTTGGTGGATAAGGAAACATGTCGTTTCGTGTGACCTATACATGAGCTTTTCTATTATTTTTTTTTGCTGCCCGTTTTTGGCGCACGAAAGAGTCATGACAAAGAATAGAGATGAAAGTATGGTCTTTACCGGATTGCAGGGATCATCGGACGAGAGGTTCCTCGTGTATTTTAACTGCAAAACCCAACCAACGTTAAATACCTTAGTCATTTGTTATGTATCATTGCCGCATAAGCAGATGTTGTTGGTCTGAAAGATGTGGTGTAAGCGGTGCGAAACAAGAAGGATACCAACTTGCAACCGAGATATGTATACACTGAGACAGGGGGTACATGTTTAATGATAAGATTAGGAATAGGAAATAAATAGTTGAGCTTAAATACAATATTCATGGGTGTAAATACTCAACAGCATGCATCTGAAATTTCCTCATTTGGTTCAATACCAAACTTTAGAACACCTTCTGTAATAGTTGCCCAAGGCATACGCTTGGTGGTAAAACCTCTCCCTACTTTGCCGTGTTTACTGATTGCTATTGCTCCCCCCTGACCACCTACTTGCTCAAACATCTTCTCAAGTGCTTTAGTGCACGCAAAATCAGGGGGGTAACCCCCTTCCATGTTACACACCACTTCTCTTGCCAGCAAAGTTTTCATAATGGATTCTCCATGTCCTGTTGTTGATACTGCACCCTCCTCGTTTGCATAACCTCCACAGCCAATCAGTGGACTGTCACCAACACGTCCAGGCATCTTGAGGGAAATTCCACCTGAAATTTATAAAGCTCAATTTGATTTTTGTTTTTTTCTTCCTGCTCTTGATTATTGCAAGTGCACTTTTAGTATTAGTGGCTCTGCATTTGAGGTTTAACTAAGTTCAGTTGAGGCTTCCTGTGTTTTGGCTTATGGGACCAAATTTTGTTCTCACAGGGTCTAATGAAGTGTGTACGCTGGGCATTGTGGCCAGAAAATCCTCCTCTCCAATAAAATGGGTCACCACATGTACAAGGTGACACCAAACAAGCTGGCTATGCTTGTTAGCTACATGCCTGTTAGGCAGACATCCTGAACTCCATAACATAGAATTTGAAGTGATTTCAAAAGGAGCGAATTCTTGTGCCTAAATGGGTATTATTTATAGCAATTCAGTTGTTGTTTACAAGGAGAAATCTACAAAAACTTGCAACACTTGTAAGGCCCCAGAATTGAACCCACTAAATTAAGCCATATCATTACTCATACCCAGTGTTCTCTTTATTAGGCAGTAGCGGATGAAATTTACTTCTTGCAAAAGCATTTATTACTAACTGCAACCTGTAATAAAAATTGAAAATTCAAACAACCGGTGTCAAGAGTTTAGGGTTTTGGAATCCTATTTTGCATTAACTTCTGGAAAGCTAAGAAGAACACTGGTCATGCCACCCACAACAATGTGCTACACTAAACATATAAGCTACAATAAAAGCCAACATTTCTAACTTATTGGTGCTAAAGCTAACCTGTAGATGTTGCACATGCTAGTCGACCAGAGGAGTCCATAGCAACTGCACCAACAGTGTCATGTCCAGGATTAACAACAGCACCAGTATTGCATGTTTCTGTATTATAGCCACTCAAAACAGCTTCATTGAAATTTTTGTTTCCTTCCAATTGTAGTCTTGATTCTTCGCTGATAAGTGCGAGAGGATCAGATAAAATTGGAAAATCTATTTTCTTTGCATACTTTAAAGCGCCATTGCCAACCAATAGAGAATGAGGAGTGTCTTCCATCACATGACGAGCTAGAGACACAGGATTTGCTACACCTGTTACTGCTGCAACAGCACCTGGAGAAGAAATTGCAAATTATCTTATCATCAAACCAAAGACCAAATTCAATCTAAGAATTTTAAGAAAAAGCACAAAACTGAGAGCTGAGAGAAAACTTCTTCTGCTACAAATCAGAGAGAACTGTAAAGCACTTTTATAGAAATATTTCACTGTTAATTCTATAACAAAAATCTCTAGAAAAGCAATCAATGACAATTTTTCTACTGTTGTATTCAAGGCAAAATGAATCCAGTACCCATATGTTGCAGTTTGGTACCAAATCTGGAAACATCTGTTCTATGGCAAAGTTTATCTAAATTTACCTGATTCTAAGGTCTGCCCATCCATGATCATGGCATCAACTTCAACAGTCAACTCCTCTGTGAGAACTGAGCCATGACCTGCATCAAAAGTTGGATCATCTTCCAGAATACGAACAGCTGCCTCAACTGTGTCAACAGCTGTTCCACCCTTGGTTAAAATGAATTCATTCATTATTGCTTACAATTGGACTATACATAATTCCTCTCTTCTAGCTGCTATGTGTTTCTTTATTAGTTACTTATAGATAAATAAATAATAGTCTATTTTGGTACAAAAATATGCACAATATTTGTCTGTAACATCATCTGTTCCAAGATACAAACAGTTTTCTGAAAGTGAAGCTCAAGGAAATCTGTGAGCTTTAAGGATCAGATAATGTCCAAGGACAAATACATGAGCACATTTTTCACAAAATGGAGGCTATTGTGTTTATTATCTTTCATGTATTTTGCAACATGCATAAAAAAAATTTTTACAAACAGCTTACTGTTTGCTGTGCGAAATATTTCCTTTTGAGTGTTCTCTAGCACAACTTTATGAACAAACAAATACTTAACTTCTTCTGTAACAACCATTTAACTCTCCCATCTCAAATAAAATATTATATGAAAACTTATCATAGTGGATGAAAGGTTTGAAAATTGGGGAATATTACATGCGAGATTTTCTTGATTCCCCTAGGATATCCCCCTAGCAGAGAAATACTTGGTCATGCGATGCACTTAGAATAATTGGGCACCAGCGAAAATATTTGATGTATCAAGATAGCATTCTTCTTCCCAGGTGGTTCTTTGTCTGTTTGCATTACCCTCTGCTTGATATTTTTCCTTTGAAATTGTGGGGGGGTGGGGGGGGGGTGGTGGGGGTGGGAAAGGGAGGGTTATCTGTCAATTAGTTCTGAGAGTGAAAGGGTTTCCTTTTTTGTTTTAAATGAGCCTGTGACTTGATACGTTCTAAAACAGGATTGATTGTGAGAACCTCTTGAAGAAACGGTGATGCATAATGGCAAAATGTGACCTGTATTTATTATTGCAATCAATTCCATTATGTTTCTTACGCAGATCTCACCTTTAATAAGCACTCGTACCCTTTTTGTGCAGCTTTCTTGACCCCACTGACTGATGACTCTTTCCAGGCGTCTGGTATGGCCCAAGCCCCACCGTGCACTATAATACAGGGTCGCACACTTGTTGGCTCAGTCGCCTTTCTTTCCTCCATTGCTCGATCGGCAAGAAGGAACGTATTACTCTCCACGATAGCGTCGGTTGACTCCAACTGCAACTTACCATGAGAGCCTATAGATTACGAATATTGCGTAGTTTGTAAAGCATATGAGGAAAATAACTCGTCCAGCCCAAACTACGTCCAGAGTGAAGCGTCACGGTGTGGCGTTACAAGTGCATTTCGACTCCAGGCCTCTTCACAAATTACCGTACGCGCGACAACGGTAGGAAATACTCAATGAAGTAAAGAGACAGATCCAGTAAGATTTTTATCAAACTGATCTCGATTTCGACTCTTCAAGACCACCTTTCTGTAAGGTCGATATCACCACGTTTTCACATTTCATACGGTTATGCGAGTTTATCTTGTTCGGTGTAGTATTTTCGCTGGAACGTGAACTTGCATGTCACATAACGTGTTCCTCACAATCGTAGGAGTTGCCTACTTTTTTTTTTTTGCCAATTCCTGAGAAGAAAAAGAACCTCGAGTTCATTCTTTTTATTGTAGCACTTGTTTCAGGAAACGAATAGTGACAATAAGTTTACAGCTAGTGCAAAAAATATACGCAATCTTAGTGTAAGAAAAAAGATAACCATGCCCTTCTAGGCCCAACATACTCATAACGCACTCACAGACACAGTTTGGTGCAAGAGTACCCTTTAACACCTTATTTTCATCACCATATTGTGGTGGTACCCCCTTTTCCTGAAGTTACATTTAGTAAAGAAAATCCGATGAGCAATATTCAGGGAATTTTCACAATGTTAACAAAGAGATGCAAAGTAAGACAGACGGAGGGGAAAGCTTAACCCTTTAACTCCCAGAGGTGACTAACATATAACTTCTCCCTATAATATCCATACATTATTCACAAAAGGGTGATGAGAATACTCAATATTATCAGGTTAAAGTCGTTATCTTGATATAAGACCAAATTCCCCTAAATAATTTACAAGGAAATGTATAAAGGCTAGAGGGGAGAATTAACAATTAGATCTTGGGAGTTAAAGGGTTAAGGGGAGTTTTTGCAATCAATGATATGCGGATTTCATTAAAAGAAACTTTTCATGCCCCACAATGACAGTAAACTGTGATTGTTGGTAACCCCCATGATAAAATCCACATACCCAAATAAGTTTTCAAGATTTCTCTAATTAATTTTATTCCAGAGATTTTCATTCAGAGGGTAATGTAATGTTGTATAGAAAAAGAGAATTACAACATCATGAGTTACATTTTATTACCACTAGCTATGATTGAAATAGATTTATTTTATAAAAACTGTCATATAAATCTGTACAAAATTATATAAACATTTTATGTTACTTAATCAATGACAGTAACAATGTTGTCATGGTAACTGTAATATTATGCTAAAACTATTTCTCTACAAACATTTCTAAAGTTGATATCAGCCATTTTGGAGAGGAAAATTATTTTATAAAGAGCATAAAATTTCTAAATCTATTTTTAGATCATTTTGAACATTTGGGTGTAAAATCTGACTTGACAAATTATTTGAACATTTTACATTGGAATCTCTTGTTCTTCACCCAGCTCCTGTCCAAATTTAATAACATGTCTGCTAACAAATGCCCAAGTCATATGCTTGGAGGAAAAAGCTAGTCCAAACTCTCCATGATTATTTAGTGCTATAACACCACCTACACCTTTAACTGAATTGGCCATTTTATTAATTGATTTTTCACAGGCTTCCTTGGTTTCTAAGCCATCTTCCACATTTCGGACCACCTCCCAAGCCAGAACAGTTTTCATCAACGATTCTCCATGACCAGTGGTAGACGATGCAGCCACTGTATTGGCATATCCTCCACATCCAACTAATGGGCTGTCACCAACTCTCCCTGGCATTTTCATTGGCAATCCACCTAGAAAAATGTTCATATGATGGATCTTGTTACACAAACAAGTCTTATCAGGAGCCCATTACCCAGAGCCTCCATACCAATTGTACCCTTGAGTCAACCATGTCCCGTATCGTATTTTTTTCTTTAGATATGTGGGGGGGTGGGGGGTTCTTTAATTTCCCGCGAAAACATGCTGACGTTTGCTTAACACCCTAACAAAAATTGGCAGCCAAAGGCGAAGGCTGACCTCTATTTCTTCTCTGCATGTGATGTAAACAATAAAGGACCACAGCTCTCTTATGATTGGCTATTATGTAAACACCCACAAAAAACCCTGTGGGAGGTGCTTCTAAAAATAAAAAGATACGGGACAGGGTTGACCCAGAGGGTAAGTTAGGAGGATGGAAGCTCTGGGTAATGGGCTCCTGGTTTTATCAAATGTTTCTTTGACCAGGGAAAGGTTTGGGTGGGGTGTAATAATCTGACTATATTCAGGGCCGGGAGAACTTTTAAGTGGTTAAAAATCCAGGCTATATCCTGCACTGTAAGAGAAACTCTCATTCATAACATGGTAGAAGCACAGCTAAGTATGCCCCTTACTAAATTGGCATACCCTCTAGCTTCATATCTGACTTAATGCAGTGCAATTTCATAGAAAACCATACTGAAAACTAATGTGTGTAGGGCCAGATGGATTGACAAAAAGCCAGTCCAGAGATATTAGTCCAGCCCTACACTCACATGGCTTTCTTGCAAAAACTTAAAGGAAAAAGAGAAAAGAGTCCAAAAAAAATTGTGTTTCAATGAATTGTGTGTTTTTATGGTTCTGACTTGAAAAGACAAAGGAAAAGTTTTTATATTTTTCGTGGTTGCACCAGTCTGTTATATACTGGGTTCAAACAAAATTTTCAAAATTTTTAACATTTAGCGGTCATATAATAAAATGCTTATTGACTGAGTTTGCTCGGTCATGGTGAACTGACCACAATGTGCCTGGTCCATTCCTTATGACCCCAAGTCAAATATTTAACTGTCCAACCCTCCCACTCAGTCAATAAGTACATAGTAATTACCATACATGCACATTGTACATCTACCATATTCCCAAAAGTTACATGCTCCATCAAATTATAATCTAGTAATCACAACCAGCTAAAATGGTCTTGGTCATTTAACCCTTTACACCCTAATTTCATCATGCATATTCTCCATACTGTTCTTTATACATTTCCTAAGGTGCTGACAAGGAGATTTTGGTCACTGATCAAAAGCTTCTTTAGTTAGTAATCATTTCCTTCATTCTTATGACCTTAATGTGTGATTCAGGGGTGATATTGTGGGGAGAAATTAGATGCTAGTCACTCTTAGGATTTAAAGGGTTAAGAAAGGGGAATGCTTGTTAGTTGGGGGGATCAGGTGATAAGCTATGAATACCACAAAAAATGAAGTCATTAAATGAAGATTGGAGCTGTTTCATATGCCACAAGGTCAACCCCAACCCCACTTCTATAATGCTCTTCCTTTTGCCAGAGCCTACCATGTTTGAGCATAGTTGTTGATTCATAAGTTTCCCTACATATTAATTGAAAATTACTCCAAGTGATTGGTATGATTCTATACAGTTTGATGTGTTAAGTATACCTAACAACATCCCAGATTGTATCTATTGCTTGGGGTCACTATACCACCAGAGATTGAGAACACACCTGTTGAAGTTGCACATGCAAGTTGTCCCCAAGAATCTAATGCAACTGCTCCTACAGTGTCAAATCCCTGTGAACTTCCAGTACTATCTGTTTGTTTTGAATTCCCAGAAATAAAATCTTCAACTGTTCCCACATAATTTGCTGCATCAACTGAGCGTTCATGTGATTCAGCTGTGACGAGCACTAATGGATCCTCAACAACAGGAAATCCAATCTTCTTAGCAAACTTTAAAGCTCCTTCCCCAGCTAGCAAGCAATGAGGAGTATCCTCCATAACGCGTCGTGCAAGAGAGACAGGGTTGGCTATGGCTTGAACACAAGCAACTGCTCCTGAAATTTAATTTGGAATGCATGAAAATTAGCATTTGTTTAATGAACATAATGGTGCTTCACTGTCACAGCTTATCTCAGCTTCTATGAAATGAAATGACTGGACAGCCAATACTCCTTGGAAATTTTCATTTGAATTGTCAAGGTTTCCAGACAGTCTATTACCACCTTTTTACAACATCTGAGTCAAAACTTAATTTTTGTTTTTTCAAAGCTTGCCAGAATCCTGAATTACATTATGAGGCCCAAGTTTTTAATTTTGATTTGAGAATTTAGTTTTACGTAACAAATTTTTACAACGTATTATCCAAAAAAAGTCTTGCACGTCTTGAAACTCAAATCAGCCTTGTGTCACGCTAAGCGAAAATCAAGGCGAAATAGGAGTGCTACGAAAAATCGCGACCAGATAAGTAATAACGTACCAAAAACACAGGGATATGTTACGGAGACGGCGAACCAATTTAACCGCTGATCTTGATTATAATTGTCTATACTGTCTCGTAAACTGAAATCAATAAGCTAAGAGAAACTAGTGTAAGAACGCGCGTGGCGATTAAAAACTGAAAATAACTGAGAGAAGCCTACGCGACACAATTAACGTGTGATAATAAAGGAAATACCAAAATGTACCTAATGAGCTTGCCCCGAAATTACAATAACAGAACACTTAAATTTCATAGTAAATTTCCACGCGACCACCAGGGCGCGACATCACAAAATTACTTGCACAAAACATGAATAAACAATGACTATAAAGGTTATGAGGCAAGCTATGCGAAAATAGAAACATAATATCAAAAACTTACATATCGATTCCGCAACGCCGATGGCACGCACAACTAAAAATTTGATCGACGATGACAAAGAACGAACTACAACTAACGACACGGAGATAGGAAAACTGAGAAAACTAAGTGTAAACAGAAACCTTAAAGATCAAAGAGAAAAATCGAAGCCCAACTGTAACGCACAGTCACGCAATTACACCTTGATCTCGAAAGTTTACGAGAATCAAGAAGCAATTATCAAGGGACAGTATAAATATGAACCTAAATAGTACGCTGCACAAGCCACAGGGCCAAAGTGCATCTCCCAGAATGAAAACAGCATCAGCTTCAACATTACAGTCTCACCAGCTGCCAAACTGTGTCCATCCATTATAAGTGCATCAAGCTCGGCCGTGTTTTCCTCTGTGAGCGCACATCCACGTCCAGCATTGAAAAGAGGGTTGTCTTCCATATTTCTGACAGCTGCTTCAACAGCATCTACTGCACTTCCACCCTGTGTTGGATAAAAAATTTCACTTGACTTACAACACTCGCCCGACAACGCTCTTCATTTCATTTGCAATTGTTGACTTCCGCCAAGGTTGTTGAAGCGTCAACCTCTACTCATGCCAGGGCTTCTCCCACCCAAACAATCAGACTAAAAAATCAAAAAGGTAGTAATACTTGGCAAAAGAAATACATTTTATATTGCTTGCACTTACAATACCTATCATTTACTCCGCTCATGCATGTACTTGTGAGAAACAGTATGTTTTGGTTACTCATTTAAGGTCATGTGATAATACTCTAAAGAACTGCCTCTTTCAATTTGCTCTTATCTATAGGCATATGTATGCACAATTTGCCAGAGATAAAGCTAGAAATTCCCTTGAGACCTGAAATGGGTGGACAAAACAAACCAGTTTACGAGGTCTATTGATTATAAAATGGCTAAGTAATTTTCCATAAATTCACCTCAAGAAGCACCGCATATCCTTTTCTAGCTGCAAGTTGAACACCCTGTTTGTAAGGTTCTTTGAAATCCTCAGGGATAGGCCTACAGCCGCCATGGATGATAATACACGGCTCCATGATTTTTAAGAAAATTTTTACAGACTGTCTCTGAAGGCATATATAATTTATTCGCAGGCCATAGTCGTACTTGTCTAGTGTCCCAGTGTCCGCCGCGTTAAACAGACTTGAGACGGAGCCCGCAATCACTAACAGCATGGTTGTTTGAATATATTTGTTGTCATGTAATAATTTATGTAGTGTCTTGAGTAACGGAAGCATAGTTTGGAAACAAATATGGCGCCGAGTATCGTTACTTGGACTATTACTTCCTTTCAGATAGTTCTCACTTGATTTTGCTACGAAAAATTTATAGCAATTTGTTATTCTCTTTTCCGGGTTCTCTTAAGTCAGAAACCATCGCGCATGAGATAATTTGACGTTTTTATCCTGATGATCTACAGTTAATTTTCGGAAGTTTTGTTACAAAACCTCGGCGTGGTTGATATTGCGCTTTTCAAGTTCCCTGTGCAGCGTTTGAAAACCTGAAAGGAAGCAGACTATGCCGAAAGTGAGACTTGGTGCGTTCTATCATTGAAATTACGCGGACTTCATGGCAACAGGTATCAAAATATTTCATCAGATATTCATTTCAATTTAATAGGATGGGCTTAATGTGTCGAGCTTAATTTTGAAATACTTGTGGTATATTAGCTTACCTTAACAGCTATACTTTGCTAGCCTTGTGCCATTCTTGAAGTCCCTCTCCTTAACTTTACATGTAGTGCCTGTTTATACTTGTATGTGTTGTTGATTAAAATTGACAGGTCAAAAGGACGTCAATATGGGTTGATTTGTTTTTTTCTTTGTTTAAGAATCATGATAATTTGTCTTAAACAATGGAAAGTACAGATACAACTAGAATCCTTGTCAGAAATCTTAAAACACTCCTGTTCCAGGTCCCCCTTCTTCCATTCAAATGGTGGTTGTTTAAAAGAACAGTGCATGCAGATTATAGAGCAGTGGTAGGGGAGCAGGGTATTTTAAGAAAACCACAGAGGGGTTGTAATTAAGGATCATTTTGACCTATGTTCGCAAAGAACTAAAAAATATAGGTGAGCTTGTAAATTGTTACTCTTGGGCTTCTTTATTTGGGTGGGAACTGAAGTATTTAGGGTGCCAAACCAATTAATCACATTTATGAAATGTCATATGCATTAAGCATCTATTTGAGTAACTATGACAATCCTCCTCACATTTGGGCTGTTTCTGAAATGACAGATGAAGCACCAAGATCAGCTAAAAAGAAACATTGGAGAGCCAAGTCCAATCTTGAGTCACAGGTTTGTGATCAAAGACTGGTCTTTTTAATAGAATGAAACTTCAGCGCAATGTGTAACAAGATAGGAAAACACTAAACATTTAGAGATGAACTTAAGAGGATGAGAATGGAAAGGATTGGCATACAATGCAAATTACAACTATGCAAATGTCAGAAAAATTTTTGATAGATTATACATGTAGGCACTGTGACCAGCTCATTGTAAGCCTTGGTGTGTACTTTTCTGTGTGGAAGTTTTCTTTTTTTCGGAAATTTGTGTTTTAATCAAATGGAAGCATCTGCAAAGAGTGCAAATTATATTACTAGGTGTTGATTTTACATATTCCAGTTCTGTAGGGCACCAATAAATTCAAAACATTTGGTTTGCTCTGATTTTTTTCTTCATGCATGAGTTAAGGTGCCAACTTGTTGTGAATTATGTTAGCCAATAAATACCTGTGTTTAGGAGATAGAAGAATTCTCCAGCTAGTTAACAGAATTATTAGTCTAAATTTTGATGCCCTGAGCTATTTTTTTTATTCAGACTTGGAGAATATTACACTATTATCCTGCTTCTACATTCTAATGCACATGCCATGAACATCAAATGCTATGTATACATTCCCAATAATTATTATCAAATGATAAAAGTGTCACTTTGGTTTTCTTAGGTAGCCTGGTTATTTATTTTTTACATACTCATTTCTTTCTAACTTGTATCATAGTTTTAACTTTATATGTTTTGTTTTAGAGAGAGGTTGGTGGATCAACAGATCAATGTAAGTACATTGCATGTGATCTTTAGATATACATGTTCAATGATATATATGAACATCAATGTACATAATCTCCTTACTGTTCTATACATTTCTTATGGAACTGGTAAGGAGAATTTGTTGAACACTCAAGAGCCTCTCTAGATGTTGATCATTTCCTTTATTCTCATGACCTTGATGTGTGACTCAACAATGATACTTTAGGGAGAAATTATGGGTAGATGTGAGTTACTCTCAGGGATGAAAGAGTTAATGTGGAAATTAAATACCAATTATAAGAAAAAGATAGTTTTATCTGTTACATTGTTATGCAAAATTTGAAAAAAGTAGCTTTTAATTTGAAATTACAAGTTTAAAATAATTTTTTATTATGATTTATGACTACAAGTTTAAAATAATTTTTTTTACTAAATGAAACTTTTTGGGGAGACTTTCCAAAATTTTCAAAATTGAGTTCAGACATGCACATTGTATGGTAAACAAAAATTTTGTGTTTTTTGTCCAATGCAAACTTTTATTAACTTAACAGACTCATTGTGCAGGTGGGGTGGGTGGGATTCTATTTCTAAATTTGGGAGGAATTTTGTATTTATTAAATCTATTTCATTTCTAATCAGTAATAACTCAGGAGAGCTCTAGGGTGTTGAAAGCTCGCCAACAGACACAGGCCAGATTTGAATCATTTCTTCAAGATGCAGTAGCTGAAGACAGGTGTGAAGTTTCTATATGTTTGATATCAATTATAATATTGAGACTCAAAATAATCAAACAACCAGGTTCAAAACATGTCTACCATGTGCTTGGGTTTTTTAATACACTGTGCATGCCTAACTTTGTCCCATCGCATGAGGGCCTGGACCTAAGTATACTACATAAATGAACCCCATTTTAGGCTGACATCTTGTATTAAGAAGACACTAAGTTAAATTCTGATCAAGTTGTCTTTGGTTGACACCCCTATTAACACTTTATGCCCTGACATCAGTCTCCATATTCTCCATACTGTTCTCTTTACATTTCCTTTGGTACTGACAAGGGAAATTTGTTTAACAATCAGAGCTTCTTAGGTTGGTGATCATTTCCTTTATTCTCATAATGTTATTGAATGATTCAGTAGTGTTACTGTTAGGAGAAATTAGATGCTGGTCACTCCTAGAGATGAAAGGGTCAAGTAGACATGCACACCTAGGATCTGTATTCAAGTATTCTTTATCAAAAATTTGATATTTTAGGAAAAATGTGAAGATTGAAAATCATACTTACTGGCAGGCCTTGTTATGACATGTTGTACTTTGCCAGTTTTCTGGATAAGGCATGTCAACCCAACTAATGCACCTTTTCTGTCTTCAATGATATTTGCAACTAAATTACTTTATATTATTCTCTCATAACAGAGCATACTTAAGAATAGAGAGCCTTATAGCTGTTTAATAAATAGCCAATAATGTACTTGCTATAAGACTGTAGTAAATCAAAATGTTTTTACCAATGAACGGTTTACTAGAAGCTGTTTTAGAGTGAAACCCAGTAGTAAGGGTGCTATACTTCATTCCTATACTACCAATTGAAAATAAAAATAGATAGCAAGATATTGTCTTCATGAGCAACTTATTAACATGTCAAATTACTCACAAACATTATTAAGTTTACAAGAAACAAGAAAAAAGAAGAAGAAGAAGAGAACCCACACAAGTGATGCAGTGGTAAGATTTTTTTTTTAAAACAGAACTAAGTTTGCTAGATATTGAATTCTTCATAACTGAGCTAATGGCCTAACATTGATGAGCTACAAGGAACCTCTAGTGCAATATTGTCCACAAATTGATTCTTGTTTTCTTTTTAGCTTGAGACCATTAAGGCAGGGAGTCCTATTGCTAAACCAACATCGAAATCAGAGGAAAATCTCCTTCAGGCAAACTTATACAAAGATGGTAAGACAAGATCTCTCTGGTCTCAATAAATAACGTATGTAGCAAATTTTGAGCTTTTTTTGTCACATAAAAGAAGTAGTGATTCACAAGGAATCAAATGACGATATTAACTAAAGATACCACTATGCTCTTCCACTAAGCTACAGGATGCCCACAGAAGGAAAAGTTGGGCCTTCATAGTAGTAGCATCAGTAGTCTATATTAACTCTCATCTTGGGAGGCTATTCTATATTGAGCAGTTAACAAATTTTTGGTAAGGAAGTTTTTGCAAGTCCTCTAGTTTCAGAAACAAAGCCAAACCACAACAGTGGGAGCTACATTCCCTACTCTTTGTGAGAAGTGTGTGTGTTTTTAACGTCCCCCGCTAACCAGAACAAAGGAGATGCAAGAGACAGAGCCTATATAGTTTATTATCCTTATCTGAGAAGACTAGAATTGTCCAACCATTTGCAGATGTCATAGCAAAGGCAGCTCACTCTTCTTAGTTATTTTAAGACCATAAGTATTAGTCTGGTCTGGGGCTTGAATGCTTGACCTCCTGCAGGACAGTCCAACCCCCACCCTCCTGAGCTAACAAGGTAGTAAAAATTTTTAAAGTGGAAAAGGAATAAGAGAGATGGTAACTTTTTCTTTACTCAACATCTGAGACTAAAATTTACCAATCATTTGTTCAATGTTTTGTTAGATGATTCTATACAGGAAGGAAAAGAAAATAAACAAAGCTACAAAGATCTGTTGGAAGGTTCAGTGACAGAGCCAGCCAGAGTGGATGGCAACACTCCAGAAAGAAAGACTACTAAGAAGGCACGGCCCAAGAAGACTAGAACTTTGACAAGGTAGAGCAGTTAAGTGAATAAAGCTGATTAATCAGAAAGATAAGAGTTGCTCGGATTTAGTCAATCAAAAAGTCAGATACCGTAGTCAACTGCTGAGAGTATCACTGGAAGTAGAAGAGACATATGTGCAGACAGTCAGATAAAGGTCAGAGAGTCACAAAGACAGTTAGATTGTAATTCAGAGAGTAAAACAAAATCATAATCAGACAGATATTCAGAGAAACATCAACACAATAGTCTGGTGGAGAACAGATGGACAATTAGTCAAGAAGACCAGCTTACTGACTTATTTATGTACGTAATCCTCTCTATCTCTTATGGGACACAAGGCAACAGCAATCTCTTTCCATTAGCCCTGTTTTGTGCAGTATTTTTTGCATTTTGTGTGAGTTTTACTTCTCCAAGCTCAGCCATGACAATTTGAAAAGTCAACCATTAGAGGCAGTCACTCAAGTAGACAACTAGCCTTACATGTATACATTTTCTCATATAGTCATACTGGCACTAGCTAGTCAGCCACTGGTAGCTCTTGACCTTCTGAATCATAATAAATTGTAGTGATCATCACCTTAAGAAAGCCTTTTTTAATTTTTATTTTAGTGAACAAGGTACTCCAGATGAGCCTGCAGAAAAGCCCAGAAGAAGGAAAAAACCTAAAACTCCAGAACCAGGTGTTGATCAAGAAAGGGCAAAAGAAAATCTTGGATTTGAGAATGAAGCAGCTCTGGATGTAGAAGATGTGAGCACTGATATGCATGTGTGGTTATTGATATTATTTTTAAAATATTGATGTTATTTTACAATTTTAGCACCCTATAACTTGTGATACATGGCATTCCCTTCATTGTTTGTGTGTGCTATGTCCTTTATGAGTATCATTTTACAAACAAATAATTGTTATCCATAGGCTGGACAATCATCCACTACTACTCCAAAGAAAAAGAAGGGAAAAGTCAGAAGGAGACTTCATGGTATTTAGCCTTTTTGTTTGTTGTTTTTGTTAGATTCTGTCCATGTACAAGTCATAGTTATGACTGATACATTTTGATGTCTCATAAACTTAAATGTAGCTGCAAAGCTGCATACTGGAAACAAGGCAGTTTTTGATTAGTTCATTCTTCCTGCAAAGGGAATTAAACATATAAACATATTGTCAAAATTTGTTCCTTCATGATAAAGGAAAAATTTTATATAGTAGGGCTTAATTGAGTGGCAGGCCTAGAGAAGATTTTTTTTTCATATTAGGGGTGTGGTGTCACCTGAACCCCCTTCATAGCTGCACCCTTGAGTAATAAACTTCACCCTACACCTTAACCTACTGTTTAGCTTTTTTAGGAATTATCTTTTTGTTATCTTTAGACCCTGATGCTGATGACTCATTGACAGTTGTGAAGAAAAGGAGCGATGATGGTTACATTCTGTCAGTTACTGTCCATCGTGCTGACAATCTGAAACCTGATCTCTTAATTTCTCATCCAATGGTAAGAGTCCATGTGGTTGATATGGAAACAGGGCAATATGTCAAGAAATCCGACAGGTAAACACATCTTAATACACATTGCTATTTCCTTGTACAAGTAGGTGGTTGTTTAAGATGAAGGGGGTAAGTTCCTAAAGAAACTGTGGTGCTGCCTCAGTGGCAAAATGTGACAGGGTAACTTAGTATTACCAAAATAGTAACAAAGGTGATATTTCAAGTATTTGCCCTTTGTCAGACAAGGGGCTAGAGCTCGAAACATCAGCTTTGTAACTCTTTGTGGTGGCCAGTTCTTTTAGATACATGTGATGGACATGCTAATTTTGTGATAGGAATAATTGGATTGATTTCAATATATGTACTAAACCTTTTTTTTCAGCATGCTAAGGTGGATTCTCATCCCTTTGGGTTTTGTGGTATTTGGGTCAATGTTAAATAACCTAATTAAAGTTGTTCCTAGTCTGGTGATAAGGGATGGCTCGAAATACTATCCTATGACCCAAAATCAGTTTCAATGACTCAAACCAAACAGTACTTAAGGGAAAGGAAGAGACACTACATTAATACTAAGATTAAATTAAATTAAGGTTAAAGTTAACTGTTGCAATCTTCAATCGAAAATCATGCAGATGGTCTAAAGGCTGATGGGGGTTCTGTTCACAGCTGGGTTACTCACTACTTTGATGAAAACTATTGCAAATTTTTGATATTATAGTATAAATAATGCACATGGCACAATACATAATTATTTGGGAGGCCTGACATATTTAGATATCTTTATTTATGTTCCTGCCTAGGGACTTACAATTTTTGGATACTTTTCAAGTAGTGAATTAGTTTAGTTTGAGTTCAAACTCATCATTCAAAAAGTAACAATAAAGGTCTTTGATGAGCAGTGTTGAAACATGCATTATTTGAGTCAGGCATGATGAGATTTTAACACTTTTCAATTATGAATATCATGTCTCTCATTTATAGTTCTCGCAGTGTGACTTCCTACTATGAAACTCAAAGTGATGCTCCTGTTGACTTCATAATGCCTGTCATGACACAGCCCTATGATTTTAAGAAATACAAGTGAGTTAAATTGTCACTATTGTCTTTTCTTATTATTGTCCTGTCCCTAAGAATTTCCATTGCCCTTCTCTTCTTGTAAATACCATCTTTTGCATTTGAGTTCAAACTTGTGATCTTCAAGTGGAAGAAATACAAAACTAAAAAATTACACCACTTTCCAGATGACTAAAAAATGCACTTGGTGAACACTAAGGCTTTTGTGCTCTATTCCCTAATTTTCTTTTTAAACTTGAGTTGCCTTTGGATCAAATTGTTGTTGCTGCTATTTATGCCCCTACCAGGTGATCTTTTCACTCTGACTTACATGTTGCATATTGTCCTGGCTTACTGTCTCTTGTGGTTCTACATGAATTTATTTCCAGGTCTTTGACACCATCTTGGGAAGAAGTTCTTCTATTCAACGATGTATTCTCTTACTTTTTAAGTCGCAAGGAATCAGATCCAAAAGTTATAATGTTTTTTGAGGTGAGGATCACTTTTTGTAGCAAATGAAGTTTGAAGGGGAAGGGGTGTGATTGATCCAGTTAAAATAGATGAGGTCGTTTAGCTTGGACCTTACAGTGGAGCGGTCACAAACCCTTTCTCAGAATGAACATCGTCTCGTTTAAATTTGTCCCCTTTGAGCCTTGTGACTCTGAAGATCCTGCTGATCTCATGCTTTTCGACTGATATAGTTAAAGGGAAACAGGGAAATGGGTTATTGTCCTAGAGTCAACAAATCTATTTCTAAGCATTGACCAGCCAAATTTCTTTCAAGGTAATGTAACCAACTTACAGACATATACAATAATTTTCTATTTTTCTGTAAGGTGGTTGACTTCTTGAGCATGACAGCTGCAAAAAGAAGGAAAGGCGTGGTGACAGGTGACAAAGGATGGTACCATGTGGCATGGGCGTTTCTAAAAGTAAGTTGCTTCATTAGCTGTGTTATGAGAAGGGTTGGGGAGGGGAGGGGGGGAGCTGTGTTCTTGTGGGGCAAACTTGTAATAGGGTGTAAACCTCCGATTGTTAGAGTGAAAATTTCGTATTTAAAGTTGAATTAATGACTCTTACCTCTAGTCCTTCTTGGATAAAAAAAAAAGTTGTGGTTATAATGCAATTAAATGCAATTTAACGGAATTAACAACAAAGAGCATCAGCGTTCTCTGGTACTCAGCGGGTTTTTTTTGCATATGCGCATGCGTCGGAATTCCATGTGCTCTTCATTTGAGGCGTTCCTAAGTGTGCTTTGAGCGTGAACTTGCAACGTTGTGAGGAGTGCCAGCTCATCATCCAGGCAGTTTTCCCACCCCTTCCCTCCCTCTTTCCACTGTTTACTCAGCGTCCCTTTCCTGTGTATGGGCTCATGGCTGGGTTGCCAGGATTTGCCAGCCATGAGAGAAGTCTCCTTCTAGGAGCTGAATGTCAATGGTGGAAGCTCCTGGATGTCTCGGGCATCCAACCTCTACTTAGCGATGCAGTTGTTAACCATGATTTTGCACAACGACACATTTTCACTGAAGCAAGGAAAGCGGACAAAGATGATGCTTTCCTTATACATGAGAAAGTTTTCATTTCTTAATGGGAAGTACTTTTGAGTGAAAAAGAATTAAGTTCACATAATTTTTGTTTTTCCAAGGTTGTCGGTGGGAATGGCGCACCCAACACGGATAAAAAGGTTCGTCTCCAACTGTTCCAGCCTCCCAAGTCTACAATCAAAACGAACAACATAGTGGAGGTAAGATAGCTGTTGATATGGTCACTATGGGTTTAACCCTTTAACTCCCATGAGTGACCAAGACAGAATTTCTCCTAACATTATCAACACAAGATCAAGTAGACAAGTGAAGAGAATAAAGAAAAATATCGATTAGGGGATTGCTAGTTGATCCAATATCAAATTCTCTAACCTAACATCATAATAATTGTATTGCAGACAGTAAGCTTCAAAATTCTTTACGGTGGCCAATGTACGTTATCAACTCAGTTGATAATGCTGAACCACACTGTTCTTTCCCACCGAAAGCACCACACTTTTTTTCCAGCCACCATCTCGTTGTAACTGTGGTGATCTTATCCACTCAGGTATACCAGTGGTGGAAGTTAACCAAGCGAGTGCCTTACCCCTCCACTCTTTATGTGACATTAAAGGGGGTCCAGCCACCCAAGACTATTGACCCGAGTTTGCGTTCTATGTTTGCCATCCAACAGGTTTGTCTCTTTTTTTTCCCCCTTTTCTTTGTGAACATTATGATAGGTATGGTGAACATTCGGGTCTTTACAAACTGCCAACAGAGATGTGTTCTGTGGAGTTTAAGCACTATAAAGAAAAATAACAGCTGCAACACAGAAACTTTAAAACTAGTTGCGAACATTTATTTCTTATTTGAGAAATTATAACGAGGCGAAGTTAAAAAATGCCGGTTTTTAGTTAGTTGTTAGTATTTATGGTAAGATCGGTAATAATAATACACTGAGTGATGCTCCCACACCTGTCACCATCATCAGCTTGCCTTCTCTTTAAACCCTAGTTTGTTCGGGAAATTGATGTCTTAAATTGTTTTGGTAATTAGTTTATTCTCGATTACAGGAAAAGGGTAAGGTATCGTTTGAGGAATTTGGTTTGGATGCTGAAAGACGAGCTCATGGAATGAGGTTTGTACCTTCCTTGCGCACTGACATGTGCTGTTTTTTTTTGTGTGCAATTTTTACGGGTTAAATGAGCACAAGAAGGACCAAATCGATCGTGATCTTAGGGTGTGGTGGTCGTTGATGAAAATCACTTGTCGTTCCCCCTCTCAGTCAAGAGTGTGAATGATTACCAGCAAACTGTTATTTGGAGACAAATCTAATATTCAAAAGGGGTTGTAGCCTGTCATACAGTTACTGGTTGATTAGCTCTAGTTCTATTTGCTTATTCTCAAGATGCAAAGACCGATTTCATTGTCGGTTTGATAGAGCGCTTTGTATTGGCGTGGTGTAAAATTAAAACCATAATAATCACAAAGGCAAAGCACAACAAATGCAAGTTTTTATAGGAGTTGTAGAATCCGGCAAACTGCTAAAAGGGACTGGAAAGCTAAGAGGTAACGAGTTGCCATTGGATTGGTTTTCGGTCAGACATACATATGTCTCCATCTGTCGCGCGTTTCAAGAAATCTAGGCTACATGTTTACGTCCAGAAAACCCGCAATCTTTTTTAGTTAAATATTAACAAGACTGCATATTTCAAATATTTAAGTTTTTGAAATGCATCAGGAATACAACCTTCTTGGATAAAGTACATATTTGGTGCACTTGAAGTGAAGAAAAGTTACCCGTACAATTCAAAGTTCTCTTTTCTGATGTTGCAGAGATGGAAAGAGTGACGATGAACTTCAAAACTGGAGCAGGCTTCCCGGTCAGGTAAACCAACTTTTTTATTTCATAACATGTCACTTGAATGATGTAGCTTATTTTCAATGGTGATGGCCGTTTACATTTAAGAACAAAGATGCGAAAGACCCGTTGCTTCTCGCGGAAAGCAAAGGAAACGATGGAAGAGATCTATACGCAGCCTAAACGTTGTTACTCATAATCTACAGTCAGACTCAATGGTTTATAAGCTTACCCGATTCTTCAGTTAATTTCATGAAATAATTACTGATTTAAATTTCTCTCGCCGAAAAAATGATACCTTTGAAGTGGAGCGCCCCCTTTTTAGCTCATTATAAGGCGAACCTGATCCCCTATCCAATGTTAATGATTACAATACTTCTCTTTCGTGATGGTTTTTTCCTGTATTTTGATTCTTGGCTGCAGATGAATCGTATTCCAAACAAACAAAATGCATCACTTTTGTCAGGAAAGAGGGGCTGTTTTATCCTCAAGTTCTCGCACAATGGCAGGTAGTGCTATTAGAAGTTAAAAAAATTTTTGTAAGCTTTAATATGTTAAAACAATGCTCTTCACTTATTAGTTGAATTTTAGCTTTGTATGCTTTTCTCTGCAAGAAGCTTAATGTAACTTCCACGAAGATTTCCAAATGTGCGTCATTAACAATGGTTTTAAAACTAATCTCGCACGTTGAGATAATTTACTTACGCTCTTTGGTTCGTAATCCAACTTTTCTTGGCACTGAGTAATTTCTTACAGTAATGCCGGGCTGTGAAATAGAGTAACGTGCTAGTGATCCAGTGCAGGCCCATTCATTCGATGCCCGTATATCACGAACAAATCGCTACATTGATCGTCAAGGCCAAGTTCTCGGGCGTGCTGAGAATCTGTCCATACTGAATCTTGACTGATTCTCCAGAATGAAAAGAAACTCAGTGACAAGCCAACTTCTTTAGCACAGAAATAACATGAAAAGAGATTGTGTATGAGAAAGGTGTAGAGAAGAAACAGAACTTACAGTAGTTTGTCACAGTGACATGTTTGACTCTATTCCTAGATACCTGGCTTGTGGGTGTGCAGACTTGGACAGCTTCCCTATTATTATATACGAGGTAACAATTAAGCCACATTTCCGCTGTGTCTGCACACGTATTTTCGTCATCTTCAGCTTTAATGTCTTCAATGTGCTAACGGTATCTAGCATCATTTCGATGTATTTCCCAAAGAATTATAAGTCCATTACCTTAGTTTGTTTCCTACATCAGTGTTTTGCACACGGTTTTCTTTGTGTTTTGTTTAATTATTTATTGAGTTAATGTCTCGCACACTATTTTCTTTGTGTGCTGTGTAATAATTTGTCACATTAGTGTCTCGTGCACTATTCTCTTTGTGTTCTGTTTGATTGTTTGTTACGTTAGTGTCTCGCGCACTTTTTTCTCTGTTTTCTGTTTGATTGTTTGTTACGTTAGTGTCACGTGCACTATTCTCTCTGTGTTGTGTTTGATTGTTTGTTACGTTAGTGTCACGTGCACTATTCTCTCTGTGTTGTGTTTGATTGTTTCCTACGTTAGTGTCACGCACACTAATCTCTCTGTGTTGTGTTTGATTGTCTGTTACGTTAGTGTCACGCACACTCTTCTCTCTGTGTTGTGTTTGATTGTTTGTTACGTTAGTGTCACGCGCACTATTCTCTCTGTGTTGTGTTTGATTGTTTGTTACGTTAGTGTCACGTGCACTATTCTCTCTGTGTTGTGTTTGATTGTTTGTTACGTTAGTGTCACGTGCACTATTCTCTCTGTGTTGTGTTTGATTGTTTGTTACGTTAGTGTCACGCGCACTCTTCTCTCTGTGTTGTGTTTGATTGTTTGTTACGTTAGTGTCACGTGCACTATTCTCTCTGTGTTGTGTTTGATTGTCTGTTACGTTAGTGTCACGCACACTATTCTCTCTGTGTTGTGTTTGATTGTTTGTTACGTTAGTGTCACGTGCACTATTCTCTCTGTGTTCTGTTTGATTGTTTGTTACGTTAGTGTCACGTGCACTCTTCTCTCTGTGTTGTGTTTGATTGTTTGTTACGTTAGTGTCACGTGCACTATTCTCTTTGTGTTCTGTTTGATTGTTTGTTACGTTAGTGTCACGCACACTATTCTCTCTGTGTTGTGTTTGATTGTTTGTTACGTTAATGTCACGTGCACTATTCTCTCTGTGTTCTGTTTGATTGTTTGTTACGTTAGTGTCACGTGCACTCTTCTCTCTGTGTTGTGTTTGATTGTTTGTTACGTTAGTGTCACGTGCACTATTCTCTCTGTGTTCTGTTTGATTGTTTGTTACGTTAGTGTCTCGCGCACTATTCTCTCTGTGTTCTGTTTGATTGTTTGTTACGTTAGTGTCACGCGCACTATTCTCTCTGTGTTGTGTTTGATTGTTTGTTACGTTAGTGTCACGCGCACTATTCTCTCTGTGTTGTGTTTGATTGTTTGTTACGTTAGTGTCTCGCGCACTATTCTCTCTGTGTTGTGTTTGATTGTTTGTTACGTTAGTGTCACGTGCACTATTCTCTCTGTGTTGTGTTTGATTGTCTGTTACGTTAGTGTCTCGCGCACTATTCTGTCTGTGTTGTGTTTGATTGTTTGTTACGTTAGTGTCACGTGCACTATTCTCTCTGTGTTGTGTTTGATTGTTTGTTACGTTAGTGTCACGCACACTTTTCTCTCTGTGTTGTGTTTGATTGTTTGTTACGTTAGTGTCTCGCGCACTATTCTCTCTGTGTTGTGTTTGATTGTTTGTTACGTTAGTGTCTCGCGCACTATTTTCTCTGTGTTGTGTTTGATTGTTTGTTACGTTAGTGTCACGTGCACTATTGTCTCTGTGTTGTGTTTGATTGTTTGTTACGTTAGTGTCACGTGCACTATTCTCTCTGTTTTCTGTTTGATTGTTTGTTACGTTAGTGTGACGTGCACTATTTTCTCTGTGTTGTGTTTGATTGTTTGTTACGTTAGTGTCACGTGCACTATTCTCTCTGTGTTGTGTTTGATTGTTTGTTACGTTAGTGTCACGTGCACTATTCTCTCTGTTTTCTGTTTGATTGTTTGTTACGTTAGTGTCTCGCGCACTATTCTCTCTGTGTTCTGTTTGATTGTTTGCTACGTTAGTGTCACGCACACTATTCTCTGTGTGTTCTGTTTGATTGTCTGTTACGTTAGTGTCACGCACACTATTCTCTCTGTGTTGTGTTTGATTGTTTGTTACGTTAGTGTCACGTGCACTATTCTCTTTGTGTTCTGTTTGATTGTTTGTTACGTTAGTGTCACGCGCACTATTCTCTCTGTGTTGTGTTTGATTGTTTGTTACGTTAGTGTCACGTGCACTATTCTCTGTGTGTTCTGTTTGATTGTTTGTTACGTTAGTGTCACGTGCACTATTCTCTGTGTGTTCTGTTTGATTGTTTGTTACGTTAGTGTCACGTGCACTATTCTCCTTGTGTTCTGTTTGATTGTTTGTTACGTTAGTGTCACGTGCACTATTCTCTTTGTGTTCTGTTTGATTGTTTGTTACGTTAGTGTCACGCGCACTATTCTCTCTGTGTTTTGTTTGATTGTTTGTTACGTTAGTGTGTCGTGCACCATTTTCTCTGTGTTCTGTTTGATTGTTTGTTACGTTTGTGTCACGCGCACTATTCTTTCTCTGTTCAATTTGATTGTTTGTTACGTTTGTGTCTCGTGCACTATGCTCTGTGTGTTTTGTTTTATTTTTCGTTACGTTAGTGTCTCGTGCACTATGCTCTCTGTGTTCTGTCTGAATTTTCGTTACGTTAGTGTCTCGTGCACTAGTCTCTCTTATTTCTGTTTAATTGTGTGTTACGTCAGTGTCTCGCGCACTATTGCCTCTGTTCAGTTTTATTTTTTGTTACGTAAGGTTCTTAAGCACATTTCTCACTATGTTATGTTTGATTGTTCGATACGTTGGTGTCTGGCGCACTATTCTCTCTGTGTTCTATCAGAAGTTCGCCCTTTGATTAACCTACTACCTACTCTTTTTCTGTGTGCTTTTTCTTTGTCCATGTTAGTATTGTGCACTGTTTTATTTGTGTTCTGTCTAATTGTTTGTTACGTTGGTCTCTTGGTTATACGCTTTAGGTCTGGCCCAAAATATATCCATGCCCGCAAACATTAACTTTATCCTTTATACTAATGATGGAGAGGCATTGGTAGAGAGGACTACTACGGATCTGAGCTGGATTTTTTGAAGACTTTTTGCGTGTATAAAGATGTTTTTGCCCTTTATGACAAACTTACTGCAATAGAGATTCTTTTGAAACGAATGACAATTCAGCAACGTTACAAAGTTTTAAACTGGCCTCCATGAGAGAGGGTCTTTATTTTGCTTTTTTTATTGTCAGGTACCATCATATGAAACTTGCGTTCATCTTCCTGGACACTTCAGTATCATATATGACTTGTGTTGGTCACCTGACGATTCTGAACTTCTGTCGACCTCTTCAGATGGAACTGTCAGGTAAACAATAAACTAACTGCCTTCTGTTGGATTTTTACCATGATCTTCGTCGCCTTGCGGATGATTTTATTTGAATTGGAGATTTAAGACAACTGCAAATCCTATCAGAAGTTCACCCTTTGATTAGCTTACCACCTACTCTTTTTCTTTGTCCATGTTAGTCAGCAACCTTAACTTGGCTTCTATCATTTGTCCAATGAACAGATGCTGGGACACAAAGACGATGATGACGTCATCTATCAAGCTGTATCCACACCCGTGTTTTGTGTATGCAGCACAATATCACCCAGGCTCCCCTCATCTTGTGGTGACCGGGGGATATGACCACCTTATAAGGATATGGACGAAACTGAGCGATGGACTCAATGGCAAGGTAAAATGACTTCATTGACAGACTGTGCATGTTCGCGACGTCGATAATAATTTGAGAAGAGTTACACTTAAAACGCCACCGAGTCGTTGGTTAATTTACACCGTGTTGTTGGTTTTGATAAGAAATATCAGGATATTGACATTGACACTACGGAAACCCCTTCACCAACACAGTGATATGGATTGTGTCCTCTGATTATCGGTGTGAGCTTGGTCCTGAAAAGGACCTTCACTAAACTTAAAAACAGCTCTTCCCTTGACTATGGTAACGACTTCCCTTCAGTTTATTGAAACGTCATTCACTGTCACCTTCAAAAGTCCTTTTCAATCTACGCTTACTTAGAGGATCAGGTTACACTTGCTCTAAAGAAAATGTAACTTCGAGTCCTAATTTTCAACGTTTAAAATAAAGCACTCGGAAAACTTTGGTCAAATCTAATAAGCTTTTAAAAATTGGTGCGTTTTAAAAGTAATGTGTTACTGTACATACATCTTGGCCGCTGAGAATCGTTACGTAATACAGATTTGTTTCTTAAGTGTGGCAGATTGCAGATTTGCAGTCTCTGGCTCAACTGATCTTAAAAACTAACTCGCGAAACTTGTAAAACGTTGTTAATATTAATTGGTGTTATCCGCAGCTTCTGAGAGAAATTGAGGGACACAGTGGCTTTATCAACAGCATCTGCTTCGACCAAGATGGTGAGTCCTGCTTTAGTCCATTACTTTAAATAGTTGAGGGTGACTGTTCTTGCCATGAAAAGAGGTTTCCAAACTGAAGAAATTTAGACGCAATTATTCCCTTTTTCCCTGCTTAATGCGCATGCCTCGCTTCCCACTGCTCAACTGCGCAGGGACACCTTTTTGCCCCGATTTGATGGACTCGCGCGACAGATTACGCTGGGAGAGAAGGACTCCTCTTACTCTGAATAAAGAAATTGCGACAACCGATCAGAGCGAGGTAACCACAACGAACCAATCAGAACTCAACATTATCCTGACTTTACTGCAACTTTCGATACTATCTTTCCTTCAAGGTGCTAAGATGTTTTCAGCAGACAGTAACGGGGTGGTTATGATTTGGAACTCGTATGTTCAAGCACAAGCAGATACAAAAAAGAAGAGAAAAGGAACTGGTGGTAAGACAAACGTTGATTAAAATCGCAAATCACCAGCTTGTCTCATATTCAAATACCTCTTTATCCCTTCCATTCGAGAGAGAATTGTGCCATGTACTTGTTACTTGTGTGCATCTCGCGTTGGTTATTTGTAATTTTTCATTTGTCAATATCATCAGTCAGGACGACGAAGATGTTAACCCTTTGACTGCTTAGAGTGACAAGCATCGCATTTCTTTTTACTAAAGAAGCTCTTGATTGGTAAACAAATTCTCCTTGTCAGCATAGCAGGGAATGTATAGAGAAAGTATGGAGAATATGTAAACTGATGTTAGGGAGCAAAACGCTTTTATAAAATAATTACTGTTGTACTCCGAGAGCTGAGAAAATGAGGAAGGGTGACTTGGGATGGACTTACATCTCACTCAGGAGGAGTAGCAATATTCCTTGATGCTTATGCGAAATACGAATAAGCTCCAGTAGCTTTGCGAGCTAGTTTCATGTGTAGACTATGCCTTTTTAACATTCATGACAAAGGTTTTCACCGAAACTTAGAAGTCATATTTGGCTCACTTCGACCATTTACCACTGGCGTAGTCAACTTTATTGTTGGTTTTAATCATCTCCAAAACAGTTTAATCAGACTGTTAAAAAATTTATTTCTGTGATTTTCATTTACTAGGTTACGTTCACGACTGGACGCTGGTTAAAAAAGTAGCCATTGATGAAATTCAGGTTGGTGGTTTGATTGTCACTTGCAGATTTAATCCGCCTTATTTCAGCACTGGTTTCTCTTCCACTGTTTCTCTCAGTCTTACAGTGCAATAGTCTTCGTTAGTTACTTAGTGAATGTACCATTTACTTAATAACTTGCATTGTCTTACCGGCCATTTCTTCTGAATTTGAAGGGTAACGTCATCAACTCGCTCTGTTTACATCCCAACGGCCGTAAGATTCTGATTCACGTGCGTAACAGTGTGCTATGCATGCTGGACCTGAGGAGCTATACCGTCATGCAACACTACCTTGAAGCCTCAAACTTTAAGGAACACATTCGTAGCACTATGAGTGCATGTGGCTGTTTCGTTATCGGAGGCTCAGAGGATGGGCATGCGTATGTGTGGAACACAGAAACAGGTAAGTCTTGTTTAAAACCTTATTTTTAGCGGAGCATCTACATCAGATAATGTTGGCCCTAGTGTAACCCTTTGACTCCTAAGTTGACTAACATCTAATTTCTCCATACAATATCACCCCTGAATTACACTTCAAGGTCATAAGAATAAAGGAAATAATCACCAACCTAGAGAAGCTCTTGATTTTTAAAAAAATTCTCCTTGTCAACTCCATAGGAAATGTACAGGGAATAGTAGGGAGAATTTGCAAGCCGATGTTAGGTTAGAGCGTTAAGCTCTGAAAGGCCGGGTTGTTATGTGTGTTTTAAGGCCGCAAATTTGAGCCACTCCCTCACTGCCACTCTTTCACTGGGAGTTTTAATATTCTTTGGCCACATTGGTAGGAAAACCTGTAAAATTTCTAAGAGATGACTCTAATGCTATGATGACTTCTGCCTCAGCCTTAATGAGGAGGAAACCAACACTTCTAGTCGCCCTATGCTTTTGAGAGCCGGGATAACTTAGTGATACAGGCCCCTTGATGTGGGTTATGGTTTGCAGTACACTCTGAGAATGATCTACGTATATAATAATCAGTATGAAGGAATTTTCCTTTCAACTGCACATTTCAGGCGACCTGGTATCAGTGTACAAATCACTTGGTTATCATCATGCCGTGTCAGATGTGCAGTTTCATCCTTTGGATCACATCATCGCCTTCTGTTCATTTGGTGACTCACATCCTGTTCTCGTGTACCACTATGACCCCAAAGGTTTGTTTCAGAGAAATATGCTGTATCATGTTCACACTTGATTACATCTCTTAGTTGGTACGTGAAAAATGATGAGTCAATTTAGCGAGCTGTATTTCACTGAACGGCCCGCTAAATTCAAAATTTTGTTGGAACTGAAATCTTTCTCCTCAATTTGAACTCAGAGGCATAGTATATATCTTACTAACCTCGTTTCACGGTCCTTAAATCCGAGCGGAAAAAACTCGGTCTGTAACTTACAATACGGACCTCAAACTCGGTTGATAAGAGGTATGGTAATGATGATTGTAATGGTTACCATGATAATGCACATGATAACAAAGATGCTAGTTGGTGGATTTGAGTTCTCGAGGCATACTCTCCTCTTCATTGTTTGTTTCTGTCGCCAGCTGCGAAAGAAGAAGCGAAGAAATTTATGACTTCCCCAGTGACATCCTCCAAACAAGCTGCTACGTCACAGCAGAGCACAGCCACCCCTGATGACGTTACCAGGCCTGCGCAGATGGCTGATGCAGCCAAGGACTTGCTGCGCATGCGAAAAGTCAAGCAGAAACTGGACTCCGTTCTGGTGGGTGTGGATTATTTCTCGTTTGAGAGAGGACTAACGCTAATCAGCTTGTCGACATATAGGGTGTTTAATTGCGTACGCGAAAAATGACTGAATGGGAGACATTGAGTAAGGGGAGCTAGTTGGTAAGACCTGTCGAGATTGGCCTTGATCTTTTGGACCTGGGTGGAATAAATAGCCTTTCTAATGTTTCTGCCTACTCTGTCTTTTTTTCCAGTTTCCGTTCGCCGTTTCTCGCATTCAGTATATCTTAAAAGCGAAGTTTGTGTGAGCCTTAAAAAACTGGAAAACACGTTGCGTTTTGACGAGTTCTCCTTTTCGTGTTGATTTTATATCGTGACGTCCTTATCATATGATTTTACTTATCATTTCAACGGTGGAGAACTTTCGAAACTGGGATACTCGCACTCTCTCTCGATAGTGCAGAGTTATTACAAGTCAGAGAAACTGTTAACTTTATGTTCATGGTTCCTTTTCTTTTAATAATTCTAGACTTCTTACCTTGCTTACGCACGTCATATCCTTACATTCGATATGATTAGACACCTTTGTTCACATAGAGGCCATGTAATGTAGTCGCTGTATCTCTCGCTGACGAGATTTGTCTTATAGGGTGATGGTTTTTTTTCTCTAGAAAATACCCCTAGCAATTTCGACTGCTTGTTTTTCAACTTTTTTTGCTTGATGAAAATCAAATAAAAGGCATTCATTTTGTTACTGGAGGAGTGTCTCAGTCTTTCGTGAGCAAAATATCGAGATCTTCCAATCTCCGCAATAAATTTTTGTTTCTCCGGTTGTCTCAGGAAACACCGGCGTCTCCCGGCGTTATGGACAGAGCACTGCTGAGAACACCAGGGGCAGACAGCATAATGTTCCAAACCCCAGGGACACCTGATAGTGCCGCATATCCCGGATCTGTAACCCCGGGAAAGAGACCAGGGAGCGTTACGTTTCAGTTTCCAGAAAGCTCTGAGCGAACATACCGCCAAGGCTTGGGTACTAATGTGAGTCTTTCAACCTGGGGTTCAGACTTCTCTCCGGCTGGGTACAGCACAACTCCGGGACAGGTAAGTCATGAAAATCCAGTTCATCTTGAAGTCAGCTTAAACAGAAGTATTAGTCTCCTGGCAGTTAGAAAAATATTCAGATGCACGAATTGACTCAATCATAACCACAAGCAATAAGATAAAATCCAACGAAAAGAAAATTGTCTAAAAATATGACTTGCCCCTTATTGTTTCTGTGTACACTAGTTACGTTCACTCTTCATCTTTTAACATTCAAGCAAACCAGTTTTTAGTTCTAGCCAAAATCGCGAATTGTTGAACTCAATGACATGAACATCCAAAAGGTTTCTGGAATGTTGCGTTCAGAAGAGGCTATTAAATAGAAGAAATACTACAATCATGTGAGCCACCTCTCTCCACGAGGACACCCCTCTCTTTTAAGCCCAAGTGTGTTTTTTTTTTACTGCACCCTCCTTCTCCACCTCTCTCTTAGTCAAGAACTGTACAATAGCAATTTTATTGTTATTCATTTAAGCTGGTAGCGTTTCATTACAAAAGATACTTTTACTAAGAAGCCTGTTTTAGTTTACTTTTTTAAATATCGCGGGTTTTAAACCGAAGATATTCATTCTGTGTACGTTTTTCATCAAATGAGGATGACAATTCAGGAGGAAAAAAGTGAATCACATTTTGGCTCCTAGTTAGTTTTTGATTAAGCCTCTTCACCCTCTCTATTTAACCTCCGTGTAGAAGACTCAGAAATTCAGAAACCCCTAGGGGGCTTATTTCAGCATTGATGGTACTCGAACTGTAGACTACAATAAATTGATATGTGGTAATTGTTCGACAATTTCCTCCCCACAGGTCCCTTATGATCCACCGCTTTCGCCGCATGCCCAGCAGTACCTGGGGGCGTCGGGTCGTTTCGAGTCTCGAAAGATGTTTGCGCAGCAGAATAATAGATACGGCAGCCCAATACAAGGAGCGACTAAACCCCAACCCTATCAAACACCCAGTAAGTTTAAGATGTTTTGACAGGTGAAGAGTGCAGATGAAATCTTATTATTCATCACTTTACGCCTTCCAATAACTGTTGTATTTATTTCACAGTTGGAGTCTCACGGTCATGGTTGAAGAGGCCTTCTCTAAGTATGAACATTGGTGACACGCCTGGACCATTGGTGAGCTTTTTGCCCACCTGTCTGTCTTCTTGTTTGCTTGTTTGTTTGTGCATCTGTCCGTCTGTCTTGCTCTTTGTCTTTGTGTCCGTTTGTCTGTCTGTCTGTATATGTCCATCTGTCTCCCTGTCAGTCTGTCTGCCTGCCTCTCAGTCTGCCTGTCTGCCTGCCTCCTCAGCACCTGCCTGTCTGCATAAAGAATAGACTAGATGTTTATGTTATGTTGGATACCTGTTTTAGTTTATTACCCCTCGATGGGTTTCCTTGTAAGGTTGAATCATTTTTGCAATGTCCAACCACTCAACGTGTTGCAGCTTTCACTTACCCTGTTCGTTCTACTTTGATACTTCAAGTATCAAAGTATCAGAGTTTCAAAGCTGAAGTTTCGAGCGTTAGCCCCGAATCATTCGCTGTGACGAAGGGCTAACGCTCGAAACGTCAGCTTTGAAACTCTTAACGGTAGCCAATATACGTAATCAAATCAGTTGATAGAACCAAATTACCTTAGTATTTTGATTGCTTCTCTCAATCATCAGAGTATGTCGCACCTCAGCAGTGCTCGGCCCAAGTTCACTTTCTCTGACTCACCAACAGCGCAAATGTTACAAGAAGAGTCGACACCAAGGAGAAAGGTTTGTATTGGTAATGTACAAGACACCCATTTGAGTCTCGTAATACCGAGATCATAAAATCAATTTATCACAAACTGAAGAAGGAGGCAGAGGTAATTTGGGTTTGTGTGCAATTCATTTTGTGGCGCTTGTCAAATAACGAAAAACTTCGGTCAAAACACCTCAAACATGAATATTCACTCAAGATTGTTGGAAACCTCCAAAACACCAACAACAAAATTTTATCGGGTTTGAGAGTTTTTTTTTTCTTGTTTATCCATTTTTCTTCTCGATCCTTGACATTTCTGTCGGAAGTAACACTGGCCTTACTCATAGTTTTTCTTTTTCCGCTCTCATCCAAAAGGTTATAGCCATGTACCCTTATGATGCCAGCAGAGCGGATGAACTGACTATTCAACCTGGAGACGTCATCACGGTTCTTTTCATCGACAGTGAAAATTGGTGGATGGGCGAACTGGCTGATGGGAGGCAGGGCTACTTTCCGTCTAATTACGTCATGGAACAAGGTGAGATTCAAGAAACGTTGACGAATAACTGTAAAAGGAAGGCATCTGTCCACCTTTACTCGAGCAATTCTTACACTTAACTTGCTTGCTTCGTTTAGTCCCAATGCGTTTTGTACGTGCTTATATCTACGAACTTTGTGCGTGTAAAAGGAATCAACTTGCAACCATGCAGGCTCAATTCTCACCGCTCTTTCAGGTGCAGACCTCGATCCTTCCGTGAAGAAGGAGCTGAGGAGCGCGGGCTCCTTTCATAATCAGTAGCTGGTAATCGAGCGTGCGTAGCCATGGAACTATATGAACACGTACTTTAGTAAACTTGCGTTTATTCTCATGAGTACTTCATGTAAACTTTGTTTGGACATTCAAGTCTCCTACCCTTGTCACATTTAACCACCACCTTTAAATATTATTTTAGTTACTGATCGCGTCCGGCCAGTGTAATTGGGTAAACCATAACTATAACCCTCAGTGCATAGAATGATTTTCGGTGATATCTGAAGCTGTCTGTGTCATTATTACAGGGGACCTCGAGTCTGAAGGTGATCTACAAGAAACAACGGCACCAAGTGCCTCGAGCGCGACCAAGCAAGAGTCCAAAGTCAACACACAGGTCTGCACATCCTAACAACAGAAAAACAACCATAGTCTGTTTAGAAAGATGATGCTGTTCAGTTTGTCAGTTATAAGAGTTAATTTAGTGCCCCAGAAAAAGTTAACCAAGGATACGTTGAAGTGCCTTTCTGTTTCATTGAACAACTCCGTATCTGTGTTTTTTACTGTTTTACAGATGACAGCGGTTATCACTAAATCTGGTGATCTGAAGATTATATCAGGACCTGAGGACAGCAGCGATGCTGAGGGCAAACTTAACAGCTCGTAAATAATTTTTTTTCCTTACGTATTTAAATAAATGCTAACTTAACCGGCATTTCCTGCTGTGGAAGACTTGCTTAATGACCTTGCGGTTTTGTGATGTTCTTGCGACCCTGATTGGTAAAGCGCAGCGCTCTCTACGGGGGGCAAGTCTCAATATCCTTGCGGCCACCCATCAAATAAGATCCCTGTAGAATCTTTTTTTGATGACATATTCATTATTGGAATCAAAATTAACCCTTTAACTCCCGTGAGTGACCAAGGTAGAATTTCTCCTTACGATATCAATACAATATCAAGCAGACGAGTGATGAGAATAAAGAAAAATATCAATTAGGGAATGATTAGTTGATCTAATACCAAATTCTCCAAACTAACATCACAAGAACTGTATGTCAGACAATAAGGAGAATTACTAATGAGATCTTGGGAGTTAAACGGTTAAGAGGTTGTTACCACTGTAGACTCCTGATCAAACAGTTGTTCGATCAATGGCAAGGCCGTACATTTCTTCAACCTGAACCGAGGGGTGTACTAATCGATTTGAGTTGACAGTCTGAAACATTTTTTTCGTCAGGGCACGCCACAGAAGAAGGCACCGGGAAAAAGAAAAGGAACGACAATCGGAGGAAACTTCAGAGAAAAAAGTTTCACCAACTCGGACGAAAAAGAGATGACATGCAAATCATGATGACAGTTAAAAGGCTCCATGAACTTTGCCATCGGAAACATTTGCACCTTAAATATGTCCCGTTTTGTCAGAATTAATCATTGGCCAAAAATGTATTGGTCATATTTTATAGTACTCGTCTTACGTTTCAATTTAAGAAAATGTGTTGTTTTAATGCTCGTGAGTTTGGTGCACGAAAATTTTTAATAAAATCATGTAGATTATATCAATATAAGAAACAAAATCATAATTGTTTATTTGCTAACTTAGAAAATTCCTAAAGCTATTTTGTAATATCTGCCAAAGTTTGCTTAATTCCTTAAGAATAGTGAATGCTGGAATTTATACGACCTATAACTAGGCTATGTATGGAAATAAAATCTTACGTTTGAAGGGCGTCCAACTCTTTTCAGAAAAAAATGGAAACCTTTATCGACCCAGTCCTATGCTTTCCTCGTCAAGTTATGAATAGCATGCACGGGTTGTAAGGGTAGGGTACGATTTTTCGAAGGGGGGTGGAGTGAGGGTTACCTTTACCAGGGGTAGGAGCCCATTATCCTTGGTTATTATTACTTTTGCTTACCAGTGAGAGGAAGCTCCCTCTTTGTGATGTGATTGTCACCAAGGCTTGGACAAATTTAAAAAATACATCAACAAAAGAATAGGAAGCATTCATTTACAAAGTACCTAAAAAGCTCTACACGACTGTTTTTTATTCCCACGCAAATGAAGTCTCTCTCACAAGAAAAATTTTCATTCGGCCTTATTCTGACATCTTGGACTTTAATAACTTGGATATGGCTTTCTAAACTGGTTTTCGAGTAATAATTAAAAAAAAGAAAACTGTAAAACCGTCAGGGTATTTCTAGAATTAGACCAAAGTACATGCACCACGTGGCTCACAACATCATCGAGATTGGATGGGATAGGTATAGTTAAATATTAAAAGATATGGCAAAGATGAGACTGATCACGAGTAACTTGGAACCACTGAGGATGTTAAGTCATAAATAACTATAATAGAAGCACCAATGTTGTAAAAAATATTCCTTCAGTGACCCCTCCCCAATCATATGAAAGTTACCTATGAGTAGCAGCTGTTGCTAACTTTTCACACGTGTTTTCAGAAATTGCAGAAATCACAAATTTCTGACTAGTGATATTTATCCTTATTTTACGCGAAAACATGCAATTCGGCTTGTTTATAACAAAAAAGCAAAAGGAAGCTTGGATTGGCCTGTCGAAATGAAGCACGTAAAGTTAGGCACAACTTCTACGTTGTTCTTTTAGAGCGTGCAGTTTCAAAAAACGATAATGACAGGGATGATTTCAATACAAACCAATACATAAGTACAAGATCATCTTATGTTCATCAATAAAATTGAAATTTGAAGAAGTCATTTTAAAATTATTTTTCTCACTCAATCTGATTTTTACGAGTTGCGTGACAAATAAGCGTGACCAGTTTTGATATGTTGAACGAAAGCACTGGGAACAACTTGACGATAAGTCAAATATGGCGCCCAAACAGGCTTGGAAATCATTTGTCCGTTTTGATACAAAATGGGAGTGAAAACGGGACCTTAAACATCTCTTGCCTCTCAGAACATCTTGGTTCTCGTTTGGAGATACTTTTATGAACAAAATAGAAACGACTGTGTTGTCAAGACTCTGAAATGGAGACACGTGCAACATTCTGATCAACTGCCAGTGATCAACTGCCAGAGGTAAGGAATAAAATCTTCAAAACTGTGTAGATGTTTCGATCTAAATATTTATTTGACCATGTAATTTTGCTTCCTGTTATATTTAAATGCCAAGTAAGCTTCCAACCCTATCGGATTCCTTTGATGTACTCCAAAGCTAAGTATTGCACCTATCTATTTGACGCACAAAGGGGGGGGGGGTGGATTCTGGACGGATAGAGGTCATTTTACTTTCCTGAAGAAAGTTTGGTCTCTATTCCCACTCAAGGGGATGAAAAATTATTAAAATCAGATCAAGATCCCTCACCTTGGGCAAATGATATTCCTTGCAGTTGTTGTATTTTCACTATGAATAATTGATTGACAATCTTGAGTTGTAAGAATATTCACAGAGAGGTAATATTGATAACTTTACTATTTTTGTTGTCAATTAAAGAACATTTCAATGTGTCTAATACAGGAAATTACGTTACCTGTGAATGGAACAAATAAATTGCTAAGGAAAAAGAAAATTTCCCATACAAAAATCAAATATCTCTATCCTGGGATCCAGACTCTAAGTCAAATTTTGAGGGTGGGTATGGTAATGGAGGTCTAATGCCCCACAGATGTCCAGGGTCCCTCCCCTCCCTTGAGCTTAATGTTGATAGGTGCTTAATAACTCTAAGCTTCTATGGTAACACAAATCTTAGCCTCAAAAAGAAAATCCAAGACTTTCAGATCTTTGAAAAAAATGCATTTTTTTCCTTTTAGCAAGAAAAATACACTATTAAAAAAATTAGAGATCCAGGCAAAGGCTGATGTTAGACCCATTCTCCACTTATTCTGTTTAATGAATGTCTTGAGTTCATATCTCTGGCATTACTCTCTGTTTGTAAACCTTAAATTTAACTGTGAACATCCTTTAGATTGAAGTCCTCAGAGACTTGCAATTGTTGTGTCAAGATAAGCCCTATTTAATTAAAGGATTTGCTTTTACCATTGCTTTGCAACCTTGCTGTGAGTCAGATATTGTTACTTTGTAACTATGAACCTACTGTAGTTTGTAAAAGAAGGGCTTGTTGTGGTATTGGCTTTACTACAGATCCTCTTTGCCTTCTCCTCTTTTTGGGAGTGGCTTTTCATTCTCCAAGTGCTTGTAAATATTTACCATTGCATAGGCTGTACCTGTAGATAAGCTGCATCTTGCATTTTTGATTAAGTTATGGTGGAAAAAAAATAATCAGTGAATTGCAATTTGAAATTGTACCGCTGTCATAATGAAACCATTACCAAAGAAAAGTTGGAAAGTTTATAAAGCTGGTTTAGAATAAAATGAATAAGAGGCCTTAGTGGTCATCAGGTGGGTTCCTCTCTACAGTCGGTGTGTTACTAAACTGTGTAATGCAGCCATGAGCAACAGAGTAATGGAGCTTTTCAAAATTGGTGGAATTGACTATTGCATATCTTTAATTTCATTAAAAAAAAAAAAAAATTTGCTGTCACAAATGATGTATTACAAGGAGATTTACATGAGGTGTCAAAATGATTGTACACAATAGAAGCCACACCTCAAAATTTTATCTCATTTTTCTGATTAAAAAAAGCAGCCTATCCCCAGGTTAATGCAGTAAATGAAGATATTTATACCACAATCCATAAACAATATCGTGTCCTCCATTCTCCTATGGTGTCTTGCTTAATATCAACATGCTTTCTCACTTCTCTCTTTGCCTACAAGTATTTCATACCAATTTATATACTAATTTGCTTTTTTTCTTATTCAACCAATAGAAAGAAAGGAAGTGTTGGTAGGTAGATAAAACTTTGTAAGTACATTATAAACAAGCCTTGGTGATTGGTTTGTAGAAAAGCTTTGGTACATGGTCTATGGACAAGCCTTGGTAGAAAAGTCTTTGATACATGGACAAGTCTTGGTAGATGACCTGTGGACAAGCACAAGTCTTGTCTTGTAGCCTGGGAAACCTTGTGGACAAAAAGCCTTGGAAGGCGGCCTGTGGACTAGTTTTGGCAGGTGGCCTGTGGACAAGTTTTGGTAGGTGGCTTGTGGACAAGCCTTGATGTGTGGTCTGTGGACAAGCCTTGGAAGGTGGCCTGTGGACAAGTCTTGGTAAGTGGCCTGTGGAAAAGCCTTGGAAGGTAGCCTGTGGACAAGCTTTGGTATGCAGCTGGTGGACAAGCCTTGGTATGTGATCTGTGGGTAAGTTGTGGTGTATGACATGTTGACAAGCCTGGGTACATGGATTATGGACAAGCCACAGAACATGGCCTGGGAAGGAGCCTTGAGCAAACTGCAAGAGGTAATTTTCTTTTTTATGTTCTTTTGAAGTACCAGACTTTCAAGGTCAAATATTACTTGAGAGCTCAAAGGAATCTTTTAGGCTTGTCATGATTCTATAGCATAATGCCTAATTTCATTTGCAGTGGCTGTGCCACAAGACATATGCTATTTAGAAAGCTTTCACAAGATGGGAATTGCATGTTTCAGACACCCAACACTCCCTTTTATGCTTCATTTATGCTGCATGATCATAAATTCTATATTTTGACTTATTTGCAATCTAAGGCACAACCTACTGCTTATTCGGTCGCTTATAAAACAGCTACGCTTTTATAATATCATAAACTTTAGAGATAGCTAATATTTCCAACATCTACTGTCAGGTGTTTTAATTTCCAAGTCTTAAACTATTAAGTCAAAGTAAAGGTTTTTTTTTACTCCTCACCTGTTGAAAAACATGCTTTGAGTTATCAAGGTTAAAACTGTGCAAGAAAGACTTTCATCGCTTCAAGTTATTGCTAAGTTTGAGATAGCAAAGATTAGAGTGTAAACTTTTCACTCCCAGGTCTGATTAGTAAGTCTTCTTCTTGTCTGCCATACAATTCTTATGATGTTAGGTCAAAGAATTTGGAACTGGTTCACCTAAAAATCCCCAAATTGACAATTTTTTTATTTTCATCACATCTGTTTAGTATTGTATTGATATTGACTATTGTAAGGAGAAATTCTGTCTTGGTCACTCATGGAAGTTAAACTGTAAACCCTTTAACTCCCAGATTAAATTTGTAATTCTCCTTACTATCAACTGTACAATTCTTATGATTTTAGGTCAGAGACTTTGGTATTAGTTCACCTTATAACTCCCTAAATTGACAATTTCTTTATTCTTGTCACATTTCTGCTTGATATTGTATTGATATTGACCATTGTAAGGAGAAATTCTGTCTTGGTCATGCATGGGAGTTAAACTGTCAAGGAAAATGGGCTGTGTTTAGAAACTATGACAGATTAGCATCCCAC